TTTTTTTCACAAATACCCTTATTTTACATCACATCATTACTTTTATACAAAAAAAGTAAGGGCAAAAATATCATTTTACTACTTTTACCTACCCACTATAATTAAAATACTATTATTCCTTAATCTCCGTGCCAAAAATAATTGTATACTTTTAGCTTGGACCGAGGGAGTACTATATATGTACGACAATAGAGGCTGTTATTGTGATTATTAAATATAATATAATATATAAAAAAATAGATATTAATCTATAATCACTTATAAAATATAACTGATAATACATATTAATACTTTATACAACGGTTACTATGTATTATATTTTTATAATGCTGAAAATCTCTAAAATTTTCAAATAAATTATTTTATCAGTTATTTATAAATCCAATGGATAAGATATTTGTTTTTTTTTTTTTCCTTAAGGATGGCCTGGTGGGTAGGGATTGGACTTATGACTGTGAGGTCAAACCCAGTGCACATTTTCGAGTAGCGGCTGAATAAGACGTGTTCTCTTCATTTTGAATTTTTTTATTTCAATTTTTTAAAAAAAAATATATTTTTTTTATGCAATACTCACCATTTCTATAAAAAAATGAACAATTTTATATTACAAAACATCACTAACAATTATGTCGCATGATTTTTATCATTTACTTGCATTGTGTTTCTTTTTCATTTTTTTTTAGATTTTTTTATGTGAAACAATTATTATATATGATAGTTATTTGATTCAATAAAAAAATCAAATAAAAAATAATAATTGAAAAACCCTAAATCACTTAAAATTTCATGGGCTTAAGCCCACTTATAAAAGATTTGTATTTTTTTTTTAATTAAATCAAATATTTAGTTATTTGTTATGGTATCTTGATTATTTCGAAAATAATAAATTTATAATTAAGGTAAATAATACTCATTTCATCTCTCATTTATATATGTATCATCTTATACATATTTTTTAGTAGATTAAAATATAATAATATTTTATTAGTACGTGAAAACGTATTAAAAAAATATTGACATTGTTACCTTTTATGAGACGATTGAGTTCAAGTATTTGTTGTTTGACCTCAATTCGAATATACTGTCGGTACAAATTTGGCTCAACACGTTTAGTATTTGATCTAAAATAATAGTTTGAGCTTAACTTGTTAAAATTTTGACATATAATTTATAAACTTTAAAAATATATTATAAAATTTTATTCACAAAATATATTTACAATAATACGTCATTTTGGTAACTTTGTCCATTTAAAAATATTTTCAATATTATTATATTCAAATAATTTTTTTTTTTTTTCTAAAAAACTATTTATCATTTATCTGACTTTTATTTACTTGAGTTTGCTTTTGTAACTTTATTTTGAATTTTAATTTGATTGGAATGGTTGTTTGAATATAATATTTTTGTTAATAATAATAATAATAATAATAATAATAATAATAATAATGTACTCCTCCATCTACCATATAATTATAGTAGAAAAATAAAAAATAAAATAAGATCAAATTATAGATATATAAAATTTCTATATTGAGAACCATTGTAATATGTACGGTATAAAATATTCTCATATATTGTTATTTTATTATCATATATTTTTATTATATTAATATATACATTGTATTGAAATCAGTCATTGTATATGTTACATAAATAATTATATAGATTAGAATTAATCAGCCTACCAAATTATTTGAAAAATCAACAGTATTTCTAATATTTTGGATGCTTCATATATTTTGTGTCTAGTTCAACAATGTTTAAATTTAATGGAGTATAATTTAGATAAATAATTATATATCAAATTCAACATATAACAATTATATTTTTAAATTTATTATTATTAATTTATTTACTCTACAATCTTTACAATTTACTATATATAAGAATTTCATGCTACAGCAATACGTTGAATCATTATTTAAATATCAAAATATATTTATATTTATATTTATATATATTGGCATGCAATGGTCCATGGGGTTCCCCCACAACCCCACCAAACGTTATTAATTCATTTCTACACTCGTATTTTGTAATTTGTAGACTCGTATTTGTACAGTATAATTATACACATAGCTACACACACCCACATGTGTGTGTATGTGTGTGTGAAATAGTGGTCCACCTAGAAAATAAAAATTTTAACCCAACTTAGAGTTGTGGTGAAACAAAATTTTGCAATATCTAATAATTCATAGAATAAAAAATATATATTGTTTCATTATGCAATTATTTTGAAATATAAAACATTATAAATGGCCCAAACAAAATGACAATTATTTTATAAAAAGAAAAATTTATTTTCATAAAATATCATATTAAAATTTCTTCTTCTTCTTCCATTGTTTTTTTTTTTTTCTATATAAAAAAAAATCAAATTCAAATACCAAGAGAACATGTATGTTTGAAAATATTATACTCTCTCATTCCCATATCTATATATCAATTTGCTTTTTACACGAAGTTTTAAAATTATTAGTATTATATTGGAATAAAGTATAAATAAAGGTAAAAAAACTAAATTAACCCTATTAGTATTGTATGATATAAAAGTAACGACATTTGTGTAATATATTGTAAATTGGAAGGGTATTTATAATGTTAGGTAGACGGTACAATTACTAAAAAAAGGAAATAGATACTTGTTATGAGACGGACCAAAATGAAAAAAATAGATAGATTGTTAAGGGATGGAGGGAGTACTATTTTTTTTGCATGCCATGTAATTTATTTAAAAACTATATATATAATTTGGCTGGAAATCTCGTGTTGATTCGGATAAGTCAGGATGATGCTGATTTGAACGGATCAACATATGTCATATACAAATCAACATATATTATACACAAATTAACGTATATTTATATATAGTACAATATATGTTCGAATTAAAATATAACATACCTTAAATTATAATATAACATAAATTTTATTATAAAAATGCTGAAATATTATTAATATCTATGTCCATATAGTTTATATTTTACTATAAATTATATTACTATAAAGATTAAATAAATCATACTCTATCATATACACTTAATTTTTTTTTTTAAATGTGAAATATATATATATATATATATAGTCACGCACATTTATTACTATAGATATCTTATTCTTACACTTCCCACGTCAGCATTAATTATTTTATCCTCTCTTATTTATCATTCAATTATATATTTATTTTTCTTATTCATTCCTTCTGTCCAAAATTAATGAATGTGCAACTTACCAGCCAATAATTATATATACACATATATATATATATATATATATTAGAAAATCCCAAAAATACCCTGAGAAATTAGGCACATTGACATGTGACCACAATTAGTTACACATTTATTAATCTGCTGTTTAATTGACCAACTACCAAAGAAAATCGACTTTAATTTTACGGGTTCTTTAATTATTTCATTTTATTTTTTCTCAATTATCTTAAAAGAAGTTCAATAAGTTAAATTGCGATTGAATTGGTTAATTGTCACATAAAGTGAAAACAAGAAAGAATAAAAACTAAAAAAAAAAAAAGGAAAAAGAAAAAGGCAAAAATACCACTGTAGAACGTGTTGGTGTGGAAGGATTACCTAAATTCCACCAATAATAAACAATTTCGAGGAGTCGTACGGGCTCATATTATGTCCACCAAGTCAATAGTAACTAATATTAATATTATTTTTAATATATATATATATATAGAGAGACTTAATTTGTAAAATAAGACACACCTTTACGATTATTTTTATATTTATGTATCTAAATAGGTATGACAATGGTAGAGATAGACCCGATATCCAACTCGGATTCTACCCATTTAATTAGGATCAGATCCAATTATTTGGATATTGGGTCGGGTGTGAATTGAGTCGGTAACAAATTTTTTGGGGTCGGGTCGAGTCCGTTGTTTAATAGAAGGTTCTACACGACTGGGACTTGTACTTGATTAATTAAAATAATATATTTGTTATTATTATTTTTATTTTTAATACTACCTTCGTCCACCGCTAATCTATTGATTTGTATTTGGTGTTATTATTTTTAACATTAAAAATATCCTTATATTTGTATAATTTTTTGTACAAATGTCATCACATTAGTATTATAAGACACCAATGAAAGTATTTTTGTCATTTTTTCCTAGATTTGTACTTACGTTTTTTGATATAATAATTAATATTCAAATATTAACATGCAAAAAGTAAATAGATAGATTGACGGTAGACGGAGATAGTATATATTTTCAGTTTCCTTTTAAGTGTTGATGCGCTGGTGACCGGCGTCAAAGCAGTATTGGTGAAAATTTATATTTGTTGTATATATATTTTTAATTTATTTTTTAAAAATAAATAGATATTTTTTTAGGTAAGTCTGTTGAGTCAGGTTTGTATTAAATTTTTTTTGAATTTGACGGGTCCGACGAGTACATTACAAGTATTGTCCAGATACATACGGGTTCCGAATACATTAGGATTTAGGTAGGATCTTGGGTCCAATAATATACATATGGATAGGGTCTTGAGTCCACCTATATCCGACTCATACCCTACTCATTGTCGTCCCTCATCTTAAATAATATTGTTAATTATATGTATAATTAATTAATTAATTTCGAAATTAATTAAATAATTCAGTGGGAGTCTTCTCTTCAGTACCCTAATACAGCATTGTCAATAATTTCTAGTTTAAGAAGCAGTATTTAGACAAATTCACTGTATAGTTATATACATATGTATATACATATATGTATATATAGGAATCGGACAAGGTCACATGAACCCAGGAAGAGGTAATAAAAGGCACCCCACCCCACCCCACCCCACCCTAGGAGGTTCTAGGATACGTATAAAATCTCTCCTTGTGTACAGGAGTGGAAAGAAGACGACGAAATATAAATAGAAATGAAAAAGGCCTTAACTATACGACGAATCAAAGTATTATATATATTTATTAATTATTGGAATGCTAGTATATAGTAGCAGCTACTGTAATTTATAGAGATAGATAGACACTTGCATACATAGAGGATGGTTGTTCTAGTTTCTCACTCTAGCTAGAATCGTGTCTTCTCACTCTCTCTCTCTCTCTTTATCTGTCAGTTTCTCTCTCCCTCTCTCTCTCTCTCTCTCTATCTCTCTCATCCATTCTTCTGCTTGGCAAAGGTCAACAACAAGCAGAAGAAAGGCACAGTTTATGGCCACACATAATAATATTGCTCTTCCAAAACCCTCATCTTCCCCTTTCCATCCTTTAATTTGATTTGTTTCGTCTTCCATTTTTGTGTTTTTTTTTTTTCTGTCGAGGGATAATAGATTGTTTGATTCGTCTGACACACAGTAATTGAAGCTTTGATTTCGATCTCTGCAAACCCTAGTTTTTCGATCGATTTGGAATAGAACAGTAGTAGTGTTTGTTTGTTTGTTTGATTTCAAATCAATAATTGGATTTGGATCTAGGCAGCAGCCATTGATGCTCTCGCATTGAATTGGGAAGCTGAAGCTGTTGAGCTTTTCAATTAATTCCTCTTCCTTCTTCACAGATCTGTCAGAGATCGGTTAAGTTTCGCCAATTTTGAAATTAATCATGAATTTCATGTCAGGGTTTTATGAAGAAATGTCGTCGACGGCGGCGCCGGCCTCTAACGGCGCCGGAGAATTTCCCCCAATTAATTACCCCACCGCCGGAGACGACGAAAACAATTACAGCGCCGCCGCCGCCGCCGTGGCTGCGGTGGAGCGGGAGCACATGTTCGACAAAGTGGTGACCCCCAGCGACGTCGGAAAACTGAACCGGCTGGTGATTCCGAAGCAGCACGCCGAGAAATATTTTCCGTTGGATTCGACGACGCAGGAGAAGGGACTTCTGCTAAACTTCGAGGACCGGAACGGGAAGCCATGGCGGTTCCGGTACTCCTACTGGAACAGCAGCCAGAGCTACGTCATGACCAAAGGCTGGAGCCGCTTCGTCAAGGAGAAGAAGCTCGACGCCGGCGACATCGTCTCCTTCCAGAGGGGCGTCGGAGAACTCTCCAAGGACAGGCTTTTCATCGACTGGCGCCGCCGCCCGGACGCGCCGGAGATTCAACCACCGATTCCGTCATTCCCGGTCTCCTACGAGATCTCCTTCCACCGCCCCTGGGCTCCCCTTTTCGTCCACCCGCCGCCGTCCCGGCCGCCGGAATATTCCAGATTCCTCCACCCCACAACCGCCGCCAGTCAATTGCATTTCCTGCAATCTCCGCCTCCTCTTCACGGCGGCGCCGGAGGCCCTAATTACGGCTACGACAGTAGATTCGTCGTTAATGGAAACCCTTGCTCGCCGAACTCCTTCCTCTACCTGAGATCCGGCGGCGCCGGAAGCAGCGTACAGCAACCGGAATTCGGCGGCGGACATACGGCGGCGGTGTTCAACGCCGTGCCGGTGGTTCAAGGAAAGGCGGCGGCGAAGAGACTCCGACTATTCGGAGTTAATATGGACTGCCCAATTTCCGATTCCGGCGAATTCGACGACGCCGCCGGTCTTCCCCTTGCTCCGCCGCAGCACGATTTTTACTCCTCCCCCTCCTCCTCCGTCCGCCGCCACAGCGACGGCGATAAAGGCAAGGGTTCCATGTCTCTCGACTTCGACATCTGACTGCCGACACACACAAATATATACATATACATATACATATACATATACATATATATATATATCTCCGACAACATCGCCATTATCGAGCCCCAAATCAATCAGAGGTAACTGTTAAGTCACGATTTCACACAGTAACTAAATTATCCAATATTATCTCTATCTCTATCCATGGATTGATCAAAACGATTCCTTATGAATCTGAAGAGACGATATCGGGATTCTTCACCCACGTGTTAGAATTTTTTGAGTGCTCTCTGTAAATATTTATATATATATATTTATTTTATTAATAGACGAAGAAAATTTTGTCCATTGTCGTTATTTTATGCTTAATTAATTTGCTCAACAATGTCAATTATCCATTCGATTTGTGCCTCCATTAATTATTACACATCTTTTATTTGATACATATTTCTTCTATTTTCTCGAGGAAGAACACATCCAAATCAAAAATTTCTGTCGATTTTTTTTTTTTAATTTTTTTTTTTGGATGTCACTGCTGTGTTGTTTTAATTATCTGTCGTAGGTTGTCGTGAGATTGCTGCTGTTTCTACCTGCAGTACGGACGCTTCCCCAAGAGCTTTCATAAGGTAAAGCCACACAAACACTCATCTTTAATTTTATTGTTACAATTATTTTATTTTTTCAATGATTGAGTGAAATGTGACATTAAATTATTTTTTTTCAATTATATATGTTAACTTTTGTAATTAGTTTTCTTGGAAAAGTCATTTGTAATACTTGTGCATTTGATTTATTGAGTTAGAAATGGTCAAGATTTTCAATGAATCAAACATGATTTTGGTGTGACTTTGACTTATTAATTATTAGGCATCAATTTTCGAAGCTTTACAGTGTATATTGACAATTTGCATTATATATATATATATATATATATATCAAAACAAGACGTGCATAATTAAGTTATGTACGTACAATTATTTCACCAAACTTCTAATTCTTTTTTCAATGATTACATATAATATAATATACATTGCAGAAAAAAAAAATTAAAAAAAAATCAAATATATATATGTATATATAATCATTGATGCATTATTTCAAATAAAATGTGTGCATATAATATATATTTCAACTAGTTTTCTTGTCTATAAAAAAAATTGTATCAATTTTGAATTACTTCATAGAATACTCAGCAAATTTTTATTTGATTAGATTTATTTAAAGTAAATATACATTTAGATGATATTCTCCGTGTATTTTCAGCGATCGAATCAACGAAAATGGCGCGTGTTCCACCGATAAGCTGCGGACAAACGTAAGGTACACAAAAATTATTAACTGGATGCAAATCTGTTAATGAATCAAAGTAAAATGGAAACTTAAATTGGATGATTTGTTCTTATAAGTTTTAGAAAAATATAATAATGTGAATGGTCTGTAGAGTATATTTAAATTAATCTTTAGTCTTAAGACTTTAAAAAAAAAGTACTGTGTGGAAATATATATATATATATATATATCTATATGTATGATATTAGTAGATAGATATTTGTTACTACAAGCAAAGATGCAATAATATTATTAATGTCTATATTTACTGTGTGTGTGATGGTAATTAGAAAAAAAAAAAAAAAAAAAAAAAAAAAGAAGCAATTTTGGATGTGCTTTTTTCTGGAGTTTGATTTATTTTATTTTATTTTTAATTTTGATTTTTGGTTTAGTAATTTAGATATGATTTTTGTTAAAGAAAATATTGTACGTGTATTAAATTTATTGAAACCAAAACCAAAAGAAGGGAGCCCTAGTCTAGTAGATTAATTATCACACTTGCCAGTATATTTCATTTGTTATATTTTTTACTAGTTTAACATTTTCTCATTCATTTAAAAATTTATATCTATTTTTTTTATTTGTGATTAAAAAAATATTACTTTTTCTATTTTATTAAAAATATAAATATAATAGGAAACTATTTTTCAATCAAATAGGTATATAGGCATAAATATCAATGATGAAGGGAATATTATTTTGTAAATATATATATATTTTTCAAATAACGTTAGTTGTCATGTACAAGAATTTTATAATTATTGTTGAAGATGATCAATAATAATTTGTAAAGAATTTGCACTACAAGAAAAAATCATTTTTGTAACAATTTTTTTTTGTGTCTAAATCTATTTTTTCCGTTACTAATGACATTAGAGACGAAAATAGGAATGAAATTACGTTAGCTACGTGAACTTTAGGAACGGAATTCCGTTACACATATATTATTTTTTTTGTAGTGTTGATTGTTAAACTTTGTCATATTTGGCATATACTTCCAACCCTATATATCTGTATTTATGTAAATACATTTATCTATGAATAATGAAGGTTTATGAAGTAAAATTAATTAAAAAAGAGGGATTGAAATATAAGTATATATCAATTCCAAAGTACTCATACTTATTATTTAATTTAAATAAAATGCATGCTTTACTACTACAAACCCTATCTTGTGTACTAATCCAGCTCTTTGTGTCAGCTTTCCTTTTATTCAACATGTGAAACTTTAATAATAATAATAATAATAATAATAATAATTGGTGTGTGTTACTATTTATTTCTCAATTGTTTTGTAAAAATTAGGTGTGTATAGGGTATTTTTTAAAATTTTGATTTGAATAGGATTTGTATCAACCTGATTGTGAGATAAAATAATATTTTTTATAAAAAATGAAATAATAAAAATTTTTAAATAATAACTAACTGAGCATAGCTGTTAAATTAACAACTATTTTACCTAAAATAAAAAATGAAAAAGTATAAAACACAACTAAATAAAAACACTAAAAATGAACAAGAGAAGAGTAGAGTTGTAATAAAGATTATATATATATATATATATATATGTTGATTTTTTGCTGCAGGGAATTGATGGAATCAACAATTAATATTTTGGTTCAGTTATACATAAAACTTGTGGGAATATTACTGCTTTGTAGAAAACATGCAGATGATCATCACAGAGCTATATATACATATACATATATATATATATCTGTGTGCGTGGTAGAATATGGAACACATTGAATAACACAACCTTAATTATTACCCATCTTATATTCCAAGAGATACTAAAAATGTGCTATATTTGATATTGACACATATCTATCTATATATTAATTAAACTCAATAGAAATTCGTTACACTAAGGATCTATCCTTTTTATTTATTTATTTATATTTTGTTTAGTCAGTATAGCTATATATATATATTGTTAAGAAGGAATTCTGACATCCAATCTAAAACCAATTGGTGATAGGTGGTGGAGTGGTCATTCATCCTTATATATTAGGAGAGTTTCTACACATTTAGCCATGTGAGACAATATTCAACGTATATACATATATATGGAGATGGCGACAGTGAAATTAATTCAACTTTTATGATTAATTCAAGGGTGTGTTCGTTTGATGGATTTGGATTAAATTCCACTATTCATCCAAAATTTTCCTCCCAAAAACATCAAATCAAACACCTATTTTTCATTTTTTATATTATACTAAAAATCAATTTTACATTCAAAACATCACATCATCACCTATTTATATCACATCATACAACTATTCAAATTCAAAATTTTTACTATTCAAATCCCAACTCAAAATTCAAACCCCCAAACAAACACACCCCAAATATATTATGTAGGTTGATACATTTTGATGAGTTTGAAAAAAAAATTAATTTCAATTTGGTATTAAAATAATGTACAATAGGATGTCAAAAGAAACTGAAGTTTTGTGTCAAAAGAAACAAACCCTTAGCTTGCTTTTACCTACCAAATTAAAAAAAAAAAAAAAAAAGAGGAATTGTAAGGGATGACTGAGTTGGTGCAGTATGGAGGTTGTTGATAATGGTGAGATCACTAGTTTGAATTATACTAGTATTTTTTTCGATAGCTTAAAGTGGCATATTCATCTGACATAATTTGCAGGCTATTGTATTCAATTTGAAATTTCTTCGGTACACGTTAAAAAAAAAAATAGTAGCCGTAAGTTTCCATCGTATTATTAATATTTATTTATTTAAAAAGGGTGAGTGTGGAAGGCTGAAGGGCACCATAAAGGCCCCATTCTTCCCTTTTGTAATATATGTATATATGTAGAGGTAGTTTGGTCCCCATATGTGTGTGCATGCATGCAGCTGGAATTGAATTGAACTGAACTGAATTGAATTGAATTGATGGAGGAAGAAGAACAAGGGTGGATGTATGGGGGTGGGGGGAGGGGGGGGGGTAGGGTTATAGGTAGGTAGGTAGGTAGGTGGGTAGCTGATTCCTTTTCTTTCTTTCTTTCTTAGGTTTTGTAGTAAAGATGATCACTCCCACATTTGAAAGGTGATGGAGAGTTAATTTATAGGAAATTGATGATGGGTGCCTGTATCTTGTTTGTCTACATTTATATATGTTAATATATATATTTATTTAATTAATTGATATATAATTGGGATAGTGATTTATTGTAGCTAGCTTGCTAGGCTGCTGCTGCTGCTGCTGCAATGGCAATGGCGATGGCAATGCCTGCCTGAATCGAAGCAGACAATTCTAACGGAACCACCTTTTTTGCATTGTTTCAGATCCCTAGATTTATACATATATATATATATATAGAGAGAGAGAGAGAGAGAGAAAGAGGTTAGTTATTAGAGGTTAATATGTATATATATATATATAAAATTATATATCCTGTTAGGATGCTCATTGCCCCAATTGTGAAAATATTATATATAGCATAGGAAAATATAACAAACATCGAATATTGTATAAAATATTAGTATGTTGTGTAACTCTGTTTTATGGGAAGGATTACGGATCAACGCTGTGCTGATTTTCTAAATCAACAAATGTAAAATACAGAAACAATACATGTCTTTAACTACAAACAACATGTGTTGTTTGTTCATAATGTGTTGCACGAGAATATGTTATATGCTAAAATCAACTGTTGTATGTGCTGTGTGAAAATATATTATGTGTAATTAGTTCATTATTGTATTATTATATTAACGCATATTGTGTGCTGCAAGTGGTTATACCGTGTGCTGTTCATAATTAATACACGGTGTACTGTTCAGCACTGTAGCCACCGCCTATTTTATATATATATATATATGTGGTAGATTTGTATCTAATGTACTTTTTGGTATATTTTATTGATAACCCACGTTAATGTTTTAATTTAAAATATATATAGTGTGCAGAACAACCAAAAAAAAAAAAAAAAATTGTAAGAGAATTTTTGCAAAAGATCAGTTTTGTGTTTAATAATTTAACACAAAATATTTTATTTTATTTTTGATTAGTTACATGTTTTTTTTTCATATATAACACAAAAAAAAAAAAAAAAAAACATTTCAAATTAATTAAAAATACTAACAATGAACATCTCACTCTTAGGTCCTAAATAATTCCTATAAGATGTGTTGATTCTGATTCTCCATCATCACTTCAGATCTTATTTCTTCTTCTTCTTCTTATTATTATTATTATTATTATGGGTGTGTTTATTTTTATTTCAACTTGTTAAGAAGTTTCGAATTTGATTTATTTTTTTAAAAAATAAAATAAAATAACGAATATAAAATCTTAAATGTATAAATAAAGATGGAATGTGATATTTTTAAACATATAGAAGTATGTGTTTATTACTCTGTCCGTTCATCAAAAGTGTGCTCATTTAATTTGTAATAAATATAAAAGAATATTGTTAAATAATAAAAGAATAGTAAATATTAGCAGAATTTTGGCAGTGACATAATTAATAAATAATTTTGAAATATTAGTAAATGTATAATTAAAATAGAATCTAAATAATTATATATTAAAATTACAATAATTAATTAGTTTAATTAAAATTAAAAATAATTAAAAAATATTTAATTATTATAAGACATATTGAATCAATAACATGAACTAAAATGTTGAACAAATGGAGTAATATAATTTGATTTAGGGGTAAAAAAAATAAGATATTAAATAAAAGTTAAAATCAATTTCTAAAAAACGTTTATGTCTGTCTAGTAGTCCTATTAAAATGAAGATGGTTATGCTTTATATGATAGGAGAAGTAGGACAATAAAAGTCTACATGTAGAGGTAGGATCCTATGACCAAAGAATCAATGTACTAATTATTACTCCTTCCGTCCCAGGTACTGTATCTGCTATACTGTAGGCACAGTATTTTAGAAGGAGTGTAATTAGTAAATAATTAAAAATGTATTAGTGAAAATAATTATCCTATAATATAAGTAATTATAAATTAATATTAAGATAACTAATTAGTTTAATTAAAATTAAAAAAAATAAATTAAAAAATTTAAGATGAGATTAAAGTATGTAATCATTTTCCAAAAAAGAAAGTGACATGGTACGTGGGACGGACAAAAACGGCAACGTGACATGCTATCTGGGAGAGATGGAGTATTATTATATGGTTTTATTTGATTTGTGTATGAATTTATTCATTTATTTATTTTAATTTTGATTTAAATATCATTTAAATATGATATTTGATATTTTATAATACACGACATTGTGATTTATAGCATATTTATTTTACTCATAAAACACAACATTTAATTATTTTTTATTTAAATCAAATAAAAATAATCAAATAAACAAAATGAAAATAAAAAATTCAAATCTTCTAGCGACTCCAAATCTTACTTATCACACATAATTTGTTTAATGTAATTTATCTTGTCAAATCTAATTTATAAAATATTAAATTTGGCTGTAAATTTATACAGAACACATTCAACAAATAAGAATTTCTAATTCTTACCTCATCAAAAATATATATGTATATATATAATACATATATTATGATTCCATAGTCACGGGTTTAGGAGCAATTGGCCTTTTGCATTAAGGATGAGAAAAATGAAGAATAAAATGTGGTTGTAATTTGGATTTTGAAATGAAAAATATATTATAAATATGGTGAGTATTTATAAAAATACATAGAGTAAACTGTTTTTTTACTTACATATTTGATCATTTTTTTTTACTATTTTAAGATTTTTAATGGACCCGAGTTGAAAAGAGTTCCGTAAATAAAATTTTTTTAGCTAAAATAGTTCTCTGATCCTGTACTTACACAGCTGACGCAGCCAACATTATCTTTGTATAATTTAAATACTAATTCAAAATTTGATTATATTATGTAATATATTGTAACTAATGCTTATTTTAAATTTGATACATAGTAGGATACAATTAATAAATAATTAAAACTAATGGATTTTTATTAAACAGTACGTTAAAGATATATAGTTAAATGGTAAAATTAACATCAATTATAGTGTTGATTGTAATTAATCAGAACATTTTTTATAATATATGACATAATAAAAATACAATACGGCCTCAAATGATAATGTAATTGATATCAACAATTAAACAAGATACATATATTTTATTAATTTACACTGAAAAATAAAAAATAAAAAAATTCATATTTATTATGGAAATTAGAGACAGACGATGACGTTGGCTACATAAATTTTAGATATAAAATTTAATAAATTTCGTCAATAATTACCTCCGTAACATAATACTAACATAGCGTTATCAAAATAATAAAGCTAAATTGCACAAAATATACCTGTAGTTTCATGAAATTGCGTCAAATCCCCTATACTTATAAAATTGCGTCAAACTCTCTCGTGGTTTCATAAACTCTGCATCTAACCCCCTTAGCGGTCCTTATGTAACGGTACTTGACCTGAATGCGCCTAAACTGCAAATAAATTTAAAAATCTCAATTTCTAAACCTCTAAAATTAAAAAAAAAAATAATAATAAATATACTAAAAAATAGTTATTTTTATCAGGTTTTAAGAATTTATTTTTACTGGTTTTTGAGACTAAATATAATAAATATATATATATATATTTATAATTTTAGAGGTTTAGAAATTAAAATTCTAAAATTTATTCACAGTTTGGGCGCATTTAGGTCAAATAGCGTTAAATAAGGACCGCCGAGGGATTAGACGCAGAGTTTATGAAACCATAAAAGAGTTTGACACAATTTTAAAAGTACGAAGAATTTGACACAATTTCGTAAAACCACGTATGAATTTTATACAATTTAGCCAAATAATAATAATACTAAGATAATGTTAAAACTATTATTTAACATTTGATTATGCATCTCTCTCTACCTTTTGTTCGTAATTAATGAGTAAAATTAAATTGAAAATTGGCTGAAAAGAAACTTACACAGATATGGTGAATTTAGGGAAATGGAAAGTGTGGGAGAGGTAGGGTTTCCCTAAAACCAAAAAAACAAACATACATACATATATACACATACATACAACAATAAAAATAACAAAAAAAAAAAAAAAAAAGGCCTGCCAACTTTCAATTAATAATAAATCTCTTTAATTTACACCACCTACTAGAAATTAATATTCATATACTTCTTCCGTCATATATCTATATATTTATTTATTTTTTATACAGAGTTTTAGAAATATTAGTATTATATTGAGATTAAGTAGAAATAAAGATAAAAAAACTAAATTAACCCTATTAGTATTGTATGATATAAAGATAATGATATTTGTGTAATATATTATAAATTGGAAGGGTATTTGTATTAGGTATATAGTACAATTACTAAAAAATGAAATCGATACTTTTTTATGGGACGGACTAAAATAAAAAAAATTGATAAATTGTTAAGAGACGGAGGGAGTATAACCAACCAGATATATACTTTCTTCGTCCCAAAAGAGTTGTCTTATTTTTTTTTTATTTTTGTCAGTCTTAAAATAATTATCTTATTTTCTTATTTACTAATCTTGGTCTCCCATTTGTAACAAAATTATTTATATTTTTTTAAACTACTCATAATTAATACTCTAACATTTTCTTCAAAATCTTTTAAAAAGTAAAGGCATTTTAGTAATTTACATTTTACTTTATACTTATTTTTAATTAAATATTATTATTCTTTAATTCTCGTGTCTAACTCCCAACAAAATATTTTTTTTTTGGAACGGATGAAGTATTATAAAAATTACTTAGGGTGTGTTTGTTTGAGGGTTTGAATTTTGAGTTGAGATTTGAATAGTAAAAATTTTGAATTTGAATAGTTGTATGATGTGATATAAATAGGTATTGATGTAATGTTTTGAATGTAAATTAATTTTTAGTACGGGGTAAATTATATTATACCCCATTATATTTTAGTAAAAATGAATAAAATACCTCGTGTTTTATTTATTGCATAAAATCCATGTGTTAGTATAAAATTTGTACGAAACAATCATTTTCATGCAAAATGATATTTGACTGTAAATATGAATCTAATAATGCAAATTTTATATAAATAAAAAAAAATATTTTAGATAATTTCTTTGATAAAATAATAATTAATTAATTAATCCTTCCTTCAGTTATCTAATTTTTATAAAACCAAAAAAAAAATATTTGATCAATTGTTTATTTATTTATTTTATTTTAAAAATTATTTAAGATATTTCACGTCTTTTATTTATATAAGACTTGCTTAATTTAAGTATTTATTTAGAACCAAACGTCAACTTTGAACTAAGAATGATGTTTTGTGCAAACTATAAATTAACACAAATGAATTTGACGCAATAAATAAAATACATAATTTTTTGTGCATTTTACAAATATACAAAAGAGTGTTATATAATTTACCTTAAATAATATTTAAATAAATGACATGATAAACAAATTGAAATAAATAAATAAATAATGTTTTATTGGTAAATAGTACTATTTCTGTCCTATAAAATTTGTTCATTCTTTTTATTTTTGTTCATTTCATATAATTTTTTTTAATAAAAATATTTAATAATACACTTTAATTATATTTTAAGTTTTATAATTTATAATTTTTTAATTTGAATTAAACTATTTAATTATATTAACTTTAATTTATAGTTATTTTATTAATATATTTTTTTATTACTTGTTAATTATATTTTAACAATATTTAATTTAAGTATCTAAGATCATGTCCAAATTATTTGGGATGAAAGGAATAGTATAGGACAAATTGGTAATTAGGGTAGGCCTGGGCATAGAGAGAGATCACAGCATTAAATTTAACAATTGCTGCTGCAGCCTGCAGAGGAATTTTAAAATAAAAATAAAAATAAAAATTAAAAAATAGAATGAGGAAGTGATCAGCAGCAGATCCCAGAAATTTAAACCAAACATACGTATATACATACATACATACATACAATTATATATATATATACAACAACAATCGTACTAATACATCCGGTATACTCCCTTGTCAGGTATTTATTGAAATTTTGCACGCGGGATAATATTAGTATTTATAAATATATAATACTCTCTCCATTACAATAGTTTTTTTTATTATTTTTGTCCGTTCCAAAATAATAGTTTTATTTTCATAAATAATCATATCACTGTAAAATAATCCTTATTTTTTTCATTATCATTACACAATTGTTACTACTTTTTACATTAATACACTCACAATGACAAAAAAATCTTATCTCTATATTTTTTACCAACTACTCGTGTTCAATTAAGATTATAGTTATAGTACGGAGGAAGTATATGTTTTTATTAAAAAATATGAATATTTTTTATTAAAAAAAATTTAAAATATAAAATAATAAACTTTTTTAAATATATTTATTATACTAATTATTGATTAATTTATTATATTTATATTTTTAATAAATTTATTCTATTTTATTTACTTTTAATATAAAAATAAATTAATAATATTTGTGTTCTTATTTTTATTTTATTTTAATAAATATATATAATTTAGAAATAAAATTAATTATATATAAAGATTAATTAATTTAATTTTATAAAAATAAAACTAGAATTTAATAAATAATATATTAAAATAATTTATAAAAAATATATTTATATGTATGTAAAATAAATAATAAAATATTAAGGACAAATAAAAAATAAAGAAAATTAAATTGAAAAAGCTGTTTTAAAACGCTGAGCTATATAACTTTTCAGAAATTAGTTTTTTTGGCCAATAAGTTATTTCAAAAAATTAATTTACCAAACATTTAAATTAGTTTTTTCTTTGGTCAAACAGTTCAAAGCGGTTAAATAAGCTAAAAGCTTTTCAAAAAATTGTTTGTCAAACATCCCCTTAAAATATATTTTTACTATTTTTGTCTATTTAATTTCAAAAATCTATTTCCTATTTTGAAATATTAATCATAAATTAATACTAAAATATTTTTAACTTTCACTAAAATTACAAATATAACATTATACATATAATTACTTTATATATAAAATCCACTACAAAAATATAAGAAATTCTTATATACTTTTACAAATTAATAAAATATAATTATATTTTAATATATGATAAAACCCAAAAAACTAGTTTGGACGGCAAAATAAATACATATGATTACGACTAAGAAAGTATAATACTTCCTCCGTCCCATAACAAAGTATCCATCTTTTCATTTTAGTTCGTTCTATAATAAAATATTTATTTTCTTTTTTAGTAATTGTACTATCTACTCAACATTACAAATACTCTTACAACTTATAATATATTACACAAATATCATTACTTTTATATCATACTATACTAATAAAGTTATTTTACTTATTTCTACTTATATTTTAATACAATATTAATATTTTTAAAATTACGTAAAAAAAAAAAATAAACGAATACTTAATTATAGGACGGGCAGAAAAATAAGAAAAATTCTCAATAATAACTTATAGGCATGTATAGGTAGCTAGCTAGCTAGCTAGATATATAGGGATGAGTGGGGTGGGTAGGGTGGGTTGTGGTCGTACTTCTTATCTGATAACTACACGACAATATATATATATATATATATATGTATCTGTGTGTCATCATCAACATATATACACAATATACCTAGACCTAGCTTCCTTCCTTCAATTCACCACAGCTTTATATATACTTAGAGGGATGATAATTATTACTGATAATTAATGTTCTCTCCGTTCCAAATAACGTGCAATATTTATTTTTCTCCCTCCGTTCTAAATAAGGTATAATATTTATTTTTGGCACAAATTTTTAGATGGGTAGTATTAACTATGATAATTTAAAAATTAAATGATGTGATGGAGAAAGAAATATATATTTTATTTTTTTTATTTGGATGATGTGATTGGATAAAGTATGTGATAGAGATTAAATATGATTAATTATTTTCTATTTTGAAAATATTGCAGGGTGTTTGGGACATACCAAAAAAAAATTGTTACAGGATGTTTGTAACGGAGGGAATACTACTTCCTATGTCACATAATTAGGTATTTCTTTGTTTTTATTACAAAATTTTAAAAATATTAATATTATATTGAGATGCAGTAGAAATGAAATAGAAATGACTAAAATAATCTTATTAGTATTATGTGATATAAAGATAATGATATTTGTGTAATATATTGTAAGTTGTAAGGATTTTTGTAATGTTAGGTAGATAGTACAGTTACTTAAAAAAGAAAATAAATATTTTGTTATGTAACATACTAAAATGAAAAAATGGATACTTTGTTATGAGACGGAAATATTATTGTTTTTATGATTTAGAAATTGGCATCTGCAATTTTTCTAGTATGTTACCAATAAATACGAATCGAACTTAATAATTTATAAATTAGGTCCAATAAGTGTAACAAATAAGACTTGAAAGTATTGAAAATTTAAACTTATTATCTTACGTTCACGAGTTTACCTCTGTATCAGTGAAATGATTTGGAATCATGCTAATATAAAGGATATCAATATATAATTTGAATAAATATAATGTGTTGTATTGATTTTTACATTTTCTGTTAATTTATATTTTAATTTGTGATATTTTTATATAATTTGGGTGTGTTTTGTTTGGGGTTTTAATTTCAATAGTAAAAAATTGAATTATAAATTAATATAAATAAAAATTAATTTGATGTTTTAAATATAAAATTAATATTTAATATAATATAAAAAAATAAATATTATGAATAATAAAAATAAAATAAAATTATCAAAATGAGTACACCCTTAATAAATTCAAATTATAATATATGTTGTATATACCGTTATCATATATTATAATTTTTTATTTTTTATAATATGAATGTGTTCTTTTGTGATTTTTTCAAAAGATTTTTACTATATTAAATGTATTTTTTTAAAAAAAAATTTAATTCAAAATTTTACTATTAAAAAATTTAAATTCACAAACAAACAAACTTTTTTTCTAATGGTAAAAAAAAAAAAAAGAAGAGGATAAGTGAAACTTTCTTTTATGACAAAGAGTATCACGTATTGTCTATTTATACTTCATATGTATTGTCTATTTATGTATATTTTCATATTATATTTACTCACTAAATGTCTATAAGTATCCTAATTATTTCTTCTTCTTCTTTTTTTTTTTTTTTTTTTTGATTTTTAATTTTCTTACTTTGTCAATATATTACTAATTTTTCTCAATATCCACACCAGTCCCAATGGTGTAATTTTTCGGACAGGAGAACCAAAAAAAATAAAAATAAAAATAAAAATTATACTATAATTTTTTCAATGAGATTGGTAAAAAAATATAAGCTTTAGAAATTATATTTTCTAATTTTTTTTTTTTTATCAATATAATAAATTTAGAAATTTTATAATGTTCTTTATATTCAATGTAAGGCAACTCGCATATTAAAAGTGCGTCAATTATACGAGATTATAATAGATAATATTATTTTATCTAATATTATTTTATGTTTACTTTAACGTATTAAAATTTAAAATTATTTAAACTCCGATCTAATAAGGCACTAATCGGAGATAATTAATCCTATTTAGATTGGTGGAATTAATTTATCTCAAGTAATATTTATACTAAAAGTCATTATTATCATATATCTAATCTATTAAAATTAATATAACATTAATTAATCTCATGATTATATTACCTATTATACCTAATTATTCAAAGTAAGCATACTCTTATGGTGTGTTTGTTTGGGGGATTGGATTGGATTTACATTATTCATCCAATTTTTTTCACCCAAAAACATCAAATCAAACACCTATTTTTCATTTTTTATATTATACTAAAAACCAATTTTATATAAAAAACATCACATCAACACCTATTTATATCACAACATACAACTATTCAAATCACAATTCAAAATCCAAACCCCCAAACAAACACACCCTAAATGTATTAGATGTTATTTTTTAATAATATATATAATAAATAAAATACAAAATATTTCGTATATTTTTAATCAATCACAATGGTATTAGTATAATTCAATTTACCCTTTTGAAAATAATCATAATGAAATATTTATTATTAATTGATTATTTTTCTAATTTAAGACCGATTGAGTAATATGGTTTAAGAATTTATACAATAAATGATCAAAATAAAAAATAAAAATTGTTGAACAAGCCGAATTTTAAATTAATATGTATGCATATATATATTCACTCCGTCCCAATTGAAAGAAATCTACAAAATAATTGTATTTTATTAGTCAGTAGAAGTTTGATATTTTTGTCTTTTAATTTTAATTTTATGTATAAACTAATTGTATGCGGAATAGTTACTTTGTAATTTAAATAAAAATTAAAGAGTATTTTTGTATTAATTTATAATTATTTTTTTAAAAAAACTTTTAAGTGAAACACATGATACTGTACTTTAAGTTAGAAGAGAAGGAATATATATTTACATGTACTGTGTGCTAATCTAGAATATTTTGTGTATTAGAAATTTATATGATTTAAAGAAAGTAAAAGCCTAATAATAATAATAACAACAACAATGTCCAAATTTAAAGCCCAATTACAAATCAAGCCCATATATGCACCACAATAGTGAGCCCAATGGGCCTAACTTTAAATTAGAGCTAACTTAATAAAAATTACAAATTGATCTATTGGCTTGTTTCCATAAACACACACACAAACAGGTGTACGTGTGTGTATGTGATATTAATTACATGAGGGAACAAGCATTGACATTGTCATCGTTGAAGAAGTTACTAACTTTGTCGTCGCCCCGGTGGGTCGCCGGAAGCGATCCATGCCGGTGGGCGGCGTTGTAGCCGTGCCGCCAATAATTATAGCTCTCTTTATAATCGACCGTCGTGTCCTTGAAATAGTCGGCGGCATTCGTGAAATAAAGCGGCGGGTTCGGAAACGGCCAAAATTCCGCCCTTTTACCCGCCCGTCTTACTGCTTTTAATACTTTGTTACGATCGACGTATCCTGTTACAGTTACTTTTTCCATCTCTAATTCGACTATTATTGAATCAACACCTATATACAGAGAGTTTTTTTTTAAAAAAATAAAATAAAATAAAATAAAAGTCTTATATATGATTTTATAAATTTTATTTAAAATTTAAAATTATTAATGTTGATTACCTCTGAGTTTGTGAATGGCATCCCTAACAACTCTTTCACAGCCAGTGCAGCACATTCTCACTTTGAGCTCTACTGTCTGAAATAATAACAAATATTTGTGTGTGTTTGTTATTTTATATATACATCATTTTAAATTTTTAAAAAATAATTGTTTATGTTTTTCAACTAAAATATATTATTTCTTTAATAAAATATTTTCTCAAAACAATGTTATAATTCTCGGAATATTTTTATAAATTTCAATAACTAATTAATTAACAACAAGAATTTCACTATATATTTTTATAATAATACAAAAAAACACAAGTATGTCTTTTAATTTTGTCTTTTAATTTTTTTAAAAATAAAAATAAAAATTGATGATCACATATATTCAAATTCGAATGTATTATTTCTCTACACATTGTAAGAAATAATTTGATGGTATACAAAAAGATGAGGATGATTTGGAGTTAAAATTAATCTCACGCCACAAAAATATGCTAATTTGCTTTTGGCACCGATTCTTTGGACAATATAATTTTATTATTATTATTATTTTCTATATACTATAAATTTGTTATTATTTTTTTATTTGAATAATGTTATAAATTATTTAGAGAAATAAAAGAGAAAATTTATATTTAAATAATTTGAAAATACTTAAGCAAGATTTTTGAAAAAACCCAAATTAGAAATAATACAAAAAGATTTGAAACAAAGTGAATATATTTCTTTACCATTCAATATGCAGAGTTTTTGAATTTACATATCCCAATGCTTCTATAGATATTGAAAATTATATTCATCTTATATATATATACATATAAAAGATCTTGTGTTGATTCGGCCAAGTCAATATGGTGCTGATTTGACTAGGTCAATATATGTCATATGGTGGTCAACATATATTTATATATATATATATATATTATAATATGTTGTGTTATAAAATAACATATATAATATAATATATGATGTATTATAAATATACTAAAATATGTATAAATATATACTAATTATCTTAATCAACATTATGCTGACTTGCTCAAATCATCAGTTGATTCATATCCATAACTTTCATATTCTAAAACTATATAGTGAGTAAGCTAAGAACTATTTTCACAAAGTTTCGAAGAAAACTAAGAACCCTTATAAATCCCTACAAGAGATATGCAACATGTATGCATATATATATATATATATATCATCTAATCCTATGTTAGTTATTAGATTAGGGTTAAAAACGCGAACCTGCAACGAAAGGGGTCGACCCTTTGGCATTTTTCTTCGACCTATGATGCCGCCATAGGAGTCTTGATAGTGAAAGAAACCATAGGTGAAAACAAAGAGGAATGATCTAAACAATCTTTCAAGTAGCTTAACCATTCTCAAATAGTTTGGTCCCCTCTCAAATTACATATATATATATATATATATATATAATCAAATCAAATGAAATAAAAAGAACATTAATTCAAAAAGATAAGATGCATGGGTGAAGAATAAATAGTGATGATGTTGAATAATTTAAATATTCCTCAAAAAAGGCATCCCCTTTATTAATATAATGTTATATAGCCCACAAAAATATTCTTTTCCACATCCAATATATATTGTGTGTTGATTATTATTCTATAGAATGTTTATTTAGTTTAGTTTGATTAACTATTCTGTCCCATCCCTTTTGTTCATCTTTTTAGGGTTTCTTGATCACTTATCTCAATCCTTCAATATTCCTTGCCCTTTTTTCACATCAACAACCAAATTATATCATCATTAAAAAAAAAAAACATAAAATAAAATGTGAAAAAACCCTTTTAGGGAGGAATGGAATCAAAGAACAAATGTGCTTAATATTAAACATATGGATCAGTTCTGATCAACTCAAAAAAAAAAAAAAAAAAAGCAAGTGCTGACAATGAAATCACAATATAGTGATTTGATGATTGGCTCAAGAATAGTAAAAAATGAAACTCTTTCACCACTTTTTTTCTAATTGTTTACTATCCATCCACCCTTCTTGATAAAGAACATATTGGAATTTGTTTGCCTAACTTCTTTTTTTTTCCAGATTCTCAATATATATATATATTATCTTTTCGTAAAAGTCAATATTCAATATAAAATATTATTTTTATATTCCTGAAAAAAAAATTATATCTCACATAAAAAAAAATAAAATAGAAACACCCAGACAAACAAACCCATTAATATTTTACTCTCACAAAAAGGTAATATCAAATCAATATTAAAAAAAAAAAAAACACAAAATAAGTAATCATGTATATATATATATTTATACATATATTCGGCTAAATTCCTTCATATTATCAATTAATTGTGTCCATTTATTTATCAGCATTTTACGGTCAAGGTAATATTATCATCTCATACGATGCATTTTTTATTTTTTATTTTTGGTTTAGTTTAAAATATATGACCATTCGATGTCTACTGCTTTATAGTAAACGATCGGATCTCGTAAGTTACATGTATTGTTCGGTAAAAAGTAAAGTAACTTTATTCGAGGACAAAATTAAATAAGTATTTAACGTCGATATTATTTAATATGAGAGCGAATAGAAATCCGACAATTACAAAATAATAAATGTGAGAAAAAATTCACAGATAATATATTTCAATATATTTATATCATCAAAAGTCAAAAACAAGTATTAGCTAATCCTGTATTTTATTTTTTAAATATTAATTATATCTCAAACAAAAGTTAATTTTATTGGCATACTGTTGAAGGAATATAAAACCAAAGGTCATGAGAAATCGAGAAAATAGTTTTGTTTTTTTTTTTTTTAAAAAAAAAATTGTATTGAAAGAAATAAACATTCACTGAAAAGATATATGTTGGTGTTATTCTATGAATTCTTAGACATTAAGGCATGAATTTATTTTTTTTAAAGGCATGGATGGGTGATAGCGAATAATACTTATCTTTTATACTACTTTCGTTCCGGCTCTAAAGGTCTCATTTATTTTTTATGTTATGATCTTTAAATATTAATTATTATATCAAAATGTTATATAAATTCAGAAAAAATTGCAAAAATACTTATATTAGTGTCTTATGATACTAACAGAAGAACATTTGTATAAAAATTATACAAATATATAAATATTTTTAATGTTAAATACAATAAAAAAAAATAAAATTGTGTATATATATATATTTTTTATGACAAAGGAATTTGCAGTTAAAAACTAGTCTTTGACTGTGAGATATTGAAATGGATAATTAGGAATATTTTCATATTTTGGAATACAATTTGGAAGACTGCAGAGTAAAAATATACCATAATATATGGAGGAAAGAATTTGTACTATAGAAAGAATATAAACTGAAATCCATACAATTTTTTTTTTTTTTTTAAAAAAACATTTTAAGTGTTATGTTAAAAGTTTAATTTCTACTCATAATACTCCCACCGTCCCACGTAATTTGTCCATATTTTCTATTTTTGTCCGTCCCACATAATTTGTCCTTTCTATTTTTAGAAATATAATTATGCACTTTAATCGCATTTTTTAAATTTTATAATTTTCTTAATTTTAATTAAACTATTTACTTATCTTAATCTTAATCTATAATTATTTTTACCAATACACTTCTTAATTATTTACTAATTATACTTTATCTAAATTCTCGTGTCTACGGTAATATACCCATATTAGATGGGACAGATGGAGTATTAAATTGTTAGTTTTTATTTGAAAAAAAAGTCAGAAAATAATTCTCAATTTTTGACACCATTCTTCAACAATAATTTTTTCAAAAACATCCGACTAGATATAATTTTTCTCTTACAAAATATTATATCAAGTATTAATTTTTTATTATTTTAAATTTTTTAAAAAACTTACATAAGCAAACATCTGGAATGTTTTCTCTAATTTTTTGTTCTTTTTTCGTCTCTTTTTATTATTTTAAGGTGTAATATTTATGCTATTTTATATAAAAATAAATATTTAATTAAATATTTTACAAGGAATTGGATAGTAAAAATTTGAAAAAATAAATAAATAAAACGAACAAACGAGATATTGTAAATCTATCAACAATAATAGACCAGAGTATAAATTAAAGTGAATCCGGCCCGGTTCGGCCCAAAAGTATTCTGACAGGCTGGCCGCCTCCTCACCCAATAGGCCCAATAACCTTATGTCCTATAATCCTATTCTCTCTTCCATTGTTAAACCGGTCTGATCAATATAATCGTAGCCGTTGAAAGTTGGAACATAGTCACACGTGGACGGCGAAGATGCGGTCGCAAAACAGTGATGAAAAACCAACACTAGCCATTTTCATTTTTTTAGGTTAGAATAATTTTTTTAAAAAAATATAATTTTACTGTTTTATTTTCTTTAAGAAATATCATTTTAAAATTATTATATATATACAGTGAGGATGAGTTTAGTTGGATAATATTATTTAATTTAATTTAATTATATATTTACTGATTAAAATCTTATATTAATTACTCTTTTCGATCTCATCTAATTTGTATCTATCTTATTTAATTTGTTCATATTTTTTTTTTTTTTTTAAAATATGATTATATACTTTAATTATATTTTAAATTTAAAATTTTATAATATTTTTAATTTTAACTAAATTATTTAGTCATGTTAATATTAATTTATATTTATTTTTACTAATATATTTTTTAATTATTTACTAATTATATTTTTCCTAAATTCTCGCACGTACCCGAAATAATGGGATAAAATCTTGTACACACTAATAATGTTAATTAAAGATACTTAAAGGAGGACCCGAAAGAAATCGCACTCGGCGGATTCCTCATTTCACTTGCACAATATGCAAAAAAAATAAAATAATAAAAATAAAAAATAATAATAATAATAATAAGCAAAATATTAAATTAAAATACAATTACGGAAAATAAAATATACAAAGATGCAGTGAAGAAAGTAGTAATTAATAGTAACGCGAGATTTTTGTCTAATGGAATTGAAATAGAAGAGGAGGAAGAACTCCCACCGCAGTCATACTAAGAGGAGTCCTGAACGGAATCGCAGTCGGCGGCGGCGCGTGGAGGCCAAGCCCCACCGGAATTACAGAGAGAGCTGCGCGTTGCAGGATTTGATCAAACACACGCGCCACCGCCGCCGCCAACTGGAGGAGCTCCGTCGCTATCGCAAGAACTATCATCGCCGCTAGTATTCTGAAAAATTGGAAGTGAAATGAAATTATGAATGAGCAGAGGACGGTACACATTAATTATAAGCACTCAACCGCCTAAAATCTTCAATGCTTTTTTCGATCTATTTTCAATTTCATTTACTCCTATAAATCTATTTTAAAAGTTTCTACTCACTACTTTCCCACTTTCCGTAATAATTTATACTCTTTTTTATTATTATTATTATTATTTTTATAATAATTTTGAATAAAATTTATTAAATTATAATATATTTGCTAAATATAAATTAATTGAATTAATTATATAATACTTCATCCGTCTATTAAAATTAGTCTATTTGGATTAAACATAAAAATTTTAAAAAAATAAATATTTTATTATTTGCTTATATTATAAAAAAATTGTTTTTTACAACATGATATTCATGTTACATATATTATTCTAATTTTTTAAAGCATACATATTAAATTTATCTTACAACTATTAATATTATTAATTATATAAAAAATAATAATATAATATCATAACTCACAATTATTAATTAAGTAGATATAGTTACCTAAATACGGTGTTGAAAGAGGTCAATTATCTTGGACAGAGAGAATACATATTTTAGGTGTGTTCTTTTGTGCATTTTTTATACACATTTATTTTAAAAAATTAATATACTATATATATCTATATTTATTATTTGAGAAAAAATTATTTTTAGTCTCATTCAATATCACAATTATCTATTTTGGTCTCATTCAAAAAAAAATTATCAATTTTAAGTCCAACTCAAATAAAAATCTATCAATTTTAGTTCCAAAATGATTGACTGAGACTGAACACGGCCGTTTAGGCCATATTCATGTCCATGTTCTCAACACAACAATTTTCTAGGTCATGTTCACAATCATGTTTTCAATATAATCATATTGGAGGTCATATTTATTATTATTTTTATTTTTTAGTTAAAATTATTTGATATAAATATATATATATAATTTAACAAATATATTTTTTACAATTATTTCATTATATAAAAAATAATCAATTTTTAATATTTTAAAAAATATATATAATAATATATTAATATATCTTTTTAATAATCATTATATATATTTAAAAAAAAATATAGTAAAAAATACATCTAATAAAAAACACAAAATGAACAAACTAGATATTTAATAGTATTATTTTTTTTATTAATCTTGAAATTTTTCTGTTATTTAAACAAAACTTTTAGAATAGGATTATGAAATTTTAATTTGATAAGTATTTTATAAGAGAAAATATATATTATGTGATTTTTCTAAAGAATATATATGATTTATAAATAATATAAAAAATTATAAACAAAATCTTAAACTCCATTTAGATAAAATATTTAATGTCATATTTTGTTTGACATAATCTAATAGGATTTCTTTTAGAAAAAAATAGTATTACTATTAATAATAGTAATATAAAAAAATTCAATAAATAGTACCATACTTTTTATAAATATTGCAATAAATATCTTAACTATAAGCATGATGTCATGCATTAATTCACTTATGCCAATCAACTGTATTGATTATGACACATTCTAATAAATATTAATACTCTATAATTAATATTATTACTAATCAAATTAAAATATCTAAGAAAAAACAAATTAATATTATTATAAATATCTTATACTCTCTCCGTTCTACCTAACATTACAAATACTCTTCTAATTTAAAACTCCGTACAAAAAAATAGATAGATTAAAACTCCGTACAAAAAGCAAATGGAAAGATAGACGGAGGGAGTATCAAATTGTATCATAAAAACAATGAAATCTTTAAGCTAACTTGCTAAAAAGTAAAAGTGTTTTCACTCAAGTTTATATATATATAATTTTTAATAAATATTATAAAAAATACAATATTCAGATTTTTCTAACAAAAAAAATAGAAAAAATATATATATTGACGGCAGTTACATGAATTGAACCACACAATGTAGTTTCTTATACAAATCAGGACATAAACAACCATTGATCACCTTCAGCTTCAATTCAGCATAAACATGGACAAAACAATATACATAAGATCATGAATTTACATGTTTTAGAACTAAGAAAATAAAAACAAAAAACACATAAACATACGTTCGAAAATTCGGAGCCACGGAATCGATCAATAGATCGAATTCAAAAACTTTCCCAACAATATATATATATATATATAAACCCAGAAATGCAATGAACTGCCGAAACAAGAAGAAAGATCGATGTCGACAAGAAATTTATCCTTCTTAAGGATCTGACCTGGTGTGCATTTTATATACAAAGTCGTGTTTCTCGCCTACAACGCCGGATGGTAGCCGAGGCTGGCATTTGCTTCCACCCGCTGCACCACCCTCCGAACATTCCATTCTTGGCAAAATTCCAGGGCAAGTCGAAGAGCTGTGCCGAGTCCCAACACCACGATTACCCCTGCGCCAATAATTCGCTCGTTACTTTTTAAATTTTTTTCGATTTTTACGACTTCAGATGTGAAAATGGGAATGTTTTACCGATGATGATATTCACAGGGAGTGCGGAGACACCGAGCATTACAGAAATCAGCACATCGAGCAAAAGCCCACCTATAAGAATCGAGAATGCGACCCAGAGAGGACTAAAGCAGCCCTGTTGCAAAGAACTTAATCAGTAATCGAATTATCGAATTATGTATAAAGGATATGACTGATTTACCCTTGTGCGTTCTTGAGCTCTCAACGCCGGATCGACCCTCCAAATCCAGTAGCCCGTCTGTCAGAAATGGAGTCGGGCGAGGGATCGGTTTACAGAGAAATCGAGTGTTATGGATATATTCGATTATAGAGTACCTACACTTGCCTGGGGGTCGGGTGGTGTTATGTTTGAAGCTATTTCCCTGTTCAAGAAATGCAGTTGAGCTTTAGTTATGGCTGTTCTGTGGGTCGAGATATGATATTCAGGGAAAAGTGAGGCTTACTGGCAAATCTCGCATTTGTTGGAACCTCGAGTGCTGAACCATTTGATTATGCACGATTGGTGTGCTTTCGCAAGACCGCCTCGGCACTGACATCCGAGATTGATCAATGCTTCTTCAGTATCCTCTTGGCACACCCTGCAAAATGTAATCGCTCATTAAGATTGGTTCGAATTTCTCGACCGAACATCTCAGAAGTCATGCTAAAACCCGAGCCTATATCCCAATGATTTTAGCAGGTAAAGTAAGTGAAACCAACAAGAAAATGACAGAAGTTCATTTCATCGATGAAGATGTGTTCAACAAGAACCAGGGCGATTATAATCAAATTCTATCCTCAACACAAAAGTGAATTTGGGTGATTCTTTATGATCGCGCAGACATACGAAGCAAGGAAGGACGAAGAATTATAGAATATACTATACCTTTAAAACATGGTATATGTTCAAATTTTCGAAAAAGATTTTGACGCCATGTCGGGACTCTGAGTAAAGGAATTTATGCCTCATAGGCATCCCATTGTTAACCGATCAGAGGTGAAACTTTGGAGACTAGAATTCAATTTGAGTCCAAATTCATTGAACAAATTCAAAATTTGAACAAACATGACTTGATAAACTAAATCTTTTGCTCTAGTTCTGTCAAAAAAGATCTACACAGCAAGCAAGATTCAAGAAAAATGGTAAATCAGCCATCCTCATCAAGCTATACTCGTTTATTTCGCCGAACAAAGCCTCCTTGTCCTGATAAAAAAAATTGAGCAATTTCGAGCTAAAGAATGGCTTGTTTAACATAATTATTGATCCGAATACGAGCTTTCGAGTAGCTAAAAGTGTTTACAATACTAACTTTAGCACATAGCTCAAATCACCATTGCAGCATAATCCGAAATAGAAACCATTAGAAAGCTATGAATCCCTAATTTGGAATTGATGGAGCTTCAAGCAGATGTTGGAAGCTCGTACACGAGGAATTTGCAGAGGTTCAGCTACTCTCGAATCAAATTATTTAGTGGAACCATTTTTCAATAATTAATTCTACTCGAACCAGCAAGGAGTATCGATTATCAGTCAATCCTCAATCAATCCAACGCACATTGGCAAGTTCATGGAAAATTCAAGCAATTCAACGAAATTCCAGGCAGCAGAAACCACTAATTCGAGCAACCGAATCACGAAATTGAAGCAAACAGTTGATGAAGTCAAAACACATACCTGCACTCTTCGCCAGGAGTCGGATCCCTTTCGATTTGGGGCTCACTCTTGCTCCCTCCACCGCCACCGCCGGCGCCACCGCAATTAACCACCACCACGTCGATAATCTTCTCCGCCGCGGAGTCTTCCGGTTCGCCTACGGCGGCAGCATTCTCCGACGGCTCTTCGATCCCCTGCTTCTCGATGTCCGACCTAAGCAATTCGGAAACCCTACCGCCACCGCCGTCGCCGACGCCATCCTCCCGCATTTAAGTTGAGTATACGAAATCGACACAAAATTGGGATGGGAATTTTTGGTGAATTTAAGTCCTGAGCAGTTGAGATTTGGAAGGAAAGCGCAAAAGGGTGAGGAGATTAACTCGGAATCTGAGTAGATGGGAGTTTGTTGCCGAATTTACATCACACGACACAAGCCAGTAAGAAAGAAAGCTCTCTCTCTCTATATCTCTATCTCTATCTCTCTCTACAAATTGATCCTCAACCTTAATTAATGAGTAGATTTTTTTGCATTGATTCGTAGGAAATTAGGGATACCTTCGAACTTCATCTTCAAGAAACTGACCATGTAGCCACCAGATTAGTCTAAACGCCCTAACCTAAACGTCGTCGATAATTAGGGTTATTCTTGCGGGGTCCTGGACCTCAGCTTCAAATGACGGGCCCCCTCTTTAATGCGGTATTAGGTGTTGGGATCCTGGGACCTTGTAAGGAATAAATAATAGTTAATAATTGAAAAGGACTACTTTGTATCTAAAAAAATGCGAATATATAAAACATACACACTATTATATTATAAAAATATTGTACATATATATAATATTTCGTTCGGAATTTATCGATCCGCACTTTCGATTAGTGGCTGTTGCAGCTCAAGGTATAATTATATTATACATATAACTTATAAAAAAAAATACTCCTGTCGTTCCTAATTAAAGGGATTATATATAATTTTATAGTAAATTAAAAAATAATAATATTTTATTAAATAATAGAGTGTGAGAGTTTGTAATATTTTTGCTGATAAAATAATTGCAAGTGGTATGGTATGTTTGTGGTTTGAGTAAAAGTTAATGGTATTTTAATATTAAGATTATTTTTTTAAAGGGTAAACTGTTTTTTTTATTTCCATAACTGGACCATTTTATCATTTTAGTCCTATAAGTGGAGCCTGTTGCAAACTAGTTCCATAAGTAAAAAAATTTCACTGTTTTAGTCCTCCGGCGCCCGAGACGCCCGTGTGATTCGCCGGAGGTGACGTGTCCGCCAAGTGTCCAGCCAGGTTAGCGACACCTGGCGGACACGTGGATTTATTTACTCATTTTTTCATTTTTAAAATTTTTTTTAATTGTACCAAATAAAAAAAGACAAATAAAATTAAAAATAAGTTTTTAAAAAAAAATTAAAAAATGAAAAAAAAATTAAAAAAATCCACGTGTCCGCCAGGTCAGCGACACCTGGCAAATACGTCACCTCCGGCGAGCCACGCGGGCATCTCCGGCGCCGGAGGACTAAAACAGCGAAAATATTTCACTTTATAGGACTAGTTTGCAGCAGGATCCACTTACGGGACTAAAATGATAAGGGGTCTAGTTACGGGATTAAAAAAAATAGTTTACCTTTTTTAAAAATAAGAACAAAATATTTTGAAATGAAAAAGGCAAAAATAATAAAAATGATACTTTAAATTGAGACGGGAAATATATATTATACAATAACAAAATTTTCAAATATATTGACACTAAAAATATTTTTCTAAAAAAATAATACTAACATATACATGTAATAATACAAAATAACTAATATATATATATATATGATTCTTTAAAATATTTTTGTAATTTCGAATTGTTTAAATATAAAACAGCTAAAACTGTAAATCCTAAGAAATAAATGGCGGTATTTAATTGTGTAATTGGATTTTCGTGATTTACGTAGTCAAATTGTTTGTAATAAAATTTGCTAAACATGCAAATGGAATGCAACAGTCGTGTAATTATTCATGCATTTGAATCATTCTACTATCTCTATTGAGAAATAATTGATGCGTTTGGATAGTGACACAAATATTTAAAATAGTAAAAATTTAGTAAATTAATAATAACAGATTATAATAGTACTATAATTTTATTATTTTGTTGGTAATTTTATATAAGAATTAATATGTATATCATTAAAAAAAAAATTTAATATATATTTAAATATTTTAAAAATTATATCTCAATAAAATATATATAATATAAATATTATTTTGTAAAAAAATTAATATAAATAAATACAAAATATATTTATTTATTATAATTAATATAAATTAATTTTATAAAATATGAAAAATTTTAAATATAGATAAAAATATTTATTTATTAAAAAGAAATATAGAAATAATTTTTTTTGAATAAATCATACTCCATCCGTAGAATGTAGTAGAAATTAAGTTAAAAATATTAAAATACCCTTGTTAGTATCGTATGATATAAAGGTAATGACATTTGTGTAATATATTGTAAATTAGAAGCGTATTTTTAATGTTAGATAGATAGTACAGAAGAACTAAATACTTTGTTATGGGACAGACTAAAATAAAAAAAAAAATAGATATATTGCTAAAGGACGGGAAAATATATGTTAAAAGGTTATGAATGTAAGTAAATTAATTTATATTTATTAAACATATTTAAAATGAATAAATTTATTAAAAGTGAAAACGTATCAAAGATAGACACAAGACATAATCTAGATTCGGCTCATTAATTGAGTTGAATCCAATTATTTGAATATTAGATTAGGTATAAGTCATATATTGTCCTATATTTTATCTAAACTCGGGTTGGGCCTAAGATTTAAGTATAGTTTGTAAATATACTTTTGTTGAGTTTGATTTATTTATTTGAGATTATTTGACTATAAACTTTCTAAAGTAAAAACATAAAATTTGATTTATATTGAGTCCAAATCTATCAAATTTTATCGAATATGTCTTAATTAGTTTCAGATATAATTGTCTCTGATTAAAATTTCAAGTCTAATACAATATATTTGAATTTGGTCTCGATGCTAGATAGACCCGACCCATTGTCATCTTTAAAGCGAGTGTATATATGCTTTGCTTCATTTGCTAGCAAAGGTTCTATAAAAACCAAAAATTCTTGCTTTGCTAGTCAAAAAAACTTCACGATTCACTATATTCTTACATACTTGTGTGCGCACAAAAACACACACAGACACATATATATAAAACTCGATCACATTACAACGTGAAACATCGTCGATCCATGGCGACCGCTCCAAAGAGGCATACGGCTCTCGACCAAGATGTCAGAGAGCTCGTTTATGCCCTCTCCAATCGTTGTCGAATAATAAAATCCGGTGGCAATAGCTCTACTGTCGACTACAATCAAGTCCGTGGAGTTCAAATTATTACTCTAGAAGGGAACAACATGGGGGCGAGCATGCGTGAGGGTGAGAGCGCCGTTAATCAGATGGGAGAAGAATTTGTGATGACGACGAGCATCAATAGCAACTTTCAAGCCGTCAACAACTCAATAATGCTCGCCGGAAGCTATAATAGCCATATAGCAATAATGCCGGCGTGCATTTGTACATTGCGGATTTGATCGAAGATAAATAAAAATGTCTTTTTTTTTCGTTGTTTATGCTAAGAAAACTTGATTTTCGGTGAAAATGTAGATTTGTAGTCTTGAATATGCATGAGTAATGATTGTTGATTGTGGTGAGGGTTGAGTTTATGTGATTTGGATGAATTGATATCGTTCTACAAATAATTGAATTTAGATTTCATTACGGATCTACATAAAAAGTATAACAATCTAGTCACTGTCTCAAAGAGAGACTCGGTGAAATAAGGTGATATAAAATCATTCTAGTTTTTATATTATATTTATAGTTAGGATATTCATCATAGTTAGCATTCGATTTCAACTACACTCAAGAACTTAATGAATCTACGGTTGATGTCATAATATATTAAAAGTTGCATATCACTTATCAAAAGGAACTATATTCCATAATATCTATCTAGCAAAGACTTGTTCGAGTTTGGTGAATAAGTGTGTTTGATTTTTACTTGAAACTAAAATCACCAGTATTTAGTAATGTATAGTTCTAAATTAAAAATATATATATATATATTCATTTTTCTTACAAAATATTCTATCAAGATACTATTTAAATCAAAACTTAAATCAATAATTTAATTTCGGCCTTTCCTTGCCTGTCCCGATGACCGGTGTTATAGAGATAAACTCATAACTGTGAGGGTCATGAGTTCAAACCCCGACGTCTACAGGTCTTGCATGTCACATATGATTTACCTAGTGTGATATGTTTTGTCGGATCTAATTTGCAGACTATTAGGTTCGGTCAGAAGTTTATCAACACCCGAAAGATAGCGACTATAAATTCTCATGTTATTAAAAAAAAATATACTTGTGCTATTTTTTACTATAAATTGCGTTGAAATTAACTATGAATACATGTTATGATCAAATAAAGTTTAATCTATAGTTAATTGTGTCTTTGTTATGTAATGTCAACATTATGATTGAATTTTTTCAATTAGAGTGTAACCCTCGCCTTAAAAAAATATAATACTTTTTTTTTTTTTTAATCCAAATATCATCACAATGATCAAAATATTTTTATAATTTTCAAACATTTGATAGCATATGCATCATTTAATGATAGTCTTTTGTTGCTATAATTATAATAAATATCATGCAAAGTTATTGAAATTAAAGCAACACGACACTTCCAATGGTCACAGGCTGTGATTATGCAATTAAGTACAATTAGTATATTGCAATTTACAATAATATAAACAAAATAAATAATAATATTATTATAAAAAAAAAATTAAAAAAAAAAGAAAGCAAACCATAGAAATATATGGATTTTAAAATAGAGGGCCCCATCTTCACATGCATTATGCTATGGCGGAAATATATTCCATTCATCTACGTGTCTATTTTTTTAATGTAAATTAAAAATTATTTAATATTTTACGTGTAACGAATAGAGTGTAATAATGTATTGATTAAAATATTTTTAAAGATACTAATTATAAATAGTGATTTGTAATTTTAGCTAAAATATAAAAGTAAATATATGAGAATTATATTCACTAAATTATAAAATAAACACCACTAAATAATTCAAAATAATAAATTTAAGGGTGTGTTTTTTTCTCAAAGTTTTTAAATTTTACTATTTTTGCAAATATATATATTAAAAAATATAATATCAAATTTATACTAAAATTTCTCTAATCAAATCAAAACAAAGAAAGGGAGACCACATAGAAAATTCCAAAAAAGTCACAAGAAATATTGCAAGATGGGTATTATTGACTTGGCAGACCAAAGAATCTATCAATCCTATGAATCAGACAAACCACCCCCCTCAATACTGTCCTTTTTCATTTACTATATAAATAAATACATGCACTCTTTGTCCTCTCACATTTATTTCATATCTTAAAAACTATTTTTCTGTAATGGATAGCTTTCCTAGACTGGAATAAATTTGTGACCGTAATATGCGATTTGATTATTATATTTTTTAAAAATATTAAATTAATTATATATATTTTTATTTTTAATATTATATTTTTTTCGACTATTTTAAAATTTTATATTTATTATTTGCATGTTAATTTTTTAATATTAATTATTATATCAAAACGTAATACAAATCAAAGAAAAAGAACAAAAAATACTTATATTAGTGATAGAAGACTGTTTATAAAAACATCTCATCAATACCTATTTGTATTACATAATACAATTATTCCAATTCAAAATTTTTAATATTCAAATTTCTAATATTTAAATTTTTAACTCAAAATCCAAACTCCAAACAACCGTGTAAAATATACTCGAAAAGTAACTACCCACATAAATTTTATTTATTTATTGATTTATAAAAAAGTAACTACCCACATATTTATAAAAATAAAAAATAAAAAATTGCATAGAATGCGTAATGAAGAACGAAGGGCCACCAAATGGGAATGCCCTGGTTTCATTTGTCATCTTCAGAAAACCACCACTGGCCCATAGAATTTAATTCTATACTCCCTCTGTCCAGTCTCAGAACTATAGTCTTGGCTGCGTTGGATACAAAATTCAAAAAATATTGATGGTGGATAAAAAGTATGAATAAAAGATTTTTTATTTGTGTATTAGTGTAAAAAGTAGTGACAATTGTGTAATAATAATGAAAAAGTAAAGATATTTTTACAGTGATATAGTTATTTATGTAAATAAGATTATTATTTTGAGACGAACAAAAATAGTAAATAGGACTATTGGATTGAGACGAAAGGAGTATAACATAATATATGTTTTTTTATGAATTTAAAAAATATTTTATTTATATTTGGTATTAAAATAATATATGATGAAATATTTTATAAAAAATAAAAAAAACATATAATTTTTCTTTGGTGTGTTTCTTTTGATGAGTTTGAAAAAAAATTGTTTTGAATTTAATATGAAAATAATATTTAATGTGATATTTTATAAAAAAAAAATATATATTTTTTTTCGGAAACACAAAATCCAAATAACAGAGTCCAAATAGTAAAATTTTTAAAAAAAAATTAACTAAAGAAAACATATAAGAAAAAAAAAAAGTCCAAATAATAAAAATATTAGATTCAGAATATAAAACAAACCCATATATATATATACATACACGTATACATACAGCTCAGACTCACAGTCCTGCAAGGTTGGTTTCCATATACAGTACAGTAGCCACTCTTTGTTTCTTTGTCTGTTTGTTAGTTATCCCCAATTTACACTTTCTTCATTCAATGCTAACCATCTTCAGCTTCAGAACCAGCAGGAGCAGCCGCATCCCACCATGTCAGACCACCTCTCCGATTTCCTCCAAATTCGCATCAATGCCTACCACACTTTCTTCCTCTCCCAGGTAGGTCGTACATACTCGACGCCATTTTTATTCTTTCCTCATTCCCGCAATTTCTTCTTAATTGCAGACAATTCTGCGCAACTATTCGCGGAAGTTGGGGAGGATAATCGAGCAGGAAAATCAGATCACGAAATCCGGACTCGAAATTGGGGATTTTCCCGGCGGTCCATACGGATTCGAATTGGTCTCAAGATTCTGCTACGCCGGCGGTAGGATTCCGATCACCGTCGCCAATGTCTCCCTCCTCTACTGCTCCGCCGTGTTCCTCGAAATGACGGAGGAGGCTTCGAAGGTCAATTTGCTCCACCAGACTGAGGTTTTTCTCGAAGGGATTTTCTACTGGACTTGGGATGAAATCCTCGCCTGTCTCAAGAACTGTGAGCCTTTCTTCTCCTCCGCCGAATCCTCTGGATTGATCGAGAAGCTTCTCTGCTCTCTTCTCGCGAAGATTGCGCAGAAATCTGACGTCAATTTCCTCTCCAATTCGCCGTGTTCTTCGTCTTCATCGCCAGACACTGGCCGGAGTTCAAGCCCACCAAGTGTTCGACGAAAGTCCTCTTCAAGAAAAGCCTTGTGTTGGTGGTTCCAAGACCTCACAATTCTAAGCCCCAAAACCATCGAACATTTCCTCAAATCGATGGGTGCATTCTTAGCAGATAACAACAATTTAGTCCTCACAAGATTCCTCCTACATTACCTCAAAACCGCCCTCCAATCCTCTGGCGGCAGCCGCGGCGTTGAATTCGCTGGACTGGTGGATACCGCGGCTCACGGCGTCGTTTCGATTGGGAAGGCTGCATTTTCTTGCAGATTCCTTTTTTGGGTATTAAGGATCGTCTCAAGTTTCGGGGTGGGCCGAGATCGAAAGGCTGCATTGGAACAGTTGATCGGCGGGATGCTCGATCACGCGACACTCGACGATCTTTTGGTGCCGTCGTCGTCGTCATCGAGCAATGGCGGCGGCGTGTACGATGTGAGCCTTGTAATAAGATTGATCAGGCTGTTTGTTCATCACAACGACGAGATGTCGTTGGCAAAGATGAAGAAAGTCGGGAGGCTGATCGATATGTATTTAGGGGAGATCGCGCCCGATCCCAATCTGAAAATATCGAAACTTGTCGGCGTCGCTGAGAGCCTGCCGGATTGTGCGAGGGATTCGTTCGATCATGTCTATAGAGCAATCGACATCTATCTTGAGGTAATCTGTTTATTACACGGCCTAATTCTCTTCCATTCTTTTTTGTTTCGATTGCATTTGTTATCCATTCTTGTCTTCCTTCTCCCTGTTGCATTAGAGATAACGGATCAATGGTGTGTGGGGTGGGGTGGGGCACAAAAACACAAATGCAAAACAATGATAGATAAGACAAAGAATATGTGTTTTTCAATTGGAAATGTTGCTTTGTTTCTTAACTTCAAAATCTTCGATTTGAGTTCTTCTGTTTCCCAAAAATCTGCCTTATTTAAATCAAGAATATTTTATACATACATACATATATATGTATATATATGTGTGTATTTGTCTTCATCTTCTTGCAACTTATGCTTGACCTGTGACTCTTACAACTCTACTTCTTGTCTTCACATTACCGTCTGTTTTGCGTCGTATCATCGGGTTCGAATATATCATAACAATACGAATAACAAAACAGTAATTTTACTCCGATCGATTTGTAAATCAATCAACAAAATATTTATCTTCTCATATGATCATGTTGAGCAATATTGGCTCGATAGTTGTTTTAGAATTTTGAAATTGAAAATAGTAAAAAATTGGAGTATTATTTGAAATAATGTACTTGACGTGATTCTTTTTTTTTTTAATTATTGTTGATGAATAGTATCACAAGTTTAAATTTTTCTAAGTAAACAAAGCCATGATTAGTTTGTTTGCTTGATATTTTCTTACACGGCTATGCAAAGCTCATATTGTTTTTGAGATTAAAAAAATTCGATTTTGATCCATTTGTAATTTTTATTGCAGTCGCATCCGGGGCTTTCATTAGAGGAGAGATCCCGGCTCTGTCGCTGTCTGAATTATGCAAAGTTAAGCCTGGAAGCCTGCAAGGATCTGGCGAAAAACCCGAGAATCCCTCCGAGAATCACTGTCCAAGCGCTGGCGACTCAGCACGCCAGCCTGGACTCCCCGAACAACGACAGATGCAGCAGCAGTAACTCGCCGCGCGACTACCAGCTGGTGCTGTACGAGCGCGACGGCGATGACGACGACGATAATGACGAGGGATTGCCAGAGGGTAAGGAGGAGATGAAATTGAACTTGGAGAGGATGCAATGGCGGGTGGTCGAGCTCGAAAAAGTGTGCCGGGAAATGAAGGGGCAGATGGCGAGAATGGTGAAGCTCGCCCCGCATCAGCACGGCCGGGCGCTGCCGCGGCTGTGCTGACGACGATCGGCGGGATGCGATCTGGGTTTGGGTGTTTCGGGTTTTTTTTTTTTTTTTAATAAAGAAAGAGTTTGTTATAATATCCTTGTATAGATCATAGGTTGTTTTTTTGTTGTTATTCTTGTTTGTTATAGAATTACAAATTGTGTGTTTTTTATCACTGCTTGTGATGTAAAAATTGTTCGTTTTGTGGTAATTTTCGTTGTTGTACAGTAGATTTGGGTTATGTTTTTATTTCGAAGATATGTGTCTTTTTTCTCAATGAGATTAGTCCCATTTTTATTCATCTTAATTGCAATTAGTTATGTTTATCTTAATTAAATCTTATTGATTAATGTACAAACAGGACATGTCTACATGTGATGTCTATTTATATTTTAACTTGTGTTTTATAATAAAAAAAAAAAAAATTGATAATTTTTTTGTTAATGAAACCAAATTAATAAAAAATAAAAATCACTGACATCAAAATAAATATAAAATGACATAAAAATAATTTTTCCTCATTTTTTTATTTTGTAATTGAAAAATACTCCCGGTCGGGTTCGGCGGCGCGGCTCGGCTCGGTTGGAGATGAGGCCGTCGGATAAATTACGCCCCCAATCGAACGGCAAAATCGTGCTTCGAAAATTTCCTCTTATCTAAATTTCTTATCTTCGTCTCCGGTCGATCTGCTTCTCAACCAACCGCCGTCTCCGCCACCGCCACCGTCACCACCAGAATGGCGACTGCAATTACAGGTGCTAGGGTGTCTTGTCCGCCAGTGTTGACTCAAGCAGCTGTCCGCCGCCGCCAGAGACCGTCTGCTTCAGTCGTCCGAATGACTTTGGTTGAGGAGAAGAAGAAAGCATACACTCTCCAGAAATCGGAAGAGGCTTTCAACGCCGCCAAGGTAATGCAGTGATTGATTCCTCAATTAACAGATCGACGAGGATTGATTATTACTTTCTGTAACCAACCCTATCGGCGTCATAATCGATAGTCGATTTTGTTGATTGGTAGGAGGCTTCAATTTCTCTAGTAGTCTGCGTAGAATTGCACCTAACGGAAACTAATATCATCGGATTTGCTTCTAATTTTAGGATTTTTCAAGAGAAAATCGGAGGTAGTTTCAATCCATCAACAGAATTCAATAATCGAAAAACGTGTGATCATATGCAAATTAATATTTGGTTGCTGAAGAGCTTTACATAGAATAAGAAATTTCACAGCATATATGCTCATCTTTGTAATTTGCAAATAAAACTTTCAACCTGTAGAGTGTGAATTTTCATAGCTTATCACATTGCTGCAGCTAGGGCACCCTTGTATCATTTTCAGGAAGAACACGATGCTTTAATTTCCAACATCCATTGCTTGTTATAGCAATATGTTGAATGAGGCTTGAAATTTTCGTTGAAAATGGCAGGAATTGATGCCGGGAGGTGTAAATTCCCCAGTCCGTGCCTTCAAATCCGTTGGTGGCCAGCCAATTGTGATTGATTCTGTCAAGGGTTCTCATATGTGGGATATTGATGGCAACGAGTACATCGACTATGTCGGATCTTGGGGGCCAGCCATTATTGGCCACGCAGACGATGAGGTTCGTTTCCTTGCTACCCCATAACTGTGAAAAATGACCAAATTTCTGTTTTAATCTTTGAGCCTCTGCATATGTTGGATTGCTTGAGCATTTAAAAGGATAATTGGTTATTCGATGGATTTGGATGTAGCTCTAATTTTGTTATGATCATGTTGTTAGCTTGGCTTTTCTGTGATCAGTGTTTAGTTTGATGTGATTGTAGATATTGGTAAGTTTGTTTGTAAAAGTTTTATGTTTGTTGGGCGTCTTGAAGACATCTATAGAACAATCTTACATCTTTTGTCATAATTAGTTCGAGTTATCTAACTACGGTCGATTGGAGTATTCGTACAGTTCTTTTTCTGATTATCTCATCGGATTGACGTTCCGTAGGTTCTTGCCGCCTTGTCTGAAACAATGAAGAAAGGAACGAGCTTCGGCGCTCCATGTCTCCTGGAAAACACTTTAGCCGAGATGGTCATTTCCGCCGTACCGAGTATCGAAATGGTTCGATTCGTCAACTCCGGTACCGAAGCATGCATGGCCGTACTGCGACTAGCCCGCGCATACACCGGGCGCGAAAAAGTCATAAAATTCGAAGGCTGCTACCACGGCCACGCCGACCCGTTCCTTGTCAAGGCCGGGAGCGGTGTCGCTACCCTCGGACTCCCCGACTCCCCCGGCGTTCCAAAGGCCGCTACTTACGAGACGTTGACTTCCCCGTACAACGACATTTCAACCGTCGAAAGCCTCTTCAACGCAAATAAAGGCGAAATCGCGGCCATCATCCTCGAACCCGTCGTCGGTAACGCCGGCTTTATCCAACCGACGCCCGAGTTTCTAACCGCTCTCCGAAGATTAACCGAGGACAATGACGCCCTCCTCATTTTCGATGAAGTTATGACCGGATTCCGTCTCTCCTACGGCGGCGCTCAAGAGTACTTCAAAATAACTCCCGATCTTACGACACTCGGGAAAATCATCGGCGGTGGACTCCCTGTCGGCGCATACGGCGGAAGAAGAGAAATCATGGAAATGGTCGCCCCCGCCGGGCCAATGTACCAGGCCGGGACGTTAAGTGGAAACCCGTTGGCGATGACTGCCGGGATCCACACACTTAAAAGGTTGCAAGAACCCGGAACCTATGAATACCTCGACAAGATCACCGGCGAACTTATTCAGGGAATTTTGGAGGCCGGAAAGAAGGCGGGCCATGCGATCTCGGGCGGGTATATAAAGGGGATGTTCGGATTCTTCTTTATGGACGGACCGGTCTACAATTTTGGTGATGCGAAGAAGAGCGATACGGCGAAATTCGCCAAGTTTTACCAGGGAATGCTGAGGGAAGGAGTGTATTTTGCACCTTCTCAATTCGAGGCCGGGTTCACTAGCTTGGCCCACTCGGCCGAGGACATCCAGCAGACGGTAGCCGCGGCCGAGAAGGTTTTTTCGACATTGTAAGGTAATTGTTTTCTCCCTACTTTTTTGTAGTTTTGTGTGATGAGGAATTGTGTTGCTGCCTATGTTGTTCATTTGGTGTCGAAGCTGATTTAATGTTATGTTCTATGGCTAAATAATTTGCAAATGTTGAGCTACTTTATGAGTCTTGACTGTCCTTAGTAACAGCCTTCTCATTGAACTACAAGTCTGTGAGTATGTATTTGATAAGGAGAATATAACCTAAAATTAAAATAGGAGATAGTAAAATTGAAAGAAGACTTAGGGACGTGTATTCATTTAAGATTTTATAGGATTTTATTAAATTTTAAAAAGTCTATGAATTTTTATGAATTTTCTAAATCTACAGAGTCCATGCAGAGTTGAGTGGATTTTATTAATTGATTTTCATTGATTACTTATGGATTTATATATGAATTTGATAGGATTGTTAAATATTTTTTTTATTAATTTATATAATTATATAAATTTATATAAAATACACTTGTAGATAATTTTTTTTTATTCAAATTATTAAATAAAAATAAAAATAAATAGAAATATAAATATTAATTTTTATTTTTTTTACACTGATACACAAGCATCTCACACAATCAAGCCTAGAGAGACAGAGGTTACCTGGTTGAAAGGGGGCCAACTTAATCAACAGCTGCCTTGCTTCTTCTGCTCATTGGCTTCGATAGACCGAGCATCGGGTTGCTGGTGGTGGTTGTGCTTGACAGCGCTGGAACACCGGGCTTCAAATGCTGATTCGATGCCAGCCATGTCAATGACAATATGTTGTCCTCGAAATCCTGTAAGCTACATGGAGTTAACGACTTACAAGCATCGCTGATGTTACCTGGTCGCAACGAATCCCCAAAGCCTATGGGAATTGTCTTAGGCCCTCCTTCTGCAAGACTTTCCGAGACATCACATATAGCTGACTCTGGCCAGCTTTTTCCATTGATCGATTTAATTGAATTGCTTTTGGTGTTCGCCTCCTTGAGAATCTTTTCCGGAGTTTGGGGAGTAAAATCAACCTCAGACTTTTGACGTCGTCTCACCATATTCTCGGTTAGTTTACCCAATCTACCGTTGTCGGCTACTTGCGACAGAACCTCAGCCTCGTCGCCATGGTTTTGGACCATTTCAAAACCTTCTGCTGCTGCACCTTTTGGAAGTGCTGGATTATGGTTATGGATGTGATGAGTTTGCGAGGTGGTCGTGATGCCCGAGACTTGCTGTGATGAAGATTTCAGTTTCAATGATGGAAACAAATCGAATAAATCTGAGCACCTTTGGCTGGATGCTGTTTGTTGAGAGCTCCTTGGCCTGCAAGATGTAACCCCCCTAAGAGTTGTTAGATTAAACTTTTGAGTATGCAGGATGAAACTTGAATATTTCAATTATATACATCCAAAAAAAAAAAAAGCCAATAGTATAAGGGTGGCTGTGTTTAGTTTGAAGGATTGAGATCTATAATATTATTGTATCTACCTAATCACACGTTTAGGTTAAAAAACAAGGCTAAGTCCGTAAGGGATGGGTTACTCGTGACCATGAGGTCATGGGTTCAAACCTGCGACTCCTGCAGATCTTATCTGCCACACATGGTTCTCTTAATGTGATTTGCATTTTTGACATTAATTTGTAGGCTCTTAGATTCGGCTAGGGGTTTACCAGAGATCATTTTAGGAGGTTCGCGATGGGATCGATTCAGAAAGAGTCGGCTAGGTTTAAAATCTTAAAATCCTTGACCTGCCTCGGAAATAGGATTTTGAATTCAAACCTGCCCTATTAACACCAGGTCCCGGCTTGCAAGACTCGGCCCAATTGCCACTACGACGAACTTCAACACTTTTGATCAACTATAATATCCATATGTCAATAAACATGAGAATTCTGCTAGATTATAATACCTCTAAGTAATAACCAATTGCTTGCTGTTACTACTGCATGTGGATTCAAAGAAGGATTCTATGCTGTTCCATCTGAACTAGTACTAGAACTTAAAATATCTACAGGACGGCTATGTCAGTTCTTCTCTAGCACAAAGCACACAGTTATGTCGCCACTGCGCCGTCTCATAAATAAACTTTAAACAGGGGCTCACATTGGCTTCCAAGCTCGAGAAAAGTTTATCTACATTTTAAGAATCCACATAGTGACAAGAACACTGAGCATAATCAAAACAGATCAATAACAAATTCACTGAACATTGATCAAAGGTTACGTTTCTGCAGATCAGATTCAATTTTCATTTAATATCATCAAGCACATAATTTGATTTACAAAGATTTTAAACAGCTTATATATTGCCAATGAAAATATAAACTATCATAACAATTCTCACTGTCGAATTAACTGGGCCAATGAGTGTCTGATATCAAGCTTTTAGTAAGATTCCAGGTTTCCGCTACAAGGGTGGAGCTCTATATATGGAAATCAGCACAAAATGAAACAATTAAGAATTTAAAAGGCCCAACTACCGTGAAGGGATGTTGCCGTTGGACAAGCTGGAGGAAGGAGGATGTCTCGCAGGCAGTGGTATTTGTATTGTCTTAAGAGCAAACATTTGGAGATCTGTCATCAATCCATTTAGCTTCTTTATATCAGCCACCTAAGACATACCAAACCCAAATCATATATGTGGTAATTAAGACAAGAGAACTATGCCAAATTGCCATCTCTTGTTGATGAAGAACATTTAAATTCAGAATGAGAAACAGGGGATTCCAAATAAAACATAACTAAGTTAGCATACTATCTACAATCTTTTGAATTTAGAAGATCTCAAAGCTCGGAAATACATAGATCTTTGGAGCGTAAACAATCAAAAATCAAATTACACTTCTATCTCAAAAAACGTCAGTTCTTCATTTTTCCACCATATCTAATATGACAAAATACGGACAAAATTAATAACAGCAGCAATGCAATTCTATGCAAAGGGAAAATGAAAGCAAAATATAGTGAACTTCAACAACAAAAAAACAGCGATTATAATGGAGAAATACCTCGACGCCGTATTTGATTGCGATTCCGGCAAGCGTATCGAACTTCGAAACGGTGTGTAGTATGTAACTAGCCCCACCGTTAACTTCCTCCGACGGCGGAGATAAATTTGGCACCGATCTCGGAGGCGACGACGATGATCCGATCGTTCCAGTGTGCGAAAAAACCTCGCCTCCATTATCATTCACTCGCAAAAACCTCTCCGAATTCATTGTAAACCAGAAAACTACTACACTAGCGATTGCGCGCGACTCTTAAATTGTGATATCAATCAACTCCTAACAATAAATAACAAATGCGATCAACGCTTGAAAATCAATAGAAAAACCATAAATATTCATCAAAAATTTGAGGCAGTGAAGATATAAGGCAACGAAGATTAAGATTGAGCAGATCTGAGCGAGAATTTTGGCGCTGGTTCTGCGGCCACTGCAATCTTTTCGTCTCTTTGCGTGTCGCGCGTGACTCTCTGAGTCGTTTGGTGTGTCTTATAGACGTACTGTGGTAGTGATGTCCTCATGCTTGGGCTTCGTTTACTTGCAATTTAAAAAAAAAAAAAAATTATAAAAGAAAAATTATAATTTTGTTTTTTCTTTTGTCGGTAATCCATTTATTTGTTTTACCATGTAAGTATCTTTTTTTTTTCTCTAAAATAACTATGGTCTCATATATATTTAGAAAGATTATTACATTTTACTAGTAAAATATTAAATATTCCAATATTTATATATAAAATGTACATTTATACATGACGGAGTAATTGGTTGTAATTTGAAGGAATATAGTAAATAAGGATAAATGTTTTTTTTTTTTCTTTTTTTTTTTTTTCTTTTTTTGGGAAAGGATAAGGGTGTGTTTGTTTTGCAAAGCCTAAATGTCGTTTAAGAGTGTGTTTGTTTTGGGGCATTAGATTGGATTTATACTATTTATTTAATTTTTTTCCCTAAAAACATCAAATCAAACAACTATTTTTCATTTTTTATCAGGTCATACAACTATTCAAATTCAAAATTTTTACTATTCAAATGCCAACTCAAAATCCAAACAACCAAACAAACACACCCTTCGTAGCATGTTTAATTGAAGTATATATAGAAATAATTATGAGATCAAAATTATATTTATCCTTATCTTATCTCTTTATTTATTTATTTTTTTTTTTCCAATTACAATCAATTATACACTAATCGATGAAAGTGATTGTAAAAGACATTAGAGTAAATATTGTAAGATTTGGACATTTGATAGCGGGGATAATTTTACAAATGGAACTGATCAAGTCAATCGAATACAATGGATTACATCAAATAATATATATTTTGAATGGAAGAATACTTGTATAATTTTAGAAACTTAACACAAAATTTGTTAAACATGTAAATTAGCCTTAATAATATGCATTAGTTCCAGGGCTGGTTCCGCCACGGTCAACATCCGGCAATGTGTCTATATATATATATATATATTTTGCATAGGTTCAGTTACTCTTATCCCAATGTATTGCACATCTCCTATACAACACAATCACGATTCTTCATGTGTATTTTTAAAACAAAAAATAATAATAAAATAAAAATTTAAAACAAAAAATTAATAAAATAGAAAATTTAAATGCACATAACAAATAATGATTGATCGATATAGAAGGTACACAATACATTCAGGTAAAGTAACTGAACCCATATTGCGCAATATCCAAACCCATAGAATACGTACAATAATTGAACACAGTGAATTGCATTATTTTTTCTGCTCGTTTTGTTTACTAATTAATTGCAAAACGTATTTTTGCCTAAGCAAATGCATTTTTTAAGTTAAAACGGCATAAATAGAGTTTACGGATTGGAGATGACCTAAACGAGCTAGCAGTTCTAACATGCCCAATTTCGAGTTTAGCTCGAGGCAGGCACTTTTGAAAAATGTCAACGTACTCGAGCCAAAAAAATAGTCGAAAGGAACTCAAAACTGTAAGCAGCAACAAAGAAACTCTATTTATTTTATCCGGAAAAATCAGATCGACAGAAAAGCAAGGGCAGACTAATGTAGCAACAAGAACAAAAGGGAGGAGGTGTATAGAGGGAGTTACTACTTGATTTGATTTGATCAGAAAATTTTCCCCAAATGCCGCGCCGATTCATCTACAGGAAAATTGTCCATATGTGTCGTCAAGAAAATGGCGCCGGGGATGAATGTATCTGCATTTGAGTAACAAAGCAAGTTCAATAATTTTGCAGGAGCTGTAAATGGAAACATGTATGGAAGGGCAAGTAGGAAGAAATGCAATGTGCAAAATATGACTATCTCCCGATAGTCATATTAAGAATTGTCATAGTAAATCAGGTACGTGTTGATCCAAGAACTAATAGAATGAATGACCAGACTTCACCTATTAGAAAAGAAAACTTGAGGCAGAAATTCGACTAGATTAGCTCGTTATAAAATAAAATTGATAGATCCCTCGATTTGATTATGTGAATACCACCTTAATAAAATAAAATAAAATTAAAAAAAAAAAAAACACTATATGAGCTCCAATGTAATATGCCCCCTTGGTGTTATCAAATTGTATAAAATATGTCAACAGAAAGCATTCTTCTAATTCGCGAACCAAGCACAAGCTTAAAAATTATGTTTGAGCCTCATAGTTAAAAAAGATAAACCTTACTAACAAGTTTCCGGATTCAAGATAATACATTCAGAAACAAACTTTACCATCAAATCAATTTGCTAACTCATCAATACTTTCAACTGCTCATCAAATAGATTGATTCTTAGGTTTGGCTCGACTTTATTCAAATTTGAATTAAAAATATTTCATGTTAGGTATCATATCAAGCATGAGTTGCTTAACTTGTTCTTCAACCCCAAGTAAGAATAAATATCATAGATTTAGATGTCCTCTATCGGGCGGCAGCTCCTCTCTAACAGAAATCTAAAATAATCAAAATGTATATAATAAGATAACATAAACTAATGTGATGAGAAGATTAAACAAGTGAAAAGCAAGTCAAGCAAATTGTATATTATCTTCATCACATAAGGATATTTGCAATATCAAAAATGAAATTATATGGGTTGTTCCAACATTTGTGTTTAGGATAAATGAAATTATACGAGCTGTATTACTTACCAGAATATCTAGCTTGAATTTTTATGTTTTCCGTCATCAGCAATAGCATCTGTCACCAGGTTCATCGGCCGCTCATTAATGACCTCATCAATAAGTCCAAACTCCTTTGCCTCTTCAGCAGTCATGAAATAATCACGATCCATATTCTTTTGAATTACATCAATAGGTTGTCCGGTGTGCTTACAGTAAAGCGCATTTAGGGAATCCCAAATGCGAAGAATTTGCTTGGTGTGGATACTTATATCCTTAGCCTGCCCGCTGTACCCACCCGAAGGCTGATGGATCATGATCGTAGCATTTGGGAGTGACCGCCTCTCCCCCTTTGCACCAGCTCCCAAGAGAAGGGAACCCATCGATGCAGCTTGGCCTAAACATGTAGTATTGATTGGAGACCGAATGTACTGCATGGTGTCGTAGATGGCAAGACCTACAACAATCAAACAGATAAATAATCAGGATAAGACAAATCTAGAACCCTTATTTCAACTACAAATAGAGCTCCAAATATGGCAACCAATAATGTTTCTCAAGAACTTCCAAGGTTATAGAACATGATATGCTAACTTATTGACTTCGATGAATAGCAATATCCACAGACTATCAAGGACACAAAGGATTCTGTAACTCATAAATTGACCACAAAGAGAAACTGAAAACGTTTAGAGGGATGAACTTTCTTGAAAATAAATTGCTATTGTGATTACACAAAGTGCACAATTTATCAAACTATGTTCAAAATGAAAAGATTCTGGACCATAACTATGCTCATGGAACTGCAACACCATTTCCGGTAAACTGATAGATAAAAAATCTGAAAAGATCATTTTTTTTCCATATATTTTCAGCAAATTATTCCAATTAACCAGCAAAAACAACAAACAAATGTGGTAACAAAATACCAGCAGTGACGGCTCCGCCGGGGGAGTTGATGTACATGTGAATCGGCTTTGAAGGATTCTCCGACTCGAGGAAGAGGAGCTGCGCAACGACGACGTGCGCAGTATCGTCGGAAATGGGGCCATTGATGCAAATAATGCGCTCCTTGAGCAGCCGGGAGAATATGTCGTAGGCGCGCTCCCCTCTCGAAGAGTGCTCAATCACCATCGGTATCAATCCGTACCATCTTCTACCGCCGCCGCAAGCAGAAGCTCGCCGGCTCGCCAACGCAATCGACGATTTGCAAGCTTTGATTTCACTCCATAGCCTCCGAGAGAGCATCGTCGCTGGCCTTCCTAGGGCTTCTCCAGCAATTGCCTATTTTTTAGATGTCAAAATTTTTTAACTATTCACAGAAAGAACATGCTTTACAAAGAGTCGTGTTTCCAGAATCATGCCCTAGCAGAAGTCGCATTTTGTATTCAAAAACGCTTTCAATAAACGTATGCGCACTCAACTTCGTTCCTCCAGACACTGTTCCAGAACGTTCTTCTTCTTCATCGCCGACGTATCGGAATCTGTACGATCAGAGCTGCGCGGAGCTTTCATGGCGGAAAGTCGACCGTTAGCCTTAAATTGAGGGATGAAGTAGAACCAGGCAGCCACAAACACCATGGCGCAAATCTTCCCGCAAATCAGCATAACCACTAACGTCACCGCCAGAGTCGCCGCCCCAACAATCGGCTCCAATTCACCACCGATTTCGCTTTTCCTCCCTCCGTAGCTCTCCACCGTTTCCTTCCTCTTTCTCCGCGCCTGCGGCGGCGGTGATGGCGATGGCTTCCCCGATCTGCTCCTGGCATCTCCGCCGGTAAGACCTTTCTTCAACTATAGCGAATACAATCAGTCTAATCATAACCATGGTCACGCATTTAAAAACAGTGTTTACATCTCCAGTTACCTGAAGATTGTAACCATCAATAGATTAGTTGATTAATTACCTCATCATCGATGGCATGCTTTCTTCTCTGCTCCTGTAATTCATCAATGTTTTCTTCATTCAGCACCTCCTTCTGTAACTGGAAGCATCCCAAACAGGCCTTAATAAAAAACCACCTGCTCCTTGTCTCCTCCTTGCATCCATTTCTGCTAGCAGCCATGGATGGAGGTGCAGGTGTTTGGCAGGTATTTATTGTAGTAGATGCTGCATGAAGTATCCTTATTCTGCGGGAATTCCTCGCCAAACTCCATCAGTGTTTTTCCATGAGGTGGTTTGGACTTGCAGAGTTGAGAGTGGGAGAAGGTTTTTACCTTTTTTGCAATTCAACAAAGAATAGTTAAATTAAGGAGAATTAGACATGAAATCTTTTTGCTGCAATATATATTTGTAAATCTATATCTATTATAATTATAGTAGTAGTTTTATTTGATAAATTCACGATATTTTTTTTTTTAGTTAATTAATTTATATTCACTGTAAATATGTATGCAGCAAGTCAGGCGAATCATGTGTGACACGTGAAATTTATCTTAAGAGGTGTATTTAATATAGATTTTATAGAATTTTATTGTACTTTTAAAATCTGGGTGTATTCAATCAAGACTTTTAAGTCTTTTTAAAATCTTGAGGTATTCAATTAAGACTTTTAAAATATTTTTAAAATCTTCAAATATTCAACAATCCATCTTTCAAAGTCTATGAATTTTAATGGATTCTAATGGATTTTTGTGAAAATTTTGTATATAAAAGAATCTCTCCTTACCATCACATATTTTAATGGATTCTTATATGATAATATTTATTACTATTATTATAATTTTTAATAAAAATAATAATTTAAAACTAAAATATATTAGCAAATTATTATAATATTTTTTAAAATATATATTTTTATATTATAAATATAATTTTAAAAAATATTATTATATTACTGTCATCTTTTCTTTTCAATTATCGAATATACGATATTATCATTACGATAACGGTGAAAGAAATATTTAAATATATATTTTTGTTGAACCGTTAATTTATATTTATTTATTTATTTTAATATTTTTTTCAAAACTCATAAATTATTTATTTATTTATTTATTTTAATATAACCATTTTACATAAAAAGTAAATACATATATATTACTCCCTCATTCTCAGATACCGTGTCTGCTATACTGTAGACACGGTATTTTAGGAGGGGTGTAATTAGTAGATAATTAAGAATGTATTAGTGAAAATAATTATCCTATAATATAAATAATTATAAAATAAGATTAAGATAACTAATTAGTTTAATTAAAATTTAAAAAAATAAAATTTAAAAATTTAAAATAAGATTAAAGTGTATAATTATTTTCCAAAAAAGGAAAGTGTATAATATAAATAATTATAAAATAAGATTAAGATAACTAATTAGTTTAATTAAAATTTAAAAAAAATTAAAAAATTTAAAATGAGATTAAAATGTGTAATTATTTTCCAAAAAGAAAAGTATTTATTAATACGTATATATTATTTATTAATATTAAATATTATCTTATTAATAATTATTTATTATATTTATAAAATTTGTTGTTTGATATAAAATTATATAATTAATATATATTTACAAAAAAATATTTTAAAATCCTATAAAATTCATATAAATCCATAAAAAATTCAATCAAATCCGTAGAAATCCATCTAAATCAATTACTAAAATCCATCTAAATCAACGTAGACTCTGTGAATTTTCTAAATTCATATAAATCTATAAACTTTTTAAAATCTAAAAAAATTCATCAAAATCTCAATTGAATACACTGCCCTAGTGTGACGTTAGTATTGTACTTGTTAATTATATCCAGCAATAACAAATGTGGAGCAAGAACATTCTTATATAATAATATTTGTATAAAAAAATATATAAATATAAAGATATTTTTTATTTTAAATACAAAGACGCAAAAAATAAATAAGACCCTTGAAATCGGCAAAATAAATGAGACTCTTAAAGCCGGCAAAGTAAATGAGACCCTTAGAGCCGGATATTGCATAAATGACCCCAAAAATTTTTACTCTTATTGATTCTGTAAATGAATAGTTAAGTTTTGGAAGATTGAAAACTAAAACATGTTTGTTTGTCTTTCTTGATCTCTTACTATTCACTCTCTACATTTTTAAATAAATATTTTTTTCTTTAAATGAAAAAAAGAAATGCAAATTTGTTTAGTTAAGTGTGAATAGAAAAACAGAATCTATGGAATTTTATATTTAAATTATTATTCAAATCAAACTAAAATATACAAATTAAAAAATATAAATAAAATCACCAATTAAACATTTCCATTAGCATCTAAATAAGCACATATTTGCTACTTTCTGTCTATAAAGAAGTATCCATTTGCTTTTTATACGTAATTTTAAAAATATTAGTATTATATTGGGATATAATAAAAATAAAATAGAAATGACTAAAATAACCTTATTAGTATGTGTGATATAAAAGTAATGACATTTGTGTAATATATTGTAAGTTGTAAGGGTATTACAATTACTAAAAAAAAAAGAAATGAATACTTTGTTATGAGACGGACTAAAATAGAAAAATAAATATTTTGTTATGGGACGGAGGGAGTATTATTGATTAATTAACGGAATCATTCTTTAATCAAATATATAGTAAATATATTCTTAAATTATAAAATAATTTTTATATATAAAAAAAAAAAAGAAAATCAATTATTATTATTATGGTAGTTGAAAAACAAAAATTAATTCTAACCTAACACAACCATGGCCATATGCTTTAACTCCTTCTAGATGGTAGGTATTTTTATTTTTTTTCACCTATCACAATATATCACTAGTTTATCTAGGGCTTGTTTGCTTTTTATTTAAATTTTAATTTTAATTTAAATTGTATTTTTATATTAATTTTATAAAATAAATATATTTTTGTTAAAAACAACACAAAAGAAATAATATTGACTTAAACTCAAGATGTGTGTTTGTTCGGGGGATTGGATTGAATTTACACTATTCATCCAATTTTTTTCCCCTAAAAACATCAAATCAAACACCTATTTTTCATTTTTTATATTATACTAAAAATCAATTTTACATTCAAAATATCACATCAACACCTATTTATATCACATCATACAACTATTCAAATTCAAAATTTTTACTATTCAAATTCCAATTCAAAATCCAAATCCTAGACAAACACACCCTAAATAAACCCTAAAATATACATATCAACATATGCTCCATTCTTTTAATTCTTTTTAGACAATTTCTTGTTTTTCACAATATTTATATATTTTTCAGTATTTTAATTTAAAGTGTTTTTTTTTTTTTTTTTATACTCCCTTATGTCTCATAACAAAGTATCATTTTTTTTCATTTTAGTATGTTCCATAACAAAGTATTCATTTTTTTTAGTAACTGTACTATCTACATAACATTACAAATACTCTTACAACTTACAATATATTACACAAATATCATTATCTTTATATCACACATACTAATAAGATTATTTTAGTCGTTTCTACTTTATTCCTACTATATTCCAATATAATATTAATATTTCTAAAATTACGTATAAAAAATAAATAGATATTTATTTATAGGATAGAGAGTATAAAATATAAGAAAATATATCCATAATATTAAAAAATATATTACTTTATATTGAATTATTAATTTTTTATTAGATAATATAATATATATTATTTATATTATGCTACTATGTGTATATATATTATTATTATTTTATTAATATTCATAAAATAAAAAAAAAAATCTTAAAAAATTATTGAGTGAACAATCTTATGTATATACATTATTACATTCAATATCATTTCACCTATAACAACATAAAACTCAAATCTTCAAAAATAAATATATCAAAATAGTAGTAGTTATTTTATAATTTGTCAGCATATTAGAGTGGTGTATAAAATTTTAATATTTTTGCAATGATTGTTACATTATATATACACATATATACATATATATTCTACAAACTCAATGGAATATATAAATGATATGAATAAAAATGCTAATCTCATTCTATTTTTTTTTTCTATTACTTTTAATTTTCGTTGTTATAATTTTATTTTATTTTATTTTTTGGTAATTTTCTTTCATTGTATCCAGTTTTTACTCTTTTTTTATCATTTATATATAAAATTATCTCAAATAAAAATTACTCCATCTGTCATTCAAATCTTTTTTTTGGTTGTCATTAAAAAATATTTTTGTTTCTTTTTTAAGTAAATAATTATTATATTTTTGTACTTTTCTTTACTATAAAAAAGTAATTATTACTCATTTTTATTAAAATTCGTGCCCGATCAAATGAGCACACATTTGCATGGGGGAGTATTATTTCCTTGTCTCATTTGCTACAAAGGCCCAAATATATATTGGGCTAGGCTTTTACCAGACAGCCCATTTCGTTAGGTTAAAGATGCGGAGGGGCAAAAGTGGAATTCCAATTATGAGGGTATTTCTGTCATTTCGGGAGTCCGATGCCGCCTTCGCCCCCACGGTGACTATTTTTATTTTCAGGAATAATCCGGAGGGAAAAGAAATAGAAAAAAGAAAAAAGGGTGAATCCATGGAAGATAGCTTCAGCGTTCGCGTGGATAAGACGTTTGGAGCTCTGAGGAGCGGCGGTCAGCCGTCCGTCGGCGTCACCGCAGCCTTATGGTGCCTAACGGACGAGGAAATCGAAAGGAAGGAGTGGAATCGCGACACACTGGAGGATTTGCGCGACTGCGGCGTTCAATCGGCGCCGTCCAATATGCGGAAGCAGATGGAGATGGATCGTCAACATTTGAGCGACGAGGAGGAGGAGGAAGGGGAAGAGGATGAGGGAATCGATGGCGAGAAGAAGAAACGACGCCGGAACAATGGAGGTGGTGCTGATATTAGCGCTGATGAATATTTGGATGTTCAGTCCAATATTGGCCGAGATCCCACGCTTGACTATGAGGTATTTTAGTTTCGCTGAGATCCGATGTGTTCTTCGCTCGTACCACTTATTTTTTATTCATAGATATTCTTCGATAGTTTTAAATTATTTCTGTCAAAGTGAGATGAATGTCTGAAAATTATGAACAGTTGTATGAAACATTTTCCTTGATGATCCGATGAGTAATTCATTTCAATCTGCAGGCTAAAAAACCTTGTTAAGGATAGTAGCATATAGTAAATTCATTAGAACTTTGAAGAATAATTATACCGTAAAAAATTGGGGGAAAACTCTAAATTGCTTGTTCAAGACTAATGAAATTTGATCATGTACTTTGATGTTGCAGTGCCTTTTGACATACTTGAGAACTCTAAAACAACGATTTACAGAAAGAACATGTAACATAAACAACAGCTAATGCATATAGTGCTTAGAAAGTAAAATGGATGAAGTTAGATATGGATGTAACTACAAAACATGAACTCGAAAAAGAGAAGCCTAGCTGATATTACATCCTGGAGCGACATCGAACTGGCTATCATTTTGCATTTATTTCCTGAGATATGGATTGCAGTTTCACCTTGTTCAATTTGCCTAATTCATGCAGTCATTTAATACGAAGTTTCACCTATTTTTGCTTATTTAGGAAGAAGAAGATCAATATGACAAGGTGGCAGTTGGCGCCGAACACCAGGGAGATCGTATATACATGAAGGATGTGAAAGTTTCTGATTACGAGGTTGATGAACCCAGTGCATACGGCGAGCTTCCCAGCTCACTCCACGATGTTGTGAAAGATGCTCGTGCAAATCACACAGCTGCTAAGATGAGGCTGAAAGAAGATGCCGAGGCTGCAGGTAATTTTGACACCTTACAGCTTTCTGATGATTCAGTCGCTGCTTTTACAGAGACTGGTGGTAATCAACAAAGAGAGGACACCTGCGAAAACCCGAAACCCATACTGAAAAAGACTGAAAATACAGCCGAGTCCAGGGCCCCGAAACGTGTTCGGTTCCTGGTTGATCCTAAAATCAGTAGTACTCAGACACATGTCGTAAATCAATCAGCCGGGGCCACTAGCTCGGCATCTGATCCTAATCCTAATCCAGACGATCTTTCCCTATACGCATCTGGTGTTCCCGACTACATTAGAAACCCTTCAAAATACACAAGGTATACTTTCGACTCATCCGACGACATGGATGACAAGTCGAATCAGAAGGCATTCATGGACCTTTTCCAACGTCTGAGGAAACAAAACAGCGATTCATCAATGGACGAAACCTCAGTTGAGGTTCCAAAATCGGTGACATTTGTGCCAAAGAGGAAATCCATAGACGAGTCGACAGTGAAGAAGAACGACATTGAAGATGGTAAGAACAAGAGGTGTTCGATCAGCGCGACTGCAGAGGATGCACAGGAAAGTGAAACCTCGGCTATGGATGAAGACGAGCCCATTGATGACAGCCCCGGCGCCACCTTGGCGAAACCGGGGAGACAGTACCGGACGAGGGCCAACGTAGACGATGCGGATGAGCAATGAAAGCTGCAAGGTTCTTCGCAGCACTGCCAGGTTAGTTCATACGATGCTTTATTTTTGGTGACATTATATGTGGCCTCTTCTTGAATCAGTTGTGTTTTTTTGTTTAAAATGAAGACTAGTTTTTTAGCTGTGTGTGACTCAAATAATAGGGTTAATAGAGCTATGTGGTGTGTATTATCATCATGCATAAATTCTGTTATATATATATATATAAATTCCCTCTCTCTCCAATTACTTTATTTTAAGTTATCCAATTACAAAATAATCGTGTTAAAATATTTTTTTTTTCTAGATAAATTGAGAATTAAACTTAATAATGTTGATTTTATAATGGACTATTTTATTTTTGTGCTCTTAAAATTAAACTAGCATGACCAAATTTAATTTTACTATTTTTAATAGTATCGAATAAATAATATTTTAATTATTATTACAACACTATTATTACTGGGCGATAAAATTATTCATTTATTGCAGTATAAATAAAAGTATTTCAAATTTCACATGCTAACATAAATACATATGTTTTGTACGCCCAGTACTTTTTTCTGAGTGACAAAATTTTCAATAAATATTATAAAAAAACGAATTATTACACACAATTACATAATATTTATAATATATATGTTATATATATATTTATAATTGCTTTGTGTGTATTAGTGTAAAAATAGTAACAATTAATTTTATAATGATATGAATATTCATGAAAATTAGACTAAAACTATCATATTGAGACGAGTACTTTTTTTTTTTTTTTTAAATAATTTTAAAAAATAGATTGCACGCACCATACCCGAACACGGTCCACAAACACATATCATATTTTAATTTTCTACATTAAATTCGATGCTGACTGAATTCTACAAACAAACACAATACACACGAAATCCTGAGGGATATGGAAAAATATGACCCCAAAACAATTCACTTTAAAAAATCGTATGACTATCGCAGCTAATAAACCCCATCAAAAGTCAAGCAAGCAAGCGAACTATAAACCAGAAAAGTCTATTGAAACCATGACAGGAAGTTCATATTACAAGAAATGCGAGGATGCGGCGGGGGCGCACATGAACAAATTCCAGACAGAAGAACCATGAAAGAACAGGTAGTTTAATAATAAGAATACATTCTATAGGTTTTTGGTGAGATGAGTGAGTAATGTAATAGTAATAGTATCCTACCTCTATCCATGGTTGTTTCTCCCCATCTTGCACCAAATATCACTTTTCGATTTTGCTACTAACTTTTCCCAGAGGCCGAGACTTCAGCACTGCATACAGGGCAAACCTACACAAATGCACGACTTTATTCATTCAGTCTCATTGATATCCATCCAACAGTGTATAGAACAAAATCAAAGTAATAAATATTTCAAATTCTTACATTTAGAGTGTGTTTGGTATAGAATAAAATTCAAAGAAATGATAACTGATAATTGAATTGTAAAAAAAAAGGAATTGGCTTGTTATCATTTATTTTATGCATCTATATACAAAAAGGAAATGTACAAATTAATAATTTAAATATATACCAACCTATCAATCAATAACAATAGCAATTACTAACATGTAAAATCTTCAAATCGTGAAGACAGGAGAGAAGATTTGAAAGAATAAATAATAAAGAATGAAAATGATTTGATAAAAAAAATTTCTCTTTCACAATTCACAAATTTCAACTCTCTCCATTTCACGGTGTTATATATGAGAGAAGTAAAAGTAGGGAATAAAAAATGAATTATTTCTAAATTCTCAATTTCCAGTGGCAATTAAACAAGAGAGATATATTTATATTCCATTTCTCCGACACCAATTCTCTACACCAAACACCAAATTCATAGGCTTTAGGACATGATTTTGGATTTGTTTTTTGTTTTATTTAAATCGAATCTTTGGTTTTGAAATTTTTTTAAATGCAATGAATAATTGGTTTTTGGATGGGTTTTGGGATAAATGTGTTTATCTCAATATGGATGTAATTTTTGTAGAGAATAAATTTTGATATAACACAGTAAATAAACATATATATATACATATAACTAACATAATTGATATCATTATAGACATAAAAGTTTTAAATGAGGGGTCCCACTTCAGGAAATATTGAAAAATATGTGAGAAAATAAATTTAGAAAGTACAGTGCCACATTGTGTGAAAATGATTTGAAAGTATTAGTGCAGCACAGGCATTAATTTAATTGAGTTTCAGAATTGGCTGAAGCACACAATCGCAGGAAAACCTTGAAATAGTATAATATCACAAAGGATACAGATATACCTTGTTTATTTGTAACCAATTGTTGATGCATTCTGGATGGTATGTATGCTTGCAAGACAGAACAGTCAAGGTGTCTCCGTCTTCATAGTCCAACCTACATATGACACAGCTGAGACACAAACAAGGAAGAACAACACATCAGAGAACGGGATAAACGAAGCAAAAACCGGGCAAGTCAATTGTTTCATAAAATGAGGCCATGACTCACGAATCACTGCTTCCTTCCTGAGTGCCTTGAGATTTATAGTTCACTGAAGGCAAGGAAGCAATTGTCTCGGCAGAAAGTCCCCTGCTCTCTGTGCCGACAACATCACCTAGTGCGATTAGCTCCTGCAACATTAAGTCGATCATCACATCATAGGTGATACAATAATACAATTTGGTGTGGAACAGGAAAAAGAATATTTACCTCATATGAGAGTTCATCGGGATCAACTTCTTCCCAAGCATCCTAAAGACGTAATAAGTAAACAAGGGTCAAGATTCCGTGTTATTTTAACGTAAACAAATAGCATCCTAAAGAAAGATTAATAGCATAAGGTAAGAAGTAAACATGGGTGAGAAATCCAGATTGTTAATTATTAATAAGTAAATAATGACTCAAAGGAAATAAAAAGAAAGAAAATCAGTTATAGCAAGAACACAAAAAAGATCGATAGAATTGCTTTATGATTGAGTGATTATAGAAGTTCACTAAAGGCGATGTACTAATTGCGTCATAGATTGTTGTGTAGAAGTTGCTATAACAGAATGTCTCGACAACAGATCACTTAAATGGAAATTAATAAAGCAAAAAATTCAGTTAAATCAACTTATACACAACAATCTATGCTCAAAACATACTATTTCCAATTTGACTAAGGAGAAAAAGAGACTCTCAAACCATTTCAAATAAAAAAGTAATGAACGAGAAAAGGGTTTCGAATACACTGGTTCACCTAAACTTTTACTTTTGTCCAAAAGTGATCTCAATAAAGATGTCGTGAAAAATGCGCCAACAACAACAGATAAATTGAAATAAAAACATTAGCAAGCTATCAATTTAGCCCAATCAGCTGCCGCCATCCAATTCCCTAGACAAGTATAACATAAATGATGATATATTTGTGCTATTCTTTTCATCCCAGGTAGTACAAATTTTCTCAGGGAGAACTACTCAGACAATGATGACATAAACCTTGGGCCATCTATTTGACTAACAAAAAAGAACAACCATCCTTCCAACTTCATATTACGAACATCAAAGTCTTTTACCACATCAGCACAGAGAATCAAGGAGGACACCCAAGAAGAAAAGTGGATATACCTGAGAGTTACCATCATGGTCTTCTGCATCTTCGTCTTCATCTTCGTCATCCTCATCTTCATCTACATCTTCCCCAACAACCGCTAAAGGACCATTATATAATTCCAACAATGACATCGACAACAGAAATAATACATAACTAACAATATTAAATACTGAAAGTTAAACTCACTTCCATTTATCCCAGCTAGGGCTAACAGCCTAGCCGCCATATCTCGCTCTTCAGCATCCTGTAAGGCTCTGGCATAGGCCTCGTCGCTCGAGAAAGCAGAGGGATCCAATTCAGGAATTTGATTATCATTTTCATTCGCATGGGCATGCACATCGAATGCATCCTCTTCGTCCACCTCAACATCAGAACCTTCATAATCCTCTTCACTTGCATCATCGTAATCATCATCATAGATCTCATCTTCATGCCCATAACTCTCAGCTTCCCAACTTCCATAATCACTGCCGAAGCTAGCATCCATTCTCAACATCATATAAGCTCTTTCCTGCTCCAAAAAAAAAAAAAAAAAACACGAAAACATTAAAAGGACCAACTACAAAGATCAACGAACCACAAATCTTGCTTAACACTTCATGATTATCCAATCCAAACTACTGTTAAAACTCATTTTCAATCCATGAATGGAGCTGCAGCTATATAAACCAAATCTATTCCGAAAATTCAATAACAATACTAACTCATTTTCAAGAACTCTCTTTAAGATTCATGATAACCATTACAAAGAGATGCAACAACAGAAAATGAACATTTTAAAAAAGACACAAACGAATAAAAAGGATCTGGAAACGCAACGGTATGTAATTCGAGTCGCAACGCCAAACACCCCCAAAACCCAAACTAGGTCAGAGCTTTATATCCCCGTTCACATTTTATGGCCACCGGAATGGCAATCAATCTATCTACTCAATCAAATATTAAAGAATCTTATATAATAACCCTAACAGACAATTCGCAATCATAATCGAAAAGAAAGCGGCATAGCATAGCATCCGAAACGAATAATCTAACCTGTTCTTGGAGAGTACGGGCAAGGGCAAGATCCGCATCCTCTTGACTGAGGTCCGTAAAGGGGGTTCTCCGCCGGCGATTCGCGCCACCATCCCCTCCTCCTCCATTCTGTAGATTATTATTGTTGTTGTTAATACTAGGGTTTTGGTCTCCGTTGGCCGCGTCGGCGGCGGCGTTGTCGGCGGGCTTGGCATTGGAATTGTCCATCTCCCTTCCACAAGAAACCCTAAAATCGAATCGAATTGCAAAAGGCAAAGAAGCAAAGGGGAGAATTGGTGGGCGAGGCGACGAGCGGAAGGATATTCGAAATTGATGGAAGTATAATTTTATATTATATATATATATATATATTTATGAGAGAGAGAAAAAGAGACGTATAAGAAAGCGGAGGGGTGTATCGTTTTGAAGGTGAAATTCGTACTTTACAATTTACATAAAAATAATAATACCTGTATCGCAAAGTATTACATTCAGCTGAAATTTACTATTCGAATAACGATTGCAGTTCTTACGCCATAAAAAATAAAAATAAAAAAAAAATAATAATAATAGGAATTTTGGTCAAGGAGAAAAGAGCTTTGGGAGTTCCTAGAAATTTTAGAATAATAAAGAATTAATATTTTACTCAAAAATTATTTAATATGACCTTTTTAAAAAATTAAAACAATAACAAATATTTCAAAAAAAAATAATAAAAAAAAAATACTACCTCTTTTATATGATTTTGTATATAAATATACTATATCTTGTGCCGTTCAAATTTTAATTTTTTTATTTGTCATGAAAGATTATTTAATTTTATTTATTATAAATAAAAATATATTATTCTTTATATTTTTATTATAAAAAAACTATTATTTTTTAATTAAAATATTACATCTATACTTTTTTTTTCTTAAATAATCATCGACAATTTTTTTCTTGGTATTTGATTTAAATTGTTTTATTGTATAAACAATATTACATTAAAAATACTTTTTTCTAAAACAAGCACACCTTATGGATTCAATGGATTTGTTTGAAATTGAGTTTACGAAATGCATGTAGTTTTAAATACTTTTGTCTTTTTAGTCGAAAATTTAATAAGGATTGATTGCATCGCATGTACACAGTTTTAAAAGTTATTTTAATCGTGGAAATTCATTGAAATAAATGCATAAAATGAGTATTGTTTTAAGGTATTAAATAAAATATAGTTTCAAATTTTGTATTTGCAGTCAAAATTTATGAAGGAATTAGTTGAATTGCTTCTAGTTTCAAAATTTTGTATTTATTCATCTAATAATGGGATAAAAGTGAATGTTACCCATTAAATTAGATATCAAAGTGTACTTTTGAAGCTTTTAGTCCCAAAATTTGTTTGTTAACTAGATAATATAGTTACTGAAAAAAAAAAATATAAAATAAAATATTTTGTTATAAAAATAAAAAAAAAAAATAATTTATTAATGGAAACACACGAACTATTATATAACCCAATATTGAAAATGAGAATGTCACCATTGTCCTTAACAAACTTCTAACGACTAACAAACATTGTTCATATCTTGAATGGTAAGAAATGAAATTTCACATGTATTACATTGAAAATACATTGCTATAAATTTTGTACATTCTAATATTGGACGAGGAATTATAACCATGGTAATATCTTCATTCCCTTTTTTACGTAAATGATGTTCATCTGGGTGAGCGAGCGGAAGATCACTCACTAAACGACGGATACTGAGTCCAGAAGTTTGTCTATGTACTCCTTGAGTTTAGCCTTAGTTATTGCGCCTTCCCTCCTGCTGTCGGCGACAACCTGTCCATTTTGGAAGAGGATCAATGTTGGCAACCCGTACACCTTGTATTCCTCAATCAGTCGAGGGTTCGAGTCGTGATCAATTTTCACGACACTCAATCTGTCTTGGTATTCCTGAGGGTGACAGAGAAAATTGAGTTAGCGACGGGTATGATGCATCACCCCCGGGAACAATTTGTTGCCTCAGCTTGGTTTCTTAGGAAGCAGAATAATCTCTAAATACTAGAAATAGAAGCAGAAAAAACCAACATAAATCTCATCACATTACAACAGAAGCTATGATAATTTTCGATCAAAATCCAAGGTGAATTAAGCTCATACGTCCGAACAAATTTTGTATTAGAAGATGAATTTGCTTAAAAGAAACAAATTGGTTTGTTCACCCACCATTGTCTTGACATAATTCTCGATAAATATTAATAAAAACTACAATATATACACACATTCATACAATACAAAAAATATATACTTTATTTCATCGTAAAAAAATCACTCATTCAATAAAAAATATTATTTTATTTATATTATCGACATAATTCTTCGTGTTACCTCACACAAAAAACTAACTCAAACTAAAGCACTAAACAAACAAATCCGATAATTCTTACGATTTTTGGCATGTTATAGCTAAAACTGAACTTATAATATGAACACAGAAAGATAATTTTAGAAGATGAGTTAGAAAATATACAAATAGAATGCAAACACAGCGGAGTTTAATGTCACAACGACAAATTCCATACCATACTATGCTTCTGATCAAATCAATACTATTCTACGATTTTATCTATATATGATTTCAGTTGCTGTGTACAAATTCTAGAGAACCTGTCGACACACCTAATGATCAGTTACATGAAATCAACAATCGCAAAGGAGCAAAGTAACAGATGCTGATCGGCTTGCTTAACATGCCAACATGGCATTTATAGGAACCTAAGGCAGCTTGTGGAGGGCGAGTCAAGTAAAGATAATGAACATATACAATGGTAATGAATTGGCAATGTTCCATCACTGTGTTAAAAATCAACTCAAGGTACTCGACAAGTTAGATAGAATGATCCAATTTAGATTTACTTTAAACTCGGTGATCATATAGAGAATTTACTCAAAGCCAATACAGAAGAGATCTGGCACTCAGGTCATCAAAATTAACAATCTCCTAGATGCTGGAGTCACAAGAACAAGCTACTAGGTTACACACAGTGCATTCACAAATCAGCATCTACAACTGGATCTTACTCAATAGACATTCCGTTGAAAATTTGTTAAATTCGAGTAGCCTATTTCAGTATGATGGTTACAAAAGCACGGCTGGGACAAGGATTATTTTGTAGTAATTGTTGAGCAGCCACAGAAAAGTCTCAGGTACTCTAAGAAAAAACCCATTCAGATTGTTATTTATTTTAAAGTAGTTATAACATCAATTGAAAAAATTAATATAAAACACATGACATGGCATAATATAGAATAGCTACACATCTTTTACACTTACATACATATTTTAAACACATAATAATACACTTTTGTATATATATATATATAACAAACAAACAATAATTCAACAAACAATACCTAACTAAATATATATATATATATATATAAACCAACCAATCCTTTGAAATTCAAATCCAAAACCCATGACTAGGAGATGGATTCACAAGAATTGAATTCCTGTAGATACCATAAATGGCATAGACACTTGATTTTATTTTATTTTCAAAACCAGTATAAATTAAAAGAACTCAAAATCAATCCACCCTAATTCATAGGGAAATGCAGGGTATGTGCTTTTTCTTCGATACCAATTTCACATTAGCAACAAAACCTTCTACAAAGGGATTGTTCTTCTAAAATACACAATTCTCAGTAAAAGAATTTTACGAAAATTTCCAAATAAAAGTACATTTCTTTTTTCACAAAATATAACTATTTTACCCTAAACACTCACAATTCCCTGAAGCATTTTCACCATTTCCCAACTTTTTACTATTCTCACCATTTTTCCAAACTACAAAGCTTTCAAAATTTCTATCTAAAGGGCTTACTCGTTAAAACAATTCTTGCGCCATCATTGAACAGAAGCTAGCTTCAGAGGATACTTAGATGGTCTGCTACTAATGATTTTAATCAATATTCATGACTCCAAAGTACTTTTGTAACAGAGTTCCTGCACAGCTGAGGCAATTCTTCCCTTCTCCACAGATGGAAGTATAACTATAACATATGCACAATTGTACGTATATCCGTATTTTTAAGGGATAAATAGAAAAGGAACAAAACTTGTGGCAGAAAATTCATTGAAAACAAAAATAAACACAAAAATCAAAGAAGAAATAATTCCACAGTCAAGGATTTTAACCGCAGTCTCTCACCTGAGCAAGTGATTGAATAGCAGGGGCAATCAAACGGCAGGGGCCGCACCATGTGGCGACGAACTCGACAAGGACGGGGCGTTCCGACTTCAAAACGACCTCGGAGAACTGACTCTCATCAATCTCCTGCACTGTGCCGCCGCCACCACACCTAATCACGACGGTCCCCAACGGCCGGGGCTTTCTCAGATTGCGCAACGAAACCTTATTGCAGGCAATAAACGCGGATTTAGAAGGTGAATACGAAGTGGAACGATTGAAAATGGCGCCGGTTGGCGGAATCAGTGCGCGAACGGGCGGAACGGAGTTGGAAACCGCCCAGGTGACGGTTATCGGCATGGCGGATAAGAGAGATCGGAGCTTTTCTGATTCGTTGAGTATCCATTGAGTGGCGCTTGTATTTTTATTTATCACTTTCTTTTATTTTCGGTGATAAAAGAAAAAAAAATGTTTACTTTACATTATACTACTCCTATAAAAAATTATTTCAAAAAATATATACATTTTAAATAATACTAACTTCGTGGTATAATAGTTAGTTGACCCATTTTTGTAACAAATATTATAGAAAATAATAATAAATTATGATATTGATATTTTATTATTTTTATGTGAATATTTATATAATTATATTGATATTTTTAAAGAATAAATTTTATATAGTAATTTTTAAAAAATATTTTTATTTATTTATAATTGCTTTAGTATATAAAAAATAGAAAATTATAAATATAAAAGAATTTATGAGAGCTATGAAAGAAATTAAAATTTTAATTAAATTATTTCATATTTTTAATATATTTAATATTGATAAAATTATTAAAAATATAAATATATCAATTATTATGAGATAAAATATTTTATTTTATATTGTTAATTTTTCATTACACATATATAATATTAAATTTTAATTTTTTAATAGAACAAAATGTATAGTTATATTTTTTAACACATTATTTTCAAATTTTATTATTTTAATTTTCAGTTTCTAAAATATATACTTTTAACAAAATATTATTTAAATACAAAATAATATAAATCAAAAGCACCTATAACAGCCAGGAAACTCTACAATCACAAGTCCTTTTAGGGTGTGTTTGTTTGGGGGAGTAGATTAGATTTACACTATTCATCCAATTTTTTTTTCTAAAAAATATTAAATCAATATCTATTTTTTATTTTTTATATTATACTAAAAATCAATTTTACATTCAAAACGTCACATCAATATCTATTTATATCTCATCATACAACTATTCAAATTTAAAATTTTTACTATTCAAATTCCAACTCAAAATCTGAATCCCCAAATAAACACACCCTTGTTTACTTTTTGATATTTTAAACAATTGTGTATTTTTATAATTAGGCTCGAATGTAATTTAGGCACGGTGTAATTGCATATAATAAATAAAGCTATAAGTCTCATGCTCGTTTTGATGGACCGAAAGGAACAAAGACAATATATATATGAATAAAAAATACTCCAGTTCTATTCAGCCTTTGATTAGGAAACAGTATTTAAGGTAAGATGTTTAATTAATTAATAATAATTAATTATTATATTATTATATTATTTTTTTATAATTAATACTTTCTTTTCCCGAATTAAATATTCAGTTGCTTTTTGTATGTAGTTTTATAAATATTAGTATTATATTGAAATATAGTAGAAATGACTAAAATAATCTTATTAGTATGTGTCATATAAAGTAATAGCATTTGTGTAATATATTGTAAGTTGTAAGAGTATTTGTAATGTTAGGGAAATTGATACTTTGTTATGGGACGGACTAAAATAGAAAAATAGATATGTTGTTATGGGACGAAGAGCGTAATATTTATAATTTTAAATAAATTTGATATATGATTAAAAAAAATAAAATATATGTTTAAATATTTAAAAATTATAATATGACAAGTAAATAAAAAAAATATTTTTATTTATTCATAATTAACATAAATTAATAAAAATAGAAATAACATAATTTTGAGTGGATCCTAAGTTATTTATAATGTAGTAATATTTATTAAATATATTTTAATTTAATAATTTTAAAAAAAAATAGAAATGTGTCAATTGTGGTGGAACAGAGAAAGAATATACATCGATACATCGAGATAACATAGAAAATAAAAAGTAAAAACTGATTGCTCTATTATTTCACAAAACAATCACAAAATCTAGCCCCAATATAAAAACTTTTGAAAATTTGAAAAAATTTATGAATAATAAAAAACTACTATACATAAATATATATATATATTGGAAAAATTTCCATTAAAAACGCTACGGTCAAGCAAAAGAACGCAATAACCAGTCCAAAACGGAATAAAAGTTGGGATTCTGATGAGGACACTCAACGAGTAGTTGTGAAAATTGTAATAAACCTGATGACATGACCATAACAAAAGAAAAGCTTTTGGCAAAGTGTAACTAAATAAATAAAAGGGCATTTAACCTTGCAAAATACTGCTGCTACTGACTCTGTCCATTCATTCATTTTTCTATCAGACTCCCGTCCCGTCCTTACAACTTCTTTGCATTTAGCTGAATGTTCGGTTGAGTATCTACGTGTATGGATGGACACATATATTGCTTAAATTGACCGCCAGATGCTACAAATGCATAGAAAGCTGTCATTGTGCAGGCGCTAATTGCTTCAGCTTTGCTTGTAGAACAGCCCCAGCCTCGTCTGCTACACTTCTCTTTTTGGTCGCAACCTGCAATTTTATGATGATTGGGTGAAAATTGTCTAGCTCGGGTATTGATTTGAGAATTCAAATGATTGATAAATAGTTAAGATGGGCCAACATTCGTTTTCATTTGAGAATGTATTCTAAATCAAGTCGAATTCATTAAAATCAGATGATCTGATCCCAGAAAATATATTGCATTCAATTATATACAGTATTCTTTAAAACTAATATAAATTACTGTATCAATTCAATCGGCAGAATCACAAGGTTAAATCCTATAGAACTAATCTGAAAAATGTAAGGTGTGTTTGGACAATAATATACGCCGTGAAAATTTAATAGATATTGACTCAAAAATAGATAAGGTTCTGTTTAAGTGCAGGTTCAAAATTTTAAACTAAACAGCAACACTCACTGGAGGTGTTTCAGCAAATTTTGCGAGTTGGTAACTAAACACATTGCGGTGGCTCGTAGCCCAATGTCCTTCAAATCTCCATGTTACAGAAAGATAAAGGTTTAAGCTAAATTAAATAAAAACTACAAGGAGTAAGTTCGTTGGCACAGAAGGATTTTACGAGTACTCATTTACTATATATGGATGACATAAGTCCAACAAACCATAGTATGCTATTATTCATCATAGGTTATCTCAAAGTATGAAATAAGTGAGCATAATAAATGCGTACCTCAAGAAGTTGATCATAGTTGGACTTTAGCAAGGAAATTTTCCGCTCACAGTAGTCTTTACCTTCTGCCATTGTTTTCTGATCAGAGCAAAGAGTGACAGTTAGTGTAGGCTTGGAGATTGTTACCCAAAGAAAGTTACAGAACTAACAAAACAGGATAAGGTAGGTGCAGCAGAAGTACCACTCTAACTACACAGCCAAACAAAACACAAACTTATATGGCTCATCTAATGTCTCACAATCAGCTCTTCGGCTTATTCTTATAATATTTAAACACTCATTCACAGTAGATTAAAGAACCTAAATCTTGCTAATAGTTTGATATGACAGAAACTTCAAGAGTAAAATCCTAATAATGTTAAGGATTGCCCTAATCCAACACCAGGCAATAGTTAGCATCAAACGTGTGTCTCTTTGCAGCCTATATTGGGTTTGGAAAATTGAGTTTTCTATTTAGATAAGATCTAACATGATATTTTGTAAGATTAAAAAAAATAATTTTTTTCAGGTAACATGGAATCCAAACAGTAAAAAATTAAAAAGAAACACTCTACTCCCCAAAGTAACTTTCATAACTAAGTGAAACTCTAAGGAAATATCTACAGGAGTGGATGTTCTACAGGTTCCTGCTGTAATACATATTCCTGCGATACGGCAAGCATCATGTTGCTTCTTTCTATTTTATTCAAGCAAATCAGCACTAGGACGTCATTGCCGCTAATTCATATCATTATTAAACCCTTTGAAAAGTGGTCTAGCATACATAAGTACAGTTCAAGTTCAACACCCACCCAAGATTAACAATGGTATGCAAATGAATCAGTGAATATAACCCTAACAAGTACTAAAAGCCTCAAAGGACTATCTCACACAGCAGAAGCAAAATTCATCATCTATAATTGTAAGCTGCATAACTAGGTTTGTTTCAAACTGAGAAGCCTATAAGTTACACAATGCATCTTAACCTACAATGACCTCAAGAGTAGAATTCAATGGATACTACAAGTGCACATATAACATTTAAGCCCTAAGAGCTGAACATGGATATTCTATGTAATGTTTTTTTAAGCCACGGAGTTTTGTGCCTTTTAACATAAGATATCCTCCAATTTGCTTTCATGACTTCTCAATTTAACTTCCATACCTTAAATGCATAAATCTGAATACCAATATGAACAGAGAGTGCTGATATTCGTGAGGAAGCCAGTAAAATAAGAACATAGATCTTTGAATTCAATTTCAATGCAACCTTAGTAATCAAACTACCAAAAAAACAAAACGAAAACGAATACTACCGAAATCGTAGGCCATCTAAATCATAAAGGGATAAATTTATCCAGAAGCCAACCTCAATGAAATAACCAGTGCCTACATCAACCAAGACGTTATCCGCATCGTCCAGCGTTCCAGGCACGTATAGCGACGCCGTCAAGGGCACAAGCATCTTCTTTCCTGATAAAAATAACCATAAAAAATTCAAAAGAATTAGATCCTAAAAAACAAATAAAAACTGGTATAAACCTTTTCTCCGACAAACAAAAACTCGGAAGCGGCAAGCGACCTTTAGGTCGGACAGAGAGGTCCTGGAGGGCAGTGGAGGCGATCTCGAGACGAGCAGTAGCGCTGCGGATGTTGTTGAGGCTATCCTGGAACAGATTGACTTCCAGATCGGCTTGCTCTTTGAGCCCCTTCAGCTGCTCCACGCTCATCTTGTCGATCTCCATTCGCGACGAAGCCGCCATTGCTCTGCAACTCGTCGGTCTACTCGGTCCTCTCCACACTATGGCAGCATCCCTATATATATATATGTAACTCTATAAAATATATATATATTTAAAAAAATAAAAAAAGCGTTAAAGTCAATGCCCCTATAGCTCAGTGGTAGAGCGTCAGTCTTGTAAACTGAAGGTCTGTAGTTCGATCCTGCATGGGGGCATATTTGTGATTTTGTTTATTTTAAAAATTTCATTAATAAATATTTTGATTTTAATAGTAAAATTTTGAATTGAAATAATTATTTAATTTAATATAAATATGTATTAACATGATCTTTGGAATGTAAAATAAAATTATTTGTATAATATAATAAATAAATAATAGATGTGTAATTTGATATTAAAAAAAAAAAATAAAAATAGGACGAATAAACAGACTTGTCCCCAATGTTTTAAATAAATAAAAATTAAGCGTTGATATTTAAAAAAAAAATTAAAATAATAAAATAAGGAATAAAATATTATAAGTAATACACTCATAATTTATTAAAAAAAAAAAAAAAAAAAGGAAGCGATAACTGTTTGCAATATATAGGTAAGCTCGGGCCACTTCGTCCATGGCGTCCTTTCACGTTCACAGGGAATCTTCCACACTTCCTTCTGCAATCTTTCCCAGCCCTAATCCGATCGATGGAGCCACCGCACGAGCACCACCATGTCCACCACGAAGGTTCGCCGGCAACTTTCCCTCCGTCGACCGTCTGCGCCAACTGCGGCGGGCCGACCTCTATGCCCGCGCCGCCGCCTCCCTCCGACACCCCCGCCTACATCCCCATCCGCTTCCCCGCCGTGAACCTTCCTAACCCCCCGGCCAACACCCGAGAAGTCATTATCCGCACCCCTGTACCCCAATCGGAGAAGGTGGAGCCGATCACTATCCCCCACGAATTCACCGTCCCTTCCAAGAGGATCCGCTCCGCGGAGGATCTCGCTCGGTTCCACTCCTCCCCGTCCTTCCGCAACTTCATCGGCTTCGTCGTTTCCCTCTCCGAGTCCATGAAATCGCGCAAGCTCTCCGATCCGTGCCATGTCTCCTCCGCCGTCGAAACCCTAGTATCTATTCTTCAGAAGCTGGTCGATTACGTGGATGAAATCCCTCCCGCGCCGCAGGCTGCGCGCTATGGGAACGTTTCCTATCGCGTTTGGCACGAGAGAATGAGCGATGAGGCCGAGTCGTTTATGCTGAGTCTCCTGCCTGAAAATCTTCGGGATGCAACCGTAGAACTTGTCCCATATTTCACTGACAGCTTCGGCAATGCCACTCGCATCGATTACGGTACTTTTTTCAAGCTGCATCTCATAATTTTAGCTGGATAGGGTTTCAATTGCTTGTTAACTTTCGTGTTATCAGTTGAGTGATCTTTGAGCTGCACGCCACTTATAATTCTGTTTTATGTGTTCTACTTAATCCACAAAAGAAACCCAATCCATAATTTAGAGAATTCTTATGATTCTGTTGTGTCATCGAATAGGCACTGGTCATGAGACAAACTTTGCAGCATGGTTGTATTGCCTGGCAAGATTGGGTGTACTGAGAGAAGACGATTATCAGGCTTTGGTGTCGAAAGTGTTTGTGAAGTACATGGAACTGATGAGGAAGCTGCAGCTTACTTATAGCTTAGAGCCTGCAGGATCCCATGGTGTATGGGGACTGGATGACCATCATTTCTTGCCGTTTATATTTGGATCATCTCAATTGATTGACCACAAGTATATGAAGCCAAAGTCGATTCATAATGAGGATATTTTAGATAATTTCTCAAATGAATACATGTATCTATCATGCATTGCTTTTGTGAAGAGGGTTAAGAAGGGATTGTTTTCAGAACACTCACCTATGTTGGATGATATTAGTGGTGTTCCTAATTGGAGTAAGGTGAACAGTGGGCTTCTAAAGATGTATAAAATTGAAGTTTTGGAGAAGGTTCCTATTATGCAACATTTTCTCTTTGGCTCAATGATCAAATGGTATGCAGCCTTTTCTTACTGTTTCTTAAAGTTTGACTGGTGTGTATTTTACTATGTGATTTGGGATTATTGTTTAGCCTGTCCCGATGTTTCTGCTTGTTTTCTTTCTATATTTTTGCTTATTCTGGACATACATCCATAAAAAGTAAACGCTAGGGATAGTTCAAACTTTCTTCAATAGAAGTGGCTAGAGTTGTATCAGGCTTATGTAGAATTCAACATTTCAATTTGTATGTTATGGCTTGTTGTTTAGGCGGAACGTCCCTCCCATACTTCTTGAACTACAAGTTGATGCATGATTTTAAACATGTTTATAGCCGTTGCGTATAAATTGCATTCCATAAGCAACAAGATACAATTTACACAGACATGCATGATACTATAACCACAACAACACTTAGTTAGTCTTGCGTATTTATATATCCAGCACTTTCAAGAAAAGGATAGAGGACAATGTTCTAAATACATCCATAAAACTTCTGTTGCAATTTGTAGGTTGTACATGTGAACAAACTAGAACAAGCTATCTGTGTTGGCTTTCACAAACTTTTGTCTTTAAAAGGTGGTCGAGTGTCTTGTCCATTAAAAGATGCCAGCAATTTAATGCTCTGAGATGAGGAAGGCAGTGGCTTATTCCTTTATAAAATAGTGGACCTAGTTGTAGGCACTGGCACACTTCTTTTTTTTAAATTTATTTTTAGTAAGGACTACCCTTTTGACTTTCATTATCCTGGTTTATTTGATCTTTTAATTATCTTTCTTATAAGAAATTAGTGTTGCAAGTACCCCTCTTATGATTTTAATCAGTTAATTACCGAGAAGCTTACCAATGTCTTAAGCCTAACTCAATTTTGATTTTCATATGTAATTTAGTACTTCAAAATTTGGTAAGGCTTCACTGCACAAGTGAAAGCTGTTCATTGTTAGTTAGATTGGATTCTGGGAACTGAACTGTGTACAAACATAGAAATGTTGACAATGAATTATGGAAAATGAACAATTGAGATGGTGGATGTAGCAGTGGTAATGATTCCCTTTTATGAAAAAGGAATGGAATGCATGTTCATTATGGATATTTTATTATGTGTAGTTGGTGTTTATAAATTTTATTAGTTCGTAGCTATATTTCATGTGTCGGTCCTCTACCAGTGTTCCAGTAATCCTATGGTAAAACTGCTCTATCTACAAAACAAAGCACCATTCCTGTGTAAAAGTATCTGCTGTTATTAAACGCATGATCAGCCTCATTTGAGGAAATGCTGCGGTTTTAGACAAATCGAATGTCAAAGTACGTGGTTGGGGCAATTTATTGTGGTTTAATATACTGGAAAGTTAACTAGAATCTGCTCGCTATGCGCTGATTTATTAGTAGTTCAACTGGATTCCTGCCTATCATTTACATTTTTTTTTTCAATTATTTTATCTCTCTCTCTCACCTCTCTACCGAATCCATTTTTCACCATTCTGTTAACCCTTTTTTCCTTCTGCAGGGAGGAATGAGTAGTGGGAGGCAGATGTTCTGCTCAAGACTATATGGAATGCATCAGAAACTAGACGACCTCTCTTTTGTTTTCATCAATTTTCTGTAAAGCTAATATGACTGGGAGTCAGCCAGCTGTTAGTAACTTCTCCAGAGCCGTGATGCTTTTAGTATGATACCTATGGACACATTTAGGCATGGAAAAGGGGAGCAGAAGCTTCTTGTAAAGAAGCGCATATACTATATCTGCTCAAATATATGTACCCTCCCCTTGGCCCGTAACTATTATTTCTTTAGTACTAAGAACTATCTTGTCGCATAATTCACATGTTCTGTAATTTGCATATTTTTGTACCTGTATGTGTGTACTCATTTGTTATCCTTAATAATTTTGGCTTTACATTCTAATCCTACTCTTTAAGATTATTGACAGAGGCAGGATAGGAAAATTGTTTGCTTTCTCAGTACAATTGCTTGCAGATGGGCACTATGTGTCATGATTTGCATACAGAATTCAGCGCAGCCAACAAGCTGGAAAGAAAACCCAGCGGACAGATTACATTCAGTTCCAGTTGGCGACAATGTCAGCAAGATCAACCACTCTCTGTGAGTACCCTCATTTGATGTCAAGCCAGGGAATCACCTTCACCATGCCATTTTCCATCACCATAGTCAGGGAAGCATCCATGGTTGATAACACATCACTGCACCTGAAGTCGACAGACACAAGGGGGTCATTGCACACTGACAGGATACCATTCAGCTCCTTGTCGGAAGCCACCCTGAATGCGGCGTTCACTTCCTCTGTGAATGTCTTCTTCTCAACCTGCACCACCAGGTCCACTACTGACACATTGGGTGTGGGGACATGCAGAGCGATCCGGTTGAGCTTCCCTTTCAGCTGGGGCAGGACTAGTGCAACTACCTTGGCTGAATGTGCTTCCTGATGCCATCTCTGTCTACAAATACTCCAGTTCCTTCGATCACAAGATCGATCCCTAAATCCCTGCCAATATCCCAAAGAAGAGTTGCATGCCCATCTCACTTTAAAAGTTTAAACTGTTATACCTTGTGAATGATGAAGTTTTTCTGCTTACTTCCAGGGGAGGTAACAGGGTTGCAATCAGAGACAACTTGGATGACCTCGCCATCAACAGAGATAGTGTCATTGCCTACAGGCTTGACGTCTGCATTGAAAATGCCACGGTTGGAGTTGTACTTTAGGAGGTGGGAAGCTGAGTTGTACTTTAGGAGGTGGGAAGCTTGCTTGACACCAGCAGTGTTGTTGATGGCAATGACGATGAGGGGGTTATCTTCTTGAGAAAGTTATGCTTGACAACAGAGATAGCATGCTTGTTTTACTTGGTTATCTTCTTGAGAAAGTTTTGAGATCTTTCTCGATAACCCCACTATTAAAGCGGTTGTTAATAATTGAAAATCCTCCTGTCGAGTTCTTTCTTTTGTTTGAAGGAAAAAATATTATGTACAGGGTTTAGAGTTTAGCGTTGCCTTTCTTGCTGTGGATAAGATATGTGCAGTGAAGTAAATGACATCCAGTTCTATTTCATATTCCATTCTTTGTGTAGTTACCCACCCAATATATCTGGTTTAGTTTTGCAAAATTCAATGTTTTTCTTAACTTGGGACAATATTTTGTGAGTTCAACCTTGAATTGTGTCTGAAGAAACTTGCCTTTGCACTTACAACATGCATCAGAAGAAGTAGGCACTTTTATCATTACTTCCTAGTGCAGCTCATCAATCAGGCTTTACCATTTAGTTATTGGTACTTGAAGTTTGGCATAAAGGGCCTGTTTCTTCACATACTATTCTGGCCTGGAAAAATGTGAACATTCACAAAATGATGATCTGAAATCATACCAAGTTTAATTTGTGCGCAAAATGTGCTGGTTTTCATGTTACTACTAACCTCTCTCAGGTTTTACTCCCTTTCATGCTTGGCATCCATGCACTTCTCTATTATTGTCCTATTTCAAGGAGAAATAATCTCTAACATCTTTTATTTAAACATGAGATCCACATTACATCATATTTACATATCTGTACAGATACGGAGTAGAGCTAGCGTCTACTGTTAAACACAAACAGATATCATTTGAATATTTCAGCTGGAAGGGCTCATCTGATTTGTTGGATTGCTTGCTGGATATACTTAAAAGTCCTTTTGTAATTTAGAAATCCCATGAACCAGAAATCAAAATTGTCCTCTGTCACGAGTTGCATGTACTTCTGTTTTGGTTTTGCCACATTCTCACTTTCACAAACTCTATTTATTTTCCTTATGGGGATCATCACCTGTGAATATAAGAAGTCAAGCACAGTTCATTTTCTACCTTTTTGATCGTCGAGTTATTGAATGTATACTTGACTTGTTTCAATCAACGATTGTATGTAATCTAACCTACCTTGTAATGTGCTCTTAGAGTCTTTCCAGTTGGAGCAGTGAGTTTGATGCATCTCTCACTGCAGAAGGCAATTCTATGATCAGAAACAAAGAGGAGTCCAGCTATAGGCCCACCTGTTGTTGATAAATAGCATTGCGAAGCCCTCAACAACTTCTCATCATCACTGGTATTGAACTTGTGCCTGAACACTTTGTCTACTCCTCCAACCTGAAAGATTCTGGCCCCCAGGCTTAACTTCCCTTTCACTGTTTCGCTTAGGTTTGGTCCTAATCTCACTGCACACATCACATATGAATCTGCTTCAGAACATTTGAACATATACAGTAAAGAGTTTATGTTTATGTGTAAATTTTGTGCAAGTACTTACTGTGTTCTCGTACTCCTTGAGCGAAAATGTCCATGGTTTGCCCTAGTTTGATCATCTTAGCCAAAATTGAATCTACACTACCTGCATTCCACCAGATAATAGAAGTAAAGATTAAGATCAAGCAGACCAGTTCTGAACTATTGATTGAGAAACAAGGATTCTTACTGTATCTGATCTTGGAATAATGTTTGGAAGGAGAAGGATGGAGCTGGTATTGTGTAGAAGGATCATGTAAAAGTTCTTTCAGAGAGTTCTTATGTGCAAATGCATATTCCAACGAGGTGATTGGGATCCCAATTAGGTGCTCCTTATGCATGCTCTTGCTCTGCTTTCCAATTCTAGATCTGCTCTGTTTTATCTCCATGTATATGTGTATTCTATATGTGTTTCAGCTTAATATATCTTCTGTTTCTTTTCTATTGTTGCTTCGAGATATAATATCTCAAGGAACCCACCATGAACACTACTCTTTAACCAGAAACTTGCTCTGATTCAAGTTTTCTCAGGATTGCCTTATTTATAGGCAAAAAAGTAATGTTTGTTTGGGTTTCAACTATTTTCAGTTGCATGAATCAGTTGTGGATCATCAAAATTAAAGTTGCAAATAGCTCCTGAACAATCTTTTTGACATCAGAAAGTTGGCATTTCTTCTTTACATTGTATGTGTGTCTGTATCTATTTTAGTTTATTCTGATTGGCAATAGGGCCCAAAAGTAAACAGTTTTAGAGACACTGTTTTGGTAGGCATTGTGTTTTTTTATTGTTTTTTTATTTCTCCTTTTATGGCTGATTTTTACATGTGGCAGACACCAGGTTTGTGATAAGCTTTCTTTTTATGTAGCTCATATTTTACTGGTTAACTATTACTGTGATAAGGTGTGGTGCTTATGCTGTTCTGAACTGGGATTCTGCTTTGTGATGTAACTGCTAACACCAAGTGACACAGAGATGCATTTTTGGTCACCATAGGACTGCTTTGCTGATAATATAGAATTGCATACGATGTGCTTGCTCAGACTAGCTCTTTGCAGAAATAGATTAACAAATAAGTCAGAATTGATGGTTACATTTAAGTACTATTGTCATCATAAATATAAAAATATTGCATTTGTATGTGCACGCCATTTGTGAGTATGTGTGCCCCTGTGTGTGAGGACTTTAATATTTTTGCTGAAGAGGATGAGGCAAAGAAAGTGCAAAATGTCTGCTCACATGGTAGTCACAACCTTGAAAGGACCTATATCTATCTTAAAAGCTTTAATCAGACACAGAAAGTGAGATAAAATATGCAGGTAATTAGTGGTGTCAACTTTTCTGTTTATTGTTTCACCTGATTTCCTTTCCTTTTTACAGCCATAGCTTTTACCATCTTGAAGGTGTTACTAATTAATCCTGTTTCTTTTTCTCATTCTTTTTTCCTTGTCTGTATTTCTAGAGATCTTTTAGTATTCAGAAACTCAATATCTGTACTGTTAAGTCTTGCATTACATATTAGTGTTATGCATTATAGTGTTCTATCAATGCTCCATTGATAGTTCGAACAATCTTTGGCACAGCCGGAGCAGAAAGTAGCAGAAACAACAGGTATGATTGATGTTAGAACAATATCAAGAAAAGTAAGGGGAAACCATGGGACTTTTCTAGAACTCTTCAAGATCATTCCAGCTTGCCTTCAAGAACATAAAAGCTATATCCTAGAGAGGAAATTTGTGCTCCAAATATTTAACGCACTCTCCATTAGATAAGTATCAAAATATTCGTAGTTTAATTTTGTCAATCACTAAGAATGTTTTGATAGGTTTTGGGTAGTGATTTTGTTTGAAAAAACACATGTTAAATATCATACAGTTGAGGCTTGTTTCGCATTGAAGAGAGCTGGGAGAGATTGCCTTTTCGAAATGCCATAAAGGCGTAAATAAATGATTGGCTTCGAGGTCAATCGTTGTATGAGTTGATCATTGTTGGATGTTGTGTCCCCCATCATAGATCCATTTTTGTCATGTATATTTTAGAACCTTATTTGAGACACTTGAACAATTGCTATTTTATATCAGAAGCCTTTTTCCAGCTATTACTAAGGTCACAAGAAGAGTTGGTTTTCATCGAGATTACCCGGTTTAACCATGTATTGCATCCTGTTTGAAGTACCATTTGGTTGGAGCTCTAACAAGATATATAACCTGATGAATGTCTTCATTAACTCTATTTCACACTAATCAGATACTTGCTCTGATCCAACTCCTGTCAGGTTTATTTATAGTTAAAGAAAAGCAAAGTGGTTGCTTTGGTCAAATGAATTCAGTTGGATGAGTCAGCTTTGAATCATAAAGGTGAAGAGATGATCTTTTGAACAATCTTTGACATCATAAAGTTGGTTCTTCGTTATATTTCCATTTTCATTCCTTGGTGGCAGCTCAAATTAGCAGAAAATTGTGTGCAAGGTATGGAGAAGATACATTCTTCACTTCTTTAGTAGCTGCAGAGATATTAGATTTGATAATTGTTCTTTATCTCTTTGGAAGGCTCAATTTTTATATATGATAACCAGAGGCTGACAGGCTGTGATTAAACCTTTCTGAGCTTGACAACCCACAATCACAATAGCTAGTATTAATATGATAGCCACTGGTGCTTATACTTGAGCTGGCACCTTTGCTTTGTGATGTAATTATCAAATGGAAAAGATATGTGTGTCTGTAAAGACAGAGAGAGGTGGGGAAAGAAATTTATTGTTATTGATTCAATGGCCCAAAACCACAGTTTGATAACGAAAATATGATTAACTGCACAGGATGACTTACCTGAGTTTGACTGCCTCTTTTTGAAAATAAGTAAATTAACAAGTTAGTTTTAACTGGAACACTTTATGTATAGTCATGGTATAAAGCAATGGAGTGTGTATTGTATATATGTGTGTTTGTACAAGGCCTTCATGTATTGTTACTTTGTGGGATAGGCAAAGGATCCTCATATGGTACTCACAACTTTGAATGGACCCATTATTAAAAACTTTAGTTCAATGTAAAAGTTGTTTAGGCAATGCAATCCATTGGTGGGATTGCTTTTTGATTTTTTTTTTTGGCCTCTCTTTACTATTTCACCTAAGTTTGTTTAGGTGTGGCCTTGTTATTATTATTATTATTATTAATTGTTTGTCATTTTCCTCTTTTCTCTTGTTTAATCTTACCTTTGCTAAAATTAATACTTAGTGCCTATGCTATATCTGCGTCCCCTCATTTTGTTCACTTTCAGGTCCCTGTAAGATACAGAGCAATGATTATGATTCATTGTTTTTAGCATTCAAATTTCACTGCAACATTGACTTTCAAGATTCGTTGTCTCCCCTCTATACTTGAACCTGAGGTGTTTCAAATGAATCAGAACTGTATATTAGACTATTAGTATCAGTTATACCTACCATCTTTCATGCCAAGTACATAATCTGACGAATTATTTTTAATAGTTCAGTTGGCATGCCTGATGTGCATGATTTATTTGTTGATCTTCCTCTTAATCCCATGCCTTGACTGGGTACTTCTCATTAGACCAAGAACTTGTATGTCTCCCATTGTGATATAGACAGTGGTATGTAGTTTCACTTGGTTCAAAAGAAGGTTCCATTCATGGAGAGTACTTGGTTTAACCAAGGAATGATGCATTCTTCCCTCTCAGGATTTTTTGCTATCTATTTACTTGTTGCTTTGAACTCATGATACCTTCAAGTATTAATGTATTTATGTAATATGGATCAGCTATTAGAACTTGATGGTTAGGAATAATCTTAGACTTAAGCTGCTTCAATTATGACCACAAGTCATAAAGTACATGTTTCATTGAAAGTTTTATCAATTGTGAAATTGATAGAATTTGTGTGATATGTTTCAGCGTCCGAATATAATTGTGGTATAACTTAAAGTAATTCAGTGAACTTCTGTTCCAGAAGAAAGATAGAAAACAATGATTAAATCAGGGATTCATTCTCCAATCAGAATGTGAAATTCTCATAACACAACATATTTACAAATCTGCACAGATTTGGAAATTTTAGCCAACAATTTCCAATAGTGTCTATTCTGACCATACAAGAAGTATTGTAAAAGAATGAGCAGATTGGTCTTCTATATGAAATGTCCAGTTTATGGTTTCATCTGACTTGGTGGATTGTCTGCTGGATATACTTCAAAGTCCTTTGATGATTGAGAAACCCCATGAACCAGAACTCAAAATTGTCCTCAGTCAGTAGCTGTACATACTTTTGCGTCGGCTTAATGGCATCCTCACTTTCAATGGCTCTCTTTATTTTTTTGAGAGGGATAGACACCTGCATTAGTTGTCACACAGGACTTTAGTTCCCTTCTTTTGCCAACATTTGGATTATTGATTCAGTTGACAATGGCATGTAACTTAACCTACCTTGTATTGTGCTCTTAGCAGCTTCCCAGTTGGAGAAGAGACTTTAATGGATCTCTCACTGCAGAAGGCAATTCTATGATCAGAAAGAAAGAGGAGTCCGGCTATTGGCCCAGCTGTTGTCGATAAATAGCATTGAAAAGCCTTTAGCAATTTCTCATCATCTCTAATATTGAAGTTTTGTTTGAACACATTGGCCACTCCTCCAACCTGAAGGATTCTTGCCCCCAAGCTCAACTTTCCTTTCACGGTTTCACTTAACTTTGGCCCCAACTTCACTGCAGGTATCATCATAAACATTTCTGTCAGAACATCGTCTCAATAGAATATCACATACTTTGTTTTTTGTTTCAACTTTTTGTGTGAGTAATTACCATGTTCTCGGATTCTTCGAGCAAGAATATCCACGGATTCTCCTAATTTGATCATCCTAGCAAAGACTGCACCTACTCTGCCTGCATTTCCAACAGATCACCACATTAGCAAACAATTATATAAATTATTCCAACTATGGATTCTGGATTTGGATTAATCAAGAAAACTGGCTTCTTACTGTGTCTGAATTTGGAGTAACGTTTGGAAGGAGAGGGTAGAAGTTGGTATTGAGTTGAAGGATCAGCCAAAATGGCCTTCTGAGAGTGTTCATATGGACTTCCAAATCCCGACGAACTAACCAGGATCCCAACAACACACTCCTTGTGTGTACTCTTCTTCCCAATTCTTGATCTTGTTTGTTTCATCTCCATATATAATCTGCGTCCCTGTTTTTGTTGCTTGTAATGAGATTTAATGCCTAAAGAATGTTTCCACTTACAATGGCTCTTACGCTTCAACCAGAAACTTGATATGATCCAAACTTCTCAGAGACTCCTCTTTTATAGTTAAAAAAGTAAGAGTCGTTTGGTTCAACTTTATTCAGTTGCATGAGTCATCCTTAGATCACCTGAAGAAGTTATGACCTCTGAGCAACATTTCTGATATCAGAAAGTTGGTTACTTGCTTTTCTTTATCTTTCTTTGTTTATTTTATGTGATCTTCTGGTCGGCTCGTTAATTAACTTAAAATGTGTAATATTGCAGCATGGCCTGCAAGCACGAAGTTGTGGACGTCCGGAACTTTTCACGTCTGATGTGTTGACATGGGAGCCAAAGGTTTGTGGCTGATCCTTTTCTGATGTGTATCCCACATTTTCTTTGCTGGCATATCTACTTTCTGATGTAACCACTACCTTTAAATAAGAAAGATATAAAGGATATATATATATTTAGAGGGGATGAAATCTTCTGCCCCCACACCCATTGTGTATATACATATATACATACACACAACTTATGTATGTATATATGAATGTGGGACAGAGGAGCATGGATCATCTTGGCGGCAGTCTGGATCTATTAGTGTTGAATGTTCTAGATTGATCTTCAATTGTTAGATCACAGTAATAGATCAAGGCTTAGAATTAAATTGAGGGTGTTGTTGAATGAATGTGCAAAATAACTAAAATATTCAAATTCATTACAACCATCAAATTCATGAAAGACATCTTTGATTATTCAGCATTTATTAAAAAACCTATTTTGGGTGTTGAATTCTTCAGTTTAAGGATTGGGATAGGCTTGCATAGGATGACTTAGTCCAGCATTTGACTGACTACCTATTCGTCACGATAGAATAATACTCTTATATATATATACATATATTAATATATATATGTGAGTTTGTGCATGTGAATGTATAAGGACTTAAAATATTGTTGCTTAGCAAGATAGGTAAAGGAAAATGCATAAGTTGTATCCTCACGTGGAAAGCATAACTCTGGAAAGGACCCTTTATCCTTGGAAGCCTTATCTGAATAAATTTAGAAATGTTATGTATGATGTAAGCAGAGAGTGTATCTTTTTTTTTTTTTTTTCCTTTTAATAAGCTCACCAAATTTTAATTGCCCTCTTATGGCCTTATCCTTGCCTAAAATGAAACCTCATCTTGACGTGTAAAGAGTTGTCAAATGCCGGCACAGGAAATTCCTTTTCTTGCCCAAATCTTGAGTAAACACTCAATATATCATCCAGGATTCAATTTAATGGTGGGGTGGGGAAGATATTTATCTAGCCATAATTTATATAACTTCACTAAAAGTGGATTTTGTAGGCAGCTTTTGGTTTGTGTTGTATTGCTATTTTGTACCATTCACTTCTGAAAAGGCAGAGGAAATAGCAAAACAAATCTTCACTCATTTCATACCTCACTAACACATGGACTGTAATTGAGCATATTCTGATACCCCAATAACAACTTATATGTTTTTGCTCATCTATTTTCTGAGCTTTACATTACAGTGAATTTGATGGATTCACATCATCTACTTGAGAAAATTATCTTAGCTTGGATGAGAAAATAAATGTTATTACAGTGGTTTGCCTAAGTGGAGAACTATCTTTAAGAATTTGAAATTTTGTTTGATTTTTGGGTGATGGTTGAAAAGATGCTGAAGAAATATCTACATACGATTTAATTTTCTTTATTGCATTATTAGTGATGTGAAATGACTGTTTTTGTTTATTTTTTGATAATCAAGGACTTGTCTTGCTATGTATCAAGAAGATTGTAATTATACATGCATTTGGTTAGAACTCTTATCTGCCCATGTAATACTGAGAGTTATGAACAAAGAGACCTTATTTGTACAGTGGTCTTTTTTCTAGTTTGTTTTTAGGTGCTTAACATGATCTAGCTTCAGCATTGAAGATTGTCCATCCTTTCTGTTTTTGTACTCTAAGGCTACATTATCAAGTATATTTTCTTTAATTTCCATTAGAACAGCATGTGATGCAGATATAATTGTCAAACCAGAATGCTCTTATACATAAAGAAGTGTATCTTTCCCAACTTGTTAATTTTCACCATAATATTGAAGCAAGTTGAGTGATGTGCACTTATTGCTACTTTTATTTTGCGTTTGGTACAAAAGCTGGTAATATTTTATGCACTTGGTTCAGTTCCAGGACTATAATAATAAGAGAGGAAAAGAAAGATCAAAATGCGACCATCCATTAATATCAAATGTGAATTTCTCATAATAATAATAATATATATATATATATGCACAAATATGTACAGATATTTGTGTGAAAATCAAATCAAAATGTTGTTCATCCTTTGCTCATGCTGTAGTTTGGCTTGAAGTCTCTCATCTGACTTGATGGATGGCCTGCTGGATAAACTTCAAAGTCCTTTGATGATTGAGAAAGCCCATGAACCAGAACTCGAAATTGTCTTCTGTTACTAATTGCACATACTTTTGTGTTGGGTTTATCACATTCTCACTTTCAGTGGCTCTCCTTATTCTTCTCAAAGGAATCATGACCTAAGATACCATGAATAATTTCAGAATTTCCTATTTTAAGCCCAAAATATTCTTATTTGATCATAAGGATGCATGGTCTAACTCACCTTGTAATGTACTTTTAGCAGCTTCCCAGTTGGAGAAGACACTTTGATGGATCTCTCACTGCAGAAAGCAACTCTATAATCTGAAACAAAGAGGAGTCCGGCGACCGGTCCTGATGTTGTTGATAAGTAGCACTGACAAGCCTTCAACAGTTTCTCGTCATCTCTAATATCAAACTTCTGCCTGAACACCTTCTCCACTCCACCAACCCGGAGAATTCTTGCCCCCAAGCTCAGCTTTCCTTTCACTGTTTCGCTTAGCTTTGGGCCTAATCTCACTGCAGGTATCACCATAAACATTTCCACATCAAAACATTGACACAGTATAAATGATCAAAATTGACTGTATTTCATTTTGTCTCAGTAGTTACCATGCTCCCGGATTCCCTGAGCCAAAACATCCATGCTTGTTCCCAGTTTGATCATCCTTGCAACAACCGAATCAATTTTACCTGCATTTCATCGAAACAAACCACAATCAGTAAACTCAAAGCTTCAAATGCCGCGCATTCTTTTTATCAATCCAGAAAGGAAGGGGCTCTTCACCATGTCGAATTTTGGAATAGCGTTGCGAAGGCGAAGGCAGGAGCTGGTACTGATCAGCAGGATCAGGTAAAAGTAAATTCTGGGAGTTCCTATCTTGTGGAAATGATGCATAGTCTAATGAGGTAATCGGAATCCCAACAACATGCCCCTTGTTGTAGATGTTTCTTTTCCCCATTCTTGATCTGCTTGTGTTTGTTGCCTGGAGAATGTTGATACTTGCAGTGGCTGATTGTGTTAGTATGATCCAACCCTAACCAGGAATTCCATATTTATAAGTGAGGGAAAAGGAAAGGGCTATTTGGGATTCATTTTTTGGGCAACTGGATGAGTCAGCTTTGGATCATCAAAACCATTAAAGGTGAAGAAGGTACGTATGTGTTTGTCATCTGCCTTTATTTGATATCAGCATGTTGGTGTTTCTGCTTTCTATTTTTCTTCCTTTTAGAGGCTCCTTTCTCTCTATATATAAACTGATTGGTTGGTTGCACCTTTAATCTAAAATAAAATTGTGTCTATTTCCACCTTATTTGTGTTTCAGATGCATCTTTTAATTTGATGCAAGTTCAATTCTAATCAGTTATACCTGGACTGATTTTTATATCTCTCACTTTTGCATGACTGTAACTAACATGTTTTAAAAATATAAATTATATCTAGTCTGCAACATATACAATCAGTAGGGGGCTGACATGTTGTCTGATGATTATTATATAATGGCTGCTGATGTGTTTACATGTGTGTTTGTGTAAAAAGATAATATTTGAATGATAAAAGTTACTTTGATAAGAGTAGGTAGGTAGTTATAGTTTTCCTGTCATCACTACATTAGAAATTTTGGAAAATAAAGCTGTGTGTATATATATATATATATATGAATGTAATGTAGGGCTTTAAATATTGTCATCAACATGTAGGCAAAGGAAAATGAAGTCATCCCACATGGAGGCCACAACTTTGAAAGGGGCCTATTGTTTTTAAAAGCTTATCTGGATAAATAAAAGACATATACTATGTGACATATATTTGTATATATACATATTCCATATATATATGCAATGATATTAGTGGGATCTTTTTTCTATATTGGTTGCATTATCTCATCTTATATTAAAATGCAAACTCATCTTGACGTGTTAAAAACTTGCCAACTTGTTATGTTCCTAAAATTATCAAGTCTTGATAAGAATTATAAAATAAATATAATATGTCTGTGTCTATATATATATTGTCCATTCTCCTTTAAGAAAACAGAATAAGTGATACAAAAACATAGAACTAATAAGTCTTAATAAGTTTAGTATTGTCACATACAGAACAAGTTTCTTGAGGCTTTTGTAGAAAGCCTCATTTTAGTTCTACAGCACGACAGTTGCCTATACAGATGGAAGGATCAATCCTATGGATTATTTCATATCTCAATAAGAAAATTAAATAGAAATAATTGAAGAAGCCGTGTTCGAGTTCGTGGGATACTTGTTCCTGAACATTCGACAAGATTGTAGCCACTCCAAACCTATCTATATCGGTTTCACTTGTGTGGCATCGGGTAACTCATGGGGGGGATGCTCATCGGGGCACCAGGAACCACGCCAGGTGGCCCAAGAATCGGGGCACCAACTCCATACGCCATGTGCGGTGGTGGTGCAAGGTTTACTGGTGTCCCAACTGCGGAAACAAGGGGTTGCCCGATGGTTGGCGCGCCATACGCTGTGATGCCAGGGGCGCCAACGGGAGTTTGAGGGAGCGGCTTGTTTGATTTCCCAGGCGAAACTCCGGCAGCAGAAGTGTTTGCCTGGCCGGTAATGGGAACTTGGGGCACCGAGACATCTCCATTGTTGACACTGGTGATGTCATGGATGCTTGACCGTCTCCTGTCCTTGTTCATAGAGTTGAGGCGGATGAAATATTTCTGGGCATGACTCGCCACTTGGGTAGGAGTTCTTGTTACCACATAGTTCCGGGAAATGCTTCTCCAGTCGCCTTTCCCATACTTGTCCAAGCCGAGGAGAAACAACCTGTGTTTTTAAAAAAAAATTTGTGGGTAGAGTAAACATAGCACTCAGTTAACGTAACATAGAGCATGAGAAAATGGCAGAATGTACTGTAAGTAGCTTAAAATGGGCAATACTATGCAGGTCTAGAACATTGTTACAAAATTTCAAATAATGTCTGCTATCTGTCACCATTACATGCCTTCATGTATATTTATCTCAAATTATGTCCCCGCGACTTTATACCCTAATCTACAGGTAGTAGTTTTAGAGTAAAGGAAACTCCCATTTCACATGGAATTGTTCGACTTGGATCACTACCTCACTGCCTAAAATCCAAACTCCATGATTTAGTGTTTATGTATGTTACTTTCTAGTTGCTCTAACGGTTCGAACAAGCTTTTTTGGCTCTAGTAGCAACAGTTAAGCTCTCACTGACACCAATCTCAAGGAAAATATCATTTAGTAGGATTATAGAACATTTCACACATACTATGGGTAACCACTATTCCTATAGATCCTCAAAGATGAAGGTTTGTAATAGGTTATCAAGAATTCGTTAATACTGAAACCTTTACATAATCATTGCAGAATGCTAGTGTGAGCAGAGCTACAATATAGAATCGGATCTTCACGGGTAGTTTGCTTGTTTAGTGTTTAGTTTCACCGAACTAAACATTCTATAAAGATTCACTCTGTATGACTAAATTCAGACAATCACTATCTCTACCGGACTACCAAGTTCACATCCAGAAAGAATGCATTCGTAGGTTTATGCTTAAAAGAGTAATTCTTCATTTACTTTGTTCAAGAATCGTATGAAGAGACTAACTCCCCAAAGAAACAAATAAGTCAAAACTACTTCCAAAAAGATATGATGTAGTCCAAGAAAGCAAAATTCAGAGTATAACTTTAGAAGTATGCCTTTTGGTGGGTTCACTCACAGTACTGTACAGAACATGAAAATCGTAATTAAAATATACCTAGTCCATTTCAATCACTAGCAGTATATTCATGTGTTCAGGTGGGGCATGATATAAGATTAAAAGATAATAGGTAACTACATAGATGTTATACCTGTGCTCATCCTCTGTCCAAGCAATCCCCTTGCGGCGTTCTTGATCTGACCTCGAAGACTTGCCTCCATTGCTAGCATCACCGTTTGAGCGACCTGAATTACCATTTTTCTTACCATTTGCTTCATCGCCACCATTACTAGTCGACCCATCTGAAGAAGAGCTGTAACACGGCAACTCTATAACTCCAGATTCTATCCTGTTGACATCGTCGACTAGAAGCTCATAGTGGCGTTTAACCTCTTCAGCAGATTTTCCAGGAACTTCTGCTGCAATCTTTTCCCATCTATCCGATGAATCCTCAGGATAAGTAGCTATCGCTTTCTCAAATTGCTTATCCTGTTCCCAACTCCACTTCGAATTGTTCGATTCATCCGATGGCATCTAGACTCACTTAAATTCAACACTAGGTATCCTTCTATCCTCTAAAAAGTCAGCAACAATGGAAAGTGGAAAAGGGAAAACACACAAACCTCTCTTCGACACTTCAAATTAATCTACTGAGCTTAAAAAAAGCTTGGATCTGGAATACTTTCTAGAACTGTATACCCAGAAAGCTAAAAGCTAAAGCTGAAAAGGAGATAAGAGTCTCCAAGAACAGTCGAGTGAAAAGTTGAGTAAGAATATTAACTGCAACAAAGATTACATAGAATCAGAGAGGCAAACAAAAGCTAGTGAATTCACTGCTGATTTTCCCCCCAAATTGAAGTGATGGTCTGTTGAATGCTGGCCCTAGTGAAGAAGAACAAAAGCAATAAATTCAGTCGGACAATTGGAAAATATCTAGAAAAATCAAAACCACCCAGCCTAGCCTCACACACAAAAATATCAAAGTGTTCAATAAATGCCAGCGGTGAAAAGGAATCTAGGGAAAACGATGCACAATTGCAACTGGTGGTGGTGGTGATGGTAGTGACCTCAATTTGACATGAACTAGGGCACCAGTGGGAGAATGTGAAACGTGGAAAGGAAACCCCCAGAGAAGTCTCGAATGGATAATAGGAGCAACCAAATCGCTATCCATCACTCATCCCTACGAATTTCTCACCACGCAGGCCCACAATTAAAGATGGAAATTACACCTAACGTTTACAGTGCCACTGAATTTTCGATGCTTGTCCTTTCTGCTGCTACGCTTGCTTCTTCACCACACAGTCAAAATCAAAACTAACTACGCACCCACACACACACACACCACACGGAGATAAATCACTACCGAAAATTACAATTAAACATAAAAATTGCATATCGTAGGGATAACACGAATTATGAATTACTCTATCTATCTTCCCTGCGGGAGGAACAGGAGACAATTGATTGAGCACAGATTGAGAGAAGTAAACTTACTGAGCGTCAGCGATCGGTTTCCGCATTAGGCAAAATTCTGGAAGTAGAAAGGATTGAGTGGGGTTGGATTGGATTGGATTGGATTGGGTGGGAAGGTAGTGAGTGTATTGAGTCCTCCCTCGGAGCCACCATTGGAAGGGAAGAAAGGTATGTTGTTAGGTAAGTGTCTAATAAATAGGAAGAAAAGTTACGACGGCATCAGCCTGCCATACCCATACCTTTTCACTGTTCAACCTTTGCTGGAAACAAATTATACCAACTTTTATAATAAAATATACAGTAGGATCTGACTACAAAGTTTGGAGTTCAAATTGATGAGCCTGCTGTTCTTTCAATTATTGTTGTAGTTATCCAAATTTATATTATTTTTATTTTCTATTGTTATAAAAAAATATATATATATTTTTGTTTTTTTTAAAGTAAAATATTATTTTTTCTTTTTTTGCTGTAAAATTTTTATTTTCATTCACTTTTTTATAATACTCGTGTATGATGAAAATGGACATAAATATCAATAATGAGGGAGGGAGTTATTATTATTATTATTATTATTATTATTATCATTTTGTCAAATTTATTTAAGATGAAATTCATTATGTAATATTCTATTTATATATTTTTATTTATTTTGTTTTATATAAAATTTTATTTAAAAAAACAATATCTGCATTAAATATAGAATCCCCTCTTCTAGTAAAAATGTAAAAATGATATTAAATTATGATTTAGCTTACAACAAGAACTGAAGTTGTAACCACAGTAGTTTAGGGTGTGTTTGTTTTTGTAAAATAGTTTGAAATTGAGAAATGATTATAGAATAGAAAGTAAGGGAAAAGGCGTAGTTGATGGTTGCCTTGCGAACGGTTTTTGGCGACTTGCTTAACTGCAAAAACGTGTTGCTGTTGCACCATGTCATCACTGCTCACCCTACTAACTAACTGCCTGCCCTCTTTACATTCACTACTCACTTATTATTATTATTATTATTATTATTAGGCAAAAATAGAAAAAACCCTTGTGATTTTTCAAAGTTGTTGAAAAATTTTGTGGTTTTAAAATTCCAAAAAATTTATTTGTGGTTTTCAAAATGTTAGAAAAAAATCCTTCATCATCCGTTAGAATTTAACGGAGGTTGTCTATCATGCGCTTGAAATGCGATTTTTGGTCCATAAGGGTGATATATTTTTGTATAAATTTACTAAAATACCCTAGTGACTTCTTCCTCTTTATTCTTATTCTTCTTCATTCTTCTTCTTCCTTATTCTTCTTCTTTCTTATTATTATGTATACTTCTAGAATTTTATCTCAATTCATTTTTATTTTTTTTTCATTTCAAATATGTTAAACACAATATAAATTTTAAACCGATCCCAAATTTATCACAAGTAATCGACCGGACATGGAGATGAAGATGAAAATGAATAAGTTATTATTCACTGTCGATTTCTTCTTCTATTTTACCAAACCCAGAAATATTTATTCTTCTGTTTTATCAAACCTAGAAATCTAATAATTCAATTTGACATCAAGAAGAAAGAAATAACTTGATATTGGATGCAACCGTGTACTAAAGAATTGGAGATGAAGAAGAAGGAAAAAAAAAAATTTGGGGAAAAAGAAGAAAAGAAAGAAACGGGTGGAACTGCTACGACCTGAAAAAGAATTGGAGAAGAAAAAGAGAAAAAATGAGGAAAAATATGTGTGAAGGAGGAAAAAGATGTGTGAAGAAGAATTTGGGGAAGAAAAGAAGATGGAAGAAAGAAATTGGGGAGAAGAGAAGAAGAAAAAACAGAAGAGAGAAATAAATTAAAGAATATATAAATAAAAGTATAACTGTCAAATCTGATAAAATAACGTCCGTCAGTCAAATTTAAAGAGGGAGGAGAGTGTGCAACATTTTGGAAAGCACAAGGTTTTTTGAAATTTTAGAACCACTGGGGGTTTTCAGCGAATTTGTAAAACTACTGGGGATTTTTTGTTATTTTGCCTTATTATTATTATTCGGTAAATTGCATAATATTTTTATTATAAATATATAGAGATTTATACTTTCTTTGTTTTAGAATAATGATTTTTTTTTTTGTGTGGGCATAAAATTTTAAAATTTTAAAATATTAGTATTATATTGATAGTATGTAGAAAATATGAGTAAATATAAATTTCATCTGTCCCAAAACTGTGGTCTTATTTGAGTTGGGCACGAGATTTAAGGAATATTGATATTATATTGATAATTGGTACAAAGTTATGAGTAAAAAACTTATTTACCTTTGTGAGTGTATTAGTGTAAAAAGTAGTGACATTTGTGTAATAATAAAGAAAATATAGGAATAATTTTATGGTGATATGAGTATTTATGGAAATGAAACTATTGTTTTGGGACGAACAAAAATGGTAAACAAGACTATTGTATTGGAAATGATGAGTATATTTTTTTGTAAGTGTGCTAAGTATGAAAAATGATATCATTTATGTAATAATAATAATAATAGAATAAACATAGTTTTATAATAATATAATTATTTATGAAAATTAGACTATTATTTTAAGATAAATAAAATGATAAACATAAGTATTAAATCAGGACCGATGATGTTTTACTCCCTCCGTTCCAATCTCAAAAGGTCATTTCGAATTTTGTAGTATATTAATAAATAATAATATTTTTTTGTTAATGGAATGTATATTCATCATCGGAGGTATGTTCGTTTTATTATTTAAAGAAAATAATATACTCAATATTGAAGTATAGTTTTAATTTGAAATAAAAACTTAACACCCTCATATTTTACTACTTTATAAAATAATATTTGTGTATATGAATTAGATCAAAAAGGTTCTGATAAGTTTACTTTCAATGTTAGCTCAAAATATTATTTTGGAATAAATCCAAATTCAGCTTTTCTTACTAAAATGAATAGGCAGCCCAAAGTATTTGGCCCATTGATACAGGCTCGGCCCAAAACGGAGGCCAGATCCAGTGTGATTTCAAACCGTGCCGGACACAGCGGTCTAATTTTTAAATATTTTTTTATTTTAGATATGTTGTAAAAAGATTTATTAAAAAAAATGACAAAATAGCATAAAACTCTTTTGAATCTGCTGAAAATCCCTATGATTCTAAAATTTTATAAAATCTACTCATGATTTTTTAAATGTTGCAAATCCTTCCCTTCAAAATTAGACTAACGGTTTTAATATTTTAATTGTCTTAGCCGTTATATCCTTACAATATTTTCTACTGGGTGTGTTTGTTTGGGGGTTTGGATTTTGAATTGGGATTTGAATAGTAAAAATTTTGAATTTGAATAGTTGTATGATGTGATATAAATAGGGTTTGATGTGATGTTTTGAATGTAAAATTGATTTTTAGTATAATATAAAAAATGAAAAATAGGTGTTTGATTTGATGTTTTTGGGGGGAAAAAATTGGATGAATAGTGAAAATCTACCAAAATCCTTCAAACAAACACACCCTTAACGAATTTGACCAATTATTTCTTCTCTCATACCACATAAATATATACATACGTAGAGTTTGACTTTTATTCTTACCACACACCACACATATCACTCTTTCTTCCTCACCCACTGCTACAGCCGCCGGAATTCTCAGACAGCCTCCACCTCCGCCTCTTCCCCCAACCCCACCTCAAACACCATTTCTCACCCCTTCATTATTCAGATTTATCTATACTAAGAGAGACAGACAAACTGTTTCTCCCAATTACTTCACTTCATTATAAATTAATAATCAATAAATTATATAAATTCACTTCCAAATAAAATGTTAATCACCGTCAACATCATCATCGTTGTTGTCGTCTCTCCGGCGAAATACATCCTCGCCTTGGAAGAAGAGCGCCGTAAGATTTAAGTTTTTCGCCGCAAACTCCCTCTATGTAGCTACCTCGTCACTTAAGGTAATTTTCATCAATTAATCTCTCCATCTTACTAATTTTGAGTTGTTGGAAAATTTCGATCTTGTGATTAATACAACGATGTTTTGGGGGCTCTCGGCAGCAATTGAGTCATTCATGAAGCAGATCTCTGCGAAGATGCCGGAGTACAATAATATGAATAGAGTCCAATCGAAGGAATTCGTCGACCAGACATCCAGTGACGGGTCGGTGTCCGAGGAATTCATTCCGATTAAGAGATCGACTTCGGCGGCGACGATGATACTAATTTTAGAAATAAATACGGGGACGGCGATTGGAATGACAATGAAATTTCGAAGAAATTCTACTGGTGTTGATATGTCCAGCTCTGGAATCAGACATCATCCCGCCTCCAAAAGGGTAGCTAACTTCGATTTCAATTTTCGTAATTTTGAGATTGAAATTTTATTTTCAATAACTGACTGAATTTGTTGGATGAATTTTCGAATTAGGGTTCGCTGAGGAAAAATAGTATTCAAACAAACCAATTCGATTGCATTTTGTACAATCTCCAAATTCTTATCATATACGGGAAGAAACGCGATCCAGGAGAGAAGCAAGAGGGATGAGAGAAGTAGAGGGTGAAGAAGATGAAAGTGAGGGTATATTTGTCATTTCAGCTCCAATTTTATATAATTTTGTGATCTCACTCTCACTTTAAGCGCGTGTCAGACCATCTCCGTCAACTATTATCGGAAGGAGTATTTTTTGCAATATTTTAAAGACCACGAATAAATTTTATGGAATTTTAAAATCAGAGTTTTCAACAAATTCGAAAAATCACAGAGAGATTTTATGCTATTGCCAAAAAAATCTACAGTTTTATTTTATGTGTTCATTGTTTTTATTTTTCTTTGTTTTTATAAATATATTTTTATTATATTTAAAATTTTATAATTTAAATCATAATTTATAATTATTTTTATTATACAATAATTATTTTTACTAATATTTTTAAAAATATTTATTAATTATATTTAACTAAATTTTGTTTGTATAGGAAATCGAGCATAATTTATTTTAAAAATATAAATATTATAAAATTAATATTTTTTTATATTGCTCATTAAGAAGTTAAGCATTAAATATATAATTAATTTTTTACTTGAACTTTTTTTTATTGATATGCCTTTTAAACATCATTTGTTTTTTAATATTCATGCCATAAATTTTTCGAGTGAAACGAATATATATAAACATATACATACCTGAATTTATTTATTTATTTTATTTCTAACACAAATATTTAGATAAAAAAAATATTTTTTACAAAATATAGTTCAAAATAATATTTCAATCAAAATTAAAAGATGAAAATTTCAATTTTAAACTAAAAAGAAACAAATCCCATAATAATAAAAATTAGAGAAGAAGCTGCTGTTAAACCCTATAATAGGAAGCTTCTTTCTTTTCTACGACTCCTTCACTCCACCGTCTCGTCGTCTTTCCCAATCTTCGAATTTAATAATAACAATACAGTACTGTAATATACAGAGTTGCAGTCGCAGATTGGTAGATCTATCTACCTCTGCATTTCGCGAATTTTCTCAATTCTGATCTCACCGCACCGGATTTTGATCGATTGATTGATTCCATTTTGATGAGGAGATGGGTCGGCTTTCTTTGATCATCTACATCACCGTCGCCGTCCTGTTGCTCCTCCTCATCTCCCGCTCCTCCGACAACCACAAGTCCCACGCCGCCCGCCACCGCCACCGCCGCCTCAAAATCCGCTCCAATTTCACCTTCGTTCCCGACCCCCACCACGCGCACGACCGCGCCGCCTTCGACCCTCTCGTCGCCGGCATCGAGCGTAAGCGAGAGGACAGGGAATGGGAGCACCACCACTACTCCCAGAAGCACCACCACTCCGATGTCAAGTCCGAGCCGCAGTCGCACGAGCCGGAATGGGAGGATTTCATGGACGCCGAGGATTACCTCAACGACGAGGACAAGTTCAACGTCACAGACAGGCTGTTGCTTCTCTTCCCAAAAATCGACGTCGACCCGCCCGATGGCTTTGTTACTGAGTCCGAGTTGACTCAGTGGAACCTGCAGCAGAGCCAGCGGGAGGTCCTGCATCGGACGGAGAGGGAAATGGAGATTCACGATAAGAACAAGGATGGCTTCGTCACTTTCGCCGAGTACGAGCCCCCAAGCTGGGCCAAGGATTCAGGTACACGCCTTCAATTTCTTCGATTTATTGAGAGAATTAGCTATGGAACTGAATCCCCAAATCAATTTGATAACCCTAACCTATGAAACAAAATTAGGGTTTCCAAAATGCACAACCATAAGTTAATTTTGGGTTTCAATTTCATATAGGTTAGATTGCTTTCCTAATGTGTTTGGGGATTTTACTGTGAGTAGCAAAAAAAATGTTTGATTGATTGATTGTGTTCTTGTTCATTTGTCGATCATTTGTCAAATGCATTTGGAGTTATGCTGTGGTTATAGCTTAGGCTCATCGGATTGTTGTTCATGGCAATGTTCTTTAGCTGTTTATGTTTGATATCAATGATGCAGTGATCAAGTTAATCCTTTTAGTAGTATTAGGTTTTTATTAATAACGAATTGCGAAGGAGAAGCTGGTGATCAGTTAATCAACATTAGAGTGGTCTCAGAATGTAATGGATTGCCTTGTATTTGTAGATAATACTACATTTGGATATCAGATGGGGTGGTGGATGGAGGGGCACTTTAATGCTTCCGATGCAGATGAAGATGGCCGATTAAATATCACAGAGTTTAACGAGTAAGTGTGTATATATCCTTCATTTAGCATTGCTCGTGGGTGTATCCTATTTTTCTAATTCTCAAATATGTTTTGGTTTGCTTTCTTCGTTGCAATTGCAGTTTTCTGCATCCGGCTGACAGCAACAATCCGAAGCTGATCCATTGGTTGTGCAAGGAAGAAATAAGGTAAATTTTCAGTTGCTGAATTCCCGTTTATAATGTAGCCTTCGAAAACTCTATTGCACAATTGATATTTGCTTGGTACATGGTTATGATCTTTGCTAATCGATTCAAACTACCCAAAAAGTCGACAAGACTTGGTTCTATAGTTATGTTAAATGAGTCGAGTTCAGAGTTCTCATTGCTCAGTTAGTAATTAAGCCGAGCAGACTTAATTTATTTTAACAAATAGTTAGCTCAATAAGGGATGATGAGGAAGGTAAACCTTGTCGTTTCCTGTTATGAATTTTGTTTTCTTGCAATAATTCCTATATTTATTAAGTTTGAGCTAACTTTTAAAGTAGTTAAATAAATCATTCAGTACTATACTTTATACCCAATGATCGATGCGTGTTTCTTGATCTTAAAGTCAAAAACTTTACCGTTGCAATATACTCTTGAGATGTTATGCTATTCATTTCAATTTATTTTGCAATATTATTATTGCTAAACTTAAACCCCATTCCCATTGTTGGGAGCAAAGATATGCTCTGGGTAATGCGATTTCGATGAGTATGATGATATCGACAATTTAAAGTGAGATAGTTCAAATGTTAATAAGTCTAGTAAATTTGCATTGTGCTCCGTCGAACTTATCTGCAATCATTATTTACTAGATTTGTGCTCTAATATACATGAAATAGGCGCACTCCATTTAACAGTGCTCGACTTTCCGTATTTTGTGAGGTTGAACCTCAAGGAACTTTGCATTAATATTATTCTTTTGTTGTTAGGGAAAGAGATACCGACAAAGATGGCAAGATGAACTTCGAAGAGTTTTTTCATGGGATCTTCGACTTGGTTCGAAATTATGACGAAGAAGGCAACCATGCTTCACACGAGTCTGACGATGATGCGCACAAGGCCCCAGCCAGAAAGTTGTTTGCGGAACTTGACAAAGACGGCGACGGGTAATCAACTGGACATCTTTGTTCAGACTGGGATAAATGCTCGTACCCGGATTAACCGTGTTATTATTTACGTTGCAGATACTTGTCTGACCTAGAATTGCTACCCGTCATCGGAAAAATTCATCCATCCGAACGATATTACGCGAAACAGCAAACGGAGTACATTATACAACAGGTACATTACTTCAATTCAACTCGGCATTTTAATTTGCAGTAGATTTTTTCGTCAATATTGTTATGATGATTCGTTCTCAAAATTGGAAAATTTCTTCTGCGATCAACATGCTAATTTACTTTGTTAGGATTTATAGGTCCCGGGTGTTCCTTGACATAGATCTGTCCGTAGTGTTAAGTATTGTAAAACTGGTACGATTACATGTTCTTGTAACTTTGCAGGCCGATACAGACAAGGATGGCCGTCTGACACTAACGGAGATGATCGACAATCCATATGTTTTCTACAGTGCCGTGTTCAATGAAGATGAAGACGACGACTATGGTTACCACGACGAATTTCGCTAGATGGCAAGCAAAACTTGCAACCCGTAGTCGGCTAAAACACATTCGGTGACTCCATCATGTCTCCGAAACAGTTCCTCAAAATTTTTTCGTGTACACCGAGGGAGATGCAAGGAAAATGGGGTGTTATGGTGATGGACAGCTTTTGTTCTTCATGTCCGAGCACCAAAGACAAGTATAGATCAAATTTATTTTGCCTAATCTTCAGCTACACATTTGATAACTATTTTGTATGCTTCAGATTGTTTTTAGGACATAATTTAGATCATCAATTGTGATTTACCGATGATTTGGAATCAGTTGAGGCGATTTCTAAAAGAAAATTACTCAATGATTTCATGGCGATGTTTGGGAAATTGAAGGTATAAATTATGCAATTCTTCGATTACAAAACTATGATGCTATATCTAAGTTCAGAAGTTTTTTGCAGCAATAGCGCAGATAAAAACATGGCAGAATTCGATCAAAATGGAATGCAGCAGAGCGAGCAACTTCACGATGAGGTAGAAGTAGAAGCAGCATGGTGTACCTTAATTCAGCAGATTTTGTTGCTATTTTTTTGTCATTTGTGTTCTGCTCTTTCGCTCCTCGTCGTCGGTATCGTTATCGTCGTCGGACGGCGGAGAAGGATCGAGCCTGGCAGCATCAATCGCCCACCGTATAACCTTGTCGACTTCATCTTCGCTTTCTTCTTCCTGCGCCTCGCGATTGGCTCCAACAGAATCGCCTGCGTCTTCGCGTTTATTGTGCGACGGAATCGAGCTCTTCAGAGCTGCGAATCTGGCGAACAGGTCGTCCGCCGCGGCGGCGGTGCCGGCGAATCTATCGCCACCGCTAATCGTTTCCGAAGAAACGGTTTTCGCCGGATTGTTGACATTTGTTGGCTTTTGTGGTCTTTTTAGGGCTTCGAAACGGCGTTCGAGATCTGGATCGATCGCGGCGGAAGCGGAGGCGCGAGCTATGTGTGAATTAACGTTGAGCTTTAGAAGCACGTCGTCGTGCGCCGCCCGCAGCAACTGCTCCACCTCATCGTCGTCCGTCGCTTTTTTCCCGGAATCGCTCATCGAAGGTGAGCGAGCCAGCCGTATAATTTAAGGAGTTGAGAAAAAACTGCACTTAATCGAGGCTCTGTTTTTAAGGAGATATTACTAATTATTATTATTATTTTCAAAACATTAAATTATATCATTATTTAATTTTAATTTTTTATTATTTAAATTTTAAACATAAAATACAAATTCTCAATAACACACTTCGAATCTAATTTTTTCATGATATAATTATATACTTCTTCCCCCGACACTTTTGTCCCAAATAAACACATTCTAATAGTGTTTTACTTATATATTTTTAGGATGAACTTATATTATTTTTACTAAAATAAAAAAATTAAATAATAAAAAAATCTTTGGATTAATGAAAAGAGAGTATAAAAACATCACTTTTTTTTTTTTTTTTTTTTTCTATTACAAAATATTCCTCAATTGACATTTGAGTTAAACATAAAATTTTAAAAATGATCTTTAGATTTATCGAACAAATTTCATATACAAAATACGACAATGAATTAGTAGCGGAAACAAAATTCGAATAAAATCCAAATTAATTTTTACCGAAATTGAAATGAATTAACCCCTAATAATATTGCTCAAACAATACTGGAATTGAAAAATCAAATCACAAACAAATAGAACCTAATTGAATTAAATTGGATGTTGAAATTATAAGGAAGGAAACTTCCTCTTGGCGGGTGAATGTTATTGTCACGAAATCAATTCTTGTTTTCGGATACGATTCGATTCACGATCTTTCACCGGCAGCGAAGGGACGGCGAAGCAAGGCACAGCCCATGGTGCAAGAATGGCCAGAGGTAACCGCACCTCAAGGTGGAGGTCGGCATCTTCACTCTAAGCCACGATACCCACCGGAATCGGCCATCGAAAAGGGTCCCAAACCTCCGGAATCCTCTTGCGGTTTCTCTCCCTCTCTATCTCTAACTCTCAATCTCACATTTTCTATCTCTAACTCTTGATTTCACCTCTCGTAACACACCCCTGAACCCACTCTTTTATATCTATCAAAACTAACTCACCATATTATAACAAAATCAACAACCTAACTAATTGTGTTTAGAGTAATGTAGGTTTGGGTAAATGAATTTGGGTTAAAGGGTTTGGACCGATCCGGTGGGTCGAGCTACGGAGTGGGCCAACTGATTATTATCGAGGGACTTGTTTAAAATAATAATATTTGTGTAATAATAATAGTAATTATTATTTTGAGATCATCGAAAATAAAAAATAAAATTATTAATTTTAAAATGAAAAAAGTAGAATGTGTTTGTTCCATGAGATTATTGGAAAAAAGAATTTTTTTAATATAAAATATAAAAAATTGTATATAAAATATAAAAATAATAAATATGTATAGTATATTATTTTTTTTAAAAAAAATAACGATGAAAAAAAATATGGAGAGAAAAAAATCGTATTATTTTAAATACTGTTATTGAATTTTTCAAAATTAATAAAATAAATATAAAATTTAATTTTAATTTAATATAAAAAAATATATATAATATTTAATATAATGTCTAAAAAATTTTAAAATATTATATTTAAATATATGTTAAGCTTTTGTAAATCATAAGATAAAATATTCCAAATTTTGGGATGGATCCAAATAAATATAATGTAAAATATATAAAATAATTGTTTACTTTAATATTTTTAAAATAATAAAATCAAATTTTTTAAAGAAACACAATTATTATTGTTTTTTTACATACAATTAAATTCATTTACCATAAATAAAGTAAAAATAACCGTCTTTGTTTTTTTTTTTTTAAACTCTTAAATTTGTAAATAATATTTTGACAACAATAGTCAAGTCAGTAGCGCAAGTGCGCAACGTCTGTAGCTTTTCTCATATTACACATTTACCCTTCATTCCATCTGGCGGTTACTGCAGGAGGTGGAGAAAGATGTCCCAACCTAGCGGCGGCAGTGGCGGAGGCGGCGGGGGTGGCGCACCTCGAAACGGCCACCACTACGTAGATGACGGTCCTAGCCCCCCCCAGCGGTTGCGGAGGACTCGCAGCAGGTCGCGCGACTACGGCGGCGACAACACTAGGGTTCCGCCACATCAGGAGATGGAAAAAGAGAGGGCGGCGAGCGGTCCTACCGACTTTGACGTGGCATATTTTAATTCCTACGCGCACCTCGGCGTTCACGAGGAAATGATCAAGGTACAGTCTGTGGTTGGGTGCGAGATGGATTTCTTTCTTTTTGTTAGAGAAAATTAGGTTTTTGAGTTTTTGGGTGATGCTTTAGAGGGCATTGAGCTTATGCAATAGGATTTTTACCGTGTTTTCTGCAGAGAATCTCGTAATGCAACCGATTTTCGCAATGTTCATTGTCTCGGGTCACAAAAACTATACTTTCCTGATCGTGACGTAGGTTATGCTTTATAAGCATTTCAATACATTTTCTTGAAATTAATGATGCCCGTAACGTTTCATCTGGCAAAAGTCGATTTTCGATAGCTTCCGTGCCTTTCAGCTATTGTATACTCTGGAAACACCTGCATTATGTCAGTTGCTATTGTTCATTAGTTTGAGTAGATTCTAGAGAGGGATCCTCTGCAGTTTCTTCAGGTTCCATCACCAAATCTGTATATTTTAACCCATAGTTGTTAATGGCATGATATCTCCCCATGGTGTGATATTTTTAAAATTATTATTTATATGAAAAAGCTAGAGATAATGGCATCACATTTAGATTGATTGTTAATGTAGATGACATTGAGGGAGAAGATTGGGTAATTAATTAAGATTATAAAGATATTGGGCAAGAAGAAGATGAAGAATATAAATTTTGGTGACAACAATTTATGATTGAATACTGAATCTTTATAGTTGCATCTGTATTTGATTAGTATGTACAGTGATTATTGAGTCTTCATAATTATTGCTTCATGAATTTATATTTTATTATTTGCATATTTGCTGTTGCCATGCTTTGTTGTGGCATGTGCTGGCTGTATGTTTCGTGCCATTTCCCCAAGACCTTTGTGCCATGTCCGGTGGTGAAAATTCTTCTTATTTACTTTTGTTGTGATATTGATATATCAACGTTCCAGTTTGACTAAATTTGCATGGAAGATCATGTCAGTGCCATATAGTGTAGTATACGTGAAGTTCATCACATACATAGATTCAGGTATTATTAGAACTGAGTATTTTCACTAATGCAATTTTTATCTTTTTCTTTTGCATTCCAAACAACATACATAACAAGATGTGCTTGAGACTTCTGAATTTTTGTCTTGTGGGCAGCATCTGATTTCACCTGAGCCTTGACCTGATTTATCCCATTTCATTATGTTGCATTAACCATTTGATTACAGTAAATGCATGTGTATTAAGATTCAAAACTTGGTGAACACATCTTTCATCTATACAGGATCATGTGCGCACGGAAACTTACAGAAAAGCAATTTTCCACCATCAAGATCTGATTGCAGGAAAAGTAAGCATTTCATGGGAATATGGTTTTTGATAATTATTTTTCAGTCATATTGTATTATCTATAACACATTGCAATAATGATACCCTCACGGCTGTGTTGGTTTTTTTCTTTTTTTTTTTTTTTTTTTTCTGAATTTTATTTTAAGTTTTATTATGCTTGCTGGAAAAATAATAGAATGTTCACTGTTAGACAAGATGAGAAGATTATGTAGTGACTTCTGGACATAGTCAGCTTGGTGAATATATTGAGTGACTTGAATCACCAATTTAAATGAGGAGTTATTTTGGTAATTTCAGGATTATCTACTATACCCCTGATGCTGAACATGATTGTTTGCTTGCTTGCTTTCTTTTTTTTTTTTTTTTTGTAATATTTTTTTGCCCCCTTCCAGGTTGTAGTTGATGTAGGGTGTGGCACTGGCATTCTCTCTATATTTTGTGCTCAAGCTGGAGCCAGGCGGGTGAGTCACTTATTGTACTAACTTCCTTTAATATAATGAGAATATTGCGGATACATCTGTTTCAAAGGAACTTTAAAATATTTATGCAAAACTATAGAACTTAACCCAGTGAAATCTGAAGAAAATGGTGTCATATGTACATGTTAGTATTCAGCCTGGGTTGGGAAGAAACAATCTGTTTTTTTGAGTGTGTGTGTGTGTGTCTCTCTCTCTATATATATATGTATATGTATTTATACTTTCATCGAAACTCTTTCCTGGAGTTATGTGTTCTGGCTTACGTTGTTCTTCATGTTTGCTGCTAGGTGTATGCTGTGGATGCCAGCAATATTGCAGTTCAGGTGGTTTTATTAAGTTTCTTATTGAATATGTATAGGTGGCATGCTATTTGTGTTTTAGCCAAACTGGAGTCTGTCATTAGTACATTTTAATTTTGGTTGGGGGAGTAGTCACTTGATGAAAGCATTTGGTTTAATATTTAGAGAAGTTTTCTCACATATTAGCTTCTTCAATAATTTATACAATATTTAGCTTGCATTGTGTGATCGACCAGCCACACTTACGGTAGACAGACAGTTATCTAATGCTTTACAGCTGGTCAAACTATCCATGCTCATTTATCGTAGACTTTCTCCTATCTTAACCCTTAATGAATTGTGTCCTTGACATTGCCATGAAAATTAGAAGTATATAAACAATGATTTGATGCTATTCCACATATAAATTTTGGAAAGATGCCAATCTCAAATGCTTTTAAATAGTGGAAGTAGAAGCAGATTTGAGTTGAGCAGGGAGAAGGTAATGAGGTAATCATTCAAGTTTTTGCAGATTTGGTGTGTATAAAGGGAAAAGATTAGCTTGCATGGATAATGGAAGAAGTAAATCTCATATAGATTGTTAAACAGTATAATGATAGTGTCTACAGTAGTCGTCTGCTCCACAAATTTATGGACTATTTTTACTGGTGGTTTCCATATTTGTAATACATATTTTCAAAATTTATGTAGCAGGCATCTTGTACTATCTTCACTTTATTGTATGAAGATGATATGTTATGCAGAGTAACACTGTTCTTTAGAAATGTCATTCCAGGCAAAGGAAGTCATCAAGGCAAACAACTTGTCTGACACAATAGTTGTAGTTCATGGGCGAGTAGAGGTACAATTATATGTCATCTTTCTTGCATGATCAGTTGTTTCCTCATAGCTCTCTTGGGTCTTGTTTGGAAGGAAAGTTTTGATTGACTTAAGATTGGGAAGGATTTCTGTTAAATGCAAATGGTACAAAAATGCTATTAATTAAACTAAATGTAAAGAATTTGACATTATAACGTCGAGCTTGTACCTTCTGAATGGTCAAGGTCATGCTGTGTACAAATTTGGTCTGATAAATAGATGAACGATTAGTGATTAATGTGCAGTGTAATTTTCTGTAGTCTAGCATGCGAAACAAATATCAACATATGGGCTGTGGTATAAATGTGAGGCCTTTACTAAAGTGCCACTCCAAGTTTGTGTTAAATGATTATTAAATTAGGAAAACCTTTTGAAAAAGTTTCTATGATTTTCTTTGAAGTAAACAATCATCTATTCTTTTCATGTCGCTTATCCTATGAGTATTAATCAGTTCTGATAATTGCAGGATGCTCAGATTGATGAAAAAGTAGATGTTATAGTTTCTGAATGGATGGGATATATGCTTCTTTATGAGGTGAAATTTTTGACCTATAATATTCATTTTCTAATCATATGGATTAGTTTTTTGGGTTTGTACAACAGATACTTGTAATCTTCTGTAGTTTGTTTGTTTGTTTACATTTTTATTTTCTATTTTTGTAATGTGACATGGGATTTGTATGACTGTCCTGTTAGAGCATGCTGGGAAGCGTTATTACTGCTAGAGACCGATGGTTGAAGCCTGGAGGTCTCATCCTTCCATCACATGCAACAGTATGGATATCTCTCTCCCTCTCTCGGTGCAGTGTCTTACAATGAAAGCGCAGTTGAAAACTGAGCATTATTTTGTTAAAAATTTGGTAGCTGCTGATGCTTTAGGCAACTTTCTAGTTGGATTATTTGGTTGCTATCTTATTTAGTCAGTTCATAATACACCTTAGCATTTGCAAGGACCTAGCAACCAGATATAATGATGTCTTTTGTGCACTTGCAGTTATACATGGCCCCTGTATCTCATCCCGATCGATACAATGATAGTATTGAGTTCTGGCGTAGTGTCTATGGAATTGATAGTGAGTATTGCTATGAAAATATTATTATTCCAATGTGAAGTTATGTAGTTAGTTATTTATTTATTTTAATTGTTTTTTTTTTTTAGCATGAACTGAGTTATATGTCTTTCTGATATACTAGCAGCGGATGCCTTGCTTAGGACAATGCATACATACCACTAATGCATGAAATTTATTTCCTAAAGAGAATTTACTCCAATGTTCGGTTGAGGTATTGAGTTGTTGGGATAATCATTTCCAATTCAAAAGAATTGTGCAAATAAATTCACAGAGCAGTTTAAAAGTCGGGATGGTTGATTGTATTTGTGGTGGGCAAGTTGACACCCTCATGCCTGATCTATTATGCCTAAATACTTATTTTTAGGTTTCTACTTGGAAGAACTGACTTAGATGTCCTTACACTGCCATGATATTGGTAGAAAATTTCAAAGAAGAGTAGAATTGAGAGACAAAAACTAAACTTTGCAAGAATTATGTGGTTTGGCCATTTGACTTACATGCGCGATTAAAATACCCCAAATGTTTATGGTAATGTGGTTCGCAACACTTGCTGACAAATTTGAATGTGAAAATTTTGTAATGGTTCTTACCTGCATCCTTGATTAATGCTAGGGCTTACAATTTACAACATAGTAAATATCCCCAAATTGCTTTACAACAGTCACCTATTACAGGTGAAGTAATTATGAACAATAAATCTGTTTTTATGATATCATATATTGTCATTCTTAAAGATATTTTATTATTACTATTCTCTTTTTTGCCTCCCTAAAAAACACTTCCTAACTGCTGTATGATGAGAATTATAACCTTGATTTTTCAAGGAGTACTTTCCTTCAGATACAATAATTCGCTGTAGTGTTTTATGTTATTGTGCCTGTCCGCGTAGTATGTACAGGATACTATAGTAGTTGAATTATATTCGTGAAGCTAAGAGATTTTGTGTCTTGTGTAGTGTCTGCTATGATGCAATTGGCAAAGCAGTGTGCATTTGAAGAGCCCTCTGTTGAGATAATCAACGGTGAAAATGTATTGACATGGCCTTGTGTGGTGAGTCTTCCATTTATTGGCATCTTTCATGACATTTTTTATCCCGCATATGGCATATTCTTACACTTTATATCACAAGTCCCCAAGCCAATTTTTTGTTTCTTAATCTTTGTGCCCTTGGTACTTGATCTTTTTACGTCTTTAACTAGCTTGAAATGCTAGCTGCTTGAAAACACTACCTGCTGTAGAGATTTAGCCACTGGCATTATTTAACTATAGATATTACTTCCAAATTTAGCAGGATATCGGCGTCATGTTAATATTTCGTCATTTTAGTAATGTCTTCACTTACCTACCTGTTCCCAAGAGTCTGAGAGCATGTTTTTTCAATAAGTTTTGGTTTCTGGTCCCCTTTCCCTCCGGGGTTGTCCAAATCTACAATCTTTTGTAATATCCATGACAATTAGAGGTTCATCATGGTTATACGATGTTTAGGTGAATGCCGCGTATCTGGCATTCTTTTGTTACTGCTTACTGTATGATCTATTTTATCAATGTACATGTGTGAATCCAGAAGCATCCTCAGATTCCAGTTACTGCAATGTTTCTTGCAACAATTCTGAAATACCATTGTTACGGAGGAAACTAGGAATTGCTGTGGCTAACTTGTAATTTTGGCGATAGGTAAAGCACATTGACTGTTCTACAGTTACATTGCCCGAGCTGGAGTCCGTTTCAGCAAATTTTAAGTTTAAATCCATGATGAGAGGTAAATATTCCACTCGTTATGTTTCTTGAACTAATGTGTATGTCTTGTTGTGACACAAATAATATCCATCTTCGGTTGTTTGTGTACTTTCTCTTCTTAAAGTATTATCTGATATTGAAAGTAGTGATGCAAATAAATTTAGATTCCAATTGAATATAGATGATAGCGCTGGATTGTTATTCAATTTTCAATTCATTATATTAATGTTATTGAGAGAAAACATGTTTTCATTGGATTTATGATTGTTGAAATGTGTATTCTAGCATGTGATTTAAATGGAAAGGCATGAACAAATGCAGACTTCCAGTGAGTTTCACAGTAAACTATCTTTCCTTTTTTGTCGATCTGCAGCACCATTTCATGGGTTTGCATTCTGGTTCGATGTGGAGTTTGCTACACCTGCAACTTCACCTTCCGATGACAAGGACCCCCTGGAGTCGGCTGAGACTCCTGATGATCACGTGGCTGACACAAAACAAAGCAAGAAGCGTCCCAATCCCAGTGACGCCCTCGTGCTCTCTACTGCACCCGAGGAACCCCCAACACATTGGCAACAGGTTTCCTACCCACTTTCTATATTTGCAAAATTTTTCTCACTCTCCAATACTCTCTTTTTTTTTTATATATAGAAAAGCAGGAGTTAGAAAGAATTATCTGTTGTCCTCTCTTCGAGTCAGTTAGACTTCCATTTAATTGCTTCTGTACCTGTCAAAGCTGCCATGGTTTCCGCCGCAATAGTATAACCGAATATACTACGCTGAAATTTCCCTTGTGCAATGTACAGACGGTGGTCTATTTTTACGAACCAATGGATGTGCAGCAAGATCAGCTCATCGAAGGCACAGTGACACTATCCCAAAGCAAAGAAAATGCCAGATTCATGAACATTCGCGTGCATTACGAGTAAGTAGTCAAAGTTCATACTCGAATCTCCTCCGCCTTTGCCCTCCCCCTTATTAAATTTCTCCTCCCCACAGATCTGGCGGTAATGCTTATTGCAAGGAAGCTATTATGCGATGAATCAAGCAGTCGTCTTTCGTAGCTTGTGTCCGGCGCCAAACTTGAAGATTACTTTGGTTCGACAAGCAGACGAAACATCCTGTGGTGATTTTTTGGGAGGCAGTTTCTGAAACAACAAAAGCTAAACTGCGCTCCAAACTGGAATTTGATTAATCATCCATCATTCAAAATGAAAAGAAAAAAAAAAAAAAGGGTACATTCGAAAGGCACTATATAATTTGAATTGAGAGTTGAAGATGTGATTAGATTGGGATATGGATATGGATATGGATATGAATCTGATCTCGTATAGGCAGCAGCAGTTAGTGAGGTAGCTTAGAGATATAATTCTTGATCCTGTTTAAAAACCATGTCTTGCTAATCTTGCCCTACACTAAACTATTACTTCATTTGTTACTCTTCTTTTGGTTCCGAGAAGCATTTGATCATGTGGCTGCCGGTTTCCTGCATTATATTTTTTATTTTTTAAAAATATTTACATTGAGGTTTCAAATATATATATATATTGTTTAGACACTCAACTTATTTAGGAATGTTTTGGATCGTGGGGGGTTTTTTTTTTTGGAGGTTTAACAGGGTAGTTTTATGAAATTTCGAATGTAAAATTAATTTTTAATATAATATTAAAGTTTTTTTTTTTTTTTTTTTTTTAGAAGGTGGATTTGATATTTTGGGGTGGAAGTTTATGTAAAAACCTGCAATCACAATGAAACACAATTCAAATTTTAATGAAAAATACTTTCGTCAAGAGAGTATATTTTAGTACATGTTTATGATTGTGGTTTTTTTAAAAAACAAGTAAATTTGAATTGAAATAACTGTAAATATTTATAAATATGATGCTTTAATTTTATTATAATATAATTAATAAAAAAAAAAATATTTTTAGTACATCCCTATTATGGTGGAGGCTGTAGTGTAAAAGTAAATTTCATTGTGTTTTTTGTTTAGATATTTTCAAAAAATTTCTAAATATATTTTGTTAGTAAATACTTACTTCCATAATATATTTTTATCAAAAATAATAAAAATTTAAAATTAAAAACAATCCAAAGTAATTGAGGGGATGAAGTTTTTTTTGCAAATAATAATTGAATAAACATTTAAAAAATGTTTTAGTTTATATATTTTTTCCGGACCGAGTGTGATATTTTTTAACGGAAATAAATTTAAATGAAAAGAAAGTAAGAGTAAATTTAAACGACGCAAAAAATATAAATTTAAAACTTTTGATATTATTTATTAATTTTTTAAAATATTATATTAAATACAGTATTTATTTTTTCTTACAAAATTTACATCAATAATTAAAAATTTTACTGTCTGTAAAAATTTGGCATCTTTAAGACCCAACCTTATTTACTCTGTTTTGTTTTTCCTATTTTGATATATGAAATAAAAATTCGAAAGTACAGTGGAAGAGATAAAACAATTGCTCACGCACTCGAGGAATCTCAACCGCACGATCGAACCCATTTAAATCAACGGATATAAGCACCGCCAAGTCATCGATCCGCGAAGTTCCCTCCATTTTCTAAACTTTGGCTCCAAATCCAAATCCAAATTAGTGGCGCCATCTCCAACCATAGCTTCAATTTGTTTTCGATTTTGCCACTAAAAATCAAATCGAAAATTTTCCCAGAATTTACTCTGTTCATTCGATTTTGCCGTGATCGAATATAAATAAGCGTTTTTGGGTGCAGCCGAGCACCGAATCTCGTTTCAACTCTCGATTACTCGTCCAATCTCTTTTTGTGAGAAACGTATCAGAGAAATGGCGCGCGGCAGTGGTCCATCGAGGCTGAGGAAGCGAGTCGAGGCGGAAACTGCCCCTGCTTCGTCGTCGTCTGCTCTCAAGCGTGCCAGAGACGGCAGTGCTTTTGCCAAATGCGATGAGTGTAACAAGGATGTTCCGATAGCGTTGATAAGCTTCCACAATTGCAGTCTCGACGCTAAAATCAAGATGAATCTCGGTACGTCATACATATATGTGTATATATATTATCAACCTTGTTTTGATTGTAGTAATTGAATTTGTGTTATTGAATCTGCAATCGAAGTTTATGAGCTTAGGGTGAGGAAGGTAGATTTTGTGCTAATTGATTATCTGTTTCCGTATTTCTTCAGAGGCTCAGGTTATTGAAGTACCTAATGAAAATAAGAAGCCAGAGAGGTAATTTCAGAGCCTTTGTGTTACAGATCTGTTCAAATCCGTCCTGGTTTTTGAACAATCTGTGGCTCATACTTCTGATTAATTGAAATTCGAATCACGATGCAGGAAGAAGGCGGCTAAGCAAGCAGAGCCAAAGGCGAAGAAGGAAAAGAAGGCTAAAACCTCTATTGGAAGAAAGCGTCCTCCCACTGCATTCTTCCTCTTCATGTAATTGTTCATCATAATCCATGATTCTGCACCCCAACAATCTTCCATGACTCACAGTTTCCCATGGATTGTATTCAGGGACGATTTCAGGAAATCATTCAAGGAGGCTAATCCAGACTGCAAGAGTGTTGCTACGGTAGTTATAAAAATGAATTGCCATGGCTGCATAGTTTAGAGTTCATAATTGTTGTGTTTGAAATTGGGTTATTGTGTTGAACTTAGGTTGCCAAGGAGGGAGGTGAGAAATGGAAATCCATGAGCGATGAGGTAATTACTCAGAGAAACATAATCATTTCTGAAAATGGAGGGATTGATTGATTGATCTATCTATTGACAATTCTTGCCTGAAATTAATCTGTCCAGGATAAGAAAGTCTATGTCGACAGAGCAGCTGAGCTCAAAGCAGAATTTGAAAAGGCCAAAGAATCCAATGAAGCTGATGACAATCAACCAGAAGTATCTTCTGTTCAACATTTTGATCTATAACATTTTTTGATTCTATAGACTGTCTTATATCAGATTGTTTGTGCTGTATTTAGGATGCAAATAATTCATCAGAGAAAGAAGCCCATGAGGAAGTTCTTGAAACTGACAAGGAAGAAGCCAAGGAAGAGGTAGAGGTAGATGAAGATGAATGAAAAAAACAAAAAAAACCCATATTTTGATTTTATCTTTTGTCCTGTTCTTGGCTTTGTAAGTAAGATCTGATACTGTTAATTTGCGATAGAGACCTGTCTACTGATTTTGGAAATTCTGGTGACAAAATGAAAACTTGAATTCTGGTTGGTTGCAATATTGCTTCTTTTTTTTTTGGCCTAAAAATGTGTTATGTGCATAGTTATGTTTGATTTTAATTTTTGTTTTAAGTAATGATTTGTATGTTATTTGAAGCTGTCTAGTGAGTTGGCCATTGAAGGTTTTGGATCCATGAAATGGGTTGGACCCAATAAGCCTGAAGTGTTTGAATTAATTGGGCTTATATTATAATGTGTTGGGCTTTAATAAAGTGGGCTGGGCCAAGCTGAGTCTTTCATATGTAATGAATGGCATTTTCTTCAGCTTCATACCATAAGAGTTAGTTTTTTTAATTCTAAATTCAAGATTTTTATTATTTTGATTGTGTTTTTTTAAAAAAATATTTTTATTTTTTATAAAACATTCAAGTATATATTATTTTAATATTTAATTCAAATTATTTTTTAAAAAAATTTATCAAAAGAAATATACTTCTAATAATATGTGATAGATGATGCGAATAAAATAATGATGTTTGTATTGGGTTTGGATTTTATATGAATTTTCGAGATTATTATTTTGAAGGGGAGCGATGAATATTATTTCACATTGCTAAATGTGTGGTAACTCTCTTGATATATAAAGGTGAAAGATTACTTCATTTATTACCGATTGATGAAATGAATCTAATAAAAAGTATATTATTTTAGATTTTTGGCTTTGTAAAATAATGGTTTTTGAGCCCGTTTTATTATTATTATAATTGGAATTTGGAATCTTTTGGCTAGTAAGAAATTTCGTTCAAATTTTATGTAATGTTTTAGACCAAACATAGTTTCGAAATGTGGTGGAATTTTTTGAGAACATATTGAGCCGTGTTATTTTGAGGGTTTGGTTTGTGCATTTAAGATTTGAATAATAAATTTTTTTAATTAAAATAGTTATATAATATAATACAAATAGATGATATAATATTTTAAATGAAAAAATAATTTTTAATACTCCATTTGTCCCATCACAAGTTTTTTTTTTTTTTATTCTTTTATCAAATATGATCTATTTATATTTTAAATAAATCTATTTATTTTAACTATCTTTAACAAAAGTTACTATATAAAAATAATATCATAATTTATTAATTTCTATTATCTAAAATACTCATTTTTTTTGGGACGGAAGGAAGAAGTATCGTATAAAAAATAAAAAAATACATATTTGATTTTTTTTTTATTTGATATTTTTGAAAAAAAATACATAAATAATAAAATTATAGTAAAAATCTTGAAAAGAACCACTCATTAAAATTTTTAAATAAATGTACATAATGCTTTGCTTGTTATACATTTTAAAATAATCTAAAAACTTGTAGGTATAATTTTTGCATGTAAAAAGACTTCCGTTGTGTTTGTTTTGTGTTTTGGTTTAAATAAATTTTTTTGATGTTATAAATAAATTGTATAAATAATATAAAAATAATGAATATATATAGTAGATTAATTTTTTAAAAAAATGTATTAGAAAATATTTTTGGAAAAGAAACAAAATCCCACATCACTCATCGTTACAAGCAATCCTATTTTCTTTTCACATTTTATCTTGCAAACATTCTTTATTTAAGAAAAAATTTTGGTTGTTGAAGGTGCTTAGTCAAATGAAAAACATGTGTTAAATTGATCAAGTGAGGTATTGAGAGACGCATGACTAATTTCGAAAGTAGAAATTAATTCGTGACATACAGTATCAGAGTAACAATTTTAGCAAGCTTTAAAAATGTCTGAGAAAAAATTATAAAAACAAATACGATAGAAACAACAGTGCCGATGATGAACGGAATGACAGGCCAAGCTAAATGGTGAAGTCTTGTGATCCACTTGCAAGCTTGGATGCTCGGATGGCCAACTTGAGGTTGTGGTCGGGGAGTCCATAGAGCGATTTGATGCCCTCGAAAAAAATGTAAGCGAGATCGAGAACAACATGTTGATGACATATTTAACGGGTTAAAGATTGAGTCGAAGACTATGTTCTTCAAGAAGATAACCAAATTGCAAGAAGAATTGAACTGTGTTGTATACGCGTTATGCATCTGGACACCGGAATCTCCAAAGTATTCGGATAAGCGTAATGTTAAGAAAATCCATAATTTCTTTCGATATCTCGAAATTTATTTTGATCTAATAAATGTGATAGATGATGAGAATAAAATCAATATAACAATCTTGTACTTTGACATACTTAATAATTTAAGATTGTAATTCATCCAAAATATAAAAATTTGAATCCAAACTCATCCCATTAATACTTAGATCATAAGCAAAATTCGTCATAATTGACATCTCTTGTCGCATTACATAATTAGTAAAATTATTAACGACATGATCAATTTTGATCTATTTTTATTACCGTATGATCAATTTTAATCGATTTTATTTACTTTATGATCAATCGTGATCGATTTTATTTACTCTATGCTAAATTTTAATAAAAAAAATTTAAATCGTATAATAATTATTCGTCTTAATTGACATCTCTTGTCGTATTATATAATTAGTAAAATTATTAGCTATATGATCAATTTTAATCGACTTTATTACGTTATGATCAATCGCGATCGATTTTATTTACTCTATGCTAAGTTTTCATAAAAAAATTTTAAAATCGGATGATCATTATTCTTCCTAAATAACCTAACAATTCTTTTTTGCCAATTTTGCCCTTTATAATATGCTGAATGATTCTAATGTTATTACAGAAGCACATTCAAATACCATTTTTACCCTCAGTAGTATAAAGACTGTAAACCGTATGTATGTGTAGAAATAGAGGGAAGGACAGCAGATCTGATTGACACACACTCTCGACGAACTCACATCGGATCTCTCTCTCTCTCAAGCTCAGTTCGATCCAATTCGATTGTAATTAGGGTTCTATTCGATGGGGCAATAAGGTGGAGAAGCCGCACTAGGAGCAGCAGCCCTATCGGAAACTCGGGCCTCAAATATTTAAAACCCTAGATCCATATATATTTTGGCAATTTTTGGAGCTAATTTAGGATCGCCGGAATGGTGGGCTCTGCATCTCAATCTCAGCCTCAGCCTCCCTCTGCGGAAGAAGAAGCGCTTAGGAGGAACACCGATTGCGTTTACTTTCTCGCGTCGCCGTTAACCTGCAAAAAGGTCCCTTTCTCGTTTCAATTTATTGTGATTATTGTTGCTGTTAGTTGTAATTTGTGCCTGCGCGTTGTTGTTGTTTTGTGTGTTTGGACTCGTTTGGAGTGTATATTTTTTGTTGCTGTTCCTCGAACGTCGAGAGGTTTTTGGATTATTTCTAGTGAATTTGGAGCCACTCAAGGATTTAAGCCTTCAAATTTGTTTCCTTGTTGAGCTATTTCTCCTTGACGACTGGTTGATTTCGATTTTGGTTGTCCTGATGGGAAATCGTCGATTTCTTGATTTTATTTTTCCTTTAAATCTCTGAATCTGTTGTAATTATCCTTTTCAGTTGTTTGTGTGGATATAGTGCTTCGTATTGCAATTAGAGCTGTGCTGAATTAGCTAAACTATACCTGTGAGTTAGAACAAGGCACTGCTCAGAGTAGATTGGGAACTTTGGAAAACCAAATTAGTTCTATTTATGAGCATTTGGTGATACCGATTATATATATATATAATATATACTGATAATTCATTGCTATACTAAAGCTTTCATTGCTAAATCTCTATTCAAACCGAAACTTATTGTCAGTGTTGTATATGCTTCTAACATGTACCGTGGTTTAAAATATCGTGTGGAAGTTATGAGAATTTTCTTTTAGGTGCCTGAATTTCAGAAACTATTCCCGTTGATGGTTAGTTAGGTATTGTTCTTTGTTGAATGTACTTTTCAGTATTTTTATGTTCTGAACATCCAAACTTACTCTGATGGTCTGATGCTAGTAAATATCTTGGAATTCCTGTTTCATGAAACTTGATATGTCCTAATTTGGGCGTTAACACATCCTTCATCTCAATTATATTTACGATCTTGAGCTCTTTGATAACAGGGAAGTGAATGTGAATATCGCCATAGCGACATTGCTCGTGTAAATCCTAGGGATTGTTGGTACTGGATAAATGGTAACTGTTTAAACTCCAAGTGTGCATTTCGGCACCCGGTAAGTCGAGTGTCTTTCTTGGTTACATAATTTTATCTCTTTTTTAAATTTACTTGGTATTCAATATTTAATTTATGCGAATCTGAAATCATACAATAGTAAGTAATGACAAGGTATCTTGTTTGTCTTACTGTCTCTTGGTTGCTTAAGCCACTCGATGGTCTGCTTGGAACACCAACATCTTCAGGACCCTCAGTGCCGGCATCTAGTCTGCCGGCACCTGCCGCAACTAGCTCCGCAAAACAACCGGTGTCATGTATATTTTTCCAAAAAGGGTTTTGTTTGAAAGGCGATTGGTGCCCCTTTCTCCATTTGCAGACGTCCATAGGCAATAAAGCTTCAGCCGTTACAGGAGCAGCATCCACTCTCGAGCAGGCTGCAGCGGCCAAAAAGGTTTTTACTGCCGTTCAAAAACCTTTACAAGAGAAGAAATCCCTCCCTGTGAATGTCGCCAAATCTGTCAAGGACTCGCAGCCGCTAGTAAAACCATTGACCAAAGCCGGGCCTGCTCCCTGGACAAATGAATTATCTATGAACAGGAAGGTACCACAAACTGCCGATTTTCCAGGCTACAGGAGCACTCCTATGGTCTCTAATGGAAACCCTGTCAATTGGCCTGGTCGAGTCCAGCAATCTAATCTCTTGGATGAACCCGAAGGTGTGTATGGTAAGGATACGGAAGAAGTTTCTAGAGAGCCCTCTCCTGGTTTTGATGTCCTTGTTGATGACGAGGGAAGAGATTCTGATTACTATCCGAGTGAAGATAGATATGGAATGCCAATGGAACATGAAGCTAGGAACGAATACAATATGGATCATCCGACCGATTACAACATGGTTGCTGCCATCGAAGATGAACGATATGGGAATTCTATCGGTTATGATCCGCAGGATCTCCATTCGGGTGGTCAGTATGCTTGGGATCAGCGCGGACGTTCAGCCGAAAGGATATTGGGAGGATCTTACTCTGAAAGGAGGCCGTATGATAGGCCTGATAGCCGTGGTCGAGTTGATGAATCGGACCTGAGGCATCGTTTGGCCAGGCACAGAAAGCCCAACGGTTTGAGGTCCGTCATTAGTCGTGAACACCCCAATGAGATGCATGTTAGAGATCGTGAACAAAGGATTCCCCATGTGAAGCCTCTTAGCAATCGGCTACAAGGAAGAATAAGGCTTCCTCGGAGATCGCTGTCCCCAATAAGGGCGGGCGCGCCGAATCACCAGGGAAGGATCCGAAGCAGGATAATCGAAAGACGGGATGAGGATTTTAATAATGGCGTGAAAAATTACAGAGGAATGCACTCTAGAAAAGACAACAATCCAGGTGATGATCGAGCTGATTTTGCCGGTCCCAAAAGCCTTGCAGAGCTGAAGAACAGAAAAAATGGCGAACCGTTGAAACAGCAGCGTGTGGCTGATCGACAATCATTTGGGAAGAGAAAACAGTCTATGATTGACGGCAATCAGCAAAGTGGAAGCGATGTTTTGTTCGAAGGGCCCAAACCGTTGGAAGAGATTCTAAAGAGAAAGAGAGGTGAAACGACTGGGAATTTGAGTGCTAGGAATTTATCAAACAATCAAGACGTTGCAGAAGACACAAATTACGAAGGAAAGAACGAGGACCACAAGTCAACGATCAATGCAGAAGCCGGAAAGCAACCCGCTTTGAGCTCTCCCAAACAAGCTGCAGATGATGGCGCACATGCTGAAAATCGGCTGGAGCAAGAACCCGAAGCCTGTGATGACAGGGATGGCGAGCCCGAGTATGAACAAGGTGGTGGCGAAGATTATGAGGTGTACGATGGCGAGAATGGAGATGGCTCTGGGGAATACATTGAGGAAGAAGATGATGACGATGAATTTGCAAAGAAGATGGGCGTGGTGTACTCCTGAACAAGCGTTAAGGTCCGATGACTTACTCTTTGCTTCGTCGCTATTAGTTCGTAATGTGCAGTTGTTCATTTCTGATCTCTGCTTTGCATTGCATTGGCATGTTTTCACATTTACTATCTCTCTCTCTACTGGTTTTGATTACAAAAGTAGAGAATGAACCGATCATCGTCATCGTTCGCTACTCGTTCTCATCGTCATCGATCGATCAATGATGATACATTCGAAGTTATTGACTTTGTGTATGGAGTTAGTTTGTGTCTAGAACTGTTTTAGTTGTGACTGTAGCAAGATGAGAAGATGAATTTTATCAAAATCACCATGGCTGCTCCTGCTGCTGCTGGATTATGCTTTTTTTCTTTGTTTTATATTTTTCTGTGTTCTTTTCTTTTTAGGTTTTGCCATTGTTGACCTGTTTAAGCTCTTCTGCTAAATCTTTGATGTTTGATTTCTGAAATTGAAATTGAAAATGAAAATGGAAAATGCAAATTGGTGATGCGTAGATGATGACTTGGATTTGTCGTTTTGATTGTTCCTTAGGGTTTTGTCGTCAACTGAAAATTGGCTCCCTCACTCCACACACATACACAACTCAACTAGTGGGTGGTGACTGCCGAATTGTCTTTCCACTTATTCTTGACGACTCCCGGGACCCCCGCGCCACCCTCCTACCCTACCCCTTCAATTCGAATTTCTTTTACTCTTTGTCCCACTTAAATAGTGTCATAATAATAATAATAATAATAATAATAATGATAAAAGAGTAAGGTAAATTAGTAATTGAGTGGGAATATATATGGTGGATGCTTTCGGCTATTTGCAAATATGCAGGTATTTGATATCCGAAATTGCAAATCCTATCCGAACTGAATTTTCGGTTAATCGAAAATATTTGCAATATATGCAAATAATTCGAACCGAACTGAAATTAAAAAATAATACTCCGATATTAAAAAATAATAAAATTCTAATTAAATCAAAATATTTGCAAATATTTCAAATATTCGAATCAAAATCGAATAGTCGGTTAACCGAAAATTCGATTAAGTTCGGTTCATGGTTGTATTTGATTTTTTTTCCCACCCTGGGAACATATAGAGAATAAAATTAAATAAATTATTTTAAGTGGGAGAAATGGAGTGGAGTATTTCAAAGGGCTTCATTTGCAAATAAAAATCTCCTTTATTATTATTATTTTTGAAGGGAAAATGTAACAGAATTAAATTTGATTCAATGAATATGAAATATATATATATGTGTGTATTTTAGTAATTAATAATTTTGGCTGTGCTTGTGTGAGTGTTGTGTGTATTATTAATGAGCATCAAATGCTTATTGGGATTGGTGCCACGCCCACACCAAATTGTATTTGCATTTGCATTATTGAAATATATTTATATTATACTTATTTATTGGAGTATCATATTTGTAATTTATATATATACAAATGCATTAAAACAAACATATAAATATATATATAGACACGTGATGTCATGCAAGAAGGCATGCGTATCTTTTTCACTATGATGATTTATTGTTAGAATGTCCGAACCTTTCTTTACTTATTTATACATATATATATATATATAAGTAAAATAATTATTAGTATCGTTTCCATTTTTATTTATTTTTTTCTGTAAAATATTTATATATACTAATATACCTTTTAAACCTAATTTAATGTAAACGATAAAAAAAAAAAAAAAGCAAAATTACTTAAATGAACTGTTAGAGTGCTTACTAGGATTAATTACTATGATGAAATATAATTTAAAATGCTTGATTTAAATTAACACTCCCCCCATTCCACGTAATTTGTCTCTATTTTCTATTTTCGTCCGTCCCACATAACTTGTCATTTCATTTTTTGAAAATATAATTATACACTATAATCACATTTTAAATTTTATAATATTTTTAATTTTAATTAAACTATTTATTTATCTTAATCTTAATTTATAATTATTTATCTAAATTCTCGTACGTAGGGTAAGACCCATATTTCCTTGGGACCGAGAGAGTACAGTGTAGTGTATAAATCAAATCATTAGCATGTAATGTCTATTTATATACTATAAATACTAAAATTAATACATATGTTTGTATTTGGGGCTAAAATTAGTATTATACTAATTTGACTCAATTACATGATTTTTTATATATTGTTGATTTATATTTCAATGAATATATTGTCAATAGTGATTGTCTACATGAATTTAAAATTAATTAAAATTATAAAAATATTCCAAAACACTTGCTTTCAATCTTTATTATTATCAGCATATTTCAATAAAAATATGCATTATTTTATTTTACAAAATATTTGAAAAATAAAATGAATAATTATTTTAAGAATTTCAATAAATAACACAACCACTGAACTAGTCTAATTTTACAAAAAGCAGACGAAACTAATGTTGCGCCATACAATAATTGTACTCGTAATTTTTTTATATTTATTTAATTCTCATATATCTCAGAAAAATGAATAAATAAAACTACTTTGTGTCACCGGGAAAACGACAAAATCTCATTTAATTATTGCAATATATTTATTTTCATATAACTTTAAAAACAAATGATACTATTAAAAAAATGGTGTTTGGATCTCTTTTCAACCAACAATCAATGAGTTAGCTACAGTTAAATTGTTTATGGCTTTTTTTTTTTTTTTATCTTAATAAATTTTACTCATTATTTTTTTTACGTTTATCTTCTTAATATTTATTTACTTATATAAATATACACTTTTAAATATATTATTTGAATTAAATATGTTACATTATATATTGACTTACTATTATACAACATATAGTAAAATTGAATTTTCAATTATATATTTTTTTATTTCGTTTTAATTTAGGGTGTGATTGTTTGGAGGATTGGATTTTAAATACATTATTTATCCTATTTTTTTAAAAAAAAATATCAAATTATAATATTCATTTTTTATTTTTTATATTATACTAAAAATCAATTTTATATTCAAAATATTACACCACACCTATTTATATCACATTATACAATTATTCAAATTTCAACTCAAAATTCAAACCCCCAAACGAACGCACCCTTAAAGTATCATTTTCATAGGTCTCTTCAAAAATTAAATAAAAATAATACATTAATAAAAAATATTTTATTTATTAAATTATAAATATATTATTAAGGACAAATATATTAAAATTTCTTACCCATTTTATTTACTATTATCAATAAAATACTTTCCAACAAATTCAAATGGGATTGAGAGAATATTAAAATTTTTATATTAAAATACTATTATATAAATACTGTGTAATTTTGTTTAAAATAATGACCCAGTCATTAAAATTAAACTAAAGCATAATTTGATACTATTAACAAAAGTAACAATCAATTAATTAATTAGTGCAGCTTCTGGGTATTTATTTCTTTATTACAAATCCTTTCAGTTAGTCTCTCTCCCTTTCTCTCTCTCCCCATTTTCTCTCTCTACAAATTTGGAAAGTCCTCTTGGATTCTTCAACCAGAGAGCGCAGTGGAGCTGCATTTAGCTCAGTAATGCCAGGGATTTAAAGGGACCAGAATTGCCGGAGCTGCGAGTAATCTCGAGGAGCTTCGGAGGCGGCGGTTCAATTTGTTAATGCTTTTGGAGGAAAGGCATTCGCCGGAGCGAGCACATGGCGGGCGAGTCAGGCGCCGGAAGCGGCTTCCATCACCACCACCACCAGCAACAAGGCGTATTGTTCAAATCCGGCGGTGCGATGAGCAGCAGCGGCAGCAACAGCGGTTCGCCGGGGTGTCAATTGATGATTCCGATGGGGAATAATAACAATAATTATTACCGGAACCCTGGGGGAAGCCTGAATTTGAGCGGCGGCGACGGCGGTGCTGGGCGAGTGATTTTCTCATCGGGAGGAGGCTCGCAGAATTCTCTGGATTCCACCTCGACTCTGCCGATTGATTCCGGTGCCGGACTGAAGCACGACACCGGCCTCGCCGTGGAGTGGTCCATTGACGAGCAGTACAAGCTTGAGGAAGGCCTTGCTAAGTAGGTACTCTCTTCCAAGTTGATAATGGTAGAATTCTCTGCATTTCACTGCGTACACCTTTTAATGCTTGCGGTACAACTCGGTTGAGTTTGCTTGGTTCCTTTGTCTAGTGGACTTGTCCCTGCCTCGATAGAGGAAACACGTGGTGGAAGCAGGGGGGGATGGGGATGGGTAATGGAAGTACAGACAAATCTTGAGGGGGGTGTGATAGAAACGTTCAAAATTATGATAGGGATTGGAGAATATAATCCAAAGTGATTTTTGTTACAAGTTCTTGATGGAAGAATTTGGGCATAAATTTGCTCTAGGATGTGGATCTTCCCCCACAAATGCTACTCTTATTTCCTGCTTTGAATCAGACATTTTCTTGCTGTGAAAAGGGCGTTAGGTTGATTAACAAAATAGACTAGTGGTGACCACTTCCATTGTTGCTTGTCAAGCTTTTGATTCCTTGAGAAACTAACTGCATCTTCTGTTTGAATCTTTCTTGATCAGTTGATTGTGTTGTTTGTCTCATTAGTTTGCTGTGAAATAGTCATAAACCATGGAAGATGGTTTATTGCTTTTGAATTTGACATTCTTTTGAGATCTGTTGCTGGATAGTGTATCCTTGTGTGTAGTTTTGAATTGGATCTAAAGTTAATCTGGGATTTTTGTTCTAAATGATATGAATAATGTAACACAGCAGAAAAAGAGTTCGAGTCGATTGGCATCTGTTAGTGGATCTCAAGAGTGATGGGATCCTAATGTCAGTAGTGATCACACTTTTACATCTATAATGCTCAATCCATCTATTTATTGCTTTGGTGGAAGCTTTTCATTTTCTTTGGGTTCCTCAGATAATTTCTTCACCATGTTATGTTTTTTCTTTAATGCCGTACTTGTGTCTGTTCTATGCTCATATGCTGGAGCTTATCCTGGTTTGTATTCTACTCCTATTAGCTTCTGAATGTAAAAGAAAACTAAATTCAGTTTCATGTAGTTGATTGCTTTCTAAAACTTTGTAGATTCTCCAAAGAGCCCACTATTATGCAGTATATTAAGATTGCTGCGCTGCTCCGTGACAAAACTGTGCGGGATGTTGCTCTCCGATGCAGTTGGATGATGGTGAGTTGACTGAGTTCACTGTTTCTGCAGAGACAAATGATAATATCCTCTTAAGTCATTTTTATTTTAGTTTAAATCTTTAATTTGATATCATTCCATCAATCCCTAGTATTTCAAAGTTAATAGCAACATTGCACTTTGTTCTACCTAATTAGTCATGTTTTTAACAGAGAAAAAGGAGAAAACAGGACGATCAAACCTCGGCGAAGAAAATAAAGAGTCGTAAGGTATCATTCGTTGTAGTTGTAACATAATTTGATATCACCAACCTTGGTAGACTTAGAAATATGCATACTATCATATACCCATTTTGTTTTTATTTTTTCCTTTTCTTCGTGATCTTTTTTGTCACTCTGTATATGTTGCTGTGGTAGCGTGTATCGACTTACTTACTCGTGGTAAAAAGTTTCGGTCCCGTTTTAAGCTGTACATCATTCTTTAAGTCTTGCAAGACTAATCAGGTCCTGAGTGTTGTCATTAAGTTGCATGCAACCGAGTGATTACGGATATTGATTTTCTTGCTCCTTTCTCTTTGTGTTACATTGCTTGTGGCTGCCTTTTTATGTCGACAAATCAAAGTCACTTCTCTGTTGGAAGATTGATTATTTTAATGGCTATTTCTTTCTCAGGAAAAGTTTGTAGAGTCATCTCTGAAAAACAACATTTCTTCGGCTTCATCAGTAAATGCAGCTACATATGCTTTACCAAGAAACCAATATGATCACAGTGGCTGCACACTTTCAGGAGGTTCCTTTCTTTCATTCACTTTTGTTTTTTCGAATTTAAAAAATGTTGCATCATGACTGTAAGGTCAATTTCCTCTTTCTTTATTCCACAACTTCTCGATACAGTCTACTATTAACATTTAACAAACTCACCTCTTTACTTATGGTTGTGGATCTCGGCCCTCTGCTCTGCTTATGTAGTTTTTCTATTTGAAATGATTCCATGTATCTGTTTCAGCATTGAGCGGCGCAACAAGAAATCTTTTGGAAGAAAACAATCAGGCTTTTGGTCAGATTTCAGCAAATCTTACAACCCTCAAGGTAAACCTCGAACTCTATTGTCCTCGAAAAATTTGTACCATACTTATGGTTAGCTTAATTTGGTCATGATTATAGATCAAGCATATCATATGCTGTTTCGGGGCAGGGAAAGAACACAGTGCATATATCTTTCATAACAAATATCTACACAATACATTATTACATAGTAGAGCAATACAATTTTCTTAATTGTTACAAAAGGTTATTTTTTGGAACGTTTTGAGTTTCGACTATATCTATAACCAGGTCTGAAAATGTTGATTTATATTCCTAGCATTTGGATGTATCGAATACTAGCCGTAGTTGTAAATGTGGTTTATCTTACTGATGTATATTCTTCTCTGAATGCACTCCATACTTTACATTTACACGTCCCTTTAACACACCGAAACTTGCGCAGTTGCAACAAAACATCGAGCTCTTCCTCCGAACAAGGAACAACCTAACTACAATTTTGAACGAGTAAGTTACTCTAACCACAACCGATGCTGCAGCTGAATTATACCTTATTTTGTTGAAGTCTTTGTTTTATGCCGTGCAGCATGAGCAACATGCCGGGAATTATGAGTCGAATGCCACCTCTTCCTGTGTTCCTCAACGACGAACTTGCAAGTAGCATTTTCCCATGCTCATCTCAGGTATCCCCTCCCCATGAAAGTTTGTTTGTGTCAAACTTTTAGATAAGATAATCATTTATATTTAATACGGTATCAAAGCCAGAACATTTTGTTTTTGAGTTCCACCTCCCCTATTCGTCATCATCCACGGGCAAGATTCATATGCAGCGTAAATTTACCTTGCACGTGACAATTTTTTAAAAGAGAGCGGTGGAACTCGAACACTGAGTGTATAATAATTAATGATACATATTATTTTAAGCTTAACCTTTCAAATGAGATGATTATTTAACAGTATGATCCATCTTTTCTTGCAGCCGATGATATTTAGCTCGTCTAGTGCAGTTCCATTGAAGCCGGAATCAGGATGCTGATCAAGTAGTTGCTTAACTTCGGTGACACCACGACGACAACTCGACTGGTCTTCTTTCTTCTCATGCCTCTGTAAGTATTGAAAATTCTTCCTCTAAGCTGGTGAACTTTCTAGCCGTTTTCCTCGATTTCTATCGCGCGCCATGTCCGTCATTTTTGGCCAGCGAAACAGCGGCTCGGCTCAGCTCGGTTCGACTCGATTTGATTCGAATCGAATTGAATCGAATCGCTTGGCTTGCTGGAGCAGTTGATTTCTTCAGTCCAACTGCTTAACAATCAAATAATGTTGGGCATAAATAATGGATGATCGATTTTCAGACTCTGCAATGCAGATTTTGTATGTAAAATGTTCATTACATACACTAATCTGATTCACTGGATGATTCATTTACTTCTGCTGTCTTTTAATAATTTGTAATATTAATTCATTAGCTCCTTTTTTTTTTTCTTTTCTTTTTAAATTATACAATCTAATTTTAGAAATATATTACTGAATAAAATTATGGTATAATTAATAAAGAGAGGTCGAATTGAGTTTTCCTTGTCCAATTATGTAGGAATAAAAAGGTTTGTTGAGTATTGATTATTAATTACTTCCCCGTCCCCGAGAAAAAAAAAAAAATTAAAAGTATTTTGGTATTAATGTAGATTACTTTTAAAAAATCCAGTAAAATACTTGGTGGGATGGACATAAATGATAAAAATGATACTTTTAGTTGGGACAGATGGAGTAATATTTTTATACTAATATTATTTAGTATTTACATTTTGGAATAATACAAGGACACATAATATGTTATTTATGTCAATATAATACTCTCTCCATCCTACTTGTATACATTTTCATTTTTGTATGTCTTATTGTTATTTTTTTTTCTTTTTTTAAAAGAATTATATATTTTAATTTTTTTAAATTTTTTGAATTTTAGTTAGACTAATCGGTTATCTTAATCTAAAATTATATTTATTATACGATAATAAATCTTACTGATGTATTCTTGATTATTTTATTAATTATACTGTTATTACTAATCCAAGATCAACAACATAATATTCGCATAAGAATATTCTAGATCTAACGAAAACTTAAAAGAAACTTTTATTATCACGGAAGCAATATACTTGAACTCAGTTTTACCCACAAATCGAACAAATTGACATTGAATACACATTTAAGACCCAAGCCACAAATGACTCGCTACGGAATTGCAACTAATACACAAACTCGAACCCTAATATAAGGAAACACAACGATCTCAAGTCTATTACACCGTGAACAAGATATACATCAAATCGATTAAATCAAACCGTAGAAACACCAACGGGAAGGTGTGCGTCGAAGAAGAGGGAGAGCTTCCCAAATCGCCGGACAAAATCATCGGAGAATACATGCGACGTCGAAAGAATCGCCTAGGGCTAGAAGGGAATCGCTATATGTTCTTTCTTTTGTTCTGTATCAAATCGAATGAATGAACTGGTTCAGGGCAATAATATATATATATATATATATATAGAGTAGACCGGTTCAGCGGTCCAACAGAACCGATTTATCAAGGCATCCAGCAGTCTCACAGAGACTCGGGTTGGGTTACAGATTACGTATTCGGGCTTCAAATGGGCGGATCGATTGTATTTGTATTGGGTCTTTTTAATTCATTGGTCCAAAACTCCACATATATTTTGTTTTTTAATTTTCGTGTTTAAAATAAGGGGACACCGTAGTCAGACGGATGAAGTATAAATTTATTATATATGAGCTAACAATATATATTATAATTTATGTATTCTATTATTGCTTTTATATGATAACAAAAGCGAGATTAGAGATTTGTATGAATTGAACACCACTTGTGATTGAAGGGTGTGTTTGTTTGAAGGATTTTGGAGGATTTCCACTATTCATCCAATTTTTTCCTCCCAAAAATATCAAATCAAACACCTATTTTTCATTTTTTATATTATACTAAAAATCAATTTTACATTCAAAACATCACATCAAACCCTATTTATATCACATCATACAACTATTCAAATTCAAAATTTTTACTATTCAAATCCCAATCCAAAATCCAAACCCCCAAACAAACACACCCGAAGTACAAAATTGATTATTTATATGCAAAGGATATATTTTATCAAAAAGAATAAAATATAAAAGACAAAAGTAATAATTAGATATATGTAAATCGTAAATTTGTAATTTGCCTAAAACCAAAATGAGGTGAGCTTTTTTAATGCAAGTTGGATTCATTGAGGATTCCAACTTAATTCATCTTTCTCTATTAAGAGATAGTGGCAGAAAACTTATTTTAGCTCAACTCATTAAATACTTTTCTAAGAGAACGTGCAATTCAGCTGGATTCACTCAGCTATATTTTTATTTTAAATTTAACCTTAAATTAATTAATAAATATTGCCTAAAAAGAAAATAAGTATAATATTATATCTAACTCTAAATATAAAAACTTTACTTTAATATTTTAACACTATTTTAATTAATATTTTTGCACGATTTCGAACAAAGTTTGAAAATTGTATATATTAACGTAACTACCTTTTATTGTTGAAAAATGGAAAATATCAAATATACTGCAATTACTTATAAGATGCTTTTGTTATTGGCTGTGTATTTTTTTTTTGGAAAGTTGGATTAAAATAATTTATTTAATTAATATTTGATTTATAATATAATATAGTATATGATTAAAATTACTTAAAATATGTAGTTAATTATTTCAATAACCATATTTTATTTATTTCGTTCTATTCCATTGGTGTTTTTTATTAAAAAATAATAATATTTTATTTATTAATAAAAATATAAAATAATTTTGGTATTTTTATTCTTTGCCATTTATATAAAAAGATACTATTTGTTAAATAAAATATAAGAAAATGATATAAGAAAAATACTTTCGATTGAGATGAAAATAATAAAATATAGTATATCAATATTACTTTACGAAAAATAAAATTTTATGAATACAAATAAAATTATTTTTATAAAAAATTAAGAATATAGTGTCAAATAGTAAACAAACAGATTTAAATTATTTTTTTCATATAAAATATTACATATATTATTAAAAGAATAAAAACTAAAAAATACGATAAAATAAAAGCAATTATAATATTTTATAAAAATATATATATTATACCAAAATAAATTATAAATATCAAAAAAAAAAAAAAACATTTATTTATTGGGCTATCAGATTGTAGAAATGGAGAGAAATAAGATTTTGGCGGCATTTATTACCCGCTTTTAAGACACCCCTCTGACTCCGACTCTACTCATCCAACGGGAACCTCTTCCGTACACGTCTTCTCCCCAAACGCTCTCCTTTCCGGCGACGGCGACGGGGACGGCGAGAATGATGAGGAGGAGTTATTGGTGATTGTAATTGTTGTTCCGTAATTGCCTTGGAAGAAAGAAGAAGAAGAAGATGATTCTGTCGGTTCTGCGTTTCGTTTTCATTATTCTCGCTGGAATCTCTTCCCGAGCTCATCGCGGCCTCAGCTGCAACCCTAGTGATTTGGATTCGCTGAAGAAATTCGTCGCGCAACTTAATTCAGGTGTGGATAGATGGAATTTCGAATCGATTCCGCCGAATTGCTGCGGTTGGAGTGGCGTCACTTGCGAGAATCCGTCCACCCGCGCCTCGAATGGCTCCATTGATTCATCTCTTAGGGTTGTCAAATTGGAGCTAGGCAGGAAACGCCTCGTCGGAACTGTGGCTGAATCGTTAGGCAATCTGGATCGCCTCAGGACCTTGAATTTGTCGTGGAATTCTCTGAAAGGCTCCATTCCGCAGGCGCTTCTGCTTTTGCCGAACTTAGAAACCCTAGATTTGAGCCATAACGCCATTTCTGGAACCTTCCCCAACTCCATATCCCTGCCTTCGTTGCAGGAGCTTGATGTTTCTAGAAACTTCATCTCTGGCGGTTTGCCTGATGACCTGTTTAGGTTGCAGAGCTTGAAGAAATTAAATCTCAATGAGAATCTGTTCTCCGGACAGCTCAGTGATCAAATCGGTAACCTCTCTAATCTTGTTCATTTAGGTTTATCATCGAATGGATTTTCAGGAAAACTTCCTGACGTGTTCGATAGATTTATGCACTTGGAGTATTTCTCTGCTCAATCGAATCAATTCAGTGGCGAATTACCCAAATCTCTGTCGAATTCGGCTAGCATTATTTTTCTTAACCTGAGAAACAATTCCTTGACTGGCGCCATTGATCTCAACTGCTCTGCAATGGTTAATCTCAATTCGATCAACTTGGCGACGAATAATTTCCATGGCGAGATTCCTGAGAACCTCCCAACCTGTAAAAACTTGAGAGCTGTAAATTTCGCAAGGATCAATTTCCATGGTAAGATCCCTGCTAGTTTCAGGAATTTTCACAGCCTTATTCACTTATCTCTCTCAGATTCCAATGTCTCCGACCTTGCGACGGCTCTGGACATTCTTCAGTACTGCAGAAGCTTGAAAACTTTAGTTCTTACGGGGAACTTTAATGGCGAAGAAATGCCTAATCATCTTGATCTTCACTTTGTTGAACTCAAAGTCCTTATTGTCGCTGATTGCAAACTCACCGGTTACATTCCCCAGTGGTTGAATCAGTGCAGGAACTTGCAGCTGTTGGATTTGTCGTGGAATCGGCTAGAAGGCTCGATCCCAACGTACATTGGCGATCTCCGATCTCTGTTTTATTTGGATCTATCGAAGAACTCCCTTACCGGGGAGATTCCTAAGGAGCTTACCGGAATGCAGAGCCTCATCAACGGTAGCGTCCTGAAGGATGTATCGAATCCCGATTTCCCTCTCTATTCGAGGAGGAATCGACAGGGTTACAAGTATAAACAGATTGGGGGTTTTCCTTCCACGTTGAGTCTTGGCAACAATTTGCTGATGGGAGAGATCTGGCCGGAGTTTGGTAATCTAAAGAAGCTTCATGTTTTGGACCTCAAATGCAACAATCTGTTCGGATCGATTCCTGGCAGTTTATCGGAGATGAGGAGTTTGGAAACTTTGGACTTGTCGTTCAATAACTTGACGGGAATGATACCGTCTTCGTTGAGTATACTCAGCTTTCTGTCGACTTTCAGCGTCGCGCACAATCATCTCTCAGGCCGGATCCCGACTGGAGGTCAGTTCCTAACATTTAACAACTCGAGCTTCGATGGAAACTCCGGTCTCTGTGGAACTCATTCTTCTCCTTGTCCTGATAGCATCCTTTCACCTTTGCTTGATCACTCGAGAAAACCGAGAGCTGCTGATAATATGGTTTCGATTGCAATGGGCGTCGGCATTGGTCTTGGATTCATGTTACTTCTGGTATTCTTTGTATGTTTAGTCGTTCTTCGATTCTCTTGGACGAAGGCCGTCGATCCTATCAATTCAGCGAGGATCGAGCCTCGCTCCTACTCGGAGGTAGTTACCCTTTGTCGGAGCGACGACAGCAGTTCGATGATCCTCGTCGACGACCTTGTGAAGGCGACGAACAATTTCGACTCGTCTAACATTATCGGCTGCGGCGGATTTGGTCTCGTCTACAAGGCTGAATTCTCCGACGGAAGGAAGGTAGCTATAAAACGGCTTTACGGCGACGACTTGCTAATGGATAGGGAATTCGAAGCTGAAGTCGATAGCTTGTCAAGAGCTCGGCATCCGAATCTTGTCTGGCTTCAAGGCTACTGCAGGTACAAGAACGACAAGCTGTTAATATACCCGTACATGGAGAACGGCAGCCTCGACTACTGGCTACATGAAAAGAGCGACGGGCCATCATCGTTGGATTGGGAGAAACGGCTGCGAATCGCGCAGGGTGCAGCCAGAGGGCTGGCTTACCTGCACGAATCCTGCGAGCCGCGCATCATCCACCGCGACATCAAGTCGAGCAACATCCTTCTCGACGGGGAGTTCAAACCTCACTTGGCTGATTTCGGGCTCGCTCGGCTGATTCTCCCGTACGAGACGCATGTCACGACGGACCTCGTCGGGACGTTGGGGTACATCCCTCCCGAATATGGTCAGGCATCGGTGGCGACGTATAAAGGCGACGTGTACAGTTTCGGGGTTGTTCTTTTGGAGCTTTTGACGGGGAAGAGACCGATGGATGTGTGCGGACCGAAAGAATCCCGGCAATTGGTGTCGTGGGTAATCGAGATGATGGAGGAGGGAAGGGAAGCCGACGTGTTCGATCCGCTGATCTACGGGGCAATCCATGCCGGGAGAAAGGCTACGGTGCTCGGGATTGCTTCTATCTGCCTCGACGAGTCCCCGAGACTACGGCCCAACGCGCAGCAGTTGGCGTCGCTGCTAGACAACGTTGAATCGACGTCTTCCGGCCCGTCGGAGGAAGATGGGTTTTCTTAATAGATCAAGAACGAGTCGAGGTATGTTTTATGAGCTTTCATTAAGTATGCATAACTCAGTAATCATAACAGAGATAGCTGAAAAAGATAGGATTTTTTAGTATGCAAGAATGATTCGAACATCTTGAGAACACTCAAATTAAATCAATGGCTGAAACATGATTCAATCGAACTCACTCTTCAATTCAAAATAAGAACAAAATGTAATGAAACACCCATAAAAATTGTAAAAATCACTAGGAAAAAATAAAAATGTTACATTGATTTATATACTGAGATGTTCTTCCCTGGGCAAGCTCTGGACAGTGTCCGACCATCTCCCCGGCGAGTGATCGCTGCTGTTCGACGACAAATGCGCCTCCGCCCGAGCTTCCCGGATCATCCTCACCACCTCCTTCATCGCCGGCCGGCTATCCGCCCCCACTGCCACACATGCCATGGCGATGTTCAGCAGCGCCGCCAGCTTCTCCTCCGACGCAGACACCTCGTCGCCAGATTCCGTTTCCTCCTCCCTCACCGATCGCACCCACGCCGGGATGTTGGCGCCGTGCTCTTGAACAAGATCCTGGAACGGCGTCTTCCCCGTCAGGAGCTCCAGGAGCAGCACGCCGTAGCTGTAGACATCCGCCGGTTGGGACAACGGTCTCCGAGGGTCACGGCACTCCGGCGCCCGGTAGAAGAGGGACGACGCGCTCGATTCCTCATTCGACTCGGGGTTCCTGAAGGCAGTCAGCCCGTAGTCGGTCAGGCACGACTCGAAGTCAGATCCTAATAGGATGTTGGTCGATTTTAAGTTCCCGTGCGTCAAGCCCGGGTTCTGATGGATGTAGAGGAGACCAGTGGCGACATCCTCGGCTATTTTGAGACACGACGTCCAATGGAGCGGCTTTGATCCGCCGGCTGCTCGGGAACCTGCACATTGAAACCACAACAGAGCTCAGGCAACACGCCTTATCGATCTCTAACAAGACATCGATGACAAAATGTACCATGTATGAGCGAAAAGAGGCTGCCGTTGGGGAAATAATCGTAGACGAGCAAACGCTCCTCCTTGGCCTGAAAATACGCCCGGAGAGGCACCAAATTCGGGTGGCGCAATCGACCGAGGATCTCAATGTGTCGTCTAAACTCCTCCATCGAAGGATACCGGGCGTCCTTAAGCCGCTTGACTGTGACAATGTATCCCGACTCCATCACGGCCTTGTATGTGCTGCCGATAGTCCCCCGGCCGAGCGTCTCGGCGGAGGCTTTTAAAAGATCCTCGAGGCTATAATTCATCTGCTGATCACCGGGGCCGAGGAACGTCAAGCTCCCGAGCCCTTCAGCGCCTTGATCCCACGAAAATCCGCCGTGCTTGTCGCCGCTGTGATCGCCCCGGCGGGCGCTAGCAGCACCACCGCCGCTGCCGCCGCCAGGTGTGCCGCCGTCCTCCGCCCCTCCCGCCACCACTTTGCTACCGTTCTCCTTACCATTGCTCTTCTTCCTCATACAAACCATCCAAACGATCACCAGCACACACAGCGCCACCAATCCGGCGGCGCAGAGAACGCTTATTAATATAATTCGCCGGCGGTGACGGCTGCTGTTTTTAGGCATAATTGGGTACGATGGGGAGGCGGACGGGGCAATGCCGCCGCCGCACCGCCGCCCGGCTAATTCACCGCACAAGTTCAGGTTCCGGGAAAATGACGTGGCATTGAACCTGGCCAATGCGGCGGTCTGCGGGATTGGCCCGGAGAGGGCATTATTGGACACGTTGAAGAACCGGAGGCCGGTCTGATTAAAAGCCGGGATCGGACCGGACAACCGGTTGTCTTGCAGGAAGAGGACGTACAGCCTGGTCAGGGCGGCGAAGGACGCCGGAATCTGGCCGGAGAGATCGTTGCCGGAGAGGACAATAATTTTCAATCTGTGCATTGCGGAGAGGCTTACGGGGATGGGACCGGAGAATCTGTTATTGTTTAGGTAAATAGACTTGAGATTTTTCAGGCCGGAGAGCTCCGGAATCTCGCCGGAAAGTGAGTTGTCCTTCAAGCTGAGAACCCTAATCTGATCTAATTGGTTGAGACTGGTGCCGTCGAGCTTGCCGGTGAGGTTGAAGCTCTCGACGACGAGCTTGCTGACTCTGCCATGGAGGCATTCTCTGACGCCTTCCCACTGGCACACATTGGCGCTGCGAGACCAGCGGAGGACGCCGACGGTGTCGACGGCAGATTTCAGGGAGAGCAAGGCGCCGGCGTCGTCAGATCTTGAAGTGGTCGACAGTAAGAAGAAGAAGAGGAACAGGAACAGGAAGTTGTACCTTGAGGAGGAGGGGAATGTACAAACCATTGAAGCGGTGGAGAAAGAGTATAGAAACTTAGTCAGATCTAGAAATGGAGGGGTGATTTGGGGGGCTGCGTCGTCCCATAATCGAAACCCTAAGGCAGAGGCAATTGAGTAGCAGAAGTAGATCTAGGGGCATGATTGATTGTGGAAGAAGGGTGAGGTGTAAGTTATGGCTATGGAGGTCGAAAATGGAGTGTAAAGAAAGGCGCCAGAAGCAGCAGAGAGAGGGAGAAGAGAGAGTGTGTCGTTGTCAGCAAAGCTTTCTTTGGTTTGACTGATTTTGATTTACAGAGGAAAAAGAAATGGCTGTCTGGCAAGGCAAGGCAATCCTGAAGTAGAAGAAAAGTAATTTTGAAAAGGGAGGAAGAAAGAGAGAGGAAGAAACACAAGAATTTGGAGGTGTAATTAATGGGAGGTCATCTACTCACTGACAGTTTTCACTAATCGTCTTTCTTACTTTCTTTCTCCATTGTTTTTGGGTTGCCCATTTCTCTCTCTTCTTTTGGCTCTCACTCTAAAAGAAGGGAAGAACAGAAAGGGGTTCACGTGAAATTAATTAATTAGGTGAGAAATTGCAGAGAGAGAGAGAACCCAAAAATGGGGTTTGAAAAACAATTCAGGTTGCTGCCCTGTTTGTTGTCACAATAGAAGAGAGAGAGAGAGAGAGAGAGGCCATTGTTGACGGAAGAGATGCATAGTGACAAAGGAACAATTAACAGATTAGATAGACAGAGAGAGAGAGAGAGAGAGAGAGAGAGAGAGAGAGAGAAACCCTAATTATTAGAATTCCTTCCCTCCTCCGTCTGCGAAACCCTAAACTGAAATAGGTGGGCTAGCTAGCGAGCGGCATTGAATTGAATTGAATTGAATTGAGTTGGGTGGTGCAGTGAGGATTGAAGATAGATTGAATTAATTAAGAACACACACGCACAGATAATAGATGAGCGAGGATGAAGATGAAGATGACGATGACGATGACGATGACGATGGAGGTGGGGCAGTGGAGGAGTGCGTGAATAATTAAATTGAAACTGAATTTGGGGAGGAGGAGGAGGAGGAGGAGCAAATATCAGAAATACAGAGAATAAATAAAATATAATTTAAATTAATTAATTAGGTAATAAGTGAACACGAGCCTCTGGATCTCACCATCATCGTCATCGTCATCGTCTTCATCGCTACTTCTCCTTCTCCGTGATGTATATATAATATACATATAGTAAATGAGGTATAAATTGGAAATATAAAACATATGTTAAAATAAAATAAAATAAGATATAAATTGATAATATATCCTAAAATATATATATATATATGTCAAATATTAAATTAATATCACAATTTCTATAATTATCGGCCACTAAATATATATATTGTTATTTTTATGTGTTTAGAAGTATTTAACGTTTTAATGGTGTGAAAGATCATGAGTTCGAATTAAGTTATGCTCTTTTTTTTGGTAAAAAATCTAGTTTTTGATACAAAAATATATATTGTTATTTTTATGTGTTCTAAAGTATTTGTTTTAATTTTTAAATATTATAGTCAATACTATTACTAAAAAATAAATATTGTTTTATTCTATTTAATTTGTTTATTTTTTAAAAATATAATTATATACTTTAAATATATATTAAAATCTATAATTTATAATTTTATTATTATTTTTATATCATACAATATTAATAGAGTTAATTTAATTTTTTTTTATTTTATCTTAATATAATACTAATTTTTCTTCGTAGATATAAAAAGTATTTCCTCCGTCCAGCTACAAAGTATATATAACCATTTAATTAAATATTTTACTTTTTTCCACAAATACCCTTATTTTACCTCATATTCTTACTTTTATACCAAAAAGCAAAGGCAAAAATATTATTACATTACTTTTACTTACTCACTGTAATTAAAATATTATTATTTTTTAAACTCCGCGCCAAAAGTAAATATATACTTTATTCATGTACGGAGTAGCGAGTATTATGTAAGTTTAATTTGGTTAAAGGGTATTTCAAATAGAAATCATTACATAAAAGAGCAGTAGTGTATTAGACCCATATTTGTCAAGTACTTATATTACAGACAACTGCTCTCCTCCTACCCCATAAACTATTATTTTAATAATGATTTCATTATAATAATGATAATATGTTAGGACAAGATTTTGAGTTTGATTAACTGTTTATGTCACGTGTGAGTCTGTCTGTCTGCATTCAACTCATACATATTCTTTAATTAAAATCATTATTCTCGTTTCTTAATGCAAATCTTTTATCATTTTATTTATCTGTCATGAAATATTATATTTTTACAATGAATTGTAATAATTGTGAGTAAAATAAAATCAAATTAAATTTAAAAAGAAGAGAGATATTAATTGTGCTTAGAAATCTCTTTTGATTTCTTAATACTATTCTCAAGATTATTGTGAGATCCAAGTTTAAAAACATACAAAATCATTATGAATATTATTTTTATTAATAAATCGAATAAAACTATTAATTAAGAATCTTGACCCAATAATCATCATCATCCTATATATATATATATATATAACCACAAGTAGTAAAAATTTAGGGGTTTGTTCGGCTTCGGTTCGAAATTAGTTTTTTTTTTATTAATTTAAATAGTATTTTAAAATAATATTTTGTAAAAAAAGATATAAATTTTTATTAAGAATCGTATAAACTAAATAGAGCATTTCTTTTTTTTTTTTTTTGGTTTGAAATGCAAAACAAACCCACAATGTGATATAAAATATATATTTGATATGATATAGTTAAAGCTTTTATGGTTGATAAATAGTGTATATAAATAAAGCATATACTGTTTGGATAGTGTATGTTTGGTTTATGTTTAAATAATAATTAAGTATATATTTTTTGAAATATATATATATATATATATTCACCAAAAAAATTTAAAAAATACAAATAAAAGAATTATATAATAAAATATTAAAAAATGGAAAAGAAAAGTAAAGCAACAAAACATGATGACATGCACAAGATTGTTGCAATGATTATTGAGAGCATGATGCATATTCCAGAGTGTCCCTGCCTTCCATCTTTATAAAATAAGAGCAAATCATGAAAGTTAGTAGTGGAACAATGATATTGTTTGTTATATTATATTTGGATATTTCTAAATAATAAAAAATTGAAATAAAAACAATTTTTTCATGTAATATATTTTTTTAAAAAAATAATTATGTAAGATATTTAATAAAAAGACAAAATTATAAGATAATAATTTTGGGAAAGTCAGGATTTTTTTTTTTTTTATATTTAGACTCATTTTTTTCAATCACAAAATATATTTATCTTACATTATTTTAATACAAAAATTTTCCAAACTACGACAAATTGAGTTCGAGGGAGGGAGGGAGGGGTTGATTAGGGCATGATGATGTCTGAAAAGTAACAAACAAGTTACTTTTTGGGACCCCAAATCCCATGGCCATGTCATGTGTTTCTGCCTATTTCACCCACTCTCAACTCTCTCTCTACCAAAACAAACACACAATGGGTTGCATTGCATTTTGCTGCTTAGCTGCAAAAGCTCAAAGTAGAAATAAAATGTCATCCATCATCTCAAAAACAAACAAAAAATAGTCTAAAAAAGTTCATCACAGAGAGAGAGAGAGAGAGAGAGAGAGAGAGAGAGAGAGACAACAAAAGAAGAGTTCAAGTTGAAAGGGGAAGGAAGGGGAGATACTCAACTAGTAGTTTGCAGGCTGGAAATTACAGATAGAAGTGCATCTCCCTCTCTCTCTCTAGAAGTAAACTACATTTGGTGCAGTCATACATCAAAAACACAACTTCATTCATTCATTCATGCAAACTGCGGGAGTAGGGGCCGGAGGGGGGCTCTCGACTACTACGCTCCATTCGTTCATGTTTTCATCATCCCATTTGTGGACGGGAAACCAACCCCCTTCACACTTACTGCATCCAAACCCTTCCTTGGAGGAAGATTATCACCGGATAGGATGATATTGCGTGATCCCACGCTTCGGAGGTAGTTTCCTCAGTATGAAGAGTACCAGCGACGATGGTAAGATCTCCACTAGCTGCAAAAATTGAAAATTAGGATGGATGATGCATACTGATGATAAGCACACACAGACCGGACACACTATTTTAATCGACATCATCAACTATTGTGCACATCTTGTGCTTGTTTTTATTTTACTGTCTGTAAAAAGGAAGTCGGCATCATTGAACAAGAAGCTTGGCCATTATTGCTTAGATTGTTTCCAGTGATGCTAAAACAAACATCACAGTTTAACTTTCGTGGAGAAGACTAGTAAAAGTATCTGGAGCACTACCAATAAATTAACAACAATATGGAGACAAAACATGGCTAATGTAGGATGCTCAATTGTTCCTGTAAATACGAACAATTGCTCGATTGTATATTGAATTCCAAAAGAAGCCAAGATTTCACCCAATATCAACCAGATGATACGTCCAAGAAATGAAATGGAAGTTTCTCAGAAACTGGTACCCATGAGCACTTGTATCCTAAGACAAACAACTAAACAATTTGATTGATTGATTTAAGTCATGCTCCAAATTTTCAATCTTGGAAACTTCAACTAGACGTCTATAGTATACTCCACTAGTCTATAGTATACTCCACTAATAATAACACACACAAAAGATGTGCTTCTCCAGGAAACTAGAACACCATTTCCATCAATATCCGTACCTCATATTGCTCAAAGCATAAGTTTCCATGTGCTTAAAGTGAAGTATTAGAATCAAAAGAAGCAGTAAGAACAAGAGACAGGTTGCAACTTCATTAATCTACCATGTCATAGATACTAGGAATGGCCCCAATCCACATAAATAAACAGGTTAAGTTTATATTGACGATGAATGAAAGAAGCAATAATTTTTCTCTTCTTCCAGTATATATCAAGCTAAATTATATATGAATACCTAAAATCTCAAAATAAACCATACCAGGTAATATATTAAATTCAATATTGGATGATCCAGAACATCAAGATCCGCAGCTGGATCAAATGCATCAAAGCACATCTGCAAAACGTAAGAGTTGTAGAGACAAATGCGTTGTTATGGCAGCAATCATTATAAAATAAAAATAAATGCGACAAAAACATACAATAAATGAATGTTAATACACAGGAATACACCAAACAAGCCATAATTCATGGGAATACAATATAAAAACAAGTGCAAACACAAGGACCTCAATAAATATGCAGGCACATTTAGCATATACAGATAAGGTAGAAAAGGCATGGTGGCAGACAAATAAGGCAAGAAACAAGCATTCTAGATACAGCTCATGCCCGGGCATAAAAGAAAATGTGTTTTGAAAATTCCTGTTTTATTATAACATGTATCCTGATAGATGTTAACTAATTTGGAGAACTTGATAGCTATGGTAAATAATTTTTATTTTGAAATGAAGGATATTGTAATAAAAAATAGGCAGCACATTAATATAATAAATTTGACTGAATATCAATGTATTGAAACCATACACAGCTATATCGGGGAAACAATACATATTGTTGCAATTAGGTCACAACCATTGATTGAAAATGTAAAATAAAAAATAAGAAAATACACACACAAACACAGAACATGCTTGTGTCAGCCATGGGGAAAAACCATCAAATTCAAATTCCGGGACCCATACAACAACATTAGGGATTCCATACATTATTCACATTTCTCACTTTCAATCTTTCCTTGCTTGTCCAGCTTATTATAGAATATTATAAATTAAGAAGATTTCCATTTGGGGGAATAGGAAATAAGTAAGCACACACAAAAGAGAGAATAAATACAGGACATTTGAAACTGCTTGGTATAGAATAGCTGTGCATAGATGTTATGTTCCAACAATGGCACCGGAGAGTCAACTAATCACGCTGACAATAACACTTCATTTAAAATGCATAGTATTTAGTACAGTTACGGTCTGCTGCGTGCAATTCAGTTTAACTCAAAATATATCATTTAAGATTCGACAATTAATATAAACTCAGAACACAGAATTATCAAATTAGTTTGACAAATCAAAATATGTTAACCCAAAAAAAGCATTTTGCATATATCTGCAAAAAGCAGTAAAATACTAAAATCATACGAGCCAAGTGATTTCAATATACACACATATATCAATGTATATCATTTTAATTACCACAATCAGGTAATTGATTTTCTTAGAATTGGCAGAGAACTTACCATGATGCATCTGACAAGAAAGCATGAGAAACATATGGTTGTCACATAACCAACCTACCAGAAAAATGTATTGTTGTTAATACAAACACATCTTCACATATAAAAAGTAATATTGAGCTTAGAGCATACCTCCTGCAACTTCTTAAGTCTGCCTTTGGATTCTACAGGAAACCTTTTTAACATTAAGAACAACCTGTATAAGGAATGCAAAAGAGGTCAATGTAACTTAATCATGTACAAGAATGTTCCAAAGTAAAATAATTGCTAAAAAACAAACATCTAATAACACCAAATTAATAGAGGGGCAAAAAACTATTGAACATTTAATAGGGAAGCATATCAACGTTAGATGAAACCCCTCAGATATAAAAAATTATGAGAAACAAGCAATCATCTTATGTGATTGTGCAGGTATCATCATTTAATCAAAGATGCTAAAGACATTTTTCGATAACAAAGAGAATTGAGCACCGACAATTACAACGATGAGACTATCATACAAATTACATTTCAACAAATAAACACTCAATAACATATCAAACCCTTATAATCAGCGGCAGGAAAGACACCCAATGATGAGACTATCATACAAATTATATTTCAACCAATAAACAATCAATAACATATCAAACCCTTATAATTAGCGGCAGGAAAGACACCAGTATCTAGTATCTACCCTACATAAAGTCAAAATGCAATTGAGATTGATAATCAGTTCAAAGAAAGATGTCAAAATAATCAATAGAGCACAAAGAATATTTGCACTGATTTATAATATTATGAAGCCACCCAACTCGACAACACAGGCCATGCGTTAGATAATCTGACATGATCGAGGAAAATGAACTCGGATGCTAACAATGCATAAAAACGCAATCAACCCTATCCCTTCATTTCGTGTATACTAGTGAAAGGGGGCACACTTGATAAAAACCACAGAGTTAATAATTCTTTAACAATTTAAAAAGAAAAAAGAAATTATGATCAAAGATACTTGCATGGTTATGAGCTTAAAAAGTACAATCAAAGAATATTATCGTCAGAATATCTGTTTTCTAAGGATGGAAACTGCACCTTCCACCATAGAGAAGAAACCCCAGGGCTGCAAATAAGGAAACACCTGCCAAATGACAAATTTCATAAGCATACTTGAAGCGTCCATACAAATAATACAAAATTCACACAGGGAGAGTTTAACGTAATAAACCTGCAAAGAACATTTTGCTTAAAATTGTCATAACAGGAACGGGCTTCCACCACTGAATTAACCACAAGGTTATCTGGAAGAAAGTAGAAGAATAGTTTATTCCCCTTCATACATCCCCTGTACTTATATTCATATGCATTGAATGTCTGGCGCACTCAAGTGTTACCTGAATAGCATACACAACTCCATTGACGGTATAGAAACTAGGTCTAAGCCCATCAGTGGATACAGCACGAGCCTGGCAAATATGCAGTAAGTAATGAACTGAGATGCAGAGGTCAAAACTTTGGGCACACAGCCTGTTAAATGAAATTTTACTCAACCTGATAATAGATTTCTGCCCAGAACAATACAAGCAAAGCATATGTTGTGAAAAACGCGAGACTTGGCATATCAAGCAAAATGTGTTGAACAATCTAAACAGAATGGGAAGCATCAGTAAAAAAAAAGATAATTAAAATAATTCGTGATAAGGAAAATAAAAGGAGATAAAATCAATACCACTGGCTTCAATTTTTGGACATCCCGACGCAATGCAAATACCACACAACGAACTGAAATCATAAATAAAAGATCCTTCAGATAAAAGTAGCAGAGATATTGAAATTTGAACAGATATCAAATATTATTGCACCGGCATACAAACCTCCATTGACCAGGAAATTAAGAAAATGGAACACTTTTTGAGTTGTCCAGCCATATTCAGGTACTCTCAATTGTATTCTCACCAATTGCACCTATAACGAATAAGTAAGTTCTTAATGTTTGTGCTTCATCTAAATTAATCATATGGATACAGAGATATATATAATAAGATTTCACAAAACCACCTTCTTAACAAAGAATGTATCAATTCATACATTCACTGTGAATTCCAATGTAACTAATGCATAGAAATTTTGTCAACAAAAAGCTTCCCTCAAATATATGCATACATATATTTATATATGTGTGTGGGTGTGGGTGTGGGTGTGGGTGTGGGTTGGGGGGGGGGGGGGGGGGGGGGGGTATTTGGCATTGCAAATGAATTGTAATTGCAAAAACCTACCAATTTTTCAAAAAGGGGGAAAGGAAATTGAGGGGAGTAAAACAAAGAATCGCGCATAAGATTACAAATTTCAAACCATTATCGTGTTCGAACCCTAATTCAAGGCTGTGCAACAAAAAAATCTAACCTAATCGCAAAAGAATTCAAAAGTTACCAAAGCAACAGCGCCAACGATTCCATAAAGTGCGGCAAGAACATGGAATATGGAATCCTGCCAAGCGACGGAGTGATTGACTACGTCCCACCAACTGGTCGCGTCGCTAAGGCGGAGCGCCACCACCGCCGCGTCCGCCAGAGGGCCCGCCGCCATATCCACCGGCCGCCAATCAAAGATTCGCTATTGCAGGATCGAATTCTTCGCCAGGAAGAAACGGACCCGGAAATTAGGGATTGGAAGGAATTGGGAAGGGCGGTGAAGGGGGGTGGTGGCTATCCTATTATCGATCTATCTACGGTGGCTGTAAATCTTTGAATTTGTTTGAGAGCGAGAAAGCGGTGCGGTGGCAACTGGCTGGCAATTTCTCTTTCTTCCTGCAACTCCTCTTCATTATTATTATTATTATTATTATTATTATATATATTTCTTTTATATAATAATAACAGTAACAGATATGTTTTTTCATAAAAAGAAAATATTAAAATGATTTTATATAAATATTATAACAAGATATATTAACACAATATAAATATGTCCTCTATCCATTCAAGAAAATCTTATATTTGTTAAATTCATCTAGTTTGTTACTATCATTAAATAAATAAAGTACAGTTTGTTTAAATTAAGAGTCTTTTAAATTTTTTTTAACAAATTATTGTTGATAAATATAAAGTTTTAAAAAATATATTGTTAAATTCTAAAAATTAATCATTTTATCGATTCGAAAGAGACACCTGGATCCATGTTAGTCCATTTATTTATCTATACGTATTTAGATTCTTTATTTTTCTTTTCAGAAAATATTATTGCAATTTTATTATAATGTCTATCTACATACTATGAATGCATGGAATACTTTTGCAAAGACAAGACACCAAATGTGACAAATTCTTTTTGTTTTAATTTGAAAATTAATGTTAATATTTATAAGTCAAAATTGCTTAGAACCTATTCATGATTTAAAAATCTACATCATATTTCTTATTTTGAAGCCGCATATTGTTCATGTACTGGACAAAATTATTTAGAAATTAGTTGTGGCTTTTTTGTGTTATAAAATTAATATCAAATTATTATTTTATTCATTGAATATAGTTTTTCTTTTTTTTCAAATAATTTTTTTTATATAAACGAGAATTTAGATAAATTATAATTAATATATAAAATAATTATAAATTAATATTAAAATAATTTAATTAAAATTAAAAATAATTAAAAATTATAAAATTTAAAATGTAATTAAAATATATAATTATATTTTTTAAAAATAAATAAATAAATTATATATTGACAGAAAAATGAACCATTTATATCTAGAATAGGAGCATAATATATATGGCCTTTTGCTAAATGGGCCTAAGTTTCAGCCCAGCTACAGGGATAGGAATGTAATTAATTAGTTATGCTAAGAGTGTCGTAATATCATTATATGACTAGTCAATAGAAATATTAATAATTATTTTTACTGCTAACTACTATTATATATATTATATAATAGAATAATATATGAATATAATACTATAAGCTACTTTGTATATATAAATATATGTGAGTTGATATTGTGTGCGTGTGTAATTATATATATAATATTTATTGTGTGTGAAGATGTTTGTGGATAATGGGGGAGAAAGAATTTTGTTGAAATATATTTCGTTATATCTCATTCAATGTAACTCTCTTTCAATTGGGCTATACAAACCGTATTATCTTCATACAATGTAGTCGGGGATTTTATCGTCAGATATTAACCCGCAATTTTTCAGAATACGTTGAGTCATTGACCTCAACCAAACACATTCTCGACTAGCTTCATGTATTGTCATTATTTCAGCATGATTTGAAGAAGTGATAGTTAAAGTTTGTTTCATCGATTTCCAACGGATCACTGTTTCGCCACAAGTGAATATATAACCAGTTTGTGTCTTGGCTTTATGAGGATCAGATAAATATCCTGTATCGGAAAAACCAATTAATTCATGTCGAGAATCTTTCGAGTAAAATAACCCAAGATCAATTGTTCCTTGGAAATAACAAAAAATATGTTTAATCTCATTCCAATGTCGTCGAGTAGGCGATGAACTGAATCTTGCCAATAAATTTACAGCAAATGATATGTCAGGTCTGGTGCTGTTAGCAAGATACATTAATGCCCCTATAACACTCATATATGACACTTTTGGGTCAAGTGTTTCTTATTTTCCTTTTTTGGTCTAAATGGATCTTTTATTAGATCGAGTGCCCTGACGATCATTGGAGTACTTAGCGGATGTGACTTATCCATCATAAATTGTTTCAGTACCCTTTTGGTATAATTTGATGGGTGGATAAAGATTTCACTTTCCAAATGCTCAATTTGCAAACTAAGGCAAAATTTACTTTTTCCAAAATCCTTGATCTCAAACTCCTTTTTTAGATATTCAACAGCTTTATGGATTTCTTCAGGAGTTCCAATTAAATTGAGATCATCGAAGAATACAAATCTTGACCAATTTTTCTTTATAAAAACGCATAGACATATAGAGTCATTTATGTAACCTTCTTTTCTTAGACTTTTGCTGAGACGTTGTACTACATTCAGCCCTTCTGTTCTCACAAACACCCACCTGTAGCCAACAAGTTTCACATTTTCAGGTGTTTGGATTATGAGCCCAAATACTTGCCCTTTTTTTAATGAGTCTAATTCAAAGTGAATTGCGTCTTTCCATTTCGCCCAATCATCTATTTGCCGACATTCATCAACTGATTTAGGTTCATAATCCTCGTCATCTTTCATTATATCGAGTGTTACAGAATATGCAAATGCATTATCAATATTTATTTTCTTTATATTACAATATTTTCCACTTGTGGTATAGTTAACAGAAGTTTCAATAACTTCATCATCACTTTAATCAGAATTTTTAGTATCAACCTTTTCAGGGGTTGTACTGACCTTTTAAGGTATCTGATCTTTGTTGATCTCTTCACTAGTATTTACAATTTTCTTCTTTCGTGGATTCTTATCCTTGGAACCCAACGGTCTACCACGTTTTACGCGGGCAGTATGCTCATTAGCACTCGGCATTTTCCCTTCTGGGATGTTTATTTTAGCTGGTGCATTTGTTGCTGCTATATATGATTTCGTAGCTCTGGCAGCATCGTTAAAAGTATCAGACAATTGATTTGCAATTTTCTACAAATACACAATTATTTGAACTTTAAGTTCACTATGTTTCGTATGATGATCAAATTCAAGTGGTATTTTCCACGAAATTTCTTTTTTCAGTTGATTACTGTCTCCCCCTAATGTCGGAAAATGAGATTCATCAAAATGACAGTCTGCAAACCTTGCAGTAAATAAATCACCCGTTGTTGGTTTAAGATATTTTGCAATCGAGGGTGATTCATACCCGACATATATACTCAACCTTCTTTGAGGTTCCGTTTTTGTGCGTTGAGGTGATGCAATTGGCACATAAACAACACACCCAAAAATTCACAAGTGGGATATATTTGGTACTTTTCTAGATACCAATTGAGTTGAGGAATAACAGTGATAACTTGTCGGCCTTATTTTCACAAGGGCTTCTGCATGCAATATAGCATGTCCCCAACATGATACGGAAAGTTTAGATCTCATTAACAATGGTCTAGCAATTAATTGCAATCTTTTGATAAGAGATTCAACTAGACCATTTTGCGTATGTACATGAGAAACAAGATGTTCCATAGTAATGCCAATTGACATGCAGTAATCATCAAATGTATGTGATGAATACTTTCCAACATTATCTAAATGTATTTTATTTATCGGGTGATTTAGAAATTGTGCTCGCAATTTAATTATTTGTGCAAGTAGTCTAGCAAAAGCTAGATTGCAAGTAGATAACAAACATACGTGTGACCATCGTGTTGACGCGTTAATTTGTACCATAAAATGCTTGAAGGGTTCACACGGTGGATCTATAGGTCCACAAATATCACCCTGAATTCTTTCCAGAAAAGCTGGGGATTCAAATCCAACCTTTATTTAAGATGGCCTGATCACATGTTCCTTTAGACTCAAAATATTTTTCTTTTTCAATAAGTGACCGTTTGAATTTTCAACAATTCGTCTCAGTATTACATTATCAGGATGCCCAAGTCGATCGTGCCAAGTTTTAAATTCGCTAGTAGCCATTTGGTCTACTAGGTGATATATTTCAATGACACTGATTTTTGAATAATATAAGTTGAAAGAAAATGATGACAATTTTTCTTTCACAATTATTTTGACATTCACAATCTGAGCTATCAGGAGATACTTATTTTTTGCCTCATTTAATATTTCAATGTGATACCCATTTTTTCGAATATCACTGAAGCTCATCAAATTCTTTCGAGCTTTGCTCAAGAACAAGGCATTTTCAATTGCCATTTTTGTCCATTTTGGGAGATATACAATAGCTCTTCCTGAGCCTTCAATCATTTTTTATGCACCACTGATAGTAACAATAATGGTCTTTCCTATATTCATGTGGGAGAAATAACATTTGTTTTTCAAAATTTTGTGAGTCGTAGCATTGTCGATAAGACAGATGTTGTCATCGGCTCCAAAATATTTGGCATCCATATCTTTGCAAGAAGGTAAAAATAATAAAAGACATGTATTAGTAATATAATCAAAATAGACTTATATTATATGGGTAATACAAAAATGGGGCATAAAGCATCAAAATAACAAAAGAGATACAACAACATTTTATTATTTAACATCATTAACTATATCAAGCAGATCATCGACATTTAGGTACGTGATATTTTCATTCATCACATCGTCAAATGTGTCATCGTGGACAACGTGATTTGTTCAGGGAAAATTCTTTCCTGTCTTTCTTTTGAAGCCCGATACAGTTCAGCCAAGTGACTGACTGTGCGACAAACGCGACAAACATGGGTCCAATGGCCTTTGATTCTACACCGGGTGCATTCCTCATCATTGTTTCTGTTTCTCCCGGTGTTGAACCTCGGCCTTCTGTCATTATAATGCCGATTTGGCACATATCGGAGCCTGTTTTGATAATTATTGTGACCATATGCGTTTGTCCTGCCCCGTCCGCGATTCTAATTTCGATTGCGATCAATTCGTTGATTTCTGACCTGTCCACAGCCAAGAACCGGATTTGCCGGTTGTATTGCATTTGCCTCTGAAAATGGGTTTGCACCTGTCGGCCGAAATTTGTGATTTTTCAACAACAATTCGTTATTTTGTTCGGCCAACAAAAGACAGGTGATCAGCTCAGAATATTTCTGGAAGCCTATTTCGCGATACTACTGCTGCAAAACAATATTAGAGATATGAAAAGTGGAGAAAGTTTTCTCCATCATCTCATATTCAGATATATTTTTGCCACAGTGACATAGATGTGATGTTATTTTAAACATTATAAAATTATATTCTTGGACTGTTTTAAAGTCCTGAAGCCGTAGGCTTTGCCACTCGCTTCGTGCCCTTAGCAATAATGTCAGCCTTAAGTGATCGTATCTTTTTTTCAATCTCTCCCACAATTGAAGTGGAGATTCCAGCGTGACATACTGCATTTTCAGTGTCTCATCGATGTGATGACACAAAAAGATCATGGCCTTTGCATGATCTTGGCTCGGGGAATTTTTATCTCGGGCAATGGTATTTTCCAAGCTCATTAAAGCTAGATGCATTTTAATATCGCAAGCCCATGCCATATAATTTTGGCCAAAAACGAGGAGAGGAAGAAATTCCTATTTGGCAAGGTTAGACATAATAAACAGATAAAATATAAAATATTACCTTGCGAAAAATAAAATATATAATTGTGTTGATAATGTGTTGTAATATTATTATAAAACTAGTAAATAAAAATATTAATTATTTTTACCGTTAACCACTATTATATATAGAATAATATATAGATATAAGTATTATACTATAGGTATATAACATATATATATATATAAGCTACTGTGTATGTATCAATATATGTGAGTTGATAGTGTGTGCATGTGAAATTATATATATATAATATTTATTGTGTTTGAAGATGTTTGTGGACAGTGGGGGAGAAAGACAGTAACATAGATAAAGTAAATGAGATGGTTTTTATTTTCATTCATTTCACTGGTATTTATACATGAGAATACCCTGATGCCAAGTAATTAAAGACATACATGACAATTACGTAGCACATTCGCGCGTGTTACGTGTACAGTGTTTTTTTTTAAAAAAAAATTGAAAATATTTGATTTAAAATTAATATTAAAATAATATTTTATAAGATATTTTATAAAATATATATATTTCTAAAAAATATAAAATTTAAATAGTAAAATTTTAAAAATTTTGAGTAAAAAAATACACCCTAGTTTTAAAAGATTTGATATTATAACACAACAATTATATGATACATCATCTGACCCTTATATTTTTCCACCCCCTTAACCAATTGAGTATATAAATACATATTGTGTAAAAATGATACTTTAAATTAAAATGAAAAAGTATAAATTACCTATTTTTATTATGTTTGTTTTGCATTTTAAATTTTAGGTGTTTTATATTAATTACAAGAAATTTTGAGAATATATAAAATAATATTATTATATTAATTTTTTTATTTTTTTTAAATAGATAAAATATATATCACATATAAATATATGTAAAAAAAATTTAATAACATTAATCCAACATTCAAAATACATATTTTCACAAAAAAAGGAAAAGAAGAATACAAATAAAAATGACTATGGATGTGTTTATAACTAATTTAATTAATATACTGATATATTTATCAATATTACGTCATATTTAATTTTATTACTGAATTTGAAATTGTCAAATTTATTAAATATTAGCAGTATATATTAAATCCCACCTCCAGTGTACCCGTCACTCCGTCTCCTCTGCACCAAAATTTCTTTCCATTACTGCTCATCCGTCACTTCCCAGTCGCCTAACGCCCCAAATCCTCTCCTCTGAACCCCCGGAAAAGCCAAATGGACGGAGGCGGACAAACCAATGGAATCGAAATTTCTTCGGAGAGAAATCAGAATCGGTTTTTTGTTGGTGGATCGGAGACCAACGGAGTGATTCAGCCGCATCCGTTGCTCCCAACGCTCGAGGCGCCGGCGGAGGTAATTCGACGAGCGCGATCGTTGACGGAGGCGCTCGAGGCCTCCCCTGCCGCGGCGGCGTTGTTTGGGAAATTCGTTCGCGAGAAGAGCAACAGCTTCTCGGAGGCGATAACGAGACACATATCTTCGCTACGGAAGGAGGGGAAAGACGGCGTTAAGGAGTTCAATCTGGCTGGTGTGAGAGTTACGAAGGTTTTGAAGGAGGAGAGCAAGGGGATCAAAGGAAGAATAAGCTTCTTCTCGCGATCCAATTGCCGCGATTGCGGCGCAGTTCGGTCGTTCTTCCGTGAAAGGAACCTTAATTTTGTTGAGATCAACGTCGATGTGTACCCCGAGCGACAAAAGGAGCTGGTCGAGAGGACCGCCGGCGATTCCGTACCACAGATATTCTTCAACGAGAAGCCAATCGGAGGACTGGTGGCGCTAAATTCCTTAAGGAACAGCGGTATGCTTGATGCAAAATTAGAAGAAATTTTGGGGCGGAAGTGTCCCGACGACGCGCCGGCGCCGCCGGTCTACGGCTTCGACGAGGCAGAGGAGGTGGAGGCGGATGATATGGCGGCGATTATAAGAGCAGTGCGGCAGAAAGTACCGATCAAAGACCGAATCGCGAAGATGAAATTGATGCGGAACTGTTTCTCCGGCGCGGAGCTCGTGGAGGCTCTGATACACCATTTGGACTGTGGGAGAAGAAAGGTACGTATGCGAATTCTCTTTTTTGCCCTTGGGTGGATTTTGTGGGGTTACTCTTATGTTACCGTTATTTCCGTCATTTTTAATTAGGGTTTGTAACGTCCACATTTTCCTCCTTTTCTGTCTCCCTCCGTATACGGTGCTTCTGTTTGTCAGTTGATTTTTTTTTTTTTAGGTAAAACGTGTTAGATAGTTATAGGTCAACAGATGAGATTCGAATTATCTTCATTCGATTTTGATTTCTAATTTATCATTTCCTTTTCTTTTCTTCAATTAATTTTATTTTTGCAAGAGAAATTTTGTGGATATTGAGCTAATCTTAGTTAATTGGATTTTTTGTGATTATATATATGTAAAAAACATATAATTTGTTGTGTAATATATCTCTTTTAGGGTAGAGATCACATGATATCTCAAAATTAGAATTTGTGCACTCGTAATCTGAATTCTTTTGTGCTAATGATTTAATTTTTCCTACTATGCAGCAAAGTAAAGTGAATAGACATAAATTATTATTTTCCCCCTTGGTAGTTTGACAATGCTTTAATATTTTGAATTAAATTCTTTTGTAGCATCATATTTAGATGAAATTCTGTTAGTGGGCAGTTTGAAGTTGTTCATCAATTAGGACTTTCTTTATTAATTAATCTAAACAGTTGTTCTGAAAAATCATATTTTTATGTAATTTCTTAAACCGGTGGGGTATTGTTTTATGTAATCGAGCGATCGGTGTGATAACCCTAATAATTAAGCCACGAGAGTATATGATGAATCATTGCTTTGAGAGGCGTTGGTAATGATGCAACTTAAGGTGCTCAAAATGAGTGGTTTATTTTTATTTCTTAAATATATATATATATATATATATGTAATCTTTTATATTTGATGAGGAATTTACCACCCTTTTATTGTATTTTCAATTCATGACTTACATGAATGGGCATCAATTAGGGGAAATGATGTTAGTTCCTTTTAAGAGGTAGGGTTGTGCGTGAAAATGGTTCCTTACGTTTCTTCAATTTTAGTAAAACATAACACTCCTTTGTTAAAGGTAAAATTAGTGACTAATCTGTACTAGGTTTGGCATACCAATTGGTTCAACTTATCAGTCATTAGTGTGGGGGATTTGAGGGATGAATTATTAGTCAGCTCTGGTTAGGCATCTCAAATAAATTGCACTTGACTATCTCATTATAATCAGCCATAAATCAGGGCAAGAAACACGCCCCTTTAGGCTAAAGGGAATGTTGAAAGCAACATTTGATTTCACACAATCAGTTACAGCATATGAACAGTTTTATGCTCGGTTGACTTTGATTTCTTATTGTTCTTATTTATCTTAGTGTGTAGGCATTTTGCTTATATATTTCTTTGAGTATCTCAGGTTTTGAATTGATAAAATATCTGGGAATAATGTCTAGAATTTGTTGTAGACTTGTTTTCTATCTGTCTAGTATATGTTAAGTAACTGTGTTTACATCACACAACATTTTAGGCTGTTGAGATTGGGAAGCAGCTGGTGAGAAAGCATTTTATTCACCCTATTTTCGGGTAAGAAAAACGAACACCTTCGACATATATATGATCATTTAATCTAAAGTAGTTGAAGATCTACACATGTTAATCATAAGCTACATACATATGCAGGGAAAATGACTTTGATGATGGAAACCATTTGTGTCGATTCCTCGAACACGAGCCCTTCATACCAAAATGCTATAACTTTCGAGGAACAGTTAACGACTCTACGCCTAAGGATGCTGCTGCTTTGAGCCAAAAGCTCGCTTGCTTAATGTCGGCAATACTCGAGTCCTATGCCTCAGATGATCGAAGCCATCTTGATTACATTGGAATCAGTAACAGCGAAGAGTTCAGGAGGTAACAAACATTTCTGTTTTGTGGAGAGCTTCATTGATTAGGATAATCATATTCTCAAGTGAAATTTAAATCATTTTTGAGTGATTACAAATGTAGGTATGTGAACTTGGTGGAGGATCTCCAGAGGGTAAATCTCCTGTCTCTATCCCATGATGAGAGACTCGCATTCTTTTTGAATCTACACAATGCCATGGCCCTTCACGCCGTCATTAGAATCGGTCATCCCGGAGGAATGATGGATAGGATGTCCTTCTTCACCGACTTCATGTATGTCGTTGGGGGCTACTCTTACTCTCTAAGCACTCTTACAAACGGCATCCTGAGGAGCAACCGAAGACCACCACTCTCACTGATCAAGCCTTTCAGTAGCAGCGACAGGCGCCTTGAGGTAAATAAAAGAATTATGCATCGACATGTATGTGCAGCTGTCGAAAAGATAAAAACTGATGAGAGTTTGTTGCTATTCATTCATTCCACAGTTGGCATTTCCAAAAGTGAACCAGCTAATTCATTTCGGAATCTGGAACGCGAGCAATGGAAGCCCAAGAATCAGATTCTTCACTCCCCAAGACGTCGAGTACCAACTGAAAACAGCCGCCAAGGAGTATTTCCAGAGGGATGATCAAATGCAGGTGGAACTCAGCAAGAGGACCGTGTTCCTTCCCCGCCTCATCAAATGGCGAGTTCTCTTTCTCTTTCTCTTTCTCTTTCGACCTACGACTAACTCTACTCATAATTATAAGCAACCAGGGATGATGATCATTGTTCTTCTTCCTGTAATGGCCGCAGGTACAGCGCTGATTTTGGACACGAAAAAGAAACCCTGAAATGGATGATAAACTTGCTGGATCCAAGCAAGGCAGGCCTTGTAACACACCTCTTAAATGACAAGGGACATATCCACATTGTGTACAAGGATTACGACTGGTCTCTCAGTTCTTGATCCATCATCTCACATACATATATATACATACATACACACTGGTACATTCTCTTCTCTTCTCTCCTCCTAAATTCATTAATATATATATATATATACATACACAAATACACATAATTTGAGGGTTGTATTTGATCACAGTGTATGATGATGATTGATTGATCTTATTACAGAGTGCAACAATGGGTGCTATAGATCACAATAACATAGATGATTAGCAAAAACCAACAAAATTGTTTCATTTATTGATTTCATTATCAGTTATCACCATAATTCAATATCAATCCCATCCATCCACCCTTCAAGAAACTGGTTTTAGAATGTACATCTTGCAGGAATGCGGCGCAAGCGTCGCCGTAATGTTCCCCGTAAATTTCTGCTCCAATGTCTTGTGCTGCAGGAGGAAAGGGATTCACTTATTATGTGTACACTAACAGCAAAAGATGATGTATACAGATTTATAGTTACCTCCCAGAGATCTCTCGCGACTACCGTGCTCTTCGGAGGGATTCCAATGTCGTCCCAGTAAGCAGTGATCGGGTTGCGGACGAGCGCTGCCCGGTTGAAGAGCAGCACCACCACTCTGTACCCGGAAAGTGGCCCTGCCCATACCTATCCAGCCAGCCATCATTTCAGACATGTAGGTATGTAGCTTTTCGATCTTGTTAATCAAGTAGTTTTTGATTGTCAATTACCTCGAGATCGCCCTCCATTCTAACCTTCTTCGCTTGAACGCCCAGTTTGTCTGCACGCAAGAAAACGATGCATGAATCAACAATTCAGCGTACACGGATAGATGAGGAGAAGACATCAGATTCGACCGCTACCCTGGTTCACTTCGATCACTTCTTTATTCATGATAATGTCCTTCGTTTCCTTCGTCATGTTCCTCACATCGCACCCGACTATAAGAGGGGCCTATCGACAAAGTCGAACCAATGGAAAAGAAGTAAGAAAAAACCACAGGCGTCAGATGTAGAGTTAATCTATGGATCACGATCACGATCACGCTAACCTTGGATAGAGCCCACAAGCTAAAATGTGCAACGTACTCGTCACGAGTCATTCCCCCGTTCCCGACCTCAAGCATATCGGGATCTATCATCAACCAACAAGAACAACTTACTTTATTCTCTTTAAGACAAGCACACCCAAGTGTACTATACTAACCGTTCCAGCCACCGGGCCTCGCGTAATCAGCAAAGACATCATTCTGATCTATTCTCGAGACCATGCTGGCCATTCGACACAAAACTAAAACCATTAGAGACTTCTGCAAGCATACCTAACTGGCTGCAATCGACACCAAACGTACCTGTCCCAATTATCCGAAATGTCGTTGGTTGTTCTCCAGCTGTTCCCTACAGGAAATCCCCACGTAGCCGGGTGCATATCTCCCCTGTTTCAACAACACAATAAACACTACTCGAAGAAAGACGCGATTAAAGAAGCATTAACATTAAACGATCGTAGAAAACTCACTCACCATTCACACAACGAGAAAAAGATGGGTCGACCGGCTTTCATCAAAGCTCGAGTCATCACCGGATACCTTCAAACAAGGATTGTCAAAAAAAACAAAGAGCCTCGAAAGTTCGACACTCAGTGTCTCAAATTTTTAACCTCACCTAAGAGTCGGTTTCGATCCATCGGTGTTGCAGTTGTCGTACTTCAAATAATCAATGCCCTGCAGGATAACAAGACGATCAAATAATCGACTTCATTTGCATCCAAACAAGACAATTCATATCCTTTTTACCCATTCGGCAAAAGTTTTGGCATCGTGCTCCTCGTGCCCAAGTGAGCCGGGCATCTTTTTGCTACAAGTGTAAAAGCTGCAAATGAAAGATACCGAAAATTAGTTTATATAGTCCAAGAATGCATTCAATGAGGTGAAAACTTACCCAGCATCCGAGTAAATTCCAAGCTTAAGCCCCTTTTTGTGAACATAGTCAGCCACAGCCTTAATCCCGGATGGAAACGTCGATTTCTTAGCAACAAAAGAGCCCTGCATTGCCATAGAGTGAATGTACATAAGACAACATATATCCTCAAAGATTGGTTGAGAAGAAAGTCGGGACGAGCTAAAACCTTTTCGTCGCGGTTAGGTTCAGCCCAACAATCATCTAAGAGCAAAGAAATTGGATTATTCAAACTCCCTGATTAAGTATGCAACAAATTTGCAAACAAGTAATGAATGAAACATCAAAAGGGAAATCAGAATGCACCAATGTTGACGTATTCGTAACCGAGCTTCGATAGACCTGTTGCGACGATAGCATCGGCTGTAGAACAACAAATATGTTTAGAGCTACAAATCGACATCCAATCCCACAATTCAGTCAACAAAGAAACATTAATTCATCATAGAGATTATTATTGATAAGTATGTACCTGTTTCTTTTATGATTTTTTCATCAATATTGCAGCCAAAGTGATTCCAACTATTCCACCTGAATGAACACACACACACATAATACATATATATGATTGCAGACTAATTTCAAAGCAAAATTAATCAGGGCTAATTTGATCTGATCTGAATCGAGGAGAAAATCAAAGACCCAATGATTCTTTTACCCTTCCAACTATTTTTCAAATCATAAAGTTTCAGATCAAGAATCAGCAATGCAATAACAATAAATCAAGCCCACAAGAAAAATCGAAAGAACAGAACTTTACACGCAATAAATTAAAAAAAAAAAAAAAAAACAGAAATCGAAAGAAGAACGAACCCCATTTGAGGAGTGACTGCGAGGCCATTTCCGAGCAAGCTGCGTCTGCTGAACGTGTCGGAACCATGAAATGTCCGACCAAAGGTGCTCGAAATGAGCAGCAAGAACACCAGCAATGGCGATAATGGAGCCCCCATGTTGCCCTAAATCAGTCCCACTCCCAAATCCAGACAATGCTCGCAGTTTTTCTGGTGATTTTGGCGTTGTTAAAGAGTCGAATGGGGACGACGGGTCACTGACTCACTGCCCTTTAGTGGAAATGCAGCGAGACTTTACCGGCTGTTTAATTCCTGAATAGATAAGAATTAAGGGATTGGAAGGGGTTATGGGAGGGTACGGGACCTCGGGGACAGATGAGAACGGACGGTGTTGTGTGGGGGTGGAGTTCGGGTCCCAGGTGCTTTGTGCTTTCTATGGGATCTTTGAAGAGATGACAGATTTTCTTGCCACGATTTTGTCCTTAAATTAAAATTGCCTTTTATGAAAGGTTTTTCTCTGGATAAAATTGTTGGTTGCTTAAAGATAAACCTAGGCTTTGTTTGGATTTGGCCCGAAATTAAAAAATTAAAATATATGTATTTTTTATAATTTCCAACAAAAATATTACTCTACGTATATCATAAAAATAAAGAAAAATTAATAATGTCAAAAATTGAGAGGATGTATTAGAATTTACTTTATTATTTTGATTAAATCAATTTTGACTTATTTATATTAGATTTAATAAATTTAAATTTAAATTTTATTATATTATTAGATTAAATTATTTTTATTTAATTTTATCAAGTCTATTTTATAGTATAAACTCTTATTTTAATGATCAAAATAATATAATCTGTCTAGTAAAGGTTGCTTGTTATACATTATTCTGTCTAATAAAATAATATTTCCTTCATCCATTTTTTAATATCCTATTTGATATTTACACCCATTGGTAGGTAACTAGGGTTTTTATTATAAAATGACAAATTTGTCCTTGTGTATAGAAAATGAAATAGTAAATAAATGAAGGGTAAAAGAGTAAATTTTGTGTATAAAAATAAAAAGAGGATAATTATTGGACATTTCAAATAGGAATATAATTTTTAAAATTTCCGTAAGTTAAATTTCGACGATAGTAACGCACCCTTGGTGGAGAAGCTAATCATTACCAACAATGGTGTTTATGAAATCACCAGACAATGCAAGTCTATTGTTGGAGTGCCTTTAATGATTTCGATTTTGCCCCTATTACCTTCTTTATACATACATATAATTTATTTATTATAAAAAAATAATTTTTTTAATAAAATTATTATTTAAATACAAAAATTATTTTATTTTTTTTTGTGGATGCCAAATTTATTTGGTTGTAATTTAAAATAAAGTGTTGATTTTAATTTTTTTTTTTGTTTAAATAGTCTTTTTAATGTAATATTTTATATAAAAAATAATAATATATTTTATTTTGTGCCTTTTATTTTTATATAGAAGTAAAAATTACAACCTAAGTGGTGGTCACTCCCCCACTAAAACTCCCATACATTTTTCCTTTTTCTCTTTCTATACATATAGTTAATTTAATATATATTGATTTTGACTTGATACAATTTTGTAGTCATAAATGTATATACATATTTGCAATAATCTTTCTTTATTTTTTGAAAAAAAAAATTAAGTTGGAAGTCATTTTTCAATTGTCAATCAATCAACGGAGGATCAAATTTAGAACAATTTATATATATATATATTTTTTCTTAAATTCACTACAATATTGTTGAATTTAGAAAATTAATTATATTTATTTATATATATAAATATACATTTCACTTTATTTAATCAAATTAAAAAAAAAAGTAAATATGTATTTCTATTTTCAATCATATTATCTAATTTTCAAATTATCTCAAATTATCATACTTAATATTATTCACTTAAATTCTCATGCTGAATATAAATGTTGCACGATGTTTGAAACATAAGGAGTATAATAATAATAATAATAATAATATATTATTGATAATTTGGCATGTATAAATGAGTAGACAAGAGAAAATGACAAATATGAGTGGACTATTCCAACTCAAATGAGATAGCAATAATAATAATAATAAGTGTAGTATTGAAACTAAAATTGGGTGTCACTTTCTATTTTGGGCCCCTACCAAATTTAAACAATGAGTTATTGTGACTTTGGGGTTCTAGATGGATGCATTTTTTTGAGTTGAAATATAGAGTATAAAAAATTAATGAGTTTGATCAATTTATTTTTAATATAAAAAATAATATTTCATATTAAATTATTAATTATTTTTAAAAAAATGGATAATGGATATTATATATTATGTTATGTATATATTACTTCTTCCGTTCCGATTCAAAGGAATCATTTAAAGTTTTATAGCATATTAAAAAATAATAATATTTTATTAGTTAGGAGAAATGTGTTTAATATTTTGATATTTTTGCTCTTTGATTTTATATTAAAAATAATTGTATATGTAACGGTATGTTTGTAATTTAGATAAAAATTAAAGGTATATTGGTATTGGTGTATTATTTTTACTAAAATATGAAATGAATACTTTGGAGTGAGACAAACGAACATGATAAAAAAAAATACTTTGAGTTAAGACGAAAAAAATATATTTTTTTAATAATATTTTTGAAAATTTGTTTCAAAAAAATATTAAGAAACAAGCCCAATGTATACATTTATTTTATCTGAAAATGCATATTTTCAAAACACGTGTAATATATTATTGCCTTCATCTCATCTATATAACCAGGGTACTTTGGATAGGAAATTTTAGGTATAGTTAAAAATTATTATTTTATAATAAATATAATTATGAATTAAAATTAAAATAACTAAATAATTTTAATTAAGATTAAAAAATTATAAAATTTAAAATGTAATTAAAGTGTATATTTATATCTAAAAAAAGAAATGATAAATTATATAGGACGTATGAAGTATCATTTTAAATATCTTTATTTTATAATACTACTACTCCCTTTGTCTGTGTCTGAGGGTCACATTTACGTTTTGCATCATTATACTTAACATTAAAAATATTCTTATATTTATATAATTTTTTTGTGCTAATGTCATTCTATTAGTATTATAAGACACTAATGAAAATATTTTTACAATTTTTTTCTTAATTTGTACTATGTTTTGATATAATAATTAATATTCAAATATCAACACGTAAAAAAAAAAAAATAGAACTCTTAGAGCCAGATGAAGGTAGTATTATTTTATTTGATCAATAAAATATCTATTTGTATTTGTTTCTTGGGCTTAAATTGAAAATATTATTGGGCAAAATGAGAGGACACGAAGAAAAAAAAAAAATAGCCTCAGTTAATGAGAACAAAACAAATATATGTCCAAAATTTTGAGTATGCTAGTTTGCATTTTTATTTTTGTATTTGTCTTATGTATATTACTATAATACTTCTTTTTTCATGTGAAAATACGATCATTTTTTTTATACGATTTTAATGTGGATGGGTAGAAGTATAAAAAATACAAAATGTAAATATAATTTTTTAAATAAACAAAAAGATAAAAATATTTTTCTATGATAGCAAAAAAAAAAAATTAAAATTAACATAAATTTAAATAATAAGAAAAATATCATATTAAATATATTATTTATATATAATTACATCTAATAATATTATTTAAAACATTATATTCAATGCATATTACCTTTTTTATTAAAATATAATAGAAAAAAATCAAACTTGTCAAAAAAAAAAAAAACATACATAACCTTTTTGCTTACATTCAATCTTCATTTTTTTTTTTATTCAAAAGAACATGGAACAACCATTTCAATTTATATAATATATATATATATATATATATACATAAAATTGGCATTGGATATGATGTATTTTTTTGGAAGGATATGATGTATTTTTGGAAGAAAATCATAAAGGCTGGTATGCACTACCAAGATATCACATTATTTATATTAACATAAGCAATATCAACTAACAATGCATACTACATCTTATTCTAACACATAATATATTTATATACAAAAATTCTACAAACAAAAAGCATATAATTTTGTTTTATACAACCTGTGTTGTTCACCTGTTTAATATATACTAACCGGAAAAATCAAAATAACGCTGATTTGAAGAAATCATAACAGTAACCATTCCTGAAAATCACAAACGAGAAACAAAAAAATCAAAAGCGAGTAGCGAAGATTGAAACACGAACGCAGTCATGAGAGATCAATGTTATGTCCTTATACCAGATACTATATAGTTTGTTAAACGATCATCTCACCTAAAGTTAAAATCCTCAGTTTTCAAAGATACTTTCAAAACAACTTGAGTCTAAACGGCTGATGAAAAAATTCATCATTGATTTCATATTATATAGTCTATCATCATAATGATCTATCGGTACCATCACTGGAAATTGGCCGGTGGCGACGACGACGAATTCGACTTCGAATTTATCATCATCATCCTCATCATCGGATTCATCTCACTTTGCTTCTGCTGCTTCACAATCTCCCCCACCCCAAGAAAGTCCCTTGTCAGTCCGCCGCCACTGCCGCCGTGGTGGTTTCCGGCGGCGGGATTGTTGGTGGTGTTGATAATGATGCCTTGAAATGGTGATCTTTTGGTGATGAACTGGTCATCATGGATCATGCTATGATTGTTGTTGTTGATACTGGTGAATAATCCTCCGCCGCCGGAGTATTTGACCAAATCCGGCAGGTGGCCACGCTCCGACGAGGATGAGGCGTCGGTGTTTGTGTTTCCGGTGATAGTAGGGCCCATTTCTGCCGCCCATTGGAGGAGCGCTGTCGCTGACATAACGGCGGTTTGGGGGACCGGCGCCGGAGATGGGCTGCCGCTGTATTGTGAAGGCATCATTGTGTTGGTAATAAAGCTACCTGAAATCATATCGTATCATATCATATTGTTCATAAGAAATTAATCAAGAAATATATAAATCACAATTATGACGATTGTAAAATATGCATATATATAAATTTATCAAATAAGATATTACAACACGTTATGTATTTAATGTGAACCGCATATATGACATATACAATTTATAGTCTAAGCAAAATCAAAATTTTAAATACAATATAATGATAAGACACAAAATAATTAAACACATAAATAATAAAAGTAAATAAATAAATGCAAAGGTCATATACTCATATGCATGAAAACTGAAATAAATCACTTTAATTCAGTTGCTAATATGAAATGTTATATATATATATATAATCGTTTTCTTGTATTCATATTTGTTACTCCTATTATGGTAATTTAATTTAAGTAGACATATTTGAAATAATTATATATTTAATTGGTAAGCATTTTAATTATGTGCGTGACACTTAAGGAAGGGGTTCATTTCAAACAAGTACACATGCATGTCATGCGCATAATTAGAACCTTTAAGGCATTTTTTCTTTTTTTCTTTTCTTAAAAGATTTTTACTATTTATTTTATTTTATTTTTAAAAAAATATCAAATCAAGTACATATATATTTTTATATTATATTAAAACATTATATTTATATCTATCAATATTATCTCAAACAATTATTAAAAAATCAAACTCAAATATCAAATCTACAAACAAATCTATATTTTCTATAATAAGTATGTAATCAAATATGGTATTTCAAGAAATATCACATTAATTTTTTATTCTTTCACAAAACATCGTAGCAAAGTATCAATTCTTTTACTATTTTCAATTAGTATTTTTTTATTTTAAAATTTTCAAAAACCTCTATATCTAACCAAAATTATTTTCATATATATATATATATAGACCATATATTTAAAATGACCAGACAAACTACTCACATGACCAAAACCAGGCACAATTTTCACATAACAAATCCAACAAAGTGTCAAAAATGTACCTGATGAGAAGAGGCTGTTGTCATGATCTCCGCCGGCAGGGAAGAATCCGGCGGTGCCGAGGCTGAAGGAGGTGTCTCCGGTGGCGGCAGTGGCGGCATTGTTCATCTGGAGTTGGGGAAGCTGCATTAGTCCATGGGGGACATAATTCAGCAGCTGATGGCTTTGATCTTCATGGCTTTGCTGCTGTAAGAACATATGATGATCGTGATCGTTGAGGCGGCCGGGGGGGCTGAGGAGGGACTCAAATTTGCGCAGCTGGAGGGTGGCGTCGACAGCCTGAGAATTAATATTAGTCATGTAATTCTGAGCCTGATGAAGTGCACCTGATGAAGATGATGAGAATCCGGGCAGTAGGTGCGCGCCTATCGACGAACGCGGATTTAAATTGTTTTGCGCTCGCTCCTGAGCCAGCGCGTCGCAGAATGCGCGGTGGGTGACGAAGCTGTCGCGCCTGAATGGATATTCGAAAAATTTAGGGTTAGGTTCATAGACAAAGATGGAATTGTAGAGAATGTACAATGTAGGATACTCATATATATATATATATAGATATAGATATATTCTTACTATTTAATCTCGCAATTTTCATTAAAAATCATAGGGTAGTGCTAAATTTTATCTTAAAATAATAAATAACGAACAAACAAACGAAGAAATGAACAAATAAATAAATAAATTTGATTGGCCTAGGTTGTTTTTGTCGTTATCTTCTTAATTAAGTCTGTTGTAACGAAAAATTAGTGTACGCTAATTGAGAAAAACCTGACAAACAAACATGCGAACAAACAAGCAAGTAAATAAATTTGATTGGCCTAGGTGGTTTTTGTCGATATCTTCTTGATCAAGTCTATTGTAACAAAAAATTATTTAGTGTACGCTAGCTGAGAAAAATCAGACAAACTAACAAGCGAACAAATAAACAAGTAAATAAACTTGATTGGCCTAGGTGGTTTTTGTCGATATCTTATTGATTAAGTCTGTTGTAACGAAAAGTTACTTAGTGTGTGCTAGTTGAGAGAAATCAAACAAACAAACAAGCGAACAAACAAAGAAGTAAATAAATTTGATTGTTCTAAGTAGTTTTTGTCGATATCTTCTTGATCAAGTCTGTTGTAACGAAAAGTTACTTAGTGTACACTAGTTGAGAGAAATCAGACAAACAAATAAACGAACAAACAAACAAGTAAATAAATTTGATTGGCCTAGGTGATTTATGTCGATATCTTCTTGATCAGGTCTGTTATAACATAGAATTTACTTAGTGTAAGCTAGTTGAGAAAAACCCGACAAACAAACAAGTAAATAAATTTGATTGGTCTAGGTAGTTTTTCTCGATCTCCTCTTGATAAAGTCTATTATAAAGTAGAATTTACTTACCAAGCGCTAGTTGAGAAAAACCCGGGAAACAAACCCTAAGAGCACTTTGCAAGGATTAACATTTTATGCTATTTATTTCTAATGATCAGATAATCTTTAATTTATGATTAGGAAAAAGAACTTCTCTATTTTATTTTATTTTATTGCTTTCTAAAATGGGATATGTAAAAGTTTACTTCTATTAAGAAAAAAAACAATCCTCACTACATAATAATTCGTTTAAAATTATACATGCTGTTTAGGGCAGTGAGTTTTGTAGATAGTAAAAATTTGAAAAAATCATATCGAATATAAGTGTACTCTCTCTCTAGATCTCTCTCTCTCTCACACTAATAATTCAGAGAGAGAGCAAGGAAAACCCTGTCTGGATTGTGGCGTTTTCCTGAGGGAAATTCACGTGGTGACATATACATATATATATATATTTGTAAAGACAGGAAATGAATTCCAAAGAACAAATGAAATTATGCACGAAAACAAACCATCGAATTGTTCCAAAACCAACAAAAGTCGAATGCCCACTGTGTCCCTCATCTTTCTCTATATGTATATATGTATATATATACAGAGAGAGAGAGAGGGCACTGATATGACCATCGAAACACCACAAGAAAACTCACTCGAAAGACTTCAAATTTCGACTACAACAATGCCAGAAATCAAAGGGAAATAATATATTTTTTTTAAAAAAAAATAATAATAATAATAATCCAATTAAGCCCTAAAATCACAACCCCATATATAACCCTGTAATTTGTCATCATCATCGTCATCCTCCTCCCTAATCCAAACCCCATTCTTGGCTGCTCCCGGACTCCAAACACCCACATGAATCAACAACCCACCTGGCGTTGGAGTCCCCGGGGCTCCCAGAGCCATCCACCCCCTCCATCGTCATCTACAAACACCCACCCATCTTTTGCAAAACCACACCCCTTAATTTTATCTCCAAAAAAAATAAAATAAAATAAAAAACCCTAATTAATTCTAAAATAAACAAATTTGTTCATGGCTTTTAATCCAGTGAATTGATTGAGATATTCATTTGAATACAATAGAAAACATGTTTTTATAGAGAACTGTAAAGTTAAACTATAAGCCATGGATACACAAGAAATGTTTCCTTTGGGTTTGTTCTTATATTTTATGTTTATCTTTAAATAGTTTTAGATTGTGAGGTTTTCTAGGGCAAATCAGTATATTTTTACAGAAAATCGTGAAAATTTCACAGTAAAAAAGAATCTAAAAATGAACAGATCCATAGATACCTGGAGAAGAGAGTTCCACAATCACATCGATACTCTTTGGTGCCACAAATCTTAGAGTGAGCTTTCCAATCAGAATGAACAGCATATTTCTTGGCACATTTCTGACATTTGTGTTTCTTCTCACCATGTTTTCTCAGATAATGTTTTTTGATTCCGGTGAGGTCTCCGAGGGCCCGGGTGGGGTCGTGATGGACGCAGGTGGGCTCGGGGCAAAGATACACTTTTTTTCTAACCTCTTTCGAGCCTTTCTGCCTCAGCTTCCATGGCAGATTGTGCCCTCTCCTGTGGAGCTGAAGATTCTGCTCTCTTTGGAACCCTTTGTTGCAAACTTCGCACACGAATCTGTTTTTCTCCAGTAGTGACTTTGGGGACAGTGCGATGATGTCTGCATCTGGATCTGTAAAAGAGAAGAGATTTTGGTTAAATGATCTGTAGATTTTAAGGGATTGAGATTGGGGTTTTTTGAAATTAGGGTTTGTTGTTGCTTGCTTGGATTTCCAGGCTGGTTTCTTTTCTTCTTGGTGGTGGGCGGAGTTATCGAGGATTGCTGGTTATGATCCGACGGCTGTGGTGCAACGAGAGGAATCTGCATCTGATTGTTGTTGTTGTTCTGTTGCTCCATTGGAAGAAGACCTAAGGAAGAAGAAGCTGTTGCTGCCATGGCTGAGCTTCTTTGATTATGCCTGAGTAATCTGCAAATCAAACTACTTCAGATTCAAGAAACATTTGCAAATCCCACCTGAAAAAGACATGATTATATTGAAAACAAAATTGAAAACTGCAGAAATGGAGAAGTTTAGAGAGAGAGAAAGAGGGGTAGAGAGAGAGAGGGGAGGGTTTACAGATAAGAGTAGAGAGATGAATAGTAGGGCATGGAGAGGATAGAGAAGAAGGTGTGAGAGAGAGAGAAATATATATATACATATATATATATATATATGAAACTATGTAGGCCTCAATTTATTGTTATTATTTATTATTCAATAATAAATGTGATGTGATACTTTTTGTTCTTGCCTTTTATTTAATTAAATAATTTGTTTAGGTTTTTTCTCTAGAAGCAGTGTCGTTATCATCATTGTAAAATTTTATTTATTTATTTATTATTATTTTTTGCATTCAGGGAAATGGGGTTTTCGAAAAAGATGCTACCTTTTAGTCTTCATTTCGTATTCTCGTGTTATGTTTGCATCGAATTAAGTTGGGGTCCATCAAAATAATATGGGTGTGCTTATTTCTTATATTTTAAATAAAAAATATTACTACTATTTAAATGTGTAAAAATAATTTTGATACTTTTTACTTTCATATATTTTATGTATAAATTAATTATATATTTAATAGTATATTTGAAATGTATGTAAAAATTAAAGTATATTTGATATTAGTATGTCATTATTTTTTAAAAAAATACTTTTGAGTAGACAAATGATAAAAATAATATTTTCATTGAGAGAAGAAATATTATTTTTTCTAACAAAAACATTTCATCAAAATAATATTTAAACTAGAATTCAAATCAAATTAGTATTTCATTGCAAATTAATTTCAAATAATAATTACCAAACAAACACTATATATATTATGTTATTTTTATCTATCTCTATCTCACTTGAATAGTCTCAATGAAATTTTAAAAAAAAAAAAAAAAAATTTATTATAATGATAAACGAATTTGTGTAAAATGAAAAATCGATAATATATGTTTATATATATTATAAACAAGCTTTATAGAGTTATATAATAAAATAATTATAAAAAAAGCTTCATTTTTCGATCCAAAATCACAAATTCAAATAAAAAACAAATTCTTTCATGTTAAATTTAACTAATAGTTCGATATGATATTGTGTGAATCTAAACATTAAAAAATCAAAATAATCAAAACTCCAACAAAACACACTCTAAATTAAAAACAATTCCTAAATTATCAAATAAAAAATAAAATACCATTAATAATTTTCTAAAAAAAATCAGTAAAAAAATAAATAAATGGAAACAACAAAAATAAATGAATTGTCAAAATAGTAAAATACATCTGAATAATTGAAAGAGAAGTACTTGGCGAAATAGAAAAGAGAAAACAACAAGAAGAAGTCGAAAAATAGGCATTATTTACTTTAGCTTTGTATTTGCTATTAAATAAATGTTCGATAAGATATTTTATTATAAAAAAAATTACTTTTATAAACAATCGTAATAATTGCATAATAATAATTACATTTAAAAAAATGACTAGAAGAGAAATGTAGAAAGTTATAATGTGTAAGTTTTACGATTTTAAGCAAAACATATTATCAAGTTAAAATTCTAAATTGATCAATCTAAATTTGACTTGATCCAATTTGTTTTATGTATGTTTCTTTAGCCGAGTTTCTCCAAATTTTACTATTTGGACTCTGCGTTTTTCAAAAAAAAATATATTTTTTCCTCTCATAAAACATCACATCAAACATTATTTTCATACTAAACTCAAACCAATTTTTTTCCAAACTCATCAAAAGAAGTACACAAGGTTTAAGTCGTTTGATTTTTATTTTTTATTTTTAATTTGAAAAATATTTAAATTTACACTTAAAACTTTCAATTTTTCGAGCGGAACAATTGTGTGTTTGAGTCTTGTTCAAGATTAGCATTCCTAATTTGTATCAATTTGTTAATTTGTGTTTTATATTTATAAAATTAGGGTTTGTTAGCTTTTGATTTAAAATACAAATCTATATTATTCAATCAGTACAATTTTCAATAAACAAATATTTTTTATATTAATATTTTCGATAGTTTTTAACATTACTCATTAGAAATAATATCTTCTAAAATAATACATCACATACTTATTTTATATCACAAAATATTATATCAGATATTTAAAGTGTGTTTGTTTTATGAAAGAATTAAAAAAGATATTTTTTATGTAAATTATAAAAAATTGTGTAAATAATTTTAAAAGAATGAATATGTAATAATATATTATTTTTATTTATTATCGAAATTCCAAAACTTAAGAAACCTATATCTAAACTGAACCAAAATTTTAATATAATGTCTTATACTCCCTCCGTCTCATAACTATGTATTAATTTTCTTTTTGCATGGAGTTTTAAAAATATTAGTATTATATTAAAATATAGTATGAATAAAGTAGAAATGACTAAAATGACCTTATTAGTATTGTGTGATATAAAGGTAATAGTATTTGTGAAATATATTAGAAGTTATAAAGATATTTGTAATATTATGTAGATAGTACATTTACTAAAAAAAAAAATATGAATATTTTGTTATGGGATAGACCAAAATAAAAAAATATATATTTTTTGTTATAAAACGAAGAGATTAATATTTAATTATGATAAAAAAGTCTAAGTTATACATTTATAACACATTTCAAATCAAAATCAATATTATTAACTATTTGTTTGTTTTTTTTAAACAGGCGCTCCATGTAAGTACGTTTAGTGCTCTATAGAATATATATTATGCTCGTATAAAAATATATTTTGTGTTATCTAAACTGTGGATTAGTACTATCATAACAATTAAATTGTGCTTTTTGAAAGCTTTAACAGTACTACATGAGAAAATTAGTAAGTCTATAAATGCAATAACATAAAAAGTAAATTATAAAAATATAAGAATATTTTTAATATTAACTATAATAACGCAAATAACAAATGATATCCTTCTTGTAGGAGAGACGGATATAGTACTATTTTTTTTTCATAAAATATTTAATCAAAATACTTTTTTAAACAAAAATTTAAATTAATATCTCATTTTAAATCAATTTCAAACTAGAACTAAACTCATACTCCCTTCATCCGGTCTTTAAAGGTCTCATTTTGTCATTGGATTTAATATTAAAAAATTTTATATTTGTATAATTTTTTGTACAAATATAATTATAATAGTATTATAAAATATTAATAAAAATATTTTTTTCCTTTAATTTGTATTATATTTTTATATAATAATTAAAATAAAAAAATTAACACGCAAAAAATAAATAACAAAAAATAAATAAATTTTTACGAGCCGGACGCAAAGTGGTATATATTTAGAGAGAGAGTAAACAAACCCTATAGAGTGGGGGTGGGGGGGGGGGGGGGAGTAGGGGTCCCCCGCCGCATATGGACAGTATATCACACGTCGACTGTTTCGCTCTCTTGTTTCTCTCTCTGTGAAGGCTAAGGCTTAAAGACAAACATATCTTCGTCATTCATTAATGGCGTCTAACAGTGAAAAGGAATCCAAATGTATATCATATATATATATACTAGTATATATCAATATACACACTCTCTCTCTCTCTCTGTCTATCTCTCTCATCATATATATATACACCTGTATGTATGTCTCTATGTCTGTATAAACTCTCTCTCTCATCATATATATATACACCTGTATGTATGTCTGTATGTCTGTACACACTCTCTCTCTCTCTCTCTCTATGTCTATCTCTCTCATCATATATATACACACCTGTCTGTATGTCTGTATACTACACATTTAATATTATTCGTTTCTGCTGCTGTTTCCTTCCAACGGTAAACCCTGATGCCTGCCTGCATTCCCGCCTGCTTCCCTCCCTCACCATCGTCTTTATGTCAAAACATCATATATATATATATATATATATATTCGGCGTATTGTTTATTTATAATTGTTGAATTTGATATTTTATATGAAAAAATTATTTATTTTATTGAATATTGTCTCGTTGCATAGTAAAAATAAAAATCTAAAATATATGTATATTTTTGTTTACTATGCAAATTATTGCAATTCCTAAAATCTATATTATTTTTTTAAAAAAAAATAATATGCATAAATATGAAATTAATGTAACCACCGCTATGAATGTGTATATATATATAAAAAAAAAATGAAAAAGAAAAAAACAATATATATATATATAAATATATATATCAATGTTAATCTATGAACTCATGCTCATGTCATGTAGAACAACAAAATTTAGGTGTTCCTTTGAATTTTCAAACTTGTTTCAAATATTACACTAAAATTTGTTTCATTTCAATTTTTTTATTATTATTATTGTTTTTGTTGTCACACAAAAATTGATCGATAATTAAGACGTGGAAGTAGACAATGACCATTGATCGATCAATCAAGAAAGTGGAAATAGGTTCGGCCGGAGTTTACTCAGTGCCCACTTTCGGGTAGCGGTTGCAGGTTTCTACGTCATAATAAATAAATAAATAAAAAGTGGAAATAGTGGCCAATCGATGAGAAAAATTAAGATGCAGAGTTATTAATGAAGAATATTGAATACAACAGTTACCAGCGAGTGAATGTAAAATTGAATGTGTAACTAATTGATACAAAATGGAGAGAAGCAGATCCAACTATCATTCATACAATTTACTTGCAATTTTTCTTTTTAATTTGTAAAATAATATACAATTTGATCAACTCATTTTTGTCATCTTTTCTTCGCTAAGAACTCACCATTTCTTCAAGAAATTTTAAGCCAAAAATCGAATTTTTAGACCAAATTTTTTTAAAGCAATTCAAAATATTTTAGGGATTTAAATAGACTAACTCAATGTAGAGGATGGTGAAAATTATTCAATCTCGCCTAACCATTGCCGAGTTATGAGTTTGATAAGCTGCTTCGCTAAAATTAATATATATCAAATAATACTCTCTCTTATCAATATATTCATTTATCTTTTACACAATATTTGTATTATATTTATCTGTAATATAAAAATAAGGACAAATAAAAAGAACTAGCTCTAAAAATATAAATTTGAATGTGAACAGTATGAATTAATACTATATTAAAATTCATAATTACAATTAACAAATGAACACAATATCCAAATCAAAAGATTAAAAACAACTATTCAAACAATTCAATTTGAAATTGAATCTAAAAATTGGAAAAAAAAAATAATAATAACAAATTTACTATGTAACCACTAACCTCCTCTCCCCGTCGTATTTCTTTTTCCTTTCACGAGAATTTTTTCGACCTATACGCCTCGGCACAGAACATGTAAATAATCATGTTGCCGAGGCTCAGCGCCGCCAGCAGCCAGAAGAAGCAGTCGAGCCGACCCTCGTTCAAGTTATCCGGTATCCACCCGGTCTGCCCTCCGCGCGTCGTTATACTCATCACCACCGTCAGTACGAACGAGCTCAAGTAATTCCCCAACGATGTCGTCAGCAGCGCCAGCGCGCTGCACAGGCTGCGCATTGCATCCGGCGACTGGTCGTAGAAGAACTCCAGCTGGCCGATGAACGTGAACACCTCAGCCGCCCCGAGCAGGAAGTACTGCGGCGCTTGCCAGAAGATGCTCATCGGGGCTGCCACGAGTTTGTTCGACATTCCCAGGTCCCGCACGAGCGCCAATCGCTGAATCTCCACGACTGCAGCCGCCGACATGCACAGGACAGAGAGGAACAGGCCGACGCCCATTCTTTGTAGCTCGGAGAAACCCCGTTCTTTGCCGGTGAACTTTCGGGCGATTGGGACTAGCACTTTGTCGTAGACGGGGACCCAGAAGATGACGCTTATGACGTCGAATGTCGAGAGGGAGGCTGCAGGGATTTGGAAGGAGCCGATGCTCGTGTCCATCACCATGCCTTGCTCGACAAACATCGTCGACATCTGAGCGTATACGGCAGAGAAAACTATTCCAGTAGCCCAGATCGGGAACATCCGAATCAAGATCTTCAGCTCCTCGACTTGTGTCACGGTGCAGAGTTTCCAGGAGTCGGAGTAATCTCCAGTTTTGGTTTCTTCTTCGCCAATTATCGCAGCTTTGTCGAGAAACCTTCAAAAGAAACGAAAACGCCATCACAGAGAAGAAGACAATGAAATCATCTTAAGCTTAAGAATCAGTATTAATGCAGAGTATTACTGTAACTCATCGGTATGCAGCAATTTCCGACTTCCTTCTATAGCAGAGCTCTTGTCGGTTGTTTCATACAGCACGCTGCTATCGTCAGGGACGGGCAAACTCCACTTGCGGCATGTTGCAACGACAACCTGACAAATTCGGGTAACAGGGCTTCCTCCTGGTTTTTGAAACCTGTAAAGAGGAGTCCCTACAAAGAAGCTTGCAATGGAAATTCCCATAAACAAAGCAGGGATGCCGAATCCGAGCCCCCATCCTGCATTGTCTTGAACCCACACAATTATGCTACTTGATACGAATGCACCGATGTTGATGGAGAAATAAAACCAATTGAAGAAGGAACCCTTTTTAACTCTCTCCACAGAATCGGTATCATCAAACTGATCAGCACCAAACGAAGAAACGCAAGGCTTGATCCCTCCTGTTCCAAGGGCTATAAGGTATAACCCGAAGAAGAACACTGCATATTGACTGGGTGCGGCAGAAGGGCATACTGGATAGATGCATTCAGGAGGTTTAAGATAAGGCATGGTAGCCGACATCGTCAGAGTGCACATTCCCTTCAAGGAGAGGGGAAGAGATCAGTAGCAATTGGAGAAGGGAGTCAGTCAAGAATCAGTACTTAATTGTATAGACAGATAAAGAACATACTAAAGAAATTTCAACGAGATAAAATGCGAAACACTTCATGCCAAGTTGGATAACAATGGATGAGAAGTGAATGCAAAGAGTTCTGAGTCGAATGACATGTTTTATCAAACTTTGTGACCTCATTCGCACCAATTTAACGAAAAATTCATATTCAGATGGCTAAAGTAATGCAAAACAAAATCGATTAATGTCTAACAGAAATGAAAACCAGCATTCGAAAGGTGCTGTTTTCTGTCCTAAAATCAATCCTCCCGCAGCAATTCATACAGATTCCTAAAAGTAAAACTATTATAGGACTAGTTATGCTCAAGCAACAACCAATATAAAGAAAGTAGGAACAAAATAAAAAAGTATACCCTTTTATGCTCTAGCAACTAATACAACTTTATTTGCATACACTAAGGATAGTGAAGCACATGTATATCTCAAATATTTGTAAAAGTGAAATTAAATTCTCTTACATGCAAGAATTCAAAATTGAAAATTCGTCAAGGAAACAATAAACAAACGCACAATGACGACACACAAATGATGAGATAAACTAGCCATAAAAAGATATAGGAAGGTTACGATGAAGTAAATCATTGAAAAGGCAGCAATCGTCCAGTATCTTCCCCAGTAGGCATCTGCAAGGACTGCTCCAATAAGGGGAGTTAGATAACAGGTGCCTTGCCAGGTAGTCACGTTTCTAGCTGCCGATGCATTTCCTTCATGTAACTTCTTGGTAAGGTAACTAACAAGATTAGTTGAAATTCCATAATAAGCCAAGCGCTCGCAGCATTCAGTCCCTGTGCCGATACAAAAGATTAGAACACCTGAAACAAACAAAACTTAGAGCAGCACTAGTGCAATGCAGATACCAAGAATGAAAGGACACGCTCGCCAATTTCCAGTGTTGTTCTTCAAAACACGGTCTCCATTAATGTCAACAGAGCCATCGCCAGTGTAAAGTCCATTATCTTCACTCTATACAAGAAAAAAGAGAGAATGAATGATCAGAAGACTCGAAAAGATAAAAAGAGATTCATATGTATGTTGCGTTTCTTAAATTAAAGATCTCTACAAGTCATAACATCAATTCTCACAATTCATCAGGGCATGAAATCTGTCGTTGGGAAACACAATAACGAAATGCATCTCAGTTCTAGCTTAAACTAGGCTTAATAATGATCATATTATAGAAGGGGATGAATCAATCTTGGTTGTGATGTTTTCCATGCCTGATTCAATCAAGTAAGCTAGGAACAAGAAAAAGGATGGACTAGACGAATCAGAACCCCCAAATGCTTAAAAGGAGCTTCGACGTGAACAGAATCATATCATTAGATCCCAGTTTGACCTGAAACAATAATCAAATTGACCTAATATTTTCACTTCCTGAAAAAGATAAATTCTATTATCCTCTCTTATTGCCATAACATGTTAGGGCAGAGAATAATTGTAATCCCTCAATCACACATCCAACCCAACCATCCAAACAAACGGAAGAAAACAAAAACTCGTGATTGTTTGTGATTTCTCTGCCTATAACTGAAAACAACAAAGCATTGATCGAAGAACAATACGCCTTCACACCAAAGCACACCCCAACACAAATTGAACGTCGAAATCGTTCATAAACGCTACAATATACAAAACAAAATGCGAAAAATCATCAAAGAGGTGCAACATAACAGAGTCGTACCTGAGCAAGACCGTCCTCAAGCAGCAATTGCTCCTCGTCGCGGGAATCCATTATTAAATGCCTAACTCAGAATAATGGAGATATAGAGATGATATGGGCAACGGAAATCCGTTTTTGTGGCGATTGCAAGCAGGCCAACGCGTAGAGGATTTGGAGGGATACGAAAATAGAATGGCGATGGGGTGTTGTCCGATAAGTTTTGTAAAACACTCTCCATCTATCTCCATCTTTGCTTCTCTGAAATTAAATTAAAAGTTTTCAGAAACGTAACTGTGCGGCGCGAACTCTGCGAAGATTTTCGATCGGATAAAATTTCTCGTTCAGTGTTCCCAAAGAAATTAGTACTATGGAACTGGTGATTAACATTCCAGGACGTGTTTGTTTGCGTTTAAAATGCTATCGATTAATTTATTTTCTTTTACATATTTTTAAATACATTCTTTTACTATTTAATTAATTTGTTTTCTTCTTTTCTTTCTTTTTTTCACTTTTCTATGTGATTTTGGATTTATTTTTCTAATATTTTAAATTAAAATATTTAATAAAAATAAGGTTAAGTCCTACAAAATCTATCTTTGATTTCATAAATTCTGTCTCTAACCCGAAGAAAAATAACTATTTTTAAGTATATTTATCAATTTTTTTTTAGGATAAATATAAAAAAAAAAAAATATATTTGTAATTTTAGTGGTTTATAAATTGAGATTCCAAAATTTATTCAACGATTCGACGCATTTAGTTCAAATACGGTTAAATAAAGACTGCCAAAAGGTTAGACGTTACGAAACCACGAAGCAATTCGACGCAATTTAAGAAATATAAAAAATTTGGAGCAATTTTATGAAACAAGACTTATAAATTTTGTACAACTTAACCTAAAAATAAATTATATTTTCACAAAACATTATATTACTGTACCGTTTAAAATAAAATTCAAATTAATATTACATTATATTACTGTACCGTTTAAATTCAAATTCAAATTAATATTGCATTTCGAATCAATTTCAACCGTAATACTAAGATTGACTTGCCACCGTAAACCCGAAAATCCGCAACCTCTATCCTATCCAGGGTAACGTAAAATCTTAACTGAAAAAAGTCATACATGAGATGAGATAGAAAGTAAACATAACCAATAACTTACAATCTTGATTTGTACCTTCCAACACTTTGAACATCTTCTTCTTAAACCATATTCGCTCTTTTTCCTTCACGATGATTTTTTCGACTTGTATACTTTGGCGCAAAACACATAGATCACCATGTTGACGAAGCTCAGCCCCGCCAGCAGCCAGAAAAAGCAGTCGAGCCGACCCTCGTTCAAGTTATCCGGTATCCACCCAGTCTGCCCTCCGCGCGTCGTTAAACTCGTCACAACCGTCAGTATGAGCGAGCTCAAGTAATTCCCCAACGACGTCGTCAGTAGCGCCAGCGCGCTGCACAGGCTGCGCATGGCATCCGGCGACTGATCGTAGAAGAACTCGAGCTGGCCAATGAACGTGAACACCTCAGCAGCCCCGAGCAGGAAGTACTGCGGCACCTGCCAGAAAATGCTCATCGGAACTGCGACGGGTTTGTCCGAGATCCCGAGGTCCCGAGCAAGCGCCAGCCGCCGTATCTCGACGATGGCAGCCGCCGACATGCAGAGGACGGAGAGGAACAGGCCGATGCCCATTCTTTGTAGCTCAGAGAAACCCCGTTCTTTTCCGGTGAGCTTTCTGGCGATCGGAACAAGAAGCGCATCGTAGACGGGGACCCAGACGATGACGCTGATGACGTCGAACATCGATAGCGAGGCTGCGGGTATTTGGAAGGAGCCGATGCTTGTGTCCATCACCATGCCTTGCTCAACGAACATCGTCGACATTTGTGCATATACGGCGGCGAACACAATTCCAGTCGCCCAGATCGGAAACATGCGTATCAAGATTTTCAGCTCCTCGACTTGCGTCACCGTGCAGAGCTTCCAACGGTCGGAGTAATCTCCGGTTCGGGTTTCTTCTTCCCCAACTATTGCCGCTTTGTCGAGACACCTTTACAAGAAACGAAAACGTCGTCACAAAGAAGAAGACAATGAAATCATCTTAAGCATAAGAATCAGTATTAATGCAGAGTATTACTGTAACTCATCAGTATGCAGCAATTTCCGACTTCCTTCTATAGCAGAGCTCTTATCGGGTGTTTCATAAAGAAGGCTGCTATCGTCGGGTACCGGAAAACTCCGTTTACGACAAGTTGCAACGAGAACCTGACACATTCGGGTGAGAGGGCTTCCGCCGGGTTTTTGAAACCTGTAAAGAGGGGTCCCGGCGAAGAAGCTTACAATCGCAATTCCCATAAACAAAGCCGGGATGCCGAAGCCGAGCCCCCATCCTGCATTGTCTTGAACCCACACGATTACAGTACTCGATACGAAAGCGCCAATGTTGATGGAAAAATAAAACCAATTGAAAAAGGAGCCCTTTTTAACTCTTTCGACAGAGTCAGTGTCATCGAACTGATCAGCGCCGAACGACGAAACACACGGCTTAATCCCTCCCGTTCCAAGCGCTATAAGATATAATCCAAAGAAGAATACCGTATATTGACCGGGCGTGGCGGAAGGGCACACTGAACCAACGCATTCGGGAGGTTTAAGTGAAGGTATGGTAGCCGACATCGTCAAGATGCACATTCCCTTCATGAAGAGAGAGATCGGTAACACATATAAGCAATAAAGATCAATCTATGCCAAATTGAAGCTCATCTAAATTTGGAAAATGGTTAAGAAACGATAAACAAATGCAAAACGATGACAAACAAATAATAGCAATGATCATAGCAATAAAGAGGTAAGTAACAAATGGTGAAAAGGAATTGGAGGCTTACAAAGAAGTAAATTGTCGAGAAGACGGCTATTGTCCAGTATCGTCCCCAATAGGAATCTGCAAGAACTGCGCCGATAAGGGGAGTTAGGTAACAGGTGCCTTGCCAAGTAGTCACATTTCTAGCAGCCGACACATTCCCTTCGTGTAACTTCTTGGTAAGATAACTAACAAGATTAGTCGCAATCCCGTAATAAGCCAAGCGCTCGCAGCATTCAGTCCCTGTGACAATGCAAGATTTTATTAGAATCATGGCAATGATCAAAACTTAAGAAGCGCTCGTGCATTGCAGATACCGAGAATGAAGGGGCACGCTCGCCAATTTCCGGTGGTGTTCTTCAGAACACGGTTTCCTTTAATGTCGACAGAGCCATCACCGGTATACAATGCATTGTTTTCACTCTATACAAGAAAAAAGACTGATCAAAAGACTTGAAATATAAACTAAAAATCATATTTGTTAGCCAATTTACAAAGATCTTGGACAAGTCCTAACATTCCATCTTCATGATTCATGTGGGGAAGAAATCCAATGTGTACAAATGACGGACTAGAACGATGCAACAAAAGCACATCGAATTGACAACTAAAATAACCATTTCGGATCGAAGATTAATTTGAATCCAAGAATTTAATATCTAAATACTTCAATGGATGAATGCCAAACAATCTCACTTTCTGAACACTTCAGAATCATATCCTGTTGATGAATTTTGCAATATAGGGATACAGAATTGAAACGAACAAACTAAATAATCGAATGGATATTGCAATCAACAATTCCCAAAAACTATAATTCATCCCTATTCTTCATTTCCACAATCAATTTCAAGATCCCTATTGCACAATCAACCATCCATAAAGTACTGATCGAAGAAACCTTATCCATAAATCCGAAGATCAATTGATAATCCTCCTCTTTACAAAAGTCAAGCACAAGCTAATTAATCAAATTGAAACGCCGAAATTACTGCCCTGGATCCCTTTCTTAACAGAAATTACTGATGAATTGAACAGCAATTGTGCAGTGTAAGAGTTATACCTGAACAAGACCATCCTCGATCAGCAATCGCTCTTCCTCGTGGGTACCCATTTAAATCCCTAGCTCCGAATAAGGCGATTCAAGATGAGATACAGTTGGTGGCAATTGGGTGGAGCTCGAGGTCGAGGACGATGCGTAGAGGATTTAGGGGAACACCAAAACAGAATGGTGATAATGGTTACTTGCTTACGACTTCGACTGCACGTTTTCTTCTCGGGAATTGAAAATTTGAGCAGAATTCTGAGTGTCGTCGTGACGTCTGCGAAGATTCTTCCGTTGGATAAGAAAGACAGTAATTAATTAGATTAATGTCTATTTGTTATGGTTTACAGAATTCAAACAGTCTACGTCTGTTCCGTATAAGAGTAAACACTAGTATTTTTTATTTTTATCTTTTATTTTTTATATTCTCTTCGTTCACAAATAAATATTTACTTTTTTTTCACAATGTTTAAAAAATAATATTATTATTTTAATTATAATAAATAATTAAAAGATATTAAAATTATAATAATATTAATAACTTTATTTAAAATTTAAAAAATTTATACTTTAAATTATGAAATATATATTTTAAAAAAATAGATAAAATACACAGAACAAACCTAAAAACAAAAAAATTCGTTCTCCCAATAACAATTTTGAATTGCCAGTTTTTAAAAATAATAAATATATATATATATAATATTTAATACAAATCAAAATAACCATTATAAAAAGTAAAAAGTCAATACATTCCCCCTAAAAAAGAAATACTCCCTCAGTTACTTTTGGTGCAATAATATTTTTGCTTTTATTTTTTTTTTTTGTAAAAGTAAATATAATGTAAAATAAAAATATTTTTGAAAAAAAATAGGATATCTAATGAACTGTAAACTTTGTAATGATAGTAATATTTTTTAAAAAATAAATATTACCAAATGAATGAAAGTGCATTGCTTTAAAAACAGATGTACTAGTTTTAATATTTTAAAGCGTTGAGTAATTGTATTCTACGCTGCTGCATCTCATTTTCGCACTCAATGTATGAAACTACTTGCGCTGCGAGTTGGCAATAACTGTCAATTGTTTACTGAGGTAATTATGTTTACGCATTATTCTGCGGTTTTCAGATTATTGAGCGTCGTATTGGTGTTGCGGATTATCGTATGAAGTTGTCGATATGAATTACAGTCTCTTCTGCTGATGCCTGAAATGGAATCGGCGACTGTTGTTTACAGGTAGTTGCTATTCTAAAATTTCCCCAACTTGTCTAATTAAAAAATCATTTTCTAGTTTTTGTTTGGAATTTGCAATGTGTTTTGTTTTTTGGTAGGGAGATATGCAGGAATAGTACTTGAAGATTGATTGCGAATATCCATTGATTCATCAAATAGAAACTAGTTGTTTTTCTTGAAGAGCAAGTTCACGGTCATACTGTTAAAAAAATGATTCTAAACTGATAGAACACGATGATCTTGCTATTCAAAACTAAGGACCATTTCATATAATGCCATATTTGTTTATTTAGAGCTTCACTTCAATTACTCATTACTTTGCCTCTTATTGTGTGTTATAATTTGGAACGTTCTTACCTGATGACAATTTCCAAGTTGTTCTCAGAATGTCATAAGAATGTTAGAAACCTGACCTTGTTTTTTTATCATTCTCTGATCTGAATTGTGCATTCCCCTTTCTACTAATCTGTCTATAGATGAATCTGCTGGGATGAAGTTTTTTTTTCTCAATCTCTAAACAATAGAACACTGGTTGAAAAAAAGTATATAATCTCAGGAAACAGTGCAAAGTCAAGCTAAGCACCACTTAGAGCAATAGTGAGGTCTAGGCTAAGTTCATGAAATTCTTGGGAAGAATTAGATGACCTAATAGAGTATGAAGTAGTAGTAGCTGCTTCACTAATCTCACTTGTAGAAGACACATTGCTTCTCTGGACCGAAAGATGATTATGGCGTAAATTAGGCATAGACAATGACAATGATAGCTCACATTCCTCTACTACTTCATTCTTCCCAGACTTGCAGATTTCGCCACGATCTTCTTCCACCTGCAAATGAACGTAGAGATAAACTACATATGTATCAACACGTGCATAGATAGGAAGATAGCATATAACATTCACATATGGCCTAAGGGAAGAGGAACAATAATTATGGTTATAGAACTGATCAAGGCTACAAGTTGATCATCTTGGCTAGTTTCTAAGTTTTTTAGAGTCCCATAATCTATAGACAATAATGGGTACAACAAAAAGTTACCTAAAGAAATCTCAGAACTATTTTCTCAAAATGTTTAGGAGGAAAATGGAACTGAATAAATACTTTGAAAACTAGTACTCGTAAAAACACCCTTCTACTGTTTGATAAAGCAACAAAGAAGGTAAAGAACAAGTCTTGAGGATGGCATAGATTGTACCTTGAAAAAGTCTGTATTGACAGAAGGGTTTTGATTGTCTTGAGGGTTTTCTTGAATTTGAACTCTGAAAACACTCTTTTCCCTCTCCTTTATTCCACCTTTCTCAGCAAAAGCCTGCATGTAATCATCATCACTGTACGGACTGGTGACTGCCCCACACTGTCTTCTTTGGCTGCATTCAGACACCCAACTTGTCTTCTCTATTCTTGCCCTGTTGGTTTTTTTTTGTTGGATAAAATATAATTAAACATCATAATGTATGGGGTTTTGGGATTTGTAAGATATACTACAAAAGACAATGCCAATAAGAAAAAGAAAAAAGAACTGAAAAGATGTGAATCCAAAAATCCTTCTTGTTTCTTGCAACAACCCTTCTTGAAATATGAGAATCTGTAGCCTTCATTATTACTAAGAATAAAAAATAGGCATAGGGGTTGGGGGAGGGGGGGGGGGGGGGTCACACCTTTTAGGAGAGATGAAGAATGAATCCTCTTCACAGGACAGTTTCCTTTGCTGTGCAATGCTGTTGTCTGAATAGGAATAGAGTCAACCAAAAACACACAGGAAAAGGTGCTCAAACAGTGAGGCAGAAAAGCTTAGGTTTCAATTATTGCGTGTGTTGACAAACTTAGAAAGAAATAGAATCACATGGTTGTAATTTCTTGTCAAGTTTCATTTCATTTCATATCATATCAGGGAAGAACCATGCAAAAGGGTTCCAAGACTAATAAAGAATGTGAACCAGAGAGGGTTTTGGGTTCTTTTTTATATTTAAAAAAATATTAGGGTTCTAAGACATGCCATTACTGGAAGACTTTTAAGGGATTGCAGATTTACAATATAGGCCACAAAAACAGAAAAAAAAAAAAAAAAAACCATAAATGCAGTGTAGCAGCTATTCTTTTCGAAGTTCATAGTTATTTTATAGGAAAAAAGATTAGTGATTGAAACCCCCTACCTTGTCTGTTGACCTCATTCTTCATGCTTCTATACATCTATATTGGTTTTAAAAAGAAAAAAAATTAGGAGCACGCTATAAACATCTAATAAAATAGAAAAATCTAATCAGTGTAAAAATAAAATAAAAAACCTGTAGATGGCTTTTGACATGAGAAATGGTGAGGCCTTTAACATCCATCAATTGAAGAACCAATTTGGGAGTTGCTTCTGCATAGAATGAAGATGATACATAAAAAAAGATAACATAAATTGGAAATATTATATAGATATAGATATAGATATAGATATAGATATAATACTGTGTTGGCCCCCAAGGGTGTGAATGGCATGAAGAAAACAACGATGAAGATCAGGAGTCCATCTAAGGCGTGGGACACTTGATCTCACATACTGCCTCACCCCATTACTCCTTCCATAGCTCCCCATTGATATTACTAACAGTAACAGTAACAGATCAATCTACTAGCTAGAAATGAAGATACTACTATTATACAAGAAAGGTAGTAGTAGCAGCAGTGAGAGGAGGGAGATGAATAAAATGTAGTTTGAAGTGTGCAGGAAGGTCACGAGGAGGAACTGCAATGGCAATGGCATAGGATTGGATTTGTAATGTGGTTAGAAATGATGATTACAAATACACAAAAGACATAATACTAACATGCCTGGTCTGGTCTGGTCTGGTCTGGTCTGGTCTGGGCTGCCTTCTGTTGTGTTTTCTGTGGTGTGGTGATGCCCCCTTTGACCCTTCTTTCTTTTTTTCATTCTTTATTTCTTTCTCTTCCTCCATGGTTCAGTCCTTCACTTCACTGCTCCCCTCTTCTCCTGCCTCTGTACAATCTTTTAATTAATTACTTGATGCCAGAGATAGAGAGAGAGAGAGAGAGAGGCATCACATCATCACAAAAATCCACCAATCCTTTCTATTACTACTATATGGCTATATGCTACTCTAATAAATATTCATTCTTTCTGCTGCTACTGCTTTTTATTCTTATTAACTGCAGGTTAGTGTAGCCTCTTCTCTCTCTCTCTCCTCCCTTGGATCCATTTTTTTTTTTTTATAATGTTACTGTGTTTTTTTTGGGTTCTTTTTGCATTTGTGTCATACTATTTCATAATGACTGCTGAATTTCTAGATAGAATAGTTAATCTGATTGGACTGAGGGATAAATATTTAGAATTGTGAATGTAAATCTCATTATATGTTTTTTTTTTATTTTTGGAATTTGTTTTGACTGTGTTTCGAATAGATATATAGGTGTCCACTGTATATAACTATTTTCCCTCTCCGTGGCATGGAATAGGGATGCATTAATTTAGATAAAAAAAAACTTAGTTAAAGTATAATTAATATATTAATAAAAATAATTATTTTATAGTAAAAATAATTATAAATTTAAGATAATTAAATATTTTAATTAAAATTAAAAAATTCTAAAAATTAAAATTTAAAACATGATTAAAATGTATAATTATATTAAGAAAATGATGAAAATAGATACAAATTATGTGGAATGAAGAAAGTAATATTTACCACGAATGGAGTAATTTTTTTTAATAATAAAAAAAAAAAGTTTTGAGTGTAAAAATATTGAATTTTTTTTTGTAATTTTTATTTAAATAGAAGTTCAACTAATATTTTATTTCAAATTATTTTTAAACCCCCAGCAAACAACTCTATAATTTGCTTTTGTGTCGTACTACTATTTTTAATAATTAATTAATAAATTTGTCATGATATACCAATAATATATACTCATAATATAATGCTACCTCCCTTCCGGAAGGAGAAGAGTAACGTTTATTTTTTTATATAGTTTTGTAATAGTAATATTATATCAGTTTTAATGAAAAATACAAAAATGTTTGTATTAAATAAATAGTACAATTATTAAATAATAAAATGATATTCTTATTTTAGAATGAACAAAAATAGAACAGAGAAAGTATAATATATTATTCCCTTTAAAAAGAAAAATTATGAGACTAAATAATAATATTGTTATAATATAAAAATTAAGTATATAAATGTAAAGTGATAATATTATGAGAAATTTATTAAGTAATTATTAAAAATAAGTTAAATAGAAAAAGTAATTATAAATTAATTTTTATTATTTATTAAGTATGGATAATAAAATTACGAAGAATAAAACTCTTTATCGTACATAAGTCTAGCAAACAAAAAAATTGACATAATAATTCCGAACGAAAGACAATATGTTTTATATTACTAATAATATTTTTTATACTTGACTTTTAAAAAAATAGTTAAAATTAATAATATTAGAAAAATCACTTACTAATATATATTTCCGCCGTCTCAAAATAATAATTTTATTTTGTCATTTTCATCCGTTTCAAAATTATAATTTTATTTTTATTTTTTGTAACTAACTTTTTTTATAAAATTATCCTTGTATTTTCACAATAATTACAAAAGAACATTTTAATCTTTTAAAAATACTTTTATACCCACTATTAATATACTCCCTCTCAGGAATATTGATATTATATTTATAGTTGGTAAAAAGCATAGATAAAAGATTTTTTTGCCCTTGTGAGTGTATTAGTGTAAAAAATAGTGACAATTGTGTAATAAAAATGAAAAAGTAATGGTAGTTTTATGGTAATATGGTTATTTATGAAAATAAAATTATTGTTTTGGGACGAACAAAAATAGTAAACAAGACTATTGTATTGGGACGGAATGAGTAATATATTACTCCCTTCTTCCGCTTACAAAATTTATATATTTCTATTTTGGGACGTCCAATTATAAAGTTTACATTTCATTAAATACCCTACTTTTTTTCATAAATACCCTTACTTTACATCATATCATTACTTTTACACAAAAAAGTAAGGGCAAAAATGTCACTAAACTACTTTTAACTACTTACTATGATTAAAATACTATTATTTCTTAAATACCGCGCCAAAAGTAAATGTAACCATTGTAAACGCGCCAAAAGTAAATGTAACCATTGTAAACGGACGGAGAGAGTATTTATTAATCCACGTGTTCATTCCAAATGTATATGGGTGTGTTTGTTTGGGGGTTTGGATTTTAAATTGAAATTTGAAATTTTTGAATGTGAATGATTGTATGGTGTGATATAAATAGATACTGACGTGGAATTTTGAATGTAAAATTAATTTTAAGTATAATATAAAAAATAAAAAATAGATATTTGATTTGATATTTTTTGAAAATTTTCTTTTAAAAATGATAAAATTTTGGGAAATTCTCCAAACAAACATGTTTTGAAACAGAATAAATATATATATATATTAAATGGGAGTATTATTATGAATTTTGGCAAATAATAATACTCCCTCCGTCCCAAATATCATGTCCACGTTGCCGTTTCTGTCTGTCCCACATACAATGTCACTTTTTTTTTCTTTAGAAAATAATTACACACTTAATCTCATTTTTAATTTTTTAATATTTTTTTAATTTTAATTAATCTAATTAATTATCTTAATTTTAATTTATAATTATTTATATTATATAATAATTATTTTAACTAATTCATTGCAGTATATACCATATCGAAGGAGTACAGTATTGAGAAGAAAAATGAGGAGAAATAGGAAGGGGGGCAAAATAGCATTAAATGGGCAGCAGAAGAGAAGCAGAGAATGATGGAATTTCCTGCACATATTTAATGAATTTTGGATAATGCGTCCAAAACTAACACTCCTCATTTTACACTTTTATTTTTACACTACTTTTTATACATTTACTATTTTTTTGATTTATTTGTGTCAAACATTCCATCGTTAAAGAATTGTTAAATTAAAACAATTATGTTAGGGTGTATTTGTTTGGGGGATTGGACTTTTTTTAATTATTCATCTAATTTTTTTTCCCCAAAAATATTAAATCAAACATATATTTTTTATTTTTTATATTATACTAAAAATCAATTTTACATTTACAACATCACATCAATACCTATTTATATCACATCATACAACTATGCAAATTTAAAATTTTTACTATTCGAATCCCAACTCAAAACTAAGCCCCAAACAAACACACCCTAAAATAAAGTGTCATTTGTTCTTTTTTATTTTATTTTTTTAAATATAAAAAATATATTCAATAAAATGCAGAGTAAAAGAAAAAAAAATAAAAAAAATAGAAAATAAAAATAAATTATATAAAAATAAAAAAATAAAAAATAAAAAGAAACTATGTGAGAACGAAAAGAAGAGAGTAATATTTTATAAAAAACTATGACACAAAAAGAAAAAAAAATCCACAAAAGTTTTAAAAATATATACATAAAACAATAATCTAAACACATTGGACGCTCATCATTCCTTTTTGTCATTACCGGTCCCATGATACCTTCGTTGACCCGTCTCATTATATATGAATTTTTTTTTTTTTTTTTTTTTTACCAAAAAACGAATTATTGTGGGTGGGTGGGTGGTTTGTTAGTTTTCCTCCTTACTTTTTCAATATATTTAATAACAATTTTATTTTAAGAATATTAAAGTTAAAAGTATATAATAAAAATTAAAACACACAGAAAAACCCAACCCCTTAATGCAAATTTTGTAATGTATCTGCATTTAAATTGTTTATCCACTTTTTTTTTATCCCATATAATTTGTTCTTTTTTTTTAAAAAAATATAATTATACAATTTAATAATATTTTAAAATTTATAATTTTAATTAAACTATTTAATTATTTTAATTTTAATTTATAATTATTTTTAGTAACTCATAATTATTTTCACTAATACAAGACCGAAAACTCAATAACACAAAAACTAAATAAATATTTTATTAAAAAACGGATGGAGTATATATATATTTCTTTTAATTTTTTCTATAATTATTAGAAATCATTTTAAAATATATTATTTTATTTTATACAATATAAAAATTCCATTCAAACAAATTTTTGGATTTTAGAAATTAGAAAAATAAAAAAATAATAATAATATTTGATATACTCCCTCCGTCAAATAAAACCACTTAATACCATAAATATTAAGAGTATAACAGTCTTTATGTATATCAATTGTATCAAATATCAATATAATATTAATATACATGCAAGGATAGATAAATTGTGACAGGAGGGAGTATTATTTTATGAGATCAAATAAATATTTAATACATATACTTTTTTATTAAAAAAAAAAAAAAAACTACCCTTAAATGTCGAAACTTAAGATAATAAGTACGCACAGAGAGTTCAAATAATTGGAAGTTCGAATCCGATCCGGATATGTGAATGTGTGCATGCATGGGTCAAATAATAATATAATAATAATAAATCTACATCACATACTCAATTTTGTCCCTCCGCTCTTTAACAATCTATTTATTTTTTTATTTTCGTCCGTCCCATAATACATTTCCTCGGACGGAGGGAGTATTCTCAAAATTGTTAACGTAATGCAAATATAAAAAACTACACAACAGCCGCGAGGCTCCTATATGACACAACAACATATTATTATCTGTTTTGATTAGGTGTACCTATCAAATTTACGATGATATGATATTTCTATCCTATCTGACTTTGTTTACGCAGATATATTACTTTTGACACTATTCATCAACAACGGTAAACAAAAATCACATTAAATATATATATATTTTCTCTGGATTCAAATACCCCCCACTATTTATCATTTCCGGAACTCCAAATCTTCTATCTAAAGAGAGCCAATATTACCAAAGATCATACGATTGGTAAGTCAATAAGTCAGCATAAATAACATCCATCGTATTTTTGCAGAATTGAAAATTTCAGTAAATGTGGAGAGAGGTGTCAAATCCAGCATCATACAGGATGAAATTTATTGTAAAACCGGTTTACCATCAAAGGCAGGGAAAATCAAAAGTTACCTATTTCGCCATTGTCATTGTACAAATAGAAGCTGGGATTACACTTTCTCCTCCTTCTCACACTTCAAACATAACCAAGGTTCCTGGCAGCACAACAAGAGTAAATGATTCAAGAGAGAAAGTGTAAGTATGCGCAAGCACAGGATTTTTTTACCAAACATAAGACAACATGTTTACAAATTACAATCAGATTAATGGTGCAATTGAAAATTGAAAATTGATGCCTGACAAGATCTGCTGTTTTGAGGTTGGCTTTAGTTCTTAAATCTAGCACTCTTCAAGCAATGTCATCGACCACCTTCAAGTCTTACAAAATGCATGCTCTACTATAGTGGAAGTGCGAAAAGTCTTTAAAACAACTTATTTACAAGTTATTTGCAACTTTAATTATTATTAAACTCACAGACCCACAAACAGTCTCTAGATTTTCGGATTTAATCCACGCAGAACTGATCAGCTCCATCTATAAATTCCTAGAGTAAAATTGGGGGCACACCTAAGCTCTTTCTTTAACTGTTTTTTTACCCAATTTAAAAGAAACAACAAAGATACTAACCACAAAGATAATCCGGGCCTATATGCATTCGCATAACAAATTTGAACACAAATTTAATTGAATAAGTGTGTATACTTATGTGTAATATTGATTTTAACGTCATAAATTAGCAGTGCCGGGATTGTTTTTCAGTTAGCTGCAACATTGGAGAAACTTTCGAAATTAATACCAGAATACAACCAAGTCAACCTTAGAACTAGACATCCAGTCAAAGTAGCTCAAACTTCAGGTCTGTTACAGGGTTTTTTGCTTTAAGGCTTGATTTTGGTCTAAATTCTTTCCGCAAAATCATTAAATCAAACACTATATTTTATCTATATACTACATAAAAAATCAATTCTACCTATATCACATCAAACGTTATTTAAACTCAGTTTTTTACTATTCCTACACACCCATAACAGAGCACAACATGAAGATCTAAACAGCCATATCAATAGTTAGACGCCCATAGCACACCAGCAAGTAAATTGCCTGTTCTAATGATTTGCAAAAAATGATTCATATACATTTCAAAACCACAACCAATTTTCAGTGTAAGACATCACAAATACAACCCAATTCATATATCCATTACTATAGTTAAACAAGTGATGAACATTGTATCACCTGGAAGCTTGTACACATACAAGAATCTAAGAATAACAATCAGTGGAGATTTTTATGAAGTAGCAACAAAAGAAAAACGAACAGACAGAACCGTAAAACACTAAAACAGTTTTTTAAACTCTGAACAAAACCTAGAGATCATAACATCAACGTATTATCCAAAATTGAAAAACTAACAATCCTCTGTACCATCATTTATCATCAATTCGAAATTCAGTAATCGTTAGCTGCGAAAATTCCTAATAGAAAACCAATTATTTTCAAAACTCCTGACCGAACAAATCCAACCACCAATTCTAACTTCTACCAAAAGCAAGCCCCAAAACCGCCGCAAAATACAAAGAACTCGAGATATTTAGAGAAAAACCAAATCATAAAATCACCTTCAGCAATTACTCATCGCCGCCACAATCCTGAATCAAGTATTGGCAGTTTTAGGGATGAGCGGGATGGGTTGCGAGGACGGCGACTTCATCTTGGCTTCCTGCTCACGGATCTTCTGCATCTGAAGCATCCGCTCCATGACGAGCTCGTACTCACACTTCTCATAAGTGTGGCGCTCCGACTCGCACTTCCAGGGCAGGAAGAACTCCGCGTGGCGGCACTTGTTGAGAGGAATGAGCAAGTGAGCGCACTGGTCTCTGTACGCGAGGGGCACCTTGGCATCCATCATCTCCTGCTGCGTGGCGATCATCTTCTTCGACGAACCTGGAACCTCCATGGATGAACAAATCACAGACGAATGAATTCTTCAATTTGGGGAAACAGGAAAGGTCTCCTCTCAGTGTCGATCTATATAAATATTTTTAAAGGGCTTTGAACTCGCCAGCAAATATTATGGGCCTCAACTTTATTTGGCCCAATTAGAATAAATAATTTATTTCGCCTGTGCGATCATCTAGGCCCAATTTTTTAGGCCCCTGGGCTTTGAGACAAGCTCATAAAAGGGTCCTTGGACCTTGAGGTATTACTATCTACTCCCTCCCTCCCTCCCTCGGTGTCCCATGTAATATGGGTGTATTATGTAAACACGAAAATTTAGATAAAATATAATTAGTAAATAATTAAAAAATATATTAGTAAAAATAATTATTATTTAGTAAAAAAGTTATAGATTAAGATTAAGATAACTAAATACTTTAATTAAGATAAAAAAAATTAAATTTTAAATTTTAAAATATAATTAAAGTGTATAATTAATTTTTCAAAAAAGGAAATGACAAATTATGTGAGACGGACCAAAATAAAAAATAGGGACAAATTATGTATAACGGATGAAGTAATAAGTAATATCTAGGTCTAACTAGGGTTTAGGGCTAATAAATAAATAAATAATTACAGTATTTTATTAATACTCCCTCATCCCCTATAAAATATCACATTTTTAATTTCCGTTCATTTTACACTATTTGTCATTTTTATTAATACTTCTTCATCTTCATATAATTATATATTTTAGTCATTATTTTTTAATTATAATTAAATTATTTAATTATTTTAATTTCAAACTATAATTATTTTTATAATACAATAATTACTATTTTACATAAATTCCATATCTACATTAAAGTGGGCAATTTAAGTGGAAATCTCCGAAAATACCTTACAAACTGTGTGTTTTGGTTATTGGATTTTACAAGTAATTAGTATTCGATGTATAATGAAAATTTAAATAAATATAATTTTATGTGAAAATTTATGATATTTTATTATTTATGTGGGATCATATATTATTAAACACGGTTTAAAATGACAAAAATAATGCTATCATAAAAGAATAAAAGAATAATATATACTATATTAAAAATAAATTTAAAACATTCATATTAAAGAATGGGTTTAAGAGATGCCGAATCAATATCATATTTGACAACCCTCATCAACATATTAAAATTATAGTGTAGACTCTCTAAACTATTATATTATGTGACTGTATTTGTATTATGTGTGCGCTTGTTTGGGGGTTTGGATTATGAGTTGGGATTTGAATAGTAAAAATTTTGAATTTGAATAGTGGTATAATATGATATAAATAATATGATGTGATATTTTGAATGTAAAATTGATTTTTAGTAAATATAAAAAATGTAAAATAAGCATTTGATTTGATATTTTCGGGAAAAAAAATGAAATAAATAATGTATTTAAAATTCAATCCCCTAAACAAACACAATATATATATATATATATATTTATAACGTAGATCGACAGCCATTACCCATTTTGGGTAAATTCGACAAAGCAAATCACACTGCCGAGATCACAAACAAAAACATCAATAAGAAACTACAAATGACACAAGATAACTTACAGTATAAATATATATATATATCTAGTTTCCCCGAGAGCAATCGATGCCTCCTACGACGACAACGACTACTACTACTATGTAGATCTAGATAACGAGCCTCGTAGCATTTCCGAGAAACACCTCTTATTGTCGATCCTAGAGGGGTCGACATTCAACAAGAATCATACAACTTCCCTGCAACAAGAGTGCCCTCATTGCATTCTCAGCTTAGCAATAACTAAGCAACCTATTATAATCGAAATAAATAGAGGGCGGGCAACCTAACCAAGATCTTACAGCACGTTATTCCTGCTCAAGAACATGAAATAATCCTCTAGTCGAGAATCATAGAGGTTGTTATTTATCGAAGTCATCAATGTCCTCAACATCCTCATTATCCTCCTCGGGGGCCTTTGGAAAGTGCAAGTGGAGAGACTCGAGACTGGAGAAAAACCAGCACATAACGGTTAAAATCAAGAAACTACGATCTGCAAATGTTGTCGATTTATTGGATGAGAATGCGCTATCGTACCTGCAATTTTGAGGAACTCTCCATGATGGCATCGAGGGTTTTAAACGCGGGGGAAGAGACAAGTACCTCTTCCAGTCTTCGATCAAAATTCTGAGGTCGTGGAGTTTGCTGTCTAATCCGAAGCAGCAATTCGCGTGCATCGTGCAAACTTCATTGAGATCTTTACTCGGCTCGCAAAAGCCACCAAATAGGGCGGTGTCCAAGAATCTGATTTTGAGCCCACTCTGTCTTACAAAGGAATCGTTCTTGATTCGATTAAGAACATCTTGATCGTGTAATCCGGGGTACTTCTCGCGGGATAAGTACCAGTGTTTGTAAAACTCTATGGACCTGTTACTCGTTCGAACAAATTTGAACCCTCCATTAGGTTTATTCTTTCTATCATCAGATTTACCCGAGAAGTGATCGCATGCGATTTGAAAATCTGCATCCGAATAAAATTCAGGGAACGGATTTCTGAACCACATTACGTCCGCATCCTGAATAAGGGAAACAAATTAGTAATTCGAATACGTTCCACAAAATAAAATCGATACAGTTATCGAGCAAGATCAAGCAAGTACCGTGAAAACAAAGTTGTATCCCATTTCAAGAATTGTACGTAGGAAATCGATTCTTGTCCACATCATTGTTAAGTAATCAGGAGTCATAAAATAAGCCTCGCGCGAAAAATCAACGCCTTCCATGATTAGGGCAAAGCAGTGAGAGTGTACAGCTCGACACCACGAAAATGCCTTATGATCAAGTGTTATAATCACTAAATGGTTGAGCAAAGGGCGCGTATGCTCCCCGATTCTGAAGCTCTCGAGGAAGAGATCAAAAATCGAACCTGGTCTTGCCCAAGCTTCGTTTAAAGTTGTCAAGATCACTGTGTTATCTGGCATAGAAGCATCCATCAAAACTCTTTCAAGATTATACTCCTCACTGTCCTACAAACAATAGGAAATAAGTATCACAGTGTATAAATGAACAGCCATTTCTACAATGCATAATCAATGAAGAAGAAATGCTAAATGCAATGCCAATTGTCAACAACAGCATAATATTTCAATAAATCAACCAGGCTATAAGTCAATTTTCCAATTCAGGATTTGAATAAATAAGTGATGATTGAAGCAACTGATTTGAACAATTAATTACTCCATTGACTCGAATCCAAAAGCCCTAAATTTCCAAATTCAGCACAGATTTGCTTCCAACAACAGTCGTTTTCCTAAATTCCTCACAATCAATTAATTTCACAATACATAAATTAAATTAAATCAATCAATTACAGAAAGCAACCGCAGTGAAAAATGAAAATCAGTGAGAAATAGGTAACTGACCGAAGTTAGGGATTCGTCGTCGTCTCGGAAGGGGAAGGGGAAGGGGAAACCGCGGACGGCGTGTAGAGTTCGGAATCCGAGGGAGTCGGTGGCGTTGTAGAGGATCACGCAGGATACAACCGCCGCGACGAGGAAGAGCACCGCCAGTGCAGCTCGGTGGCGAACAGTGACCTTGGAGGGGAAATCGGTGCCCATAGGGATCCCCATGGAAGTGAAGTATCCTTTCAGTGGATAAGTGCGGGTGCCGATCGGCGCCAGGCGTGAGGCATTTGGCTTGGTCGGTCGGTTGCGCAGCGGCGGAGAGGCGGCGAGATTGTCGGCGATTGAATTGATTTCCGAACCGTCGAATGGGACGAGACACAGAAGATTTGTTCAATGGAGTTTGTAATTTATAAATGTGAATATCAAGTGTAATAAAATGTAGGGTGTGTTTGTTTGTTTTTCATTGGTCGCTTGTAAAACATAGTACTCCTAATATAAATATATATATATACATATAATAAGATTTTTATTTATTTATAAAATTTTTTTATTAGTATTATAAAAAGAAACTTCCAGCTTTTTATTAAAATAGAATATATAGTACTCCTAATATAAATATATATATATATACATATAATAAGATTTTTATTATTAAAGTGTGACATATTTATGGGATTTCGTTTGAATCTATTCTAAATAAACAAATATAGGGTTTTTTTTTTCCGTCAAAAATCAAATTTTATTTTAAAAAGTAATAATAAAAAACACTATCTTCGTCCATAAAAAGAGTAACGTTTGCTTCTTGCACGTATATCTTTTAATATTAGTATTATATTAGTTTATAGTGAAAAGGGAAAAAAATACTCTTATTAGATTGTGTAATATTAAAGTAATGACATTTGTGCAATATATTAGAAATTGTAAGAAATGATATTTTTTTTAGACAGACAAAAATGGAAAATGATATCATTTTTATGGAACGAAAGGAATACTATATATTACTATAGTAAGTATTTTTATATTACTTATATAATATTTCACAAAATAAACAAAATTATATTTTTCTATGAAATTATTTATTTTTATAAATTAATTTGCATTCTCCTTTTCGAAAAATTTAGGTAAATCTACTTGGGTATGAAAGGAATAAAAAAATATATATATTCTTAAAATAAACTTGGTAAAATAAAATTATTATGAAAAAATATTTAAAATAGTGATAAAAACACTACTATTATTTATTTAATTAAAATTAATACAATGATGAATAAATAAAAAGAGTTGACTATATGTACTATTTATTTATATTATAATCCATTTTAATTTGTCATCCAAATTTATATATATATATTTTTGTTATCTAAATTTATTTCTTTTTTTTTAATAGTAAAATATTATTTTTTATTTTCTTTATTAAAAAAATTATATTTTTATCTATTTTTTTAAAATTCTTGTCCAATCAAATGATCACATTGGATAACGGATGGAGTATTATATAAAATTATTTTTGATAAAATAGTAACATTCATATTTAAACCATATTTTATTACAATATTTAAAATATAATTGTTTTATTTTTAATAATAATATATACTCAACTTATAACAAAATAATGCCAACAAGGCAACAACTACAAAAAACACAAACAAGCAATAAAAATATAAAAAACCAATTTTATCCTTAAATATATTTATTTTTTAATGGTATTTTTTAAATATTAAAAGGTATTTTTATTAGAAAAAGAATAACATAGATTTAAATGGAATGACAAACAAAAATAACAAAATTACTGCATATAACTGAGGAGTTTGTTTAGACAAGGGGTTTTTGAAGATTTTCAGAAGTTTGGAAATTTGGAAAAAATAAAATATTAGTATTTGTTTTATATTTTATGAGAAAAAAAAATTGTATTTGATGTTATATTTTCTAAAAAATGAATAGTGTTAAATGAATGAGAGTGTGTTAGATAAAGAGAGTTACAAAATACTCTCTCTCCCATAACAAAGTATTTATTTTTCTATTTTAGTCCGTCTTATACAAAATATTCATTTATTTTTTTAATAACTTTATTATCTACTTAACATTACAAATACCCTTACAACTTACAATATATTACACAAATATCATTATTTTTATATCATAGTTATTTTTACTTTATTCCTACTATGTCTCGATATAATACTAATATTTCTAAAATTACGTACAAAAAACAAATAGATATCTAATTATGAGACGTATGAAATATTTAATTTGTCGGGACAACACATGACATGAATTTGGCTGGTCCATGAAAAATTACAATGGGCTAAAATTGGTTGTATTGGCCCAAAATGAGACTATGAAGTTTACAAAAGTGTGCCTGCCCACATTGAATTTCTTTAATATTTTGTTACTTCCTACATCAAGTCAACTTTTCATATTTTACACTGATATTTAAGAAAATTTTAATAATATTTACTTAAAATATTTTTTCTTGAAAAATATACATATTTATATTTTATATACAATTGCATTAAATACTGGTTTTTACTATGTTCAAATTTTTTCATAATTTCAAAACTTCCATCTAAATAGAATTGATATATTTTATATCGATCTATACACTTATAGCCAAAATTACATAAAATTCATATATGGTTCACGAAATTAGGCCAAATCTCTATATTTTTAAAATTGCGTAATTCTTTCTTATGATTTTATACTATTCGTCCATTCTTATCTAACGGTATTTGACTTGAACTCATTCGAACTGCGAATGAATTTCAAAGTCCCTATTATAAATCCTTGAAATTACAATATACTCCCTCCGTCTCATATCTATATATCTATTTATTTTTTGCACGGAGTTTTAAAAATATTAGTATTATATTTGAATAAAATAGAAATAAAGGTAAAAAGACTAAATTAATCTTATTAATATTATATAATATAAAGATAATGGACATTTGTGTAATATATTGTAAATTGTAAGAGTATTTGTAATGTTAAGTATATACTACAATTTCTAAGAAAAAAGAAATTGATACTTTATTATAGAACGAACCAAAATGAAAAAATTGATAGAGTGTTAAGGCACAAATGCAGTATTTCATTTCTTTTATATAAGAAGAATATATAGATCTTAAAACTATTCTGGACTCGTATATGTCAAACACTATTAAATAAGAATGGTTGAATAGTATATGCCGACTTTATAAAATCATAAGAAAATCCAACACAGATTTTCAAATATGAAAATTTGAATGTAATTTTGTAAATTCACTGATAGAAAAATAATTATTTAGAATATAAATACAGACCACCGAATGGCACAAGGAGTATTTATTTTTACTCTTTTTTTTTTTCATTATATTTATCTAGTTGTGCTTTATTTTTATTTGTTAGTATTTTGATAAAATAATAATAATAATAAAAATAAAAAGTATCAAATATGTTTTAATAAATAATATTTGTACAATGTATTTTTAAAAAAAATATGTTATAAATATAATTCTTATATATATATATATAAATAAAACATACAAGAATACAATTAAAAACACATTTATATTAGTAGTTGGAAGTGAATGGTTGGTTTGAGGTTTAATTTATATAACTGTGGTTTAATATGATCTTTTTTTTTTTCTAAAAGAAAATCAATAAATATTTAATTATTTAATATGTTATAAATAATTTATATAAATAATATTGGAATAATTTTGATACAAATGTTAAATAATACTCCCTCCGTCCTAAATAAGATGAGCGCAGTAAAGTATAATCAGTAAATAATTAAGAAGTGTATTAGTTAAAAAATTATTATTTAATTAAAATAATTATAAATTAAAATTAAGATGACTTGAATAGTTTAATTAAAATTAAAAAATTTTGAATTTTAAATTTTAAAATATAATTAAAGTGTATAATCACTTTTCCAAAAAAAAAAAAAAAAGATAAATTATATGGCCAGATAAAAATAAAAAATAAAAATAAATTTTGTGGAACGGAATATATATATATATATTTGAAGAATACTGAATAAAAAGAGTCATTGGTTATATTGCATGCAGTGAAGCGTGATGAATCCACTTTGACCAAGTGTTGACTAAAGTGTTTCAAAAATTTTAAAAATAAAAACAAAAATAATAAAGAAAAAGAAAAAAAAAAAAAGTAAATAAGATGGGCCCACATTAGGAAGAGTGAACCAAAAGTCACCAAAAAAAGAAACAAACAAAAGAGAAATTAACAGTTGGAAACCATGTCAACAACAAACAATTAAACAAAATAATTAATTAGTTAAAAAAGACAACCTAGTTTGAATTTTGTGCCAAATAAAATAATTTTATCTTATAAAATATCAAATTAAATTAAAATATTATTTAATTTAAAATTTAATTAAAAAAAATTCAAACAAAAAACTTACTGACCAAATATGTAACTTGATCAATAAATTGTTAATATAGTCATATTACTAAAAAAATTGTTTACTTATATATAATTATTTTTATTTTTTATTCGTATAAAACATTATATATATAGGGATTATTGTTCAAACCAAAATTTTAAATTAAACTCAAAAAGAAATGATTTTAAATATAATAAATTGAAATATAAGATAGAAGTTTGATGGTTTCTTTATTTCGTAGGGTTTTCTTTTTTAAAAATAAAAAAATAAAAAAATATTACCATATACAATCCTCTTATTTCAAATAAAAACATACTTATTTTATGTAAAAGATATTACATTGAAATGTCAACTAGTACTTTATCTAACATCCAATAAAATCAATACTAATTAATTAAAAATAAAATCGATATTTAATACTCCGTTCCAAAACTATAGTTTGATTGTGTTTTGCACGAGATTTAAAGAATATGAATATTATATTGGTAATGAGTAAAAAGTACAGGTAAAAAACTTTTTTGTCCTTGTGATTGTATTAGTGTAAAAAGTAGTGACAATTGTGTAATAATAATGAAAAAGTAACTGTAGTTTTATAGTGATATGATTATTTATGAAAATAAAACTATTGTTTTATAATAAATAAAAATAATAAACAAGACTATTATTTTTGGAACGGAGGGAGTATTACACAATAAGAGTAAGTTTACTTGTAAAATGCAATTATAATTCTTATAATTATTTAACTATATTATTCAATAAAAAACAATTAATGTAATGTTTATTGTGTTTGATTAGTGAAGGCTAACATAAAGTTTTAATACAAATTTAATTACAATAAATTAATTTTACCATTTAAGTGCGATTAATTTTTTAAATTGTTGGGTGAAAATACTGTAGTAGTAAAAGTATTATTTTCCTTACACATATATCTTGCAATATGTTTTATTTTAGTATATCTCATATATTCTTTATTTTCAAAATAGAAACATTTAACTACAATTTATCAATCATGTCACTCACTTAAATAATAAAAATAAATTAATATATACTTCTATCTCATGATATTATCTCATTTCAAATTTATTCTACTTAATATTATTCATTTAAATTATCTGATAAAAATCAAATATTGCGCTATATGCGGGAGGTTGTAATAATTTAGGTGTGTTTTTTTGATGAGTTTGAGAAAATTTTAATTTGAATTTGGTATTAAAATAACATATGATATGATATTTGTGAGATAAAAAAAATTATTCCAATATGTTTCACATAATTACATAAAAAAAGGGTATTTTGATTTTTAAGAATATTTTTTACAGTCACTGTCAATATAATATTATTAGTTTTTAATTGCCGTACTCATCACAAATATCTCTATTATTTTAAAATGGATAAAATATATTTTTTTTGAAAAATACAAAATTCAAATAGTAAAAAATCGGAGTGGTGCACCCTTGGTGAAAGAGTGACTTGCAAGGGTTTCAAAAATACAGACCTTTTTTCATGCTATTCTCTCTCTATCATAACCACTGCAATTATTCAGTCCCCCCGACCCAACCCCACCCCACCCCACCCCCACCCCACCCCACCCTTTTCATTTTTCCCCACCACTTTCATTTTATTTTATTCCTTTTTAATAAATATTTGTGTGTTGAAAATCAAAATAAATAAAGTGCCCTATTTTTCCAGAATCCCAAGAAAAATAACCACACTAACTCACAGACAATAATTCCTCTTTAGTTTCTTCTTCTATTATTATTATTATTATTATTATTACTATTATTGTTGTTATTATTGAATTTTTTTGGCCGTTGACTGATATCCATTATAACATTCATCTTTTATTTTATTACTATTTCATTCAATTATATATATATAAAAGAAAAAAAAAAAAACGAATCTATGATTATGAAAGGTCAATTAGGATGTACAGGCATTTAATTAATTTAATTTTAATTTAATTTAAATAAAAAGATTAAATTAATTATTGATTAAGGTAGACATGTGTCTGCTGTGGTACCATATAGAGGAATGATTATTTGTTACCACACATAAATTTAAATGCATGGTCACCATTTCATATATATATATATATAGTCTATATATATACTCTTTTTTTTCAAAAAATTAATAAATTAAAATGGTAGGCACCACTTTAATTTCCCCACTTGCATTTGAATTCTCCACTCAATCACTGTCTGTTTGGAGGAATTGATTTTTTTTTTTTTTTTTTTCCGGGTATATAACCGTAAGAGTAATATAAAAAATAATATTTTATATTAAGTAATTGATTTTTTTTATTAGTGAATAATACGAGTAATTATTCTGTTTAAAAATATCGAGTGATCAAACTGAATATATATACAGTTAGACATAAATATATACGTGTATATATATATATATAGATTGGTGATGATCTTCTGTCCATTGCTTTCAGCAGCAGCAGCAGCAGTCTTTCTTCACACTTGTCTTCACGTACGTACACTCACACTCACAAATATACATACACATATACATACACAAATATATATATATATATTTGAGTTCTCATATATATATATATATATATAGCAATGAGTCGATAATACATATGTTGTGTTGAGCAGACATGATGCATAATCAATTTCCGCCTCCGCCTCCGTCTCCGGCGGCGGCGGCGGCGGCGGACCAGCGGCGGTACGGTGAGGAATCTACGGGGTATCTAGAAGATGTGCTGTGGGAATACTTCAGCTCCAAGAGAAGACGGCTTCTAATGCCTGACCAATCGGAGATCCACACGTCGCCAAATAACCTGGAGGTAGTATATGTAATTGATGAATTAATTAGGGTTGTAAATTGTAATTAATTAGAAATGTGTGGGTGTGTGTAGAAATGGTGGAGAGCATCAGAAGTTGAAGAATGCAGCAGCAGCAGCCGTTTAACTACGAGGAGTACTACTGCTGTATCTGTATCATCATCATTAATTACAAATAATAATAATAACAATAATAATCAAGATTCCTCAAAATCAACGACGCCTGAAGAGGAAGGAATCTGGGAAGGCACTACTACAGCTATACATACAAAAACATTACAGATGCAGAAACCCAATCCAAATCCACCCTGTATCATCCGGTCAGGTCAGCATGGTACTGATTTTAAGTTCTTTTCTTTTTTTCCTTAATGTTGTGTTTTTTACTAATTTGATATTTTTCAAATATTTAGTATGAAATATAACCATAATGTCAGGTTTTTTTTTTTTTTCTTTGGGAGGAGGAAATTGAGAAATTTCATAACAAAAAATAAGGAGAAAAAAAAAAAATTCTTTTGGTTTCATATTACTCAGTCTTCATATTTTCAATAAAAAATATATATTTTTTTCTTACAAACTATTATTATATTTGGTCTTTTTTTTTTCTTTTTTTAATTGTAGTATTATTTTTATTTTTAATTATATTTCATAATTTGGGTAGCGAAAGGCCAGGCCAAATATCATATAGTATTATTATTATTATATCTATATTGGAATTTTTTTGCATGATTATTGTGATTTCATAACTTTATTTTATTTTATTTTTGCTATATATATATATATTAATTTTTTATATATAAATTGTACACTTTAATTTGTTCATGATTGTACCTCCATTGTTTGAACAACTTTTCTTCTTCTTATTCTTCTTTTTTGTTTTATGTCTCCCTTTTATATGGGGTTGAATTTCTTGGTCCCACTTAATATGTATACACAAAATTATTTTTTTATTTTAAAATGTTGTATATAATATTTATGTTTTTACCCTATAAACACTCAAGGTATATATATAATACATCACTTCTTTTCCCCCTTCAAATTTAAAATTTTGAAAGCAAGAATTTTTATTTTGTATTTTCTACTTTTTGTTAGTTTGATTGCAAAAATTAATTAGTTTATCTTAAACCATAAGTTAGTATTACCTTCACTTTTGATTATTTTTATTTTTATTTTTTACCATAAGTTAGTAATATCTTAATTTGATTTCTTCTCATATTATTCTAATTACAACTTCAATTTTAATAGTTTACAAAAATATTTCCAAAAAAAAATAAAATGTAGATGGTAGAATGGACTAACAGTAGTTATCTAAATTATACTGTCTATTTTTTAAATTTTATTTTTTCTAATAACTAAAACTAGAAAAAGGTCAAGATTGAGATATTATGAATGTGTTTGTTTTGTATTTATATTTTTCATTTAAATAGTAGTTATATATATATGATATTTTACAGATATATATATTTATAAAAAAATCATGAATATAATAGTAAAAAAATTTAAAAAAATGAAAAAGAAGCAACAGTTATAAATTTCTTATATTAAGCGAATTTTTTTTATTATTATTATTATTTTTTTATGACAGATATTAAGAAAGAATCGAAGAAAAAGATGTTGGCAAAAGTAGCTTATCCATTCGCAATGGTGAAACCCGGAGGTTGCGAAGGCGACTTGACGCTGAATGACATAAATGAGCGGATCTTAATGCCGCCGACAAGGCCGGTGCGGCACCCGGTGGGGGACTACGCTTTCCGGCCAATGATCTCGCCGGAGGGGCCGGGACTTTCCGGCAAGGCGGTGGTGGCATTCACTAGAATACATACACAAGGGCGGAGAGGTACAATAACCATCATTCGGACAAGAGGATGATCGTGAAATAATATTATTAGACATGATCTGGAATTGAATGATAATTACGAGATTAATTTTCGGATGTGTGTATATATAAAATTATATGTAATTTTTTATTTTTTTGTTTGGGATTAAATATATTAGAATGATAATAATGAAACTTAGTTGCAAGTGGTGAGATTTGTTTTCAAATTATTGAAAATTTATTGCATTTAATTTGTTTGAAATTATAAAAATCATTTCGTAATTCAATATAAAAGAAAATTAGTAATGGGGAAATGCACTCTTGAATAATAATGCAATTAATTAACACTTCATACGGTATACATATTTCTATTTTGGGATGTCCAATTATAAAGTAAACATTTCATTAAATTACTCATTTTTTTTTTCTACAAATACCCTTATTTTACACTACATTGTTACTTTTACACAAAAAAGTAAGGGCAAAAATATCATTTTACTATTTTTAACTACCAACTATAATTAAAATGCTATTATTTCTTAAACACTGCGTTAAAAGTAAATGTTTACTTTGTGTGTGGACGGAGAGAGTACTTTTTTCTAACTTGAAACACAATTTAACTAAACTAGATTGAATGTTTTTATTTTTTAAAAATACAATATATATACATGTTACCATAATATAATATATATTTCATCAAAAATTTAATATAAAATATTATTTTTTATATTATACACCTAATTTATCGTACTACCGTAAAAGCACTTCAAATTACAAATGCAAAACAAACGCAACAACTATAATAACGAAATTATTAAAACTAAAAGTATAATATATATTTTTTTTGCTATTCTATCTTAAAATTCTACAAATTTTCAAAATATTCAAAAATAATGTGTTTATATAGTGTTTTAATTTCAAATATTTTTATTTTATATGAAATATAAAGAATTGCATCGATAATATAAATGTATTTTATATTAATTATTATTTTTTTGGTAAAAAATAATACATACTTATATATGAATGTGTATATGTCTTAGATAAATTTTTTTTTGGGTAATATTAATTAGGAGTTGTCACTAAAAAATTTTTTATTTAGGTGAACACACCCTATTTAAACAAATATGCTAATAGCTATTCTATATATAAACGACAAGACAAAAATATTTTGTTTGAGATTTATTACATTATTTAAAATTAAACCTATTAGATTTTTATTTATTTTTTCCATAATAAAAAAAATAAAATAAAATACATTTATAACATAGCTCAATATTAATACTAATTCAAACCATTTGGAAAATAGGGAAAGTCGATCATCAAATGGTATTATTGTTGCAATAATTTATGTAGGTCAAATTATAGGTGGGGTACCTACAGCTGCAATCATTGTACATCAATCCAAATAATAAATACAGTACAATTCTTCATAGAAGTACTCAAATTTTTAGAATTTAATAAATAATTTATTTTAATAATAGTTTTTTTTTTTTTAATGTAAAATTTATTTTATTATTAATACTATATAATTATATTTATATAATAAGTATTTATTTAATTTCATTGTGACAATATGATTCAAAAGTCGTATAGTGGTTAGTAATTGTTGCTGCTCAATTGGAAAAAATCACTATTTGTTTTTTGTCATTTTGCCATATTTAATTTTAAAATGCGACCTAAAAATAGGTAGACACAATGATTATTTATTGGTGCTATCTATCATAAATATAATTTAAAAAATTATTTCATAAAATTATTTCAAAAAAAAAAAAAAAAGAAAAAAATAACAAAATAATTTAAAAAACAATCAAATCTAAAAAAAAGAAGTGCCAAGATAACAAACAAATATTTTGTAACAAAAGTAGTACTCTCTCCTCCAAAAAAATATAGTCTTTTTGGATTGAACATAAGATTTAAAAAATATTGATATTATATGGATAGTTGGTAAAAAGTAAGGATAAATGACTTTTTTGCCATTGTGAATATATTAGTATAAAAAATAGTGACAATTGTATAATAATAATAATAAAATAGGAATAATTATATGGTGATATGATTATTTATGAAAATGAGACTATTGTTTTATAACGGACAAAAATGATAAATAAAACTATTGTTTTAGACATGGAGGAAATATTATTATTCTTTATTATATGAGATCTTTTGCAAATTTCCTGGATTAGAACGTTTTTTTTTTTTTTGTTATAATTTTATATTTGCTTGTTATTACTTTATAAATTATGATCTTTTGCAAATTTCCTGGATTAGAACGTTTTTTTTTTTTTTGTTATAATTTTATATTTGCTTGTTATTACTTTATAAATTATTCCAACTAAAAATAAGGATAGAAATAAAACATACGAAAAAGAATCTAACTAGTAAATTATATTTATTCTGTTTAACTATAAAGTATACATATTTTTATTTTGAGTTATCCAATTACAAAGTAATTATTTTAAAAATATTTTATTTTTTTTCCAAAAAACATCTTTATTTTACCACATCATAATTACTTTTAAAACAGAAAACAATGACAAAATTGTCGTTATTTTTAACTAACAATTATAATTAAAATACTACTCCATCCGTCTTATAACAAAGTATTATTTTTTTCATTTTAGTCTGTCTCATGACAAAATATTAATTTTATTTTTTTAATAATTGTACTATCTACCTAATATTACAAATATTCTTGCAAAAAGTAAACGAATATCTAATTATAGGTCGAAGGGAGTATTATTTTATAAATTTTGCGTTAGAAATGAAAGATTATTACAATGCAATAACCAATTTTATTTTTTAATTTTTAAAAAGACTATGCTTTGCTAGGTTGGCTATATTATATTGTAGTATATATATATATATATATTAATTAGTGAATAACAGCTGTGCAAAAATGGTGTATCTATTAATTAATTAATTAATTGAAAGATCTTAGGGACAATACTACAATATGGGTGTGTTGTTCCAACTATTGAATTTTAAATACATTATTTATTTTATTTTTTTAAAAAAAATATATTAAATCAAACATTTATTTTACAAATATTTTGTGGCACCCACATGTTTTTCTTGTGCACCTAACCAATCCCAATTTCACCTTTTATATTTTATTTGTTTTTAGCCGCTCACTAAAACAATAGTTTTATTATAATTGAAATATCTATAGAATTGTCAATGGTGTGGACTTAGTGGATTGCTAAGTTAAATAAGTTGACAATAACGATAGATTTGTTTATCCGATCAATTCTTTTTTTTTTTAAAAAAAAAAAATTTCTAATATAATTTCTAATTTATATAAAATGAACCCAAGACATATTATGCTTATAATTAAGTTTAATTATAATTTATATTGAGTAAAAATTAATTACAAATATATCTTGAAATATTTTAAATTTTATAATTTAATAAAATATACTCCCTTCCGTCTCAGAAGAAATGTCTCGTTGGGAGCTGGCACAAAAATTAAGGAAGTGGCTATAAAGTAGGACGTAAAAGACTATAATTAATACCCTTACTTTTTGAAGGATTTTAAAAAATAGATTTGAGTAATAATTATGGATAGTTTGGAAAAGTACGAATAATTTTGTTATAAAGTAGAAACCACAGTTACTAAATAACGAAACAAGACAATTGTTTTGAGACGGACAAAAATGGAAAAACAAGACTACTCTTTTTGGATGGAGGGAGTACTATTTCAATGTCATATGTATTGTGACACATTTATTGGTTATCAAATTTAAAAAAGATTACTTTATCCATTCATCAAATATATACATTTTTTTTTAGCAAAAAAAAACTTACACAAAATATAATTTATATATTTCAATAGTATATTTTTTAAAAAATACTTTCAATTTATATCACATTCAATCAATAAAATATTATATTAATTAAAATTCATTTAATGCTGGGATGAGCCAAAATAAATAATAGTATTTTATTAATAATAATTATAACAATTAAATATAAAATAAAAAAAAGTGTATTTGTTTTGGGCATGTTGGATTAATCATCACAATTAAATTAATATGCTTTCAATAAAATATACTATTTTCGTTTTAAAACAATAATTTTATTTTGTCATTTTAGTCTGTGATAAAATAATAATTTCATTTTTATTTTTGGTAATTAGTTCCCCACAGTTTACAAAACTATCTTCATTTTTTCATAATAATTACATAAAGTATGATATTTTGTTCTTTTATAAACACTTTTATATCCATTACCAATATAATATTATTATTCTTTAATTATCATGCACATCTCAAATATCTCTGTTCTTTTGGAGCAGAGGGAGTATTATTTAATTATTTTTTAAAAATATCTCATTAAATATTATTTAAATCAAAATTGAAATAGTAATAATAATAATAATAATAATAAAACTCAATTTTAAATAAAATACAAGCCTTAAAAATCCATCCAAATTGAATAAACGGTGATTTTTGTTTAAAATAAAATTACCTAAACGTACCATTTAATTTTTTTAATAAATTGTCGAGAACTCCTGTTTATAAATAAATAATTAATTATTACGTTTGTTTAATTTTTCAAGTGAGACGATCATTTTGCATTCAACTATGTATACCTTCCAATTTGCAAAAAAATATTTGTTTTTCGATGAACTAATGAACCAACCATGGGATTAATGAAAACGGTTTGAATATATACTAACTGTTGGGATGAAAAATAATGATCTGCCTTTTATTGATATGGCTTTTTCGTTACTATTTCCTCGAGTCTTTTATTTATTTATCCGTTTATTTTTTTTACGAAATTTTAGGAATATTAGTATTTTATTGGGGCGTAATATGAATAAATAAAAAAAATTAAAATAACTTTATTAGTATTATGTGATATAAAAGTAATGTCATTTGTGTACTGTATTGAAAGTTGTAAAGATATTTTTAATGTTAGTAGAAAATACTGTTACTAAAAAAAAAAAAATAATACTTTGTTGTTATTGGGACAAATCAAAATATAAAAATAGAGAGATTGATATTATTCATTCTCATGAAATTGAAATGAAAGCAAGTAGTTAGAGGAGAAGAATTTGGAGAGACAGAGCAGAAGTATGTATGACAGCAAATTGCAATTCATTACAATACAACCCAATATGACACATCACATTCCAATTCAGATTCTGATTCATTCTTTTTTTTTTTTTTTTTTTTTTCATTTGACAGCACAAACATGCACTAAAATGATATGATCCAAAGAAACCTACTAATGAGTTGAAGGTGATGCCAAGCTCTTTTAGGTGTGTTTCTTTTGCCAAAATTGTCATGTTTCTGCTATTTTAATTCTATTTTTTTTTCCTTAAAAAAAAAAAATTTTCACAAAATATCTCATCATATATTATTTTAATACCAAATTTAAACAAAAATTTTCCCAAACCCGTCAGAAGAAGCATACCCTTATTGGAAGAAAAGAAATAGCCCAAAGGAAATATGGTGAGAAAAAAACACCTAAAAAAGATACCGACTCCATCCACTAAAAATAGTTCATTTGGGTCCGATACGGAGTTTAAAAAAAATGAATATTTTATTAAAGAAAAATGATAAGTAGTTGATGATATTTTTGAAAATTTGGTTATAAATGAAAGTAAATGAAGAAAGATAGCGTAATTAAGTTAATAGTATTTGTTGTAAATAAGTATTGAATGAAGGATAATAACTAAATGTTGATTCGTTGATTTTTGCAAAATTAAGAATGTTATAAATTTAACGGATAAACAAAAAAAAAAAAAAAGAATAAATTTCGCGAATAACGGAAGTACAAAGACATTATGGATGATTAGTAATACTTAATGATATAAGACATAATATTGTTAGATTAGAACAAGAGTCACGAGTATGTGATACTTTATGAAGGAAAGCTGAGTCAAGAGGCAGGGGGAGAGAGAGAGAGTTACAAGGCATCTCCAACCCGTCAATTTAATTTATTTAATTTTAACTTTAAATATATAGTTGTTATAATATTATTCTAACCATAATTATAATTTTCACTATTATTCTTCAGATATTTATTTTTTCCTATTATTTTAAACAATATTTTATTTTTATAATTTAAAATAATATTTTTTTAAATTTTAAAAAATAAAAAAGTAAAAAATAAATTTTAAAATTAAAATTAAAAATTAAAAAATATATATATATAGTTGGCGTTGCACTGTAGCAACGCAAAAAAGTAGTGCAAGATTCCAATCGACGCCAAATAATGCAACCCAGAGCCATTAATGGTGCCGGATTGAAATGCTATAAAGAGGATCAAGAAGCTTGGTTTATGAATTATGATGCTCTATGAAGAGAAGTTAAATTAAAAATGACAGTTATATAAGAGGCCTTTATTAAGAAACATTAATAGAATATCAAGTGTAATAATAATAATATTTTTTATCAAACAACTTAAATACAAAGTTTAGTGGAAGTTGTCCATAATTATTTTATCAAACATTATATTTAATTAGTCAAATTAAATAAATTAATGGTGCGTTTGCTGCTGTAATTGCGAATAAAAATGATATTAGTAGAAAAAAATTTAACAAATGATAAGAATTTTATACTGAAAAATGTAAAAAAGTACAACAAACAAATTGAATGAATCCATCTAGATGAAACGCATATTACAAGTAAAAAAAAATAAGAAAAATAAATTAATTATGAAAAACGATAATGATAATCTTAATGATTTTTTCTTTTTAAATAAATATTATCGTATTTAATACTAATTTTTAAATAATAATAACAATTTTAATATGAATTTAATAAAATTGGAACAATATATTTTTTAAAAAATTATAAAAATTAAATAGTAAAATAAATAGATAAATAAAAATACATATTCACACATTCACATATACAAATTTCATTTCTCTACAAATGAAAGACAAATGAAATTACACAAATAAATAATTTTTTTTATTTTTATTTTTATGCTCTCAATGGTCTATACCAAACACTACTAGAGAATAAGAATTTGTTCCTTTTTTATTTTTTTACATATTTTTTAAGAAATATTAATATATTAAATACATTTATTAAATAATTTTATATATTTCAAATATAAAATATTTTTTCAAATTATTTTTACATAACAAAAAAACACTTGTCAAATACATTCTATATATTAACATATAAATTAAATAAAAACAATTGAGATGAATAAAATCGATTTCCCACTTGTGCCCTTCTCTCCCCCCCGAGCATTGTTTGTCTGATAATGTCCAAATAATTTCTCCCTTTGTCTATCGACACCGTTCCCAAATGGCGGACGCAATCCAAATTGCAAACCATCTGAAAAACCCCAAAACCCTATAAATGCGAAATCTCTACAGGCCCAACAATGGACGTGGTCACATTCGGGATCATAGTAGCCATTATAATCCTCTTCCTCTGCGCCGTCTGCTTCATCGCCGTCGAGGGCACCTGCAAGAGAAACCGCTCCTCTTAATCCCCAAATCACCCGCTCACACTTTTCGCTTCAGTTTCTTCGGCGATTCTTAGTTGCCGATGGGCGGTGTTTCGAATAATCGCCGCCGGATCTGGTTGTGTCTGTTTGTCGTCTCGGCGGGGGTGACGGCTGCAGTAGCTCACCAGTGCAGCCACGACCACGACCATCTCCATCACCATCACCATCACGAGTATGGTGCGGATGTGGACTTAATTAGGGAGAATCGGCGGAAGCTTCTACCGGAGGAAATTGCAGAGGAGGAAGATCTGAGGATGATGTTGGACCACAGTGAGCTTGATCGGGTAATTGAGCAAACACATCGGCAGGAGCTTTCTGGGATTGGTAAATTAATTGTTCTTTCTTAATTGCTCCATTATCTGGTTTGATACTTCTTTGTTGATCTGATTCTTATCTAAAGGTCTTTGTTACTTTTCTGTCGAAGATTTGGATGTACTGTCTTTGTAGAGCTTCTCTTTACTTTAATTGTTGCCATGTTCTTCTCGAGCATTAGATTCTTCTCACTTTAAAGTTTCCTTAGTAGGATTGCCTCTTCTTTTGTGTCACTGTTTTTGTTGCGATTAGGAGTTATCATTTCTGTGATAGTATTTGAGATCATTGCTGCAATGTAGTGAGACTGTGTACTTATATTATATATTTCTTGTAGTATTTAGTTGAATCTATATGTATTCGCTGTTTTGGATGAAAATTTTGTGTAATTTAGAATGGATATGACGCTTTAATGGATCCCAAATGCACCGGAAAAGTAAAGGAATATGTTGCTCTATTGAGGTTTTCTATAGAAGAACTGTAGATCAGATGATTAGGATCCATGGAAGCATACAAGCCCAAATTCACGGGATAGGAGTTAGGACTATGATCCATGTTTCACTCTATAAACCCTGAGTTTTGAATTTGAAGTAGGTGTATAGCGATAGAGATTTCTTGATCTCATGGAGAACTCTGTCAAATTTACATAGTCTGCGATTGGTTTGGGCGATTTTAGACTAAAGAGATTTCAAAACACTTCTTCAAATCCATTTGTTTTTGTTTGACAAGACGATGGATTTCATATCTACAGAGTCAACTGTAGGTTTCAATTCCATCCCTTTAATGCTATGTCATTTTCAATTCTTTATAATACCAAAATTGGATTTAAATTCCAAGTATTTCCCCTCAAATCCAACTACATCTAACAAAACAAACCCTAAGAAAACCTTGAGAAAATTTACTTTCTGAAAACATTTGAATTTGAACACATTCTTTATAGTATTGATAAATTTTATATTCAATTTTCTTTCTGATAAGAGTCTTCCATCATTAAGATTCCATTCGATTGTATCAGATGCTCTCTTAGTAGACTCTATGATGATGTTTCCTATTATAGTTCTAAAACTCCACTGTGAGTTTCACCTTTGTGTATAATTTGCAGGCCTTTGGTTACATGCTATGGCATGTTCACTATTGGTTAGCCTGGCTTCTCTCATATGCCTGGTTCTATTACCAGTTATATTTAGTAAGTAAACTGAAGATCATTGCTTTGTTCTCTTGATCCTGAACAGATGTCCAGTTATGCTTATAGCTAACTAAATTTGGAATTCTGGGTTTCTGCAGTACAAGGAAAACCGTCGAAGATAGTTGTTGATTCTCTAGCATTATTCGGGGTCAGATTATCTTATGCCCTTCTTGTCTTTGGTTTATATACATTTCTTACTCGGATCTGTTACAATTCTTTCCAGTTTTTAGTTCTCTTTCGGTTATCTGATCATTCCTTATAGTACCTCACCTATGAGCTTGCTACCAAATATGAATACTCTCTCCCATTGACTTCTTTACTATTTGTTTCATTATAATTAGCATTTCAGTCATTTTTTAAAGTAAATTCAGCAGAATTTTTGTAGTTTGTTTTCAATGTCGAAGAGGATAGTGCATACACTATTTCCTATGGAGGCATCTATATCCTGATTTCTTATCGACTTTTTATTCAGGCTGGAGCAATGCTGGGTGATGCATTTCTTCATCAGTTGCCTCATGCTTTCGGTATGAAGCAAAACCAAAATTTTGTTAATATTTGGTATCTGTTACTTACTATATTTCACTTCCCTCTAATAACATCCACCTATCTTCCTAGCTCGATAATATTTGTTTTCCATAAATTTGGTGTAATTGGTGGCTTCATCTAGCATGTTAAGCTTCTTCATTGGAAACAGCAGAAACTTTTCATTGCAGGTGGTGAGCATTCTCATTCTCACGATCACCATGACGATCATGCTCATCATCACCACGGTGTAAAACAGTCACATTCACATTCCTTAAAGGATCTTTCCATTGGTTTGTCAGTCTTGGGTGAGTATATATATATATATATATATATATTTTAAGATCTCCATTCTACTTTAGTTCAAGAACTGTTATTTGATGTATGAGCCCGTGTTTGAATCCTTATCTACTGCAAACACACTTTCTTCTCGTGATAATCAGTCCTTTTTAATGGATGATTTAAATTTTATATTTAAACTTTGTTCAATACATGTATCATGATTATTTAACTTAAATGGTTAAGTATGGACTTTCTAACTTCTTCTATACATACTGCAGCTGGAATTGTGGTATTCCTTATTGTTGAGAAACTTGTGAGGTACGTCGAAGAATTTTCTGGAGTGGATGGGCCAGGTCTTGGCCATCACCACCATCATCATCATAAGCATGCTAAAAAAGTAAAAGCCGATGATGCCACACAGGAAGATCCCCAAGAACCGTCGTACAATGATGTGGCAAATGGAAGATTATTGGATCAAACATCTGACGAAAAGGAATTGAATAGATCACCTACTGAGAGTGCCAGCGGTGATAAATCAAGGGAAAAAACAGTTTTACGGAAGGTGCAGTAAGATGTTTTTCCACCATGGCAGTTTTGTGTACCCCTTAACCTACCTAACATTGGCATATATCTAACTGAGCGATGTGGCAATTACCTAAAGCCCTTATTTTCTTGAGAGAGGGGATGATGAGTTATACGAATGCCAATCTGCTTGCAGAGAAACACGAGCATCGCTGCTACTAAAGAGGGAACTGACTTAAGTGCTGAAAACAACTCCGATGGTAACTTGGAATGTGTAGAGAAGAAAGAGCCGGTCAAGACACATTCAAGTTTAGTGTTCGGTTATCTGAATCTCTTCTCTGATGGAGTGGTAATTTGATCCCCTTGAGTTATATTCAACCTTTTCTTCTCCGCTTGATTCTTTTTAGCCTATTTATTATGCTGATTTCACTCATCGAACTGATCTGTAAACTTTCGCAGCATAATTTTACCGATGGCATGGCATTGGGAAGTGCCTTCCTCGTATATGGCTCAGTTGGTGGGTGGTCCAGAACTCTGTTTCTGCTTGCACATGAGCTTCCTCAAGAGGTTCGGCTCCTCGTTCCAAAATTCCGTGTCTGTTCTTTGCTCCCGTAATTTTGAGAGAATGATCCCCATTTGGTTCGTCTAATAGTTTTGCATTTTTAGGTAATTTTTGGATGCATCTCTCTATTTGATATAGAATTAATATAATTGAGTTGCTTAAGCTTGGGTCCCAAAAGGACTATAACTCGGTCCGGGTTGTTAATTATTAAAAAAATGGACGGTCATTATTTGTCTATTCTGTGAAAAGCTTTGGTACAAGGCTTGTGTTTTACATAAAGGCTGAGTTGAGTTTGAAAATCGAAATCTTGGGACTGTTTTAGTTAACAAAAAATGATACCTTTTGCTCTCGAATCTAATTCATACAGATAGGCGATTTCGGGATTCTTGTGAGGTCTGGTTTTAGTGTCTCGAAGGCCCTCTTCTTCAACTTCCTGTCTGCCTTGGTCGCATTAGCCGGCACTGCTCTGGTTTGCCATCTCTCTTTCATGCAATCGAATAAACACACCCTACACACATACTGATTGGATCGTTGCTTTGCCTTGCAGGCGTTGATGTGGGGAAAAGACCCGGGCCAGTCGTCTTTAATTGAGGTTCCTTTCATGAACCCCCTTTTTTCCCTTGGACCTCGAATGCTTATCTTTATGTAATGTTCTTGTTGTAATCTGGGTCAGGGATTTACTGCGGGCGGGTTCATCTACATTGCCCTGGCCGGGGTGCTGGCGGAGATGAACAACAACGGCACGACGGCGGCTCCGAGACATACGATGACACAGTTGATCTCGTTGGTGTCAGGTATGGGCGTTGCCCTTTGTATATCGCTTGTGGAATGAATGATTTGATTATTCCCTTATGTGTTGTACAATTTCTGTAAGTTTGTTTAACTTCTACTCTCTTATACTTATATATATATATATTTTTTTTCATTTTATGAGATATAATAGTTCAATAGCATATGCTGCTATTTATTGATTTTAGTAAATGAGATATGTTTATAAGATATATTTATAAAGTATTGACTGTCATCAGATATTATGTTATATTTTTTATTTATGAATTTGTCATAATCAACACTAATTCTTCTCCGTGTGCGTATATATATGTATCTTATAAGGATCCAGCGATGATACAATATTGATTAAGTTTGTGGGGGACAAAAAGTCATTTAAATCTAAATAATTTAGTCAAATTTTGATAATATAAAAATTACTCCCAATGTCCTACATAATATAAGCCGTAGATACGAAAATTTAGATAAAATATACCCTTTTTATCTTATAACTATAGTCTTAATTGAGTTGGACATGAAATTTAAAGAATATTGAAATTATATTGGTAGTTGGTAAAAGATATTTTTGCCAAAATTAATGACAACTGTGTAATAAAAATGAAAAAGTAAGAGTTATGGAAATAAGATTATTGTAGTATTGTATTGGAAATGAGGGAGTAATTAATAAGTAATTAAAAAAATGTATTAGTAAAAATAATTATTATACAGTAAAAATAATTATAGATTAAGATTAATATTTAAAAAAATTTTAAAATTTAAAATATGATTAAATTGTATAATCAATTTTTTTAAAAAAATAAATAACAAATTATCTAGAATGAAAAAAATAGAAAATAAAGACAAATTATGTAGGACGAAAGAAATAATACTTTATTTTGAATGTTATTTTGGTGAAAGAGTATAATAGTATTATTTCTTAATGTACTCAACAAGTATTAGCTCCATTTTACAATTTTACTTTTTATTTAAAATTGTCTCACATCACTAGTATTTTCTTTTTACTCCGTTTATAAGGTCCTTGTTCAATTATCAAATTTACTCTTGGTCCCTCTAAATTAAGAATATTATCTCTATTGTTATTAATTCGACTAGCAATAGTATAATATAATATTTAATTTTTATTTCATTTCAAATATATATTTACAAAAAAATCAAATTAAACAAGTGCATTTATTTAACAATTATTTTTTCTTAAATACTAGTAGTATTTAACTGTGACGAATTTTCTAAAAATAGAAATAAAAAACAATTAGTTGAGTTGGGTTAATACGACGCCGTGTTGAGTCAAATAAAATCGACGCTCCCAACACGTCCGCAACGCAACCATTGAAACAAACATGCAGCAGCAGCAATGGCTCCCCGCCTTTGTCCTCTAGATTCTTTTCAGATTCCATTTTCCCCCAAATTCAAATCCCCCTTCTAATCTCTCCACCGGCGGTTCACCGTTCGTAGCCTCTCCTCCTCCGCCGCCGCCGCAGCAGCAACTATGAGGCTATGGCAGAGAGCCTCCGGTGCCTTCAAGGACCACAACAGCCTCTGGCAGACCAATCTCTCCTCCCGCTGCACCTGCACCACCGCCACCGCCGCCGCCTTCCGCAACCTCGACATCGAAAAAGCCGTCATCCGCTCCACCTCTCACTCCGATCTCTGCTTCAACCGCCGCAGCGTCCACCGCGTCTGCGAATGGCTCCGCCTCTCGCCGTACAACCTCGTCCCGCTCCTCCAAGCCGTTTCTCGACGAATGTCGAAAACGAGAAATTGGATAGTTGCGTTGAAAGGACTCTACCTGATGCACAGCGTGATCAATTCTAGATTGCCCTGCGTCAAGGCGATCGGACGGCTGCCGTTCGATCTATCAGATTTCAACGATGGATATTCCCCCAAGGCCAGATCCTGGCCGTTCAACGCTTTTGTTAGGGCTTATTACGCCTTCCTCGATCAGAAATCGGTTATTATTTTCCTGCAGGGGAGAGATGTTAAACGCCGCGGCGGCGACGGCGACGGCGACGATTCGTCGTTGATTGCCGGCGAGCTTGCGATGCTGCAGAAATTGCAGGCGTTGATAGATCTGTTGTTGCAAATCAGGCCGCAATCGCGAGCAGCTTTCGTTCCGATTGTCCTCGAGGTCATGGATTGGATCATAATCGAGATCTACGATTTATACAGCAGGATTTGCCGCGGAATCGCGCTTGTTCTTCTGAACATCTACTCCGGCGGCAAGGCGGAGGCGAAATTGGCTCTGAGTGTCGTACAGAAAGCGAATCAACAAGGCGAGGATCTCTACCAGTACCTCCATTTTTGCCGGAAATTAGGTATTTCTCATTCCTCTGCTTTTCCGGCGGTCGATCCGATTCCGAAGGACACGATACACGAACTCGAGCAAATCATCAACCGATTTTCGCACGACGAAGAGGCGAAGCGCAATCACAGCAGTGAAGAAGAAATTCGCCATTTAACATATGGTTTTAACGTCAATGGAAGGTCTTCTTCTTCTTCTTCTTCTTCACAGAGGGATCAGCCATTGAAGGCAATAATCAGTGGTAAATGGGAGAAATTCGAGGAAGAAACGGTGCGCGATGCAGAAATTCCTGATTTGATCAGCTTGTAATCAATCAATTAATCGGGTATGCACAATCTAATTTATTTATTGTTCATCATCATCATCATCAATCATCATTATCTTAATTATTGGGTTTTCTTAATCAAGAACAAAAAGGGGCATCAATATCTGAAACAGGAGACTAATTAAGGGTAGAGTAGATGTGAATTTGCTTGTTGCATGTTTTTCAGAAAGGTTCATCTTTCTCACTATTTTATATTCGTTTTTATTGTTTCCTTCATCATTTTTCTATACTATACTCATCAATATATATATCTCTCTCTATATATACAGCTTCTCATATATATATATAATTAGAATAAAGCGATGTCTAAAACACAAATGGAAATTAGTGTTGAGAATGACAATTTTTGTTCAATCAATTTTCACTTATTTGACACTGTTTACTTTTAGAAAAATATCATATTAAATATATTTTTTTTCATAAAAAAATCAAATCAAGTACTAATTTTTTATTTTTTATTTTTTCAAAACTCCAAAATTCTCAAAAAAATCTCTATCTAAACAAACAAATATAATGATTTCTTTGGTTGTTTTGGATTTGAGAATTGAAAAATAAAAAATAAATTATGTTATAGTGCTCAATTTTATTATATTTTTTAACTTATACAATTCTGAGTCTATATAATATACTGTATATTTATTTATTTATTTTATAAAAAATAACATTGAATATAAAGTATTATTTTTTATATTATCGATAATATAATATTATTTTTATAAAATATTATTTAAATTAGAAATTCAAATAAAAAAATCCAAATTTTATTAATATTTAGTCCATTACAATAAAAATATATTATTTGGTCTTACAAAAATATCAAATAAAAATAATATTTATTGTGAAAACACTGACATATAACTAAACAAACCTTGATGGTGTATTCAAATTTGTATTCATGAAACCATAATTAGTGATTCCTCTCTTTTATATTTCCCACAACAGTTGATAAAATCAATCATATTTGAAGTATAAAACATCACATATATAATAAAAGACTGCCATCACCTATCACTTCAAGAGTCAACACTAACATTTTCAACATGTGTATATAGAAGCTTTCCCATTACAAATTCAGGTTTTTTACAGAATAAAAAATCAAATACACAATAGAAGCCCATTTAGCACACTAAGCCCGGAAGAAGCTTGGTGGAGTAAAGCCCTGGCCAGCCCAGAGAGATGAAGAGATAAAATATAATAAATAATTACTGTACAATACATATATTAAAATGCCTTTATTTGAAATAATAATCTTAACGAGTCATCTGCCACTACTTTTACACTAATACACTCACAAGGGCAAAAAAATCTTTTATCCATACTTTTTACCCACTATTAATATAATATCAATATTCCTTAAATCTCGGGCCGAACACAACTCAGACTATAGTTTTGGGACGGAGAAAGAATAAAAATAATGAATGTGATAATGTATTAATGTTTTTGAAGAATATGTTGAAAAGTTTTTGTTAAGAAAACAAACACACATTTCTAGACAAGAAAAAAATAAATAAATTCATAATTTTCATAATCTAGCATATGTGGTAAGATCAATCAGCATCTACCGAGATTAATTGTGTAATTTTGTACTAAAAAAAACATGTTATATTTAATTTTAGCACAAGTGACCAGAACTAGTCAGCATCCTAACCATCGGCCATAATCTAGCCAATAAACGGTAGAGTCTACGCCTATTCCAACATAAAGTATTGACGTATGTTGGCTTTCTTCTTCCTATTTTTTTTCTACACATTTTTTTGAAAAAAAATAATACACTACGTACATTCAATAAAAGATTTATTTTCCAACAAACACTCGTTGTATCTACCTTTATCATGTAGTTATTAAAACTAATCAATACCGCCACCCATAATCTAATCAATAAACGACAAAATCAACAACGGCTACACCTATTCGAACAAAAAGTACGACATGTGTCTACTTTTATCATGTTGTTATTAAAACTAACTAGCACCCTAACCGTCACTCATAATCTAGTTAATAAACGATAAAATCAACAATGGCCACACCTATTCGAAAAAAAGTATGTATCTACTTTTATCATGTCGTTACTAAAACCAGCATCCTAACCGTCACTCATAATCTAGTTAATAAACGACTAAATCAACAGTAGCTACACCTATTCGAACAAAAAGTACAACATGTGTTGTATCTACTTTTATCATGTCATTATTAAAACTAACCAACACCCTAACCGCCACTCATAATCTAGTCAATAAACGACAAAATTAACAATAGCTACACCTATTTGAACAAAAAGTACGATATTTGTTGTATCTACTTTTACCATGTAGTTATTAAAACTAACCAGCACCTTAACCGTCACTCATAATCTAGTCAATAAACGACAAAATCAACAACAGCTACCCCTATTCAAACAAAAAGTACCGACATGTGTCTACTTTTACCATGTAGTTATTAGAACTAACCAACACCTTAACCACCACCCATAATCTAGTCAATAACCGACAAAATCAACAATAGCTACATCTATTCGAACAAAAAGTACATGTGCCGTATCTACTTTTATCATATCATTATTAAAACTAACCAGCACCCTAACCGTCACTCATAATCTAGTCAATAAACGACAAAACCAGCAATGGCTACACCTATTCGAACAAGAAGTACAAAATTTGTTGTATCCACTTTTACCACGTAGTCATCAAAACTAACCAGCATCTTAACCGCTACCCATAATCTAGTCAATAAATGACAAAATCAACAATGGCTACACCTATTCAAACAAAAAGTACAACATATGTTACTAAAACTAACCAACACCTTAACTGGCGCCCATCATCTAGCTAATAAATGGAAAAATCAACAACGGCTACACCTATTCGAACAAATTGTTGCATAACATAACAAAGTAGTCAACTTCAAGTAGTTAGAAACACTCCAAGGATTATAGGCGAGGTCATTAACTAAGCATCTACTTTCCAATGCCATAAGAACATCGAAGGTAAAGCACTGCGAGACTAAGGACAACAATACAACATAGATTTGTTCCTACATTGTAGTCATCCAAAACCTCAAGATAATCGAACATTCTCAAAAATACCAGTCAAAACAAATCAAATCCGCAGGCAGAACATAGCAAAATCCATCGAAAATACATACATTCAACGTTCGGGTAAACCCCTCAAAAATCATCCATTAATCCGAAAAACAAAACGATTTGCGATCTCAGCTTCGGAGCATCGAAAATTATCATGAAAAAGTTTGCATTGAAAAAAGGGGGCCGGAGAATATATACATACACCTGAAAAAAGTCGAGGCGCGCTCGCCGCAATCAATCGCTCGATCTACCGGATCACCACGAACTTGTTGGTCCCATGCTTGGCCCAATAAGTCCTTAAGTCGATCGCGTTGGAAAAGTCAAACCCTTCTCCGGAAAGTTTCTCCAGAACTTTCTTGAAAGCACCCTGACTCATCTTCCGACCAGCAATTCTCGCCCCGCGCCGTTTCGTGCTCATCGGGAGCGGATACATCGATACAGTCGTCGTACAGCACGCTGACTGCCACCCGCCGCACCCCCACCTATAGCACTGCTGGGGATTCCCAGTGCACGAGCAAACCGGAATCGGGATACCGGTGATGTCCATATCAACGCCATTGATAACAACCTCGACACTCCTCTTCGACGTTTTCGCACGTTGGGAAGATGGGTTCCCATTCCTGTTTCCGTTTCCGTTCTCCTTTGGAGCAGGAACCTTTCTTGGCTTCTTCGCCTTTGGGGTCGACTTCGGGGCTGCCCTCTTTTTTTTCGGGCCATCCTCGTTCTTAACCGGAGGCTCTTCCAACTCCAATTTTATCTCGTTTTGGTTCACCATCTGCATCGCGGGTTGGGTTCCGGAGGCCTCAGCTGCAAGGACGGGATTGTACGGGTTGTCGGGGAACATGTGCATGAACTTATCGCGGTTGTTAATCCAATTATTCCGGACATAGTCGATCTGCGTCACAGGTGATTCACTTACCATGCAATTCCGGGGATGGTAGCCACCGTTGGATGAAGGCATCATGGGATTATCCCGGACCAAAAGGAATGGCTTTGTTTCTCGCTCCGCCGCCATCGACGGCATGAGATGCAGCCCAAGATGCCCTTTTTGAGGCGGCTCGTAATATCCCCAATTTCGAAGGCTGTCTTCATCCATAGCTACACATTCAGAAAAAGGGTTAGTACAACGAGCATTTTTACACGATATAGTAATTTCATTTTCACCATTTTTCGGCATCTTCAACACAACCTACTCGGAAACAATGACAAAAATTAAAAGAGAGACTCGGAGAATGCAATCCATCTAGAATGTTTGTAATTGAAAGAAAATGGTAAATCAAGTTACAAATATGGTAACATGGTTACTATGTACGTGCAATGACAAGTGGATCAAACTCTACATACGATAGAAGAAAAGGACATTGTACGTACATAGTAACCTTGTTACCATATCTAAATCAATTCGTCGACAAGAGAAAAAAGGATAAATCTAGAATGCCGATCATTAATAAAAGCAAGTAGATCAAGGGACAGGATATGAAGTAGAGTTACTACGACATGCATTTACGTGGCAAAAAGATTTCGATGTCACCATTGTAGCCTTTGCATTATAACCAATTCGACAAGACCAACGACAATCCATTTAGAATGCAAATCATTCATAAACAAGTAAATCAAGCTACACAACTCAAAATCAAGAACACGAGTACGCACATTTACATGCTCGAAAGATTTCCACTATAAGTACAACGGATTCAAGATCCACGTTGAAAAAAACCATTGGCAGTCCATTAGAATTTAGAATATCAACAAACAAGCTGAATCTTACAAATTTACAAAAGCATAGATATATATATATATACATATCATTGAACATTTATAGAACAATAATTCAAATGCTAAAATAATTCCAAATCCTTTTGATGGAATAGAGATTCTTCGATGCATATATATATAATCACATGAAATTGTAGGCAAATATTCATATCAAACAAATCTGCGCAGATCAGAAAACCAATAGCGTTTTAAGAAAACAAATCTAGGCAATCTCCAGAGTCGAAATTGAGATCTGAAACGCGAATGAGAAATCGAGTACGAAAATACAGCAAATCATCAGATCTCGTTAGACAAAACGAAACATACGAATCAAAACATCGATTTAAATCTACAAAAAAAACAAAGATTCCTCCAAAATAACATAAAAAAAAAAAAGAGAAAAAGGAATTAACAAATATTCAAACTTTACATCACAAAAACAGATCTGAAAACACAGATTCACAAATAAATCAGATCTGAAGCGACAATTAGAAGCAAGCAAATCAGCACATCTAGTGATAACACATGCATTCTACAAATCACAGCATATTCCAAAATTGGACATAAAAGAGGGAGAGAGAAAATAAAAGAGCAGACAACATATTTAGAATTGGGAAGCCATCGACAGGGAAAGAGAGGAGAAAGAGAACAAAAACAGCCATGTAGAGGGAGAGAGAAATTACTTATGGGTAAACTGCTCTTTTAGGTTTTTTCTTCTTCGGAGAGAGAGAGAGAGGAGAGAGAGAATATAGAAAGAAACAGGGGGGAGAGAGAGAGAGAGAGAGAAGGGATGGGTTCAACTTTCAGTTTTGAACAGAGACATGATGAGATAGATATGCTTCGCCTACTCGGATGATGTGTTTGGGAAAATATATACTAATATATATTTATAAATTATTTTTTAAAAAAAAATAAATTGACTTGTTTATTATTACAATATTATCTTGAAAAAATAAGTATCTTTCGAATTATATTTTTGTAACACTCCCTCCATCCCGCTAAAAAGTATACATATTTCTATTTTGTGACGTCCAATTACAAAGTAAACATTTTATTAAATACTTTATTTTTTTCCACAAATACCTCTATTTTACATCACATCATTACTTTTACACCAAAAAGCAAGGGCAAAAACTATTATTACACTACTTTTAACTACCTATAAACACCGCACCAAAAATAATTGTATACTTTTTTTGTGGACAGAGGGAGTATAACATTAAAAGGTATTCTTTATTTAAATATATAGTCCATGTGTTACTATAGATACGAGAATTTATGTAAAATATAATTAATAAGTAATTAAAAAATATATTAGTAAAAATAATTATAATATACTAAAAATAATTATAAATTAATATAACTAAATAATTATTAGAATTTAAAAAATTATAAAATTTAAAATAAAATTAAAATGTATAATTATATTTTAAAAAATAATAATAAATTATATGGGATAAAAAATATAATACGATATAGTATAATTTATAAGTAATGAAATATTTTTTAAATAAAAAATATATAGAAGTATTAAATTTAAAATATGTGCATAATAAAATATATTGAATAGGAAGGAAAAAAAAAAAGGTATTGCAGTATAATAAAAGGGAAATATAACCTAACATGCCTATCTAGAACGGTAAATTGTTATTCCTTTTTTTGTTCTTTTTTACTTCATTTAAATTTATTCTTATTTACTTTTTTTTTTGTCATTTTAATTTATTCTCGGTTCATTTTTAGTTAAAATATATATATATTTTTACTTCTTTATCCAAAAAATAAAAAATTTTATATTTACTTTTTTTAAAAAAAAATTCAAGCCAAGTCAAATGAACACATAATTGGATGACGGATAAAGTATTTTTTATCTTACATACAATACATTATTTAAATTGATTTGAAATATGATATTAATTTTAGTTTTAGTTTAAATAATAGTATTTTAATATGATATTTTATGAGACAAAATAATATATTTTTATTGAATATATAAAAATTAATAGTGTTGATTGCGATCTGAAATCACAAAAGAATATATAATTTTTTTATAAAAATACATACTCCCTCTATCATTCATCAAAAAATATTCTCGTTTCTTTTTCAAGCAAAAAATGATTACTTTTTTTTACTGTAAAAGAAAAATATAACAATTATTACTCACTTTTATTAAAACTCGTGCCTAATCAAATGAGCATCCATTTGCATAACGGGGTAATATTTTTTAAAAAAAAAAAATATAACACATCAAACTTCATCATAAATACCTACACATGTAGCATATTTTGTAAGAGAGAAATAGAATTATAATGCTTATTATATTTATAAAGTATAAAAGAAACATTATCTTTGGCCGAGTGTGTTGTTACTATGAAGCCTAATTAAGCGTCAAATTATCGCCTTATAAGACAAAATTTAAAGCCTACATAAATAGATTTTGACTTTTTCAAAATAGATAAATACACTTCTGTCTGTACATTTATGCGACAGTAGAACTAATTAACGATTTAACGCTGTTATAAACTATAATTAAATAAAATATATATAATATGTATGTCATTTTGTAGAGAATAAAATTTTATATAATACAAATAAATATTATAATTAATATAAATTAATACTTAAATCACACTATTATTAATTATATAAATATAATTTAATACACTTTACATCGTTACATTATTACCTATCAAATCAATATCTATTAAAACCCTTTAAAACCAAAACAAAACCTATTAACCCAAAGGAAAACATTTTTCCAAAATTACAAAAAAATTCAAATTCAACTCAAATCAAAACCAAATCTTTCCAAACTAATACAAAAGAAACACACCCTAAGTAAATATTGTGAGAGTTCAATACACACAAATACTATGTTGTGTGTATGTTTGTTTGTGTTTGTATTCGTGTCTTGTTCGATAGGGCAAGGGATGAGACGATAGATGAAGCCCCACAAGCTAAGAAAGCGACGAGAAGGAGTACCGCCGGGAAATAAACTCTATCGAAGAAATCATTGAGCTTCACTCGTGCAAGAGACAATGTTGTAATGTCCAAATTTTGTTCGAGGTCATCCACAGAAGAATTGAGGATTTTCTTGAGATCTACCGTAATACCGAATGCAGCTCCCACCCCTGTTGCTAATAACCCCATAACAACCTATACATACACACATGTATATATAAACTGTAAGTGTGTTTTACATTCAAAATCAGATTTTTTATTATTTGGACTTTGCATTTTTAAAAAAAATATATATATTTTTTTCTTTAAAAACACATCTCATCATTCATGATTTTAATATCAAATTTAAATTAAATTTTTTTAAACCCAATCAAATGATCAATATATATAAATATATATGTTCTCGCACTCACACATATTAACCTTGTCACCAACAAACTCGAAGACGAGAAGCTTAGCATGGTTAGGCAATTGCTTCCCCGAGGTCATGACTTGATGTATCGAAAAGGGTATTTGAAGTAATGTATAAGCCAATCCTATTACAGCGGTAGAAAGCGCGTATCTGTAAATTCATCATCATCGTAAAAAGAAAAAAAACTAAATTATCGTAGAAAAAATCTCATATATTTGAAAGTTCATCATCTTAAGCTTTAGAATACTATACTACGATCTTATAATCATACTTGATCCATAAAAATCTTTTTTCAAAGTAAATATAACAAGAAAATTTTGATTAATATTTACCTATATGAATAGATATCATTGAAATGAACGGAAGCCTCTGTGTAGTAACCTCTGATAGTTGTAGAATTGGAAGCAAAAAGACTAGTCGACACTATCAAACAAGCCACGGTGACTAGTTTCATCACCAAAGAAATTACAGAAATTATTTGCGACGGTTTTTGTGATATTTGAGCTTCACTTTGATCTTGAACTTGATTCCAAGTTTGAGATTGATCTTCTCGATCATGTTGTGGTGGTAGAGTTGTTGACATTCTTACAACAAGTTATTGTGGGAAGATTACTACTGAGGCAATAAACATATATATATATATAAAGAGAGATAGAGAAATGTAATTATATATGTCGGTAAATTTTATGTAAGTTGACAATTTACATTTAATAAATGGTATTATCTTTCGTTCTAGTTTAAAATATTATTTTTATTATTTTTGTGTATCTTATTAAATACTTTTATTATTATTGTAAAAATAATTATACACTAATATCAAAGTGTTTTTAATATTTATATAAATTAAAAATATTGTATTACAGATAAACATAAAATACAAAAAATGCAAAATATTGAATTTATTTTTATATATTTTCACTAATTAATAAAATATTATTATTTTTAAATTTATTATAAAAAATGTACTCCCTCTGTCCCAGATACCATGTCCACGTTGCCGTTTCTGTCCGTCCCACGTACCATGTCACTTTCTTTTTTGAAAATGATTACACACTTTAATCTCATTCTAAATTTTTTAATTTTATTATTTTTAATTTTAATTAAACTAATTAGTTATCTTAATCTTAATTTATAATTATTTATATTATAGGATAATTATTATCACTAATACATTCTTAATTATTTACTAATTACACCCCTCTTAAAATACCGTGTGTACAGTATAGCAGACACGGACGGAGGGAGTAACAGAGTACATTTGGTCACCACGGTGGGAGTAGAAAAATAATCTTCATTGTATTTTGGAGTATTGGAATGTTTTAGGTGTTTTAATTTGTAATTTATTAATGCAATTTTTTATTTTTATTTTTATTTTTTTAACAAAAAATACCATATTGAAAGAAGTTAGAATTCAAAATAAATAACATATATACATGATTTTCTAAATAATAAATTATTTGTTGTAAATTTATTTGTGCAAAATAGGAAGCACGGGTAAACACTACTTGTGAGTTTTTTTTTTTAATCCGCAGTCGCTACCCGAAAGTGCGCACTAAGTAAACCTCCGGTCGAACCTAATACCCTGCAAATTAGACTCGACGGAAAAATCACACTAGACGAACCATATGTAACAGGTGAACCCAAGGCGTCGGGAATTTGAACCCATGACCGAAACTTGTGAGTTTTGAGAATACAGAAACAGGATTACAAAGACAATAATTAGAAATGAAGTAATAAAAAAAAATATTATTATTTAATCTAATTTGTCGTCTAATAATAATAATAATAATAATAATAATAATAATGTCTGAATTGCCGCTCCATTCATGTTTTCTTCTTATTGTCAATTTCGCAACATACGAAGATAAAATGACAAATGAATTTGATGGTTATTAATTAATACTTTTAATTTATTCATAAATATAAACAAAATCCAAATTCCAGCCTGAAAATGCATTGATGAAAAATATGCATCAAATTCTAAAATACGTTCAAATAATTTAAATCATAAATTAATTAACTAGAAAATGGGGTAATTAAGTACATTCTAAATGATTTTGTTTGGTCTTAGATTTCACCGGGACTATTTATTTTTTATATTATGTAAAAAAATAATTATTCTTTTTGCAAACGGACAACAACCAACTTTGAAATATTCACCTCTAATTATATATATATATATATATATATTTCATTTGTGAACATCTCATTAAAATCAACGTTTATACTTATACTAAATATACAGTAAATAAAAAAAATTCCATAAAAAATGACTGAGAATAAATTTGTAACTTAAATTTGAAGATTTGATTTGGATTTTAATTCTTATATATTTTGATATAATATTTTATCGAAATAAATTTTTTATTACAAAAATAAATAATACTAAAAAAAATTAAAGAAAAAAAAAAAAAAAAAAAAAAAAACTCATTTTGAATTGGTTCGAATATGACGGGTCGGGTCGGGTCGGGCCGGGCCGACCCACCCACCTGTAGATGGTTCATGCCCGGAAGATCCCGATGTTTGGTGCATTAAATTAATAAAATTTAAAAAAGTTTGGCGGTAGAACTTCCACTCGCGATATGTTCTGAATCTGAGGTTGTACAACACGCGCTCACGCGCTTGTCAGTTTGCGTCCATACACGTGTCCGTATGTATCTATATTCTATACATGTTCATGATCCTCTTTTTGAATTTTCTTTGTTAATCAACATTATCAATCATCTCGTCGATTTCGTGCCTCGTTCGTCAAATCCACGCAGGAAACTGAACATAGGATAAGAAATCGGAGATGGCGACGCTGACCGTTCCTCCGGTGGTGACAACGCCTCGGGATGATGCTGTTCAGCTCCACCGTGCTTTTAAGGGTATTATGTAATTTTCGGTTGTTGATCTCCGCGGTTTTCCTTTTTCTGTGCTGTGGATTTGCGTGAATTTGGTTTGATGTGCTTTTGATTTGATGTTAGAGGCGATTTTAGGGTTTGGGCGATTTTTTAGGGTTCGCTGTCATATGCTTTGCTGTGAATTTCACATCGTGGATAGGTTGAAGCAATTTTTGTGAAATTTGGATGGATCCCAGTTAAAACAATTTATTCAGCAACTGTTTCTTGGAGATTTTTTCTATCCTAATTTACTGTTGATTATATCTAGGGCTTTTCGACGTTTTCAGATCATTTTCCATGAATTGTATTTCTGTTGGTTTCCATGCCTATTCAAGAGCATCTGATGTTTGCTCAAGGAGAGTAGATTTTTAACTGTTGTAATTATCAAATCTATTGTTAGGTTTTGGATGCGATACTGCCGCAGTTGTGAATATTCTAGCCCATAGGGATTCAATGCAGCGTTCTTACATAGAGCAAGAGTATCGAACTATGTATTCCGAAGAACTCTCTAAACGCCTGGGTTCAGAACTAAGAGGTGATCTAAAGGTATGAAGAAGAATTGAACATGATTATGTGTTCATTAGAATTGCATAGTGTTTAATTCGAACAATTTTCTGCTGGCTGTGGTTATATAGCTAAAGTTCTTGAATTACACATGTTTTGAAATGATCCAGAAAGCAGTTTTATCTTGGATGCCTGATCCGGGTACCCGTGATGCAACAATAGTAAAGCAAGCTTTCTCTGGCGACGTCATTGATTTAAAAGCTGCTACTGAGGTCATATGTTCGCGAACCCCATCCCAAATACAACAGATGAAACAAATATACCTTGGACGCTTTCGGACTTATCTTGAGCATGATATTGAACACCAAGCATCTGGTGATCATAAAAAGGTCTCTTCTTTCCTTCCGTCCTCTTTGTTGTATATAAAAAGTATGTATTGTTTATGTTGGTGCACATCTAATTGATCTATGCTTATTTCAAAGCTTTACACACCGGCATTGTAAATACGAACAAGTGAAATGATTAAAAGTCGCGTATTTATACAGTTCTGTTTGTGTAGAGGAATTAGCTCCAATCCTTTATAATGGTAAAATCTTGGAAGTTGGAAATGCAAAGTGAGACCCTTCTTGTGCATCAATTTCTATAATAATTTAGTACTGCGACCTGAAAAAAGCTAATCTCCGGGTTTTTCATTTGTGTTCAAAGATCTAATTTTAAGAAATCCGATAATAAGTAAATCCAAACCATTATTAGTGGGTGCTTAGTAGAAATTTGGTAGAATTTAATCAATCTCTCACCCCTTCAATGCTCCCATCTGCAGTTGCTACTTGCCTATGTTACTGCCATGCGTTACGAAGGTCCGGAGGTGGACAGAGCAATGGCAGAGCAGGATGCTAAATCCCTCTACAAAGCAGGTGAAAAGAGACTGGGAACTGACGAAAGAACTTTCATACGCATATTTTCTGAAAGAAGCCGAGCACATTTAAATTCCGTTGCTTCTGCTTACCATAACATGTATGGAAACTCGTTGAAAAAGGTATACATTCCAAAACATCCTTTGACATAAAGCTCCCAATCTCCATCTCAGCGCGCGCATTCTTGCAGGCCATAAAAAAGGAAACCTCGGGGACCTTTGAGTTTGCCCTCTTGACTATATTACAATCTGCAGTAAACCCCGGGAAGTACTTTGCAAAGGTAATGTGATTCTCATTTAATTACCTCTAATTCTCTTGATGCTAATTGGAGTTATATTCCCCGCGTTTACTTTATTTATTTACCCTAAGTTTGCGTTGTAAATGCATTTTAGTTGCTACACAAGGCCATGAAAGGCCTGGGAACCAACGACACGACTCTTATCAGAATAATAGTGACGAGAGCAGAGATGGACATGCATTATATAAAAGTGGAGTACGAAAAGAAATACAGGAAGCCTTTGAATGATGCCGTCCATTCGGAAACATCGGGGCATTACCGGACATTCCTTTTGTCTCTCTTGGGAGCAACTCATCATTCTTGATTCCCAGGTTCATCATTCCATCCTATCCTCATTTGTATGTATTTGTAAAGCTTTGGAAATGTCTATTCCTCTATTTTTTTATTTTTTTTTCATTTTCTTGCAGGTATTGTAGTAATTGCTTTAGTTTGTCTGTGGAAGTAATTTTTTTTATATTTTTTTATTATTATTATGATGTGAGAATCTGGGCCGTTGTAATGGCAGTTGGTTGGTTTAGGGCATTTGGGTTTTCTGAGTTTAGTAGAATGTTTTGATTCATTGATTTGATTTGTGTGGTTGTATGTATGGAAGTGTTAGGCTATTAGTAGATTGTTGGGTGAGATTTATGGTTGTGTTCTCTTTGAGTTTGCTTTTAATGTTTTACCATGTATATTTTGGTTTTTAATAAAAATATATTTAGTTTTTTTTATATATAATATTATATATATTAATTATTTGATTTAAAAATACTAAAAAGTTAAAACGTAAAGAGGTTGATGTGATGTAATTGTTTTATTTGATATTTATTTTTTAAAAAAATTTGAATAGTAAAAATTTCCTGTAAAATTCAAAAAAAATACAATCTAAGTGTTTGTTGTATGTTTGTTTCTATTTGTTAATATATTTTTTTTCAAAAATTAAATCAATTACATAGTTTTTATTTTTTTGTGTTATATTAAAAATTATTTTTAATATTCAAAATATTATATTGCTTCCTCCGTCTCATATACAGTGTCTCTCATACTGTAGACGGGAGGGATGTAATTAGTATATAATTAAGAATGTATTAGCGAAAATAATCCTATAATATAAATAATTATAAATTAAATTAACATAACTAATTAGTTTAAAATGAAATTAAAGTTTTTAATCATTTTTCATAAAAATGAAAGTGACATGGATATGGGACAGACAGACGTGATATGTGGTCAGACAGAAACGGTAACACAGACGTGGTATGTGGGACGGAGGAAGTAATATTTATTTATATTATTTTATAAATTATTCAAATTTAAAATTTTTACTATCAAAAATTAAAATTTAAAATTAAAACCTTCAAACAAATACCCTGTACAACATAATGAAGGCGGTCGTGAAATACTTATTAAGCGATCGTGAAATACTTATTAATCATTTATTGTTTTTCATGAAGTTTAATATTTTGAATTTACTCGTCCAATAATTTTTTGATGAATTTTGGAGTTTAGATTTGGGGTCTTGAAATGTTAAAATTTTAATTGAAATAATCTATTTGACTTCATATCAGTGAATATTATTGTAATATTTAGAATGTAAAAATTAAATTTTAATATAATAAAAAAAATTGATTTATTTTTTTTTAGAAAAAAAAAAATGAATAATATAAGTCCGGATTGAAAATCTACAAATAAATGGCAACACATTCCTAATATGGGCCGGGCCCTAATAAAATCCCAAATTATCAGCCCATAAAGTATTACCATAAGTCATTTTATTATCAAATTAAGTAACGTGACTTTATTACATACATTGACTTCAATTTAAAAAATAATAATAATAATAATAATAATAAATGGTAAGAAGCACCAATTCCATATCAAATTGCACTTAAATTGATATAAGTTAAAGAAATAATTAATCTCACAAAGACATTTCATTTGGGAGTTTGAGTGGAATATAACTCAAAAATATTCCCATCAATAGAGACATCAAACATAGTACTAAAAATTTACACACATTTTAAATATAATGGGCTCAATAAAATATAGACATTCTTTCTTTGCCACTAGCTGCAATTGTATTATTCTTAGTATTTTATTTTATTTTTAATAATAATAATAATCATAATAGTAAGTCAATGGGGGGCATTTGGGAATGAACAATTAGGGATTATTAAAACAATAAAGGGGGAGATAATTATGGAGGTGATCCTGTCCAAATCTTGATTTGATTTTGGTTAAGGATTATTGTTAGTATTTAAAATTGGCAATTTGGTTTATGGAGTGTCACTTTAATTTGTCCTTTTCTAAAGTGGACACCAAAGTCCAACATGAAATAGTGTTGCTTTAAATTCTTGGACCCCACTTACTTTCTTTATTGTTGGGAGTGAACACGAAATTTAAGAAATAATAGTATTAAATAAAAATATTATAAAGTAGAATATAAATTATCAAATTACTTTTGCTTTATAAAATGTTGAAAAAGCATATTAAAATGATAAATGTAACTATATTTGTGTTAATACTGTAAAAAAAGTAATGATAATTTTGTTATACAGTGAAAAGTAAAATTACTAAATAACAAAACAGAATAATTATTTTAAAATAAATAAAAAAATAATAATAACAAGACTAACTCTTTTCAAACAAAGAAAGTACATTGAAATCAAAGTTTAAAATCAAATTCCAAGAAACAAAGAATAAAGATCATTTCATAAGTTGTGTATTTGTCTGGGGATTAAATTTTAAATACACTATTTATCTTTCTTTTTTTTAAAAAAATAATATTAAATTAAACACTTACTTTTTATTACCGATCAAGTAGACTAGAACACCCGATGCTTAAGGATTTTTATATTATATTAAAAACTAATTTTACATTCAAAATATCACATCAACATATATTTATATCACATTGTATAACTATTGAAATTCAAAATTTTTACTATTCAAATCTCAACTCAAAATCTAAACCCCCAAACAAACACACCCTAAGTATTAGGTAATTTTGATTCAGTTTTAAAATAACTAAAAACTAGTTTGTTGGTTTAATGTTTTATAAATAAATAAATATATATATATATATATATTTTGTGTTGCATTATTGATTTTTTTGTAAGCAAATAAAGTATATTACTCCCTTCCTTCCTCCCGTCACATATGTTCCTTTTCTTTTTCTTGCTCTCTTTATTTTTTTTTATAAAATTATTTTTTAGGTTAATTATAATATTTTTATTTTTATTTATTTGTATTATATAAAATTTTATTATTTACAAAATAATATCTATATGGTATAATACTAAAAATATTTAAAATATCAACAACACTACTCATATGAAAAATAATAAAATAATATCATAATTTATTATTAATAACTTACTAATATACATAACTTAAAATATCGTGTCTCTAACCAAAATAGTCTTATGACCCGAGATGAAAGGAGTATTAAGTTATATAAACCATATTACGAACAAATAAAAAATAAGTTTGATGTCCCGTTAATGGATGACCAACTGTAATCATAAGATTATGAATTTAAATTTCGAATTTAGCTAAAGTTCTGACGAAATATAATTGATGTTTAAAATATAAATTTTAATTTTAATATAATATAATATAATAATAAATAAATAAATAGATATTTAATTGAATTTTTTAAAACTATTTTTCTTAATAGTGAAAATCCCTTTTTATAAAATAAAAAAATAAAAAAAAAAAAAAAAAAAAAAAAAAAAACAACGTATACTTAGAGCCATCGCAATCATATACTCTTATTCGAAACTTAGCAAAATTTTAATTTATCTTGTCAAAGAAAAATAAAAATTGACACATATATTAACAAGGACTTTTGTGGTGATGAGGTAAACATGTGTCTACTGTCTTTACATGAAATTATTTATCTGATTTAATAATCCTGTATTTATAAAATAAATACTCAATTCGTCCCGGTGCAAGATTGTAGTTTACTTTTTGCACGTAAATTTTTAAATATTAATATTATAATAAATTGTAATGAAGATGACGAAAATACCCCTAGTAGTATTGTGTAATATAAAAGTAATGACATTTGTGTAATATAATGTAAGTTGAAAGGGTATTTATTATCTTAGGTAGATAGTACAATTACTAAATTACGAAATGATAACTTGTTTTGGGATGGACAAAAATGAAAAATAGTATTGCTGATTTCATAATTTTTATATATAAATAATTGATATCATATTGTCGCAATGTTGTGTTATTTTTGTATTATTATTATTATTATTATTATTATTATTATTATTATTTTCATGTTATTGTGTATTTTTGTACTTACAATATATTTTAGATAATTATTGCCATTTTTATTTATATAAAAAATACATATATGTGTGTGATATTTTTTTAAGAAAATAATAGGTTTTAAAAATAATAATACCCTGACTGAACCAAATAACCCTGCAAACCAGGACCGACGGGAAAGTCACACTAAGCAAACCATGTGTTGTAGGTGATCTAGATTGAACCCCCGGACTCACGGTCACAAGTCCAACCCCTACACCATCATGTCCTACTTTATTTTTTTTTCATTAACATGACATGTTGTACTTATTTTTATTATTTATTTATTAAAATATCAAATAATTATCTCTATTTTAATTATTTTTTTAATGAAATTTCAAAATAAAAACAAAATATACACAAGAACGCTACCTAGAAATTAAAAGATATTATTATTATTATAGGTTTGAAATAAATACAAAGAATTCAATTGGTTATGGGATGGGCTAAGGTTATGGCTCCCCATTTTGTGTCTCCACTTGTATTGTCTCCAAACCCCATATATTCTTTTATATATAAATATATACCAAAATAAATAAATAAATAAACCCTATATTCATGAGGTAGTAAAATATTTCACTTTTATTATTAGTATTAATATTATTTTGGTGAATTATGATATATCAATCAATCACTGTCACAATATGGGCACGTGAAATTGCAACAAATATATATAAATATTACTTATAACTCTCTTTACTATATTTTCAAACTTATTTTAAAACTATTTATTAATTTTTTATTTTTTATTTTAAAAAAATATTTCGTTAAAATATATATATATATTTAAATCGTATCCAATTTTAAATTTCTATTATTTTTATTTTGTAGTTGATGTATGTTTGAAAACTCAGCTTTCTCAAATAATTAAAAATATAGTGTATTTATTGAAATTTAAAATAATTATACAATTTTCTAAAATACTACTCCCTTCGTCCAACTACAAAGTATACATATTTCTATTTTGAGACGTCCAATTATTACAAAGTAACTATTTCATTAAATACCCCACTTTCTTTTTCACAAATACTCTTAGGGTATGTTTGTTTGGGGGTTTGGATTTTGGATTGGGATTTGAATAGTAAAAATTTTGAATTTGAATAGTTGTATGATGTGATATAAATAGAGTTTGATGTGATGTTTTGAATGTAAAATTGATTTTTAGTATAATATAAAAAATGAAAAATAGGTGTTTGATTTTATGTTTTTTGGGGGAAAAAATTGGATGAATAGTGGAAATCCTCCAAAATCCTTCAAACAAACACACCCTTATTTTACATCTCATCATTACTTTTATACCAAAAAGCAAGAACAAAAATGTCATTATACTACTTTTACCTACCCACTATAATTAAAATACTATTATTTCTTAAATTCCGTGCCAAAAGTAAATGTATACTTTATCTGTGGACGGAGGGAGTATTAATAAAGAATACAATATCCTACTTTCCTTCTCTCTTGCTGTTTAAAAGATTAAGAAGCCATTTTATGAATTTGGAGAATTCAATTATAAAAAATAAAAAATAAAAAACTTGACACATTGTAAAAAAAAAAAGAAAAATGAAATCAAACTTTTAATATATATATATATATATATGCTATATAAATTAAATAGTAAGGGACAAAAAGTGTCTTCAGTTTGGCTGTGCTTCCATTACCTATTTCTATAATTTATTTACAATAATGTAATTTTTTTTCCTCTCAAAATATTTCATAAGGAATAGTTTTTTTTTTTTGTCATCATAAATAAGTATATTTTATTTTTAGCAAAAGAATTACATTATTTTTTAACTATAAAAGACAGAAAGTATACATTATATTAAAATTTAGACAAAAAAAATAAATGAGTCTATTTCGATGATGAAAGGAGCATCACATATTTATTTTTAATTATCAATTACATATAAAAAATATTCAAAATATTACATTAAATAATTATTATAACTAAAATATTTTATTTATTCCAAAACACACTAAATACTAAAACACAATCAAACAAATCTAATATTTTATAGTGCTTGAAATGTGTGATGTATTTTTATATTTTAATTTCTTCAAAGAACTATATTTAGATAAGAATATTTCAATATAATTATGGGTTTGTTCAGTTTGTTTTGTTTTATTTTATGAATATATTTTTTTACGTTAAGTATGGATAATTGTATTAATAATATAAAAAATATTAATATTTTATATTAAATTATTAATTTTTATAAATAAATAAAATACATATTATATATATTGTATTAATATGTGTATATTTTATTTTTAAAAATAATATTTATAGAGATAGTTTAAAAAAAAAAAAAAAACTAAGTAATCAAACCTTCTATAAATAATACAAACAAAAAAGATCCTTTATACTTGTAATTTGACTTCAATAGTTAAATAAGTTCGGCCTGAAACCATGTTCAATTAAAAAATTTAAAAACACACAAAAAAAAAAAAAAAAACAAAACAAAAAAAACCCAAAAAAAAAGGAAAAACACATTAAAAATATTTTTTCAAAAAATATCAAATGGAATTTATTATTTATTTACTAACTATTTTCAAACTAATTTAAAGTAAAAAATAATCTAAAACACAAATTTACTCATTTTGAGGTTTGAATCCGATTTCATACTATATACTGCTCTCTCCATCCCAAAAAGTATAATCTTATTGTGTTGAACACGAAATTTAAATAATATTGATATTATATTGGTAGTTAGTAAAAAATAAGAATAAATGAATTTTCTGTCATTGTGAGTATATTAATGTAAAAAATAGTGGCAATTGTGTAATAATAATGAAAAAATATGGATGATTTTATGGTGATACGATTATTTATGGAAATTAGACTATTATTTTAAAACGAACAAAAATAATAAATAAGACTATTGTATTAAAACGGAGAGGAAGTATTTGACTAAAATTTGCTCCGTCCGTATTTAAAAATTAACGACTATAAACTTTTACATCATACAAAATAATAATAAAAAAATAATGAACCAATTGTCAAAGTGAGTTCAAAAGCACTTCCATCTAGAAAAGAACCCAAAAAACTACAATAAGATATCTTTATCAAGTCTATGTTTAACGTGCATACTTTTTGTATACTATTGATCAATAATAATAATAATAATTAAAAACATTTAAAAAAATCACTTTAATTATAGTATATTTTATTTTATAAAATAAAATAAAACAAGTACATATTTTTTTCAAAACTATTAATCTATTACGTATATTTATTGTTTTTATATTCTCTACCCAATTTTTCGTACATTACATTAAAAAATTTTCCTTCAAATTATCTCACAAAACAAACGCACCCTATATTTGTTCTCGTCTTGTAAGAAGGTGTTATTTTTCATTTATGTCTGTTTCAAAATAAGATTGCTATATTTTAATTTAATAATTGTACTATCTATCTAAATAATAAATATTTTTATAATTTACAATATATTTTTATATTATACAAGAGGGATATTTTTGTCTTTTTACTATAAATTAATATAATACTAATATTTAAAATTTTATTGGTAAAAAAAAAATAATACCTTTTTTACTGAAGAATGTAGTATCAAATATTATTTTTTTTATTTTAAAAATTATCATAATTCTCTATTTATATAGACACATTTAGAATGTGTTTGTTTTGTAAAATGATTTGAATAAATATTTTTTTTATATGAGATATAAGAAATTGTGTATGTAACATATAATTAATGCATGTTATATATTACTTGTTTTAAAGGAACGTGTATGTTCATTTTGGCAAAAAGAACACATTCTTATAATTTCCGACACTATTTATAAACTATACATTTTTTTTTTTTTTTTTTCTCGTGGAACATTAAATCAAATACTCCCATCCCACATAAATGGTTTCATTTTCTATTTTTATATGTTAGAAAAATTTTTTTTTTTTTATCTTTTAATTTATAATATATTATACAAATTTTTATTAATTTTATACTCCCTTCGTCCTAAACACCGTGCAACATTTATGTTTGGCACGAGAATTTAGGTGAATAGTATTAAGTATGAAAATTTGAGATAATTTGGATATTAAGTGATGCGATTGGAGAGAGAAATGATTATTTATTTTTTTATTTGAGTGATGTGATATGATAAAGTGAAGTTATATAAATATTATTAATTATTTATAAATTTGAAAATACTACAGTGAGTTTGGAAAAAAAAAAAAAAGAAATGTCACAGCGTGTTTAGGACGGAGGGAGTATTATACAATATTAATAAATATACTTTTATCTTTTTAACTGCAATCCAATATGATATTAATATTAAAAAATTTAGGTGCTTATTCTATTTATAGGACGGGAAGGACTATTTGTTACAAAAAAATAAAATAAAATAAAAATTCTAATACGATTTTGAATATATATTTTATTTTCTCCCAAAACTCAATATTCAACATAAATATTATTTTTATATCACGGACAGACTTCCTTGTACTTTACATAAAAATAAAATTTCAAATAAAAACACTAAACAAAAACACCCTATCTAATTTTACTATTTTAAAAAAAAATTAAAAATTATAAAGCTTTGTTTACACAATACACTTTCATTCATTTGACATTATTTATTTTTTAAAAATATCACATCAAATATATATATATATATTTTTTTTCACAAAACATCAAATCAAATACTAAATTCTTTTACCTTTTATAAATTTCCAAAATTTCAAAAACTCTCAAAAATCCCATTTATCTAAACAAACCCTTAAAGCTTTTATCTAATAAAGCCAAGATTCTAAATAATTTTTTAATATATTATTTTTCCTTTTTCCTGAGTGGGGGAATGCCTAAAGATTACTGGTTTAGAGTGCCAACATTATTCTCTATTATTTTTCCTATATTATATAAAATAAAACAATGATCTTGAGTGCACCACAGACCACACTATATATATATATATATGTGTATGTATATGTATATATGCTTTTCAATTAATTGTTGGTTTCATATATGAAATGAGGCCAAACAAAAGTAGTGTGTCCCCTCATGTCCCATTGTGTCTCTCTACTGTACTGTACAATCTCCTGCTGCTATACTTATAGCTATTGTTTGTTTGTTTTGTTTTGTTTTTGGTATTAAGGGTTTCTCTCTCTCTACCACTTTCTCTCTCCAATGATCTTATCTCCATCATCCATTCTTCATCAGAATTCTTTCTTCTTTGTGTTCCTCAACCATATTTGGTAAAAACCACAATTCCCTTCCTGCACCCAACAAGAAGAATCCCTCTTCTCCTTTTCACCTCACCTCCTCCCAAGGTACAAACTGTTTTTACTTTCTCAGGGGAAACTTTTGATTTTCTGCTGCAGCTTTACTCTTTTTTTGGTGCTTGAGCTTTTGATTAATGGTGTTTGTTTAACTTATTTTTGATTGTTGGAACTGACGATCTGATGCGCACCAAGTGTTTGCTCTTTTGCCTGATTTAGCGGACGAGGCTGAGTTTGGGAATTTATTTTGATTTTTTTCTTTTTTCTGAAACTCAGTTTAGATTCTTATGAGCTTTTAGATTTTTATTTTTATTTTTTGTTTCTGGTGAAATTGTTGATGCTGTCGTGATCTGCAAAACTAGGTTTGGAAATCATTGCTTTTTTAGATCAACTGAATGAAGTACAGTATAGGAAAAGGCTACGTCCGCTAAGGTTTTCGATTTTCTAGATGAACAGTTTAACGAACACATCAACAATATATATAATATATATATATATATTTATATATAAATATATGTGTGTATGTATTTGATTTAGTTATGGAACACAATTTAACTTATTTAGTGTCGTTTTTGTTGTTCTTTTTTGCAAAATACAGAGTTCATATGCATCCATTTTGTAGTTTATTTGGCTATTTGCTTTCTGTGTTCTAGTGAATTGTTGGTATAATTCGAGTCGATTCGTGTTTCTTTCATGGGCGAATTGGCGATTAAACATTCATTTTGAGAGTGAATTCTTTCGGTCTGATTTATGCAACGGCATGTTTGATCCGTTTAGATACAGATTTTTGGAGTTTCGAAATTTTGAACCATTTTTTGAATAGTAAAAGGTTACGTAATGTATTATGAGAGAAATAAATTTTCAAAAATGTGTATGTAAACAAAGCCAAATTGGTGAGACGGGATAGGATTATGAGTTACGATATGTAACTATGTTAGATGGATAGGGAATTTGATGCTGTTAACTTCGCAATTCTTTGTATAGCATTTGGTTAATGTAAATGTCGTCGAGCTACATCGTGTAAGAATGCCACGACGATTGAGTAGTCACATGTTTCTTCGGGTTCCCATGTTATCCTTTTTTCGCTTGGTAATTAATCTTGTTCGATATGTGCCTGAATCTGCTTGGTTTCGACTCAAATTAATAAGTGTCTTCCCCGTTGCCATGTTCTTATACAAGCGCACCATATCTTAGCTCGATGGTTTTGGTAATGGGGAGGGGATAAATCCTATGGTACACTAACTAGACAATAATGTTAGAGTAGCCTTATCTGTTAGCGCATCTCTATATCGAAAAACTTCAACGAATATACATAGTACTATCGGCTAATCACATAGCATTTTGAATCATTTTCGTTTCGGGAATATATTCCCGCAAGTGTCGGAAGACATGTTATCCTTAACTTTGCTAGCATATATTCTCTTACATTTGATGCATCGGGTTGATGAGTCCCTTTCGAATGCTTATGTTTACTTCGAGTACTCGCTCAACGAACTAACGTATACATTATTTCATCTAATCTATCGAATAATTTTATGGCGTTTGAGCACTTATCTTAAACTTTGAATCAGGATCGAATCTCCGGTGTAGTTCGTAAACACGAGGAATTTCCGTTCATCCCACGACAATGTCGCCTCCAAACTTCAACATCGACTCGGAGGACGAATCCGAGGCCAGCAGCCAAGTCGTATCCGACGCATCCTTTCAAGAAATCTCGCCCACCGATTCGAAGGAAAGAAAGACGACATCGTCGTCTCTCGAACATCCGTCGACAATGACGCTCGACCTCACGTTAGGCCTCAACAGCGCCGCCGCTCGCGGCGACGGCAGCCCGAAAGAGAGACCCGCTCCCGCTCCCGAAACGTCCGCCGCCATGTCGAACCATCATCCTCCGCCGGGCTCCCGGGTGTTCTCCTGCAACTACTGCCGCCGCAAGTTCTACAGCTCGCAGGCATTGGGCGGACACCAGAACGCGCACAAGCGGGAGCGGACGCTCGCCAAGCGCGCCATGCGGATGGGCATGTTCTCCGACCGGTACGCCAGCCTGGCGTCGCTGCCGCTCCACGGGGCCACGTTCCGATCGCTAGGCATTGAGGCTCACGCGTCGATGCACCAGCAGATGGCTCAGAATTCGGACAGGTCGATGCTGCGCGGCGGCGCCAGGTTCGTCGATCAGGGGTTCTATAGCTACCCAGTATACGTCGACTACGATGACACGGAGCTGTCGTGGCCCGGAAGTTTTCGACAGATCGAGGGGCTTCATCGAGGCAATCCGGGGCTCGACTCCGGCCCCGGATCCGACGTACCGAATGCGCCGGAGTCGGTTGTGGGTTCCGGGTCAGGATCCGGGTCCGGGTCGGGTCCGACGTCGACGTGTCTCCCTGATTTGAATCTGAAACTTTGAGATTATTTTGTGGACATTTTGTTGAAACTGAGTTTGGAAATTTTCGATGTGAAGTGATTATGGTTAGATAATATATGAATGGATGAATAGTGTACAGAGATCTGAATATTTGGAGAACTCTCTAATTTGAGGCCACTTTAATTAATTTGCCCATGAACCTTCTTAAAATTTATTTTAGATAATGGGCCTTTATTTAAAAAAAAAAAACATGTTTTGAATGGATGTTTTTTTAGATGTTTTTTATCTTGAAAAAAATATATTGAATTAGGCCTCAAACCATCGACAAAATTTCCAACAATATTATATATTTTTTTACTATCTGATTACATTTTTCAAGAATGGCTGTGGAATAACTTGTAATTTATTCGATAAGCATGAATTTGGTAAATTTAATCGATGGACAGAAAAAAGAAAAAAACGAGTAAATTTAATGATGGAAAGAGTGCATGATGATATGTTAAATTAAAAATTAATATAAAGTACACACTTTTAGTAAATACTATAAAATATAATCATACTTATATTAAATAATACGTAATACTTTGATTTTATTCATATAATATAATTCCAAAATTAATAAAAAAGGATTTTTTTTATATTAATTAGGTATATTTCCATATTTTCAACAAAATTTCAAAAATGTCAATATGCTATTCAGTTATTCAGGTTGTATTTATTTGTATTTTCAAGATTAATTTTGTACGACATAATATACAGAAATATCTATTCAAAATTTATTTCTAAATTTCAAAATAAAATTACGAGGCAATGCAATTGTGGACCACTTCAAAGGCATAGTAGTGCTGACTTATTCAAGGGGTATTATCGATATTTCAATGGCACCAGCAAAGCTATGCAAACCGCGTTTAAGGCCCAAAAGTATAGGATGAAAAATAAAAGATAAAAAAATAAAAATAAATTCAGCCGTTGCAAGTTGCTATTTGCCAAGTAAGAATACGCAGAGCTGGCGAGTTCGAGAGTCAAAGCTCCAAACTCTCAATCATACGCCGAGATTCTCTTCAAATTCCGCCCATCTCCGCCGCTTCCGAGGCTCTTCTCTGCAGGATTTGAGGTATTCCCCATCCTCTGTATCGATTATTTGCTATTTTGGCTTTGATTTTGAGATATGTCTCGAGAGAGGGAGAAATCGGATGATTTGAGTGGGGATAGAGCTAGGGAGAGTCCGGATGGGAAGGGGAAGTTTCAGGAAAGAGGAATTGATTTCCTAGGGGAGAATTCGTCGGATTTAGTTAAGAAACTCGGTAGTGAATCTGAGCAGGCAAGCTGCAGGGCGGCGAATTTGGGTTCGCAGGAGCTTACACTTAGCTATCTATGCGAAAATTCAAAATTAGGGTTTCAGGAGAAGGATCCGTCGGGTCAGAATCTGTTGAACTCGTTGGATAAAGTGAGTGGGCGGTACAAGGGGAAAGAGATTGTGGTTTCCGAGGATCAGAACGAGGAGGACAATAAAGTATGGGTAGAGAGGGATTTTCTTCGATTGAATGAGAATAGAGGCAATTCGTCGAAAAGAGAGGCTGAGAATGCCGAGGCTGAGGAAGATAATCGAGAGAAGAAGCCTAAGGTTGAGTCTCTGAACCTTTCCTTAGCTCTTCCCGACGTTTCCCTCTCCTTGGCAGGCTCTAATCGTGTCCAGATCAATGGCGATCTCCCCTCCAGGCTGAGGCCGAGCAGGAGCGTGCAGTCCCTTGGTCCTTCTTACAACAATACAATGACGACTTACTCGAATGATTTCACTGCAGCTTCACTTTCCTACTCGTATTCGCATCAATTCTCTCACAATCCGAGCTGTTCACTGACTCGAAATTCAACTGAGAATTATGAGTACTCAGTTGGGAGCCATAGGAGGGACTGTGATCATATCTGGAACTGTGGAGAAGGAACTAATGGCTCGGTTCATAGCCGGTTTAGGCCGGTCGGGGATGGTACTGTTGCATTGGCTAATCCCGGGGGTGTTGGAGGTTTAGCTATGGGTAATCGCGGTGGCTTGAATAAGGATTCGGGTAACAATAGTTTGTATAGGACTACAAGCTCGGAGAATCTTTCATTTTTCCCATCTGAGTTACCTGCAAGGCCAAGATTGGATGCTCAGTCTGGAGATTCAAGGAGAAGGAATTTGGAAAATGCGAGGGAGATGGAAGAAATCGATGTGGCAAGACCGCACAAGATTACTACGCCCGAAAGGATAGTTAGGGAGGTTGTGCTGGAGTCAATTCCCGTCATGGCTCAGATAATTCAAGAGCTAACAGACGAGACAATTCAATCTGCGAAGGAGTATCTGAATGCCGTCATTGCTAGCCCGGAAAGGAAAGATGAATTATTGAGCTTGCAGAGGAGGCTTGAGAGGAGATCTGATCTAACCAACGAGACTCTGTCAAAGTGCCAAAAGAGTCAGCTTGAAATCTTGGTCGCGGTTAAGATGGGTCTCGGAAGCTTTTTGTCGAGCAAAAACAAGCTCCCGGCATCCGAATTGGTGGATATTTTCTTGCTGGAGAGGTGCCAAAACATTAACTGTCGCAGGCTGCTACCGGTCGATGATTGTGACTGCAAGATCTGCTCGACAAAGAAAGGATTTTGTAGCGAATGTATGTGCCCGGTGTGTTTTAACTTCGATTGCGCTTCGCACACTTGCAGTTGGGTCGGGTGCGATGCGTGCTCGCACTGGTGTCACACTGCTTGCGGGCTTAAGAGAAATCTTATCAAACCGGGACCCTGCTTGAAAGGTTCTTCGGGAGCAACCGAAATGCAGTTTCACTGCCTTGCTTGCGGCCATGATTCTGAAATGTTCGGGTTTGTTAAGGCAGTGTTCACGACTTTTGCTAAAGACTGGAGTCTCGAGACCCTGGTCAAAGAGCTCGATTGTGTCCGGAAGGTCTTTGCAGGAAGCGAAGATCGTAAAGGGAAGGAGTTGTATGCTAAAGCTAATGAGATGATCGCCAAACTTCAGAACAAGATGATAACTCCTGCCGAAACGTGCAATTCGATATTCCAATTCTTCGACTGTGAGTATTTATTCCAATCAACTCCTGCTTATTATCTAAATGTTGATTAAGTTTATCTGTTGATTCATTATACATTTGTTTCATTCAAAAAGTAGGCTCTATAAGCATGAATTGTTCCGAGATAGTAGCTGGAACTAAGTTAATCATTTTAACGTTCACGAACAAATCAATCGTAGCGTATTGCAGTTATTTGATCGGATTAAGTAGCGATTGAGTGATGAAAACTTTCTTCTGTTATTTGTTTGACAATATGCAGCTTCGGATGGATTGTTCGAAATGGGATCTTCAAGCACGCCTTCAACAGGCTTGACAGATCAAGTCGGCTTCAGACGAGAGGCTCCTGCTCTTCTGCTCTCCAATTCTACTCCAAAACCGTCGTTCCACAACTTGAACTCATCCACCGTACAACGGGACTCGACACTCTTCGATCACATCCAAAACCAACCCAAAGCACTACCGATAACGAACGGCAATGACAAGGTAATCGAGGACGAATGGTCAGTAAAACCTTCAAAGAAAGACGGCTTCGACAGCCTAGAAAGTCTTGTCAGAATCAAGGAAGCAGAAGCCCGGATGTTCCAAAGCCGAGCCGATGAGGCAAGGAGAGAAATCGACAACTTCAGGCGCATGATCCGTGTGCAAACCGACAAGCTGGAGGAGGAGTACTCCGAGAAGCTGGCGAAGCTATGCTTGCAGGAGACCGAGGAAAGGCGACGGAAGAAACTTGATGCGCTCAAGGCGTTGGAGAATTCGCACTGCGATTACTACAAGATGAAAATCAGGATGCAGTCGGAGATCTCGGGCCTGCTCAAGCGAATGGAAGCGACCAAGCAACAGCTCGTGTAAGTTTCGGTGTTTTACTTTTTGTCCGCGTTTCTTAAAAATATAACCTGATTGAATTCGTGATATCTCTGCTTCCGTTCGACATTTGCTTACGGCTTTAAAACATTTACTGCCTTCGTTTTTACTTGCCCCGGGATTAATTGTGTTTAACTTCAGCTTCTGTGTAATGAAAACGTATACATTCGCCATTTTATATTTTTATCGATCTTTTAGCTAGTACGTTGTTCTTATACGCACACGGGCACATTTCATTATAACTTGTTATATGCGAGAGAGACAGAAAGATCGACCGAAATCCCGAAGAGCAGGATTGCCAGCGCGAGGAAGTTGACTAAACGGCCCTCGCCATTATGCCGCAGCTTCAAGAAAGTCGCCTTCTCGATCAGACCCGTCAGAGCAGCGGATATTGCCATGAACAGAAGAACTCTCCCTACGCTAACGTGCCACGGCGCTGCCCTCACCCTCGTCCCTGCTGACGCTCCTGGGAGCAGAAACACTGCCAATCCGATCAGCCACTGCGCCGTTCGCCAGGTTAGTAAGATTAAAATCGTGATTTATTTTTTTTTCGAAAAAGTTACTGTTGATGAATAACGACGGTAATTTTATAAATTACCTGTAGGCAAAAGATGGAGAATGTGGCTATACCAATCCAAGAATGGAGGCTATACATATTTGGTATGTTTAACTGATCATGAAACTTGAACACTGCATGCAACCCGACGATCCCGAGTGCGATCGCGATCGAGTGAATCAGGGCGTGCCCGAGTTTCTGCGCTGTCTTCTCCGCTCTAGCCGTCGTCTTGTATGCCATCATAGCTGATCGGTTATCAATCGTTAGCTATTGTGTTGCGGAAATTAAAAGATCGTCGGGTATGATTTTTGACATACCTTCGCCCGCCATGAAAATGAATCCGAAGAACATTAGGAAAGGGTGAACCTGCAGCAAATGCATCGTTGAAAATATACGATGAAAAAAGAAAAAGCTTGATTTTTAATCGATTTTTGAATAAATTTCGACGAACGTTGAAGATGCGGAAGGCGTTCGGAGAATCGAGACGGATGCCTTCGCGGTAGTGTAGCAGCCACACAAGGAGAAGAACGATGGAGATGACGCCGAGCACGTGCGCTGCCGTGGCTGCACGTGCGGCCGGCGCCGGGGATTTGATCTTCTGAATCTCCGGCGACGTATCCATAGCTCATATATGACTAATTATCAAAGAATATATATATATATATATATATATATGATTGATTTTATTAATGGAGAGGTAGGTATCAGATGGAAATGAATTTAATGCTGTGGCTGACTTTTTGCAGCAACAAGAAGTGGGACGTGTTTTTTAATAAAAGATTTTCAAATTCTACTTGCTAGATTTTTTATAAAATATCACATAAAATATTATATTAATACTAAATTCAAATCAATATTTTTTTCAAATTCAATTAAATGAAACACACCCTAGGTTTTGTCTAGATAAAGGTAAACTCGAGAAAAATAAACACGATATAGGATATGCAAAAATAAGATTTTAGGCGTCAAAAAAAAAAAAAAAAAAAAAAAAAAAAAAAAAGATTTTAGACTTTATAATTAGGTTTGAAAAATTTTCGGACAGGTCTAATATGACACGATTGAAAAACCCGATCGTGTTTCGGCATGTGCAAACTGGGCCCTATTTAGTCCGATTTATTAAATAAATTTTAAATTTAAATATTTATTTTAATAAACTTATTCTTATATCAAAATAGTCTTTAAATTTTGATTTTTAAAGTGAAAATATTTAAAACTATAATGGGCCGATTTCAAAGCAGAAAATATTATCATAGGCCCGTACCCAAGCCCTTTTAAAATTCATATATATGATTTGTTTGTTTGTGTTTTTATGATATTTATTGTAAAACTAATCTTTCAATTTAGGCAAAATTTTTTATAACTACTATGGTTTCGAAATTCAGCGAAACTCTCCTATTTACTTTAAAAAGTGAATGACGCTCCCTTATATTTTCAAAAATACTGCATGAAATTGTTCTATGATTTTGATCAAAGTAAATTTTCACTTTATTTTAAAATTGTATGGCGTCCTTATTCTTTCAAAAATATTGTATGAAATTTCTCTGTCATACAAAATATAGATAGAAAATTATTTCTTATCACACAAGGGATGTTTAACAGTGGTCAAGTTTCATGCAATGATTTTGAAAGTATAAAAATATACAATGTAATTTTTAAAATACAGAAAAATTTCATACTGAATTTTAAAACTACAGAAGTTACGAGCAGTTTTACATTCAATTTATTGAATTTGAGTTCGAAGTTTCAGACTTTAAAATAAATTATAAAACCCAACATGATGATTTTGATGTAACAAAATTCAATTTAATTTTATTGTACATGTCTCAGAATTCAATTTAATTTTATTGTACATGTCTCAAAATTCACACACATATATATATATATATATAGGGTGTGTTTGTTTTGGGGATTTGATTAGATTTCCACTATTCATCCCATTTTTTCCCCCAAAAATATCAAATCAAATACTTATTTTTTATTTTTTATATTATACTAAAAATCAATTTTACATTCAAAATATCACATCAACACCTATTTATATCACATCATACAACTATTCAAATTCAAAATTTTTACTATTCAAATCCCAATTCAAAATTCAAAACTCCCAAACAAACACACCCATAGTATATAGAAAATTACCGAAATGAATTGAACAATTAAATTGCTAGGTCTAAACAAAATGACAAGAAAGCAATGTAATTAATTACTTAACATAAATCTTCTAATGGGATTTAAATATCTTTTCATTAGGGGGGAAATTGATCAAATCCATTGTAATTTTTTATTTTTTATTTTTTATTACCGTGATTTGGATTTAATTACAAATCTCCGCTTACTTTTTCCGACAATTTTTTAAAAAATGTAACATTGTTTTACCTAATTCCATTACACGATATCATGTGTTTTGAAACTACCCGAAGCTACAAATTTTTTCAATAATAATTCAGTAGTTGAAATGTCCGACCCTCAACTTGCGCGCACAGATTTACAATCACATGTTCGTAAATTATTTTGTATATTGGTCTTTCTTGAAAAAAAAAATAAAAAATAAAGTTTGATAAAAAGTTGACTTTACATAGGCCAAAACTAGATATACACATAAAGGTAAAATTTACATTACCCTAATTTTCTTGTTTGGTCATTTCCATGTGTATTTTAGTGAGACAATGTATTTTGGACGTGACATTACATCTATTAAGGTTGTTAGTTTGGAACTAGTCGCATTTAGCAATGGGTCGATTCGTGTTGGGTTTGTGCCGGATTGAATACTTTAAACGAGTTAAATTACTCAATTCTAACCCGACCCGTTTATTATTGTGTCGGGTTCGGGTTGACTCGTGTTGACCCGTATACATAATTAAGTCAAATTTCTTAATTGAGATTAAATAATTTTTTTGTTGTTTTGTCGTGTTATGTTAGTTATTATTAGTTTGAGCGTAAATTAGGTTGAATTATTTAAAATTCAACTTAGTTTAAATTAATTTATGATGAAATTATTAAATTATGATTATTTTACATATATAATGAATATATTAATCAATATTAATATATTATAATCGGATTGTCGTTGGGTTCGAGTTGAGAGCCTCAACCCTAACCCGACCCGTTTACTATCGTGTCGGGTTTGTATCAATCGGGTTGAAATATTTGACCAAAACCTAATTATTTTGTGTCGGGTCAATTTTTGTTAGCTCTAGTCACACCCCTATTATTTAATTTTAATTTTTATCTTTTTTTTAGAAAAAAAAAAAACACATGCACACATAAGGGTATAATTGAGAAATAATTTATTATTAGTTTAATTGAAATCGGGTCTAATTATAGGTGTGTTGAATCCAATTTGATCTGAATTAATAAAATAAAAATATTTTTATACGGGCTTAATTTAATTATTTATTTTTTTATAAAATATTATTATACAATTCTTATAATTTTTTATTAAAAATATATTATTTATTCTAACAAAATATCACACTGACTTACTATTAAAAAACACACAAACAAATCATTATAATTTAATATTGTGATTTTTCACATTGAAACGTAAGAAATTAGAACCATGATTTTAAGCAATGAATTTCAATCTTATTTATATATTCCATTATTATACTAAAACTTTTAAAATTTTAAGATTTTATAATTATAAATACTCAGTCGAATTGGTGTGTTGAGTAAATCACAATATTATCTAAATATTATTTAATATTATTTAATATATATTAAAGGTAAATATAAAAAAAATGAATATATTTGAATTTTGGATTTTAAAAATTAAAATTTTAAAATTTATTCGTAATTTGAACGCATTTAAGTCAAATATCGATAAATAAGGACCGTCGATGAGCAGGGTTAGACACAAAGTTTATGAAACTACGATGAAATTTGACGCAATTTTAGAAATATAAGGAATTTGACGCAATTTTATACAACCACAACCACAACCACAAGTTGATTTTAAGCAATTTAGCCTAAATTATTAGTAATAATAATTGTATTGATTTGATTTTTGAAGAAATTGTAATGTATATGTAATATTAAATTTAAATCAAAACGATATGCACTTTAAAGGTAAACAAAATACTTTCTTCCTCTCAATTTTTTTATTATGATCAAGATACTTGTACACTAATATTAAAATAACTATAAATTTTATATAAAATTATAAATATAATATTATACATACAATTAATATATACAAAAATAAAACTAAAAAAATATCAAATTCAATTATATATATTTACAAATAATAAAATTATTACTTTTAAATCTAATTAAAATATATATACATTTAATTGGAACAAAAGATTATTTTGGGGAGTTGGTGGTTCATAGTTGGCGGCCCACATTCTTTGTTATCTATCCAAATATCGACACGTGTCCCTGACAATGATTTTATGGGCCCTACTGTGCCATTTCAGTTCACACTCTTGGGCTTGGCGCGTCTCACTACGTTATTTTATACTCATACTTACATATGGTATTAGCAAAAATAATTACTCCATGTCCGTAAGGTATGGACTGTTGGTGTAGAGGTTGAATTAGTGACCATGAAGTCATCATGGGTTCAAATTCCCGACGCCTCAGGTCACATGCCACACATGATGCGACTTTTCCGTCGAGCCTGATATGTAGGTATTTAATATTCGAATCGAACCGAAAAAAATATCAAAAATCGAAACCGAAGTATTTGTATTCGAACTAAATTTGCTCGGTTAATCGAAAATTCGGTTCGATTCGGCAATTCAATTCGATTATTTTGCCCACCCCTATGTATAGTATATGTAAAACCTAAATCAAAATACAAAATAAATGTACAAAGATAACACATGTTAGTACTACATAATACTTTCATTCGTCCAGTCTATAATGGTTACATTTAGCTTTTACGTCATTGTATTAATATTAAAAATATTCTTATATTTGTATATATTTTTTTTCGTAAAGATGTCATAATATAAGTATTATAAGACTATAATATTTTTGTTTTTTTTTTTATTTTTTTAATTTGTATTACGTTTTGATATAATAATAAGTAATATTTAATGATCAACAAAAAAATAAATAAATGTAACAATTAGAACTGAGCGGATGTAATTTTAAATTCTATAAAAGGTGATATAATAGTGTAAAGAGTAAACTTGTCATCGAAAATTATAGGTTTAAAATCTCTTAATACCAAATATAATAACCATATAGTGAGAAAGTATATATATATATCTAGGTTATCCAATTACAAAGTAATTATTTTATTAAATATATTTTTATCACAAATATTCTTTTTTTACCATCACATTGTTATTTTTACACATACAAAAAAGACAATGACAATATTATTTTTACACTATTTTTAACCACTCATTACAATTAAAACTATTATTTTTTTTAACAATGTACAAAAAATAAATGTATACTTTATCGCTGGACGGATGAAGTATTAAATATATACTTCTTTCACAAAACTCATCATATTTTTTTATAAAATTAATTATATTATTTTTATATATAGATATATTTTATTTATTAATACTATTATAACCTTCTAAATAAATTTAAAGTATATTTACTTATACAATTTTTTATTTGATTTTATTATTCTATTTTTTTTTAAAAAAATATATCA